TCCGACCTCCACTTGTATTTTCCTTTTGCATGACATAGGAATATGCTACAGATATTATATAAAAATAAATGACATGCATACACGTTTGTATTTTTAGCTTTCTATTACGTCAAAGGACATAACGTTAAACTATTGTTTATTAATGCTCTGTAGGCGGCTACTACGTAAGTATGGGATCGTTGTTCGTGTTTATAAAATTAAGATACTCAAAACTATCGAAATATAAGTTCTAATAAAAAAGTGAATGTATTGTTTTTATAGTATAATATAATATATAAAACTGGTATGGAGCTGATGTTATGTCGTCTTTATACATCACAAAGCGAGACACGGTTGCAGGTCAGCAAGATAACGGTTCTATTAGCATTGCGTATATTGCGTACATATCAGACGAACAGGTTCCCGGTATCCGTTATCAACTAGTTGGGGCACGTTTTTGGGTCACATTGGGTCATGACGCCTGCGTCCTCAATACCGGACCACCGAAAACATAGCCTCTACCTAATAATGAGTGAAGCACTCGTTGGTACTCCAAGGTAAAATGCTCAGTTTTCTAAGCGTCGCGTAAATAATGCGATTATAGCATCACCTTGGGTGCTGTTGAAATGAGTTAGATTTCTCGTTCAATAGTTACGTAATAGTAAATCGGCCTTATACGATTTGTTTACGTACGTTCCGTCTAAGATGTACAGCCGCTTGCATCAGCCGCCCACTGTGAAAACAGTAAATTGTGCCCGTGACATCACGGCACTCCCTGCCTACGCGCTCTCTCCGACGTGACTCGCGCTGGTGTCGATTCTGAAATGGCTATGACTAGCGATATGACGTCATATCTATCAATGAAACCTTCAATTGTTTAGACCAATAACCTAGGCCTCGTAGTAAATAAAGCGTGCTCTTGCATCATCAGTGTCAGCGCAATAATGATTTCCTGACAACGACACCAGTTGACCTACATTGTCAAATGAATTTATAGTATTTCGATGAAACACCATTCGTCAAAATAACTGTCATTAATCTATGATCTATTTATCTTACCTTTGGGTATTTTTTACGTTTTATACTATATTCCGCATTATTTCTCATATTACTTTAAAGGTAATAATGCTGTAAAAATGGATTTAAATTTTGTAACCTACAAACTAGGCTAATGGGATCATGACCCACTCTCGACGTTGCCAAATAGGTCACCTAACTTTGTCCTGATCCCGGCCTAGGGCACAATGCATGAGGAAAATATGATATAATATTACTACAAGAAACTCTCATCTGTTGCATGATTTTACATCCAAGTAATTCAAGCAACCGACCATTGATTCCCAGTATAGCTCATTTTCCCCGTACAATTAACGAGTTAACTGTTTCTTTTTATTCTCGTTAAAAGACTCATACCTACAGGAGCTTTTCTTAGCATTCTATATTGTTACAAGGAGAATGTCCGTAATAAAATTGTTGCTTGCATTTGGACATACGCTATGTAGGTCACGGATTTTCGGCGCAAGGTTGTGCCTCCAGTTGGAAGGGATGGTGTTCGTGGTTCGCGTGCTGGCTGCCGCTGTATCCGCCTTGCAACCACCGTTTGTATTCACTAATGATACAAGGCCGTCCGCTTCGTGCCAATCGATTGCTCGGACTAAGCGTACACATCCGATTTCAATAGCTTACCTTAATCTTTATTAGGACTTCAAAATAACACATAACACATTCACGCATTATAGTTTCTACCAGATTTTTTTTCGAAATCGTATTATATTAGTATGGGAGAATAATTATATATTCTTTAAAATAATTGTTTCTGTATACCTTTGGAAGCTACTGAATTATGAAACAGCTAAGTGAATAAATTGACTCGCAAGGTTGACTTGTGATGGATGAAGGTATATACTATGAAAGTGCCACGCCTCCATGATTTCAAAATGTTAATCCTATTCATAGATCGTGAGTTCTGTTTGGTTTTGTGAACAGTTCGACAACTTACAGCTATAACTCTTCATTTGTATCCACTTTGTACTTCAAGAAACTTTTATTTGAACGCTATCTCAGTTCTGTACGAGATAGTTCTTTTAAAATTTATCCTTATTTTATAATATAAACACTTAAACTGTAAGGATTGATTATTTCGCGGTATAACAAAAATCCAATATAGAAGTTGAAGTTTTATTTATGAGCCGATGGTAAAGCTATTGACCTATTTAATGGCGCACGATCGCCTACAACCATCGAATTGCTTATGCATGCTTGACAACGTGACTCCAACTGCAGGCTCACTGAATATTTAGAGAATCAACCTCGACTAAAACCTATTGTCGTCGATCACAAAATAAACACAAGCTCAACTTAAACATATGATGTTTATCGCGGACGTTCTTCTTCTCCGATCCCATTTATCAGTCCATAACGACATTGTCACTCTCACGTTTAAATATACTTTAAATATCTATATTTAGTACGTTGTAAAATAATATTTTTATCGTTCAGATACCTACATATCTAGAGACATTGCAGTGTTGCAACTTTATCGGTCGTCCCAATGTTGCTCTATTGTTTTGTCGACCGCAAAGCAACACATTCCTGCAGCATTATAATACCGTTGATGTATATTATGGTTTTCATTTAATTTAAGCGTTCAAGTCTCACCCAAACAAACTCACAGCGTTTTAAAACCGACTGATATCTATCAGACGTTCTGTAAACGTTTACTTTCGTTGTAACAATGACGATGTCAAGTGCCATTGAACCTCATGTATATTTACGATAGCTATAAAACGGTAATATAAATAATTCATACATATTACTGACTCGAATGCTCAGCATATTCTAAACATCGAGATAATATGAAAATAGCTCATTGTTAATACATATTCTAAAATGTTATAAAATATTTGAGTGCACAGCAATAAATAATCGCATACGTAAACGTGCGACGCGTCGTTGTCGGTAGGCACGACACAGCGTCACACAAGCAATGAATCGTATTTTGCAGTCAATGCCACTTGTATGCTCGCTATGTGATAACTTTCGCTTCCAATACAATACAACTAAACATGACTATACACTCGGACGGTTAAACTAACTATCATTTTTATATTATTAATGTTGCATGTTATAAAAATTAATATCATCGTCGACATTTAAATAGAATTAAAGTTGCGAATAATATATTAGTTTCATGATGTGGCAACGTCCTATAATAGAGTCGATCGAGCTTTCGAAATACAGATTCCAAGAGAGACCAGCGTAATGCTTCACTGCGATTACTTATGTTCAAGTAAACAACGCGTGCGTGTGCGCAAGCGTTTGTGTCATAATTAGAGATAAATAAAGTAGAGTGGTTACTGAAGCAACATACCTATTATTTATAAGAAAAACTGATACTGTAACGAAAATAAAATCGCAAACATTTATGATTGTGATAAAAACCGTTCAATTTACTATAAAACCTATACTGGTTTAAGTCATATGAGTAAAATAAATAAAGACATAATCCATATTATTAATATCATCAACACAACTACCTAACATGTTAAAGAAATTAAGTTTCTATCGTAGTTATAACGAGGTGTTATCAGTTAGCATGTCAAAGTCACTTGGTGACTTTCACTGGCATTTATAGGCGGCCAAGTTTCGCCATCGGATCGAGCAATTGTGCAATAGTTGTCACTTTTTACATAACGCTGTGTTGCCTTGACGGGGGAGGGGTGCACTGTGTGGTGGGAGTCTGTTAGAGGAACTGCATCTCAGCCGGCACACGCTCACCCGTTCAAATGATTGGCATTGATCTGCTCCAGTTAAGTTGCAATTCATAATTAGTGACTTGTAATATCGTGACCATAACAATAGGCTATAGATTAAGTCACAAACGAATATCTGAATTCTGAAATCAAATTAGAAAGTAACTCGTGTCAGCGTTTATATTAATCGCATTTAATTAAGGCGTTGTTATTTAAAAAATTCGCAGCCGTTTAAATGAAACAAAGAGCAATGGTAAGGTGTATTAAGACGCCGTTCATACATAATATTTTCTCATTAAATAAACTTTCATTGTTCCGGCACGAACGTGGCTCTGAGTTCGCCACGTCCGCGGACACCAAATAATCAAAAAGTGAAAGTCTGCGATGCAATCACTGCTTTGGAGCTCACGCCTCACGTTCACCGCCAGCCTCGGCCCGGACCGTCCTCCAAACACTTCTATACTACAGTCATATTATTTGCCAAGCTTCAGATCTTAACTTTGTTACTCAACGAGCTAGATAATCGAGGTTAAACATTATTGTAATTAGACTAATTCGTCACATTTAGACCAAACGCTATTTAGTCTAATTACCGAATTAAATACATACTATTAAGTTTGTTTTTTTTTTGTATCAATTGAAACGTTTAATTAGGAAAGATATCATCATCGAAATAACATTCGCAATGACCTATATAAAGTAAAAGTAGAAGTCAATTGGTAGATAAAAATAATGATTGTATTGAAACGTAAGACTCGTTCTAGCTGACGCTTGAGGGAAACGGAAGTCTCCAAACTATGTAGTTAACCATCACATTGTACATAATCAATCTTATGTAAGTAATAGGTATCATGAATATACTTTCAATGTCCTATTACTCTTGCTTATATACATAGTTAAAAAACATTCCTACAACATATCACCTCTTACCACAGCCGTTGTTGAATTCATAGCATTCCAATACATAGAAATTATTTTAAGCACCGAAAAAAAATTAAGAATTTAATGTCAATGACACGGAATGCAAGTCGATACACTTAAAACTATTCTAGGCCATGACGTCATATTCAACGCGGACCGACGAAGGTCGCCATATTGATCTCCTATACACACCGCTTTTTGTTCCAGTGCCTTACATAACACATATGACGTCTGCAACCTACGTGAAAATATCTTAAATGTCAGCACTCATTCAACAACAAACCTGACATACAAAAGCTAGTCGGCACTTTCAAAGGCAACTTTCACTTTCATACCCATTTGTTACAGGTGCCGATAGAGCTGAGAAAGAGATTGGAGGAGATAAGGCTGTTGGAGTCTCGGAAGTCTGCAAGGCTCGCTGACGTAGACACGGACTTCGCAAGACTTGCTGACATGGCTGGCGATCGCCGCCGAGCCTCCGCTACCATCGAAGTGCCTGCACATCACATGCAAGGGTACATGCTTTTACTAATCAAAACATATGCTGTCTAATGTTTTAATGATATCATTAGCTAAACATACTTCTACGTACTCATTTCCTGAACATACTTATACAGGGTGACTGGTGAATTACTATCAATATTTAAGGAGAATACTCGGTACATGATTCTCATTCGAATTATGTAAAAAAAATAGGTACTTAATTTTTGACAAAATTTCCGTATAAATAAATAAAGTGTTGACACGTTCCAAGTGTTCCAAGTGTGGACGCGTGCGGCGGCGTGCTGATACAAAACCACGCCCCCGCCGCGTATGTGTGAGTGTGTGTGTATACCTAATCTGTAGGGTGTTCATACGATGCGTAATTAATTACATAACTTTTGGTTAACTTTACTTAGAAGTTTATTAATATTTATGTTATATTAATTTTTATTTTGTCATATATGATCGTCAACTACCACGTCCTCAAATATCGATAGTAATTCACCAGTCACCCTGTATATGCTCATTCCATATGCTACACTTTTTGCAATTAAAATTACTATTGCATTGTATATCTTTAAAATTTTATAGGTGCTAAAGTTCTTTTATTAACAGTATCAAATTACGATAGGTATAATCCTATTACTGTGTCTAGTTTAGACTGGACTTAAACCGTTATTTCCTCTCGCACCATCCATTTCAATGAAGGTATTATCGCCTTAAACAGTTTTAATGGGAGGTATATTAAATCAATGACTTAATTTTAATCAATGTAGAACACATCTAGAAACAATCAATGGCCACTCCTTTACCTTGTACTATATATTAGTATTGTAACAACATAGATACTTTTCTAATCATTTTAATCACTATGCAAAGGAAGTTGATGCATTATTTATTCATCAACAGTTTGCGCGCACGCGTTTTGTAATACCAATATTAGGTACAAAAACGAACTTACACGCAGCTTTGTAATACAATGTTTAATAATTTTCCCTTCAAATTGCAGTTCACCTTGCTTGATGAGGAAAGCCACATCTATTACAAATTTGACCTTTAGAAATTCCCTCATTGCGTTACAAGTTCACATTATTTCCTGCATTCTCCAACAAAGGATAATAAATAAGTAGTAAAACAATGTAAACTACAATTTGTTTACCAAATACGTGATGCGTGAAGTGGCCTCGCTGTTATTTACTGTAGTTAGCACCTATCGGCAATGTATTCGTATTTCTTATTGTGGTAGGTTGTTTCGAACAATCGTTTACAAACTTCATACAAAATTGAACAGAGCGGGCGATATTGCAAAATCCTTAGCAAGCACACTAGATCTGGATGGAAGTGTTAGCGCAAAGTACGGGCGTGTCCTTGTCACACTTGCCTACATTCTGCACTGGCCCCCCGCTCCCCACACCTCCGAACCAAAGAGAGAGACGGACAATGCAGCAAGAGTTATAAACATTTATACACTTTGTGAATTCTTCTTGAACTTTACGTCTTTATGTGGGACATATTTTAAGTTAAAAGTTGCCAGATTTAGCAGTACGTAAAATATTTTGTAGCATTGAACCGGAACAATCAGCATAAATGAACGCAATAGTGACGTTCACTGGCATCGCAGTTTCACTTTTCATCATGACGCCAGAGAGAGGCGAGACCTCTGATGTAGGTCAAAATTTCACATCTGAAGCCAAAAATGTACTTCTACTGAGTTGTCGTGACTCTGATATAATTTTACATAAGTTACTATCAATTAGCCCTCGACCTTGATAGTGAATCCCAGTAGAAATAACTAGAAATACCTACTTTAATGTTCTCAGAAAATATTTTAGTAATTTTCAAGTACATATGTACTTAACCACGTATAAGAAAACAAAGAAAGTGGAGACTATGTATGTTATTTATGTTAATACATATTCTACTGCTGTTAAAAATATAAAGAATTTGAAGAACAGTTTTGATATAATAATTTTTGCAACCACGCCACGACTGGGCCATGGCAAAGTGAAAGTCTTAAAGTTTCATTTTCCGCCAATATAGCGACTTCTTATTCAACACTATGCCGTGTAATGGGAACGCTACAATTAGATACCATTGAATTTTATTTTTAAGCCGAATCAATGAAATTCGAAGATGGCGCCTCGTTCGCATGACACTAGCCGCGGTCGCCATGACACAGTGACCTGCTTTTAAAATGGAACAAAGTAACACACTAGAGAATTGCCGCATACAGCAAAGTCCAATACCATTGAAACGACAAATATTAGCAATATTGATATACGAGATATGTAATCTATATCATTGTATGTAACCGTATGAACAGTTAATCGTTGAATTATGTTTTCTATTGTAAATTATGTATCTACGTCCTCGAGCAGGTAGTGTTGTTTAGTCGGCCAGTGGGGCGACAACTCAACCCGCATTTTGATGTTGCAAGCGTGAGGTCGCTACTTATCGCCGGTTGTAGTTGCTAAATAAAACACAAGCTAACGCTTTGTGAGACTTGGAATGTGAGCCCACAGTCGAGACCATATACGACGCTGTCAATCACAGAAGCCTTATTCATATACTTTCAATGTCAAAAATGGTATTCCCTTTATTGAGGCAGTGTTGTATGCAAATTAGATATTTGAGTGTCACGGGCGATTAACTTCAGCTAGCAACTGCGCATACCGACTATAATAACGCATTACGTCACATTGTAACCACAGTATCATTGTTAACAGGCAACAAGTGAAAAATTGTAACAAAAATAACTTATTACACTGTTATAGTACCTGGTTAACTGTATAGGTTGCTCTTTGAAACTGGTCTGAGAAACTTATATAGCTGAGTGCCATTTTGCATACGTTTGCGCAACAAGAGGAGTCAGTGAGTGGCACTATCGAAGCACTTTCACACTGAGCACCGCACGTTTGCTTTCATCAGTGAGGCCCGTTATTTCATTTTGCAGGTGTAAGAATGTCGCCGTCCTAGAGAAAGTGTTACAAAAATGTTCGAACATGCATATTGCATACAGTGTAGCCATATGTACCTCGAAAAACGAATTCACAACTTCATTAGCTTTTACGTAGATGAAAACATATGTATTTTCAGAAAACTATACAACAAAGGAAAATGATTCATAATAACTCTTAAAAATATTAATCTGTTCTCTGACTTTACATCGACCTACCTGCAGGTTATTCCACCGCCGGCGGGAACAAAAAACCGTTCGCTGTATGTAATTATTCCCCGAAATCGGTAATTTAACAGTGGAATTTTTAACTTTATTTTAAATCAATCGATAGCGATAAAAAAACGTGATAACTTTTCAGCATATGTTATTAAACTTCTAATGAATTGTTAGTGTCCATAGATTTAATTAAAAGAAACTTAAACATAATTTTCACCCGGAAATTATTAAAACATTAAAATAAGAGAGTCTATGTCCGGTCAATACTTCAAAATCATTAATAAATATATTACATATATCTATTCAAATTAGCGTAATACCTGTCTAAATTGTAGTTCACGCTCGAGATCAGCGATGACCTCACTAAAGCGCGGAGTGGGGGCTGCGCCCGCGCACAGTGAATTACGCTAGCACGATCGCACTTTTTTTACTAAACAAAAAATGACTTCGCGACCTACATCAACTACTTGCATGTCGACGCCGAAACTAACAAAACTATTTACGAACTAGATACTGAATTATTTTCTTATTTGTATTTAACTCAATCATACAAAATTATTATCAGCATTTAGTTAAAACTTATTTTAAATACTCATATATAGAGTAATTATTACAAACAAATAAATGTATTTACACTAAAAATAATATTCTTGCCCTTAAACAATGAAGGTGTCGTAATTTCTTTGTCTCGAGAAATTATATTTTTATTCTGAATGTCATTAGTGTTTTAATGTTGTTGACACGTCAAAACAACGACATGCAGATATCATTGTGATAAGATTGGTATTGAACGTAAAAATAACGGAGATACCATTCTTATAGATAACACCGAATGAAACAGGAAATGATTTGAAATAAATAATAGGTGCGATTATATATTGTAAGTAGTAATGTATGTGAGTAGATCTTTGGTAGCCGGCTGGCGGTTGACAACGGACGTGAAGGTCGTTTTCAATGTTACGTGTACAACACTGTACACGGATCATGAGGCTTGCCAGAGACTAATCTAAATTAAAACTTCATGTTTAATATTCTATGAAATGCGTACTCGATGGACGGCGTATATAAAAAATTCGTCAATGAACTTACCGGTTTTGAATGTCAACGGTCCAAAGATTATGACCGCGGGATAGGAACATTGCATTTGTGACAGATTTAAAAGATATAAAATTACTATTACGAGGTAAATAATCTGTGGCGATGAGCGAAAACTTCTACGTTGCGGATTACGTCAGAGTATTAGAGGAAATTACGTGTCTCTGCTATTTTTACGTCGCTGTTCGCCGGCCGGCGTGATTCAATTATTGCAACCAAATAAGCAGATTGCGCAAAACCTACGCTAATGTTATCTCGGGAGAAGTTATTTTTAATGTAAGCAAGATTTCATAAAATAATTTAAAGAAAACGTAGAAATTCTTAGCTATCTCAATGTTTATAAAGCCTTTAATAATAATAGAATATTTTATCTACGCCTATCTACATACATAAATAAATATTTATCAATCGATAATGTCATTGAAGACTTCTTAATTTTACAATATCATGTTTATACAGGTTGAAATATTAAAAAAAATACTAGAAGGCTTTAAGTTATAAAATCTCTGAATTTGGTTTGTGTCACAAAACACATCGATCACTAAAAATAATTTTTTAGTTAAATCAACGATACAAAACATTTGGAAATTAACAAATTAACTGCGTCTTACACAGTCAAGTAAGAGCGCGTGTTTTTAATTATCCGCGTCAGATACATTTATCAGATAGGTGCAAGCTCACAACAATATAGTTAAGGTGACCTGTAATCACCTGTTTTTGATAGGATAACGACCCTGCAGAAGGTCGTGACCAGAGTTTAACCACCTGATATAGGGGTAAAGATTTTTTGCTATCATAAAAGTAATAAACTTTAACTTAACATCAGCGATAGAACGTACTCTAAGTTGATATTCGGTTAGAATCGATTATGAATGCTATTTAGTAATGATGTAAAGAAGAAAGTTGAAACTAGTTTCATGGCAATTTATTGGCGAATGGAATTCGTTGATTCGGCGGCGGTCGGTCACCGATCTTAGTGTCAATGTTCGACCCGGCTGATGCCTGTTGCTCTAGGACGTCTTCCCCGGTCATTATCTGACACTGGAACGTTCACATTTACTTTAATAATACGAAAGTTCAAACGCGTCAGACGACAATTAAATCGAATTGATTGTGACGATACTAACAAGTTGTATTTAAAAAAATATGCCCTTGATAACATTGACGTAATACAGTTGTAAAAACAACGCTAGATATTATACATTCTTTAATTTTGGCTGTTTACACAGCGATTACACTTTGAATAGATTCATTTGTAGCGTACTACGTAATTACATATGACTCTTCGTTTACTACGCTAACAGAAATATAGTATTTTTTCCATAGTATTACATATTGTTACTTTTTGGTGATAAAATTATGAAATTATAGTAATTTACATATTAGAGGTTAATTAAGAACAATTTGTTCTTGATATCATTAATTTATTTATATAACAATTAAATTATAAGAGTGGGTTATCTTTTAAATGAGTAATGCGTAAATGATATGCAAACAGAGTAACCCAATTGTTTATAATTATTACGTGTAATTTGAATATTTTCTTATCAATTTAAAGCTTATTAATATCAAAGATGAACTTTTGAAGGTTGACGTCCCGTCTGCCCTGTAACTAGATTTCGGTCTCAACAAACCTCTGTTTTAATAAATATGTAATTGCTTATTCAGACAGACAGACAGCAGAGATCGAAAGCTATTTGAGTTCGTAAAATAATTTGGTTTAAAGTCAAATTACTTTGATACTATTAGACTATGGTTATATGATATAATGATCTCTATATTTAATCATCGGACGGTTATACAAAAACATGTTTACGTTAGATTTAAAATCATCGCGCAAATCTAATAAACAATATTGATATATGGACACACTTACACGGTTCCTTTTGTTCTTTTATACTGGGATAGAAGTAAATAGATAATATTATTATTATTTTTCATCTCAAAGCAAAAGTTTCTGTGTGATGTTTGTATATAATTGATGATGATTTATTGTCAACAGATCTCGTAAGCGTGGTCCCAGCAGCTCCTGTGAATTAGGTTATGGAGAAAGGGATGACCAGATGAACGAATGCAACGCTGCCCTCGTCTTAATGTCACTCAGCTGTTCTCCGAATTCACCTCGACCCAGTAAGTAAACTTTCTAAGGCCGGCCAATATTAAGGACTTGATACTTCGTTCGCTCTTGCTTTAATTAATGTCACGTCAAGACTTTCGTATTTTTTAAATATAAATTATTCATTCGAAAGGGAAGGAAGTACTTGTATCGACTAGTTTTTATGTTCGTGGTTAAGTTGATTATCTGAATGCAAACTCTATGTTAATGGTCGAAATGGTGACGTCGATTTTGTTAGTACACTTGAGAGAGTCTGTCGGTAGAAATTTTCTCTTTGTCTACTACTTCAAGTGAATCAGAAGTAATTTCATTTTTGTAATTCTTTTTGTGGCTTACTGCAATTTGGCTAGTAATTCTTTTTTTCTTTGAAGTTAGGTCTTCTACCTAGTTGTTTCTTTTATGATTTCGATCGAGAATATTCATATTTTGCTATTATATTCCGTATTATATAAGTTAATACCGCTACGCCGCGTCGGCTGCTAAGTTACGCCTAGCAGTTGTATCTAGTGTTACATAACAGATACCACCTGCATGCAGTCATAATGTAACATATTGTTGTTTTCGACTTTCATATCTCAACGTATTTCAAATCATGATGATGGGTTTTCCCATTACTATGACATTAAAAACATATTGTGTAGGAACTATTGCGCATTCATCTTATAAAGTGATACACGAATGAATAGCGACCTATACATTTTTGTAACATAGGATTTATTGCAGCTTCACGTTTAACTCGTGTGGTTTTTTTTTATTATAAATAGTATAATTCAGAGTTTTGGTTTCTGTGCAAAATGTTCCAAATGTTGATAACGTCTAGACTAAAGTCTAGACAATGTCTAGACAGGTATTCGTAACTCCGCTCATGTTATGAGCTCCAACCAAATGCGATCTAGTTAGTTGAACAGAGGATATTCAGCTGCCCTTATTGGCTAGACTAGATAATTATTTATTGAAGTCATGTCATCTCTCCACTCGAGCACAGACAGCCAGTGCTATCCGCGTAGAATTAAATAAAAATACAGAACACCACGTTGAATTATAACGACGTTTGAAGAAATGAAAGCATTCAATGCATATAAATTTTACTATAGTTATTTAGTTGTTTACATCAACGCTCACGCACATTAAAATAATCTATCCATGAAACCGATTAAAGAGTATATTCTTAAATAAGACATTACCCAATTTTGATTTAAACCACTTAGTAATGTTCCTCGTAAAATTTAATGATTCATCTCCGAGTCCAAGGCAGGTCTAATGTTGGTATGCGGTGTGTGCAGCGAGAAAATAGCCGTTCTTACAAGTGAAAGTGGCCGACTATGGTTCCGTTTTGTAATTTATTAACGTATAATTTCGTTTGCGCTACGCTCTTCAGAATGAATTATTTGTATCACATATTTTTGAACCATTAAATACAGAGGAAGAATTTATAATAAGGTTTTACTACATCTTGTTAGGTGTTAGATATAGCTGTAAATATAAAAGATCTCGTTTATAACTTCACTGTAACTGTTAATAATTTCAAATTTTTTTAAAAGGATTTATTTTTAATGTGCATTATAACGATAGGTACGGTAGGTGTGCGGTACACGTGCAGAAAAAATTACATAGTAAATGCTTTATTTATAGATAAAAAAAGTCTTATATAATAATGCAATTCTATAATGATTTTTAATAGCAAGTGCTGCGCTCAAGCAATATATATATTTACTTCTTTGTTTGCAAGCCATAACTATCAGAATGGTCTTTGTTCATGTAGAATTATGACTAGTTGTTGATATCGTGGGTTTTATTGTGTCAGGTGCTTGGGGAGGCCGTTCATCAGTGTCTCCGGGAGCAAGCAGCAGCTCGGGGTCGTCATGGAGGTCAGGAACACCGTCGCCGCCTCCCGTCTCCTCCTCTTTCAGCGACGAAGGCATAGCTATGGACTACGAAGATCTCCACCCGCGCAAGAAGAGGGTAAGCAAAACCAATCAGATTTCCATACCTAAAAAAATAACTTCAAATAATTTTAGTATTATTTTTATATTATATGGTGCGAGTACATACGAAGATCCTTTGACGAAATTACCAGTACGTCTTGTTTAACGTGACCAGCCACCGTACCAACGGCTTCAATTAGACCGTGACACAGATCATGCTCGCTTTCATATCGCGACCACGTGAATGTGTTTAAGTAAACGTACGTACAAATGTGACGCGCCTTCATTTAAATAGAAATATATTAGAACAAAGCAAACAGTTTTCGTTCACCTATTTATGTATAGGTCTAGAACGAGAACGGAAGAAAAATTCTTATGACGCATTAAATGCACAGATGTTAGACAATCACTTGTCTTACGTTTTGTAATAACTGTGCGTCATCATTATTGTAGTTTACATTATATATACAGATATTTACTTAGAGTTCCATGTTAGATATCGAGAACAAATACTTTCACCGAGTAAGCCACCTGCTAAGGTACTTAATGGCCCTTGTATCACTCGCAATTCCTATTTCGTCTTGTTGCAAATTGTGTGCGTGAAATTAAATTGACATATAATTTCTATGTGCAAATTGAAAATTGCGTGAATAAATTTATACGTAATACTTAACGTATGAGAAGGTTTCCCAAAAACGTCATTAATAAACAGGTTTTTACTATAATCGAACGTTTTCTAACGATTCCATAATGCGGCGAGGCCACTATTTCTATTGCATATTTATTATATTATAAAAACGGCAAGTTAAATAATTAAATATATAATATTATTTTATTACAAGTACACGTGCACAGTTCAACGTACAATGTCAAGGCGGAATAGGTACTGTGGTCGCACTTTATGTAATTCTATTGTGAACTTGTCATAAATACGTTTACGACTTCGCGACAGAGTATTTATTACGCGATCGCATCTGCATTTTAACGGATATTATTTAATAATATAACATTAATTGATTCGCTTCTAACAATGAAAGATCCACTCCGACCTAATAAAACAAATGTGCCCTTGAAATTTAGGATTGTATAATTATTACAAGTGTTAAATAATGAACTCATTGTGAGGTAAAAATAAAAGTAGGCCACGTTCACGCACACAGTGTTCTGGAATTAACAATCCACAGTCCAAATAGTTGAAGTGGTACGCTAGTTTTTTCTTTTAATGTGACATTTATATGTAAAAACATTATGGTATGTGATTTTAAATGTCCGGTGCATACAATACATTTCTTTCACGTCGTGATTACGTAACACGTGCATTATGACGCACCAAAGGCTTAGTGAAACAAAGAGCATTTATGGGTTCAACCGCATAATGCATTGCCAGTAACTTTGAAAGTATTTTGTTCACTGTTACTGTAATAAAGTAAACACGAGCGGGCTAATACGTCCTTTGTGTAACTGTTCTTTGTGCAAACAATATCATTCATACGCAGTTAGTTAGTATAAATGACTGCGTATATCATCTCTTGTAAGAATTTCAGTAAGTGAGTCCCACGCTCGCGTGTCAACCTTGTAGTGACGGCCAAAGCTCGTGGGTGGACCGGAGACGCATTGTTTCTCACCTACTTATCTTACGTAACAGCAGTTTACTCAAAATTTAATAGTACACTAAAAAATTTAACTAGCTCTAAGAACGTGGACCACGAGGAAATTTTATTACTACGTTTTTTTTTTTTTTTTTTTTTTTTTATGTTATAGGAGGCAAACGAACAGACGGCCCACTTGATGGAAGGTGGTTACCGTCGCCCATGGACATCCGCAACAAATATGTTGTGGATGCGTTGCCAACCTTTTTTTTTTAGGGATAGGGAAGGGTGGGAATAAGGAAATACAAGGAAAGGTTGGGAAAAGGGAAAGGACGTGTTTACCTTGCAGTGTTTAAAAACGTTATAGTAAAATTATTGACTTAACAATTATATTTTATTTTTTGTGAAATCATATGTTGCATTTGTGAAAATTTATTGATTATTATCAATCAAAATCTAACGATCTATAAGTTCATTGCGAAATATGGGTATGAGAAATCCTACGCAAAAGGCAAGTAGCGATTGCTTATTATAATTTTGTGCAACAATAGCTTGCCCCAGACTTGTTGTCGCCGGTGAAATTATCACATGAGTACTTGGCAACCACACTGATTACCAATCAGCAACACAAAAATATACTTTATTTTGAAATATATCGAAGAAGTAAAGTCATTAGTTACCCACGTGTTAACCTATTGACATTTTTTTAATGACTATTATGATTTTTTATCCCAATAGAAGAGATGAGAGTTCATTATGAATTTAGATAGAAATACTTAAAAAACAATGGAGGGTGGTATCCAATATGGCGGATGTAATCGGAGAAGTCATTTTGCAATTCACTAACGTCGATTATTGTTCAGCATTAGTGTAATCTTTCCCTCGTCAGCACGCGGATTATCTTCACGAGGGTCGGTAACCTCCTGCTCCCGACACATGCGATCGGAACATGAACCAGTTCCCGTGAATCACGTATGCCATGGACCACCCACTTGAACCTGTACCCCAAAAACGTCCGCACCACTTGGAACAAGTCGAAAATCATGTGACAACAAGATTGAATATGTCATGTCATGTGTAAAATTTTAACGAACCATTACTAAACGACCTTCGAGACTTAGCAACGAGTATTATTATGAATAGATGCAAAATCTGTTGTTGCTGAGTGTAGGAGTGACGCCAGCTGGCAGACCTTGAATAAGGACGCATCTATTATAGCGAAGCAAGGCCTTGTAAGATTTCTGTATGCACCTTACAAAAGATATAATTATAATTTTTGTTTCATATTGTCACACGGTTTGACTTACCCGTAATGTAAATGTAAAGAACAAAAGTCTTCAGTCATATTCCGCTGTACGAGTGTCGATGTATTAAGCGCTCGCTGATGTATTATCCTTTCCGAGAATTAATGAAATATCGTGGTAGTTGTTAGTCACAGCCATTATTCTTGCATTAGTGTTTCCTACAACAGAGCTTGCAATAAATGAATAATTAAATGTATTGCATTTTGCCCCTGACCAACGTTATGTAAAGTTTGTATTGCGACTAACAGACAGCAATGCAATTGCTTGTTATTATATGGGAACAGTAACTATATACTATCCACACCTATTGAGTCTAGATAAGTAGCAGCTGGTGCGACCCTGACCTTATGTATTATAAAATGATAAATATTATATATGTATTACAATATATTATATATTATGAATCTTGTGGAAGTATGTTTGTTACAAACACTAACTTCATGTCATAAATCATTGACTCTGGTAATCAACTTTCATTTTAAAGTGACAAATAAACCATAAATATTTTTGAAAATGAACCAAGGATATAGCTGGCTTATATTACGAAGTTTAACATCTATGAAATAACGACATATACATTACAATGTATATTTTTTTAAACAAATAATAAACATATTAATCGCAATTATACATATAATAAGCAATAAAATATTCGACCTTGGCTTTAAGTATTATCTTCCTGAAAGTGCCTTGAAGATGTTGTAAGGAAATGTCGATAAGGAAAATTTCGAGATAGAACTGCAACGAAGAAAGCACGAACGCTATCGACTGGCACGTGTAACCTCGGACGCATAAAATATTACATAAATTTTAACAGTACATAAAATATTGCCTTTCTTCAAAGATAATGTACGGAACGGTAAATTAAAGATAAGATTTAGATTACCCGGGTTTACTTAGAGGTCGTATGAATCTGAGTGCATTTTGGTTGCATGTACAGCGTCATAATTGAATGCTATTCAGCTATTTGAACACGGAACCTTTGTATGAACAAATGAAGGTCATTTCTGAAGCTTCCCTGTTTGATTAATATTATAAACATAAGCTATCTGTTATGTTTTTAGCATTCGCGTGTTGTGTCTATTCAATCAAATATGGTATTAAACTTTTTGTAGATAAACACTATATTCTAATGCAAATTCTACCGTTAAAGATAACTAAGTAAACACGATGTTTCCTCATACTTATAGCGTTATATAAAAGTACATATATATAGAGACAAATAATTTACATACTTCGCGTTTATTTATTTGACACGTTTTGATCAAGTTTCGTGTCTAATAATGGATTTATGATATATATTTTCTAAACTATTATACTTATACGTCAACGTCAATGTTCGTGATTGGCAGAAGGTCACATTATCGCTACATACTGATAAAATAAGCCAATTTCTTATCTGGAGAGACAACAAATGACTTCCTCGTTTACCCATGGCCATTGTTTAGTCTAAGATTATTAAAATTGCTTATCATACGTCGTTAAAGTAATCACAATATTATCTTATAAAAACTTCATTAAAAAAACTTTACTTGTAATCAAAATATATATTTTTATCTAAATTACATAACGGAGTCGCAAATTGAATATAAAACATTTGTTTCTTAAACAATGCAATATAATGCCCAGTAGTACTAATTATTTTATACTTGTAATACAATAAGTAATCGGAGTATCGTGTTATATCTACAATATAACTAAGTAGATAAAGATTTGAGATATGTATCTAGTAGGAGATAAGGGTTTTCTGATGTCTCTGGCAATGTTCACGTGGTTGTAGTACAGTGATTCTGCACGCGCGGTCCGCGTGACTTATACAAATACAATATGTTTAACGTTAATTAATGATTTATTTACTTAATTTCTATTAAAATATTTCGAACATCCCGTCCATCTTGCTTCCTGACGTTCGACAACTGTTCAAGAACAATCGAACGTTTATAATCATCTATTTCTTTAACTTCATGGTCAAGATTTCATCAAACAGTGACGTAACTGTAACTATTGTTTCGTATTTTCTTATAAACAATCCACGCTCAGTTTATTGTAATGCGCGACCAATCTTCTCATAGATTTTTTTTCATATCGTTATTTCGTTATCAAAAAAGAACTGTTAGGAGCGCGTTGCGAGGAACGTTTCGGAGCGTAGTTTCAAGGCTCCCACAACATTGCGTTGTATTGTGCCAGCGTGTTTCAACACAAACGAATAAAGCGGCGGCCTTCGCGGTCTATATTTAAAACGCGGAAGACATTGCGGTACTAGAAGCGCGCAGATCATTCCCCGCCTCGTAAACAGTTAGAGGAGTAAATGGCAGGGAACTGGTCGCTCGCATGATAGTCCGGCTCGCACCGGCAGCACCCCTCACGTTATGCGCGAATGGATCGTGAACTACCTGTATTACATTTATTTCATATTATTAAGTCCATTTAAAGTCTTAATAATACAATTAATAGTTTTTATATTAATATTACCTTCATTTTTACGCATAGTATCCTGTTCTAAATGTATTTATTTCTATTTCAAAATCATATATATCCGTAGTGGAATAAATTTGTATAAGCGGAATAATATGTAAATAACCTATTTTGTAGTACGGATTTAAATTGTTTTACGACGGCCGAGACGAGTTGTCCGCATAAATTAAATACCGTTAATGACCCTTAACCTATGTGTGCGAGCAGGCACTACTTCCTACACGTAGATTTAATACGCATAACAATTAGGAAGGTTCGTATGCGAAGCCTTGGCTTTTTAATATGCGTTAGTTTGTTTTGTTCCTCGACACTAAACTCTCATTATTGTTCCACGCAACAGATAGCATTGAATAGAGATCTTTTAACTTTAAAATAAGGACAAAATGGACGCTCGGAATAATATCAATGTGGGTCAGTTATGTGGGTCACACACTTGATACACGTTAAACATGATATAAAAATTTGGAGCTGACAATCTCTACAAATCAGACGTCATTATCGTCGCTCGTTACATATTAAATATCATACATATTATTCGATTTAATCGATGCTTTATTACCACAGATTATTAACATCGAACATCGTAGGATGACATCATGGTGAGTAATGGTTTGTCAAGCTATGGGCCTCTTAGTGACAAAAGGAACCTGTTCGATAATTATCGATCGAATATGTTACTAGAACGGCAGCTGTAATAGCTTATTCAAGTACTGTGGGACCGCGTTGTGCAATAACGTAAATAGGTTACATCCATACTGGCGACCTAGATACAACGATTGTATTAGGAATTGGAGTCCTTTGTGTTAGAGCGTCAAACCGTGATACTATTTAAATAAAGCTACCGACTAGAATGAATTATGCAGTTACAGCTCAATATAGGAGTTCATCTATACGTGTATGTATATTGTTCAATCGAAAATGTGTATGTCGTGAATTTTTAACTTTACATAGGTCGAAAGATGGTGTCGCCGTGTTCCGCGCGAACTTCAGTTTTGTTGTCATTCCGTCTCGCTCTCCGGGTCATCGGCCGACACCACACGACTCCCTCGTTCTAATAACCCTGTACATATCGGTGGCTCGATACATTATCATACTTTTTTTTGTAATACACATATTTCTGCGTGCATATATCATTAAAGTTACATATATTGTATGAAGATGGCGGCCGGTGTAGGCGTGGTGAAGTTCACAAACCCTATCCTTACGACCTTGGTGCGGTCAAAAACATCGTCCTATAAGCCGTTGACCAGTCACCGGAGACCGACGGCCGTCCGAAACAAATCTTGCTTTTTATCGTTCACTTCGAACTTTTATATGATCAATGATCACATTAGGCGATTATTTCTACCACTGCGCACAATTAATAAGACCGAAGGAGTAGCTCGGCTCGCGTGCCTCACGCACTACATTAAAGGTAATTAAATAATTAATTCCTTTTTAGCCGATAGTCCTCCAACTCGCTCTATGAACTCAAATTTCACATGTACGAAAATATAAATATACAGTAGAGAATAAATAAATACATTAATTCGTGCGTAAAGGTAACAGTTTTATACCGTGCTGTAATGACGAAGGGCGAAATTATATCGTAAGTTCTACTTAAGTTGAATGTAAGTCTGTCTGATAGGTGGAGTCAATGCGTTTTTTTAACCGGCATCGGCAGGGCATTCACACCGATCTCGGGGCAGTGCCCGTTCTTGACAGTTCAAATGTTTACACTTTACATCTCCAAGGATCACTCGCTACTCACTTCAACCGATACCGAATTGAAAATGCTCACCGGCCGACATCAGATATACAATGATGATGCGAATTGCCGTTAGCTACCAAATATTCTATCATAGAGAACTTGTCTAATATTCAACTATATATATTCATATTTATATATGACATATTACAATACAGACGGAATATATGTGTAGTTGAAATTCAACAAATTTTGATTATGTCGAATAACAATGACTTTCTCGTTATAAATATTAAATATTTATACGTAATTGAAAACAATAATATTTGCGTAGCTAGCTATATATAGTGGCTAATGTCACCGGCGCGGCTCGAACAATAGCAGGCAGTTCATCAGACGCGATAATGAGTGGTCCTACGGGTTCAACAAACTTAACATTTAAAATGTAAAATAAACTTCATACTAAAAATCTGTAACATTGAATTCCACGTGAACAATATTAATAAATACAGTTGTTTTAAACGTTTGAATATATGCCAAATAACACGAGAAAATCGCGATGAACTAATGGCAGCTGCTTAATACGTATTTAACCTTAGATTATTTTAAGTTCGGTGTAAATGCTTTATAATTTTATACAGCGGGATTGTTGATCGTTTTCTGCGTGAGTAGAAAAAAAGTGAAATTGTAACAAGACAGAACCAGTCGGGGTCGGTGACCAGGGAGGCGTCTTCTCAGCCATCGTCCGCGTCTCACAGGCTGATTCATCATTATTGCTAACTCCTCACCTTCGCAGACGGTGCCTGGATCTGTGACTCACTACGCTCTTTTGTCACTAGTTTTTTTAGCAACACGACAAGTTATTATTTCTATTTCGATACTTGTTCTCTTCCACACTTATGATATATTAATAAATAATCTATTAATCAATATTTTTAGATAATAATATTGAATTGAATTTAAAAATTATAAATCCTTAACGTCAAAATTTCAATTCAGAGATCGGTTGAATTTGGATATGAATTTTTTTCTAATGATTAAAGATTGAAGCCAATCATTTAAATCTCTGCTAACAATTTAATGATTCTCAGAATTCAATTAAGAATATCCGACACTAAAAAAACTAATATCTGTTAATATATCCAATCAAAGTAACATTACAAAATTCATATTTCTCGGAAAAGAATGAGGCAACGAACGCGCAGTTTCTTGCCTTGGCGGGCGTATTTCATGTTCTTTTTGTACCGGCTTTGAAATGTAAGGGTGAATTGAGGAGAGGGGGTCATCGGGACCTGGGACTTGGGAGCGGAGTTCAATGTATCACCTCACCTGTAGCTTTACATCGCAACCATAATAAACATATACATTACGTATCAATTCACCATTTATTTACAACAATATAATACGTATACTTTTATCAGCTTCGACTTTAATAAATAAAAATAATTAATTTCAAATAGTGCTTACTTTTAAAGTTTTATCGATTATACAGTGAAGGTTAATTGTAATCATTGTATGAAAGTTTTGTCAACTATGAAAACAAACTCGGTTGAATAGTGTAGTATGGGGTAGCGTTATGTAGACTCGGTTCAGTGACCGACAGCCCCCTTCCATGGGGTGCAGCATTCGATATTGGATGTTCACTAACAGGTATAGTCTTTCTTATTGTTACTGAGATCTCATACATTCTTTGTCCATAAAGCTAGTCAAATACTTACAATATGGAGAGCGTTAATGTACGTATTAATTCATATGTTTACATCTGTTCATCGGAAATGTCTTTATTAGTTCTTATTTTAAACAACTGGCATTAAGTATTGTTTGTAAACGTTCAGTATTTTAGTAGGCTTCGTTTGTTGACAAAGCGTGTTTTGAAACTTGCGCCGAGCCGGCCACGTGAAACGTGACCAAACTTCTTGTGTCGGTTTCCTCATCTCATTATCACACACAACAATGAATATTATATCAACGTTTATAATACAAATTAATTTATTCTTATTATCGTATTTCATACATTTTAATAATTTTGTTATTACTTTTTTTAACTACGTATCTTATAATCCGTTAGAGTATTCAATGTTAATAAATATTATTTTATTCATACGAATTATTCTTTAACATCCAACTTAAAAAACACTATTAGAATATTACGTATTTCTAACTAGTTTCTGTACAGTTGTCAATGTTAGTTGTAGGAAGTTTTATATTGCATGACTATTCAGTGGACTTCCTCATTTTCGCTGAGAGATGTTGCATAATTAACTTTTATAAGTGTCGGCTAGGTGTCATTGTGGATTGCGGCACACAAAGACCACAGCAGGGCACGGTCCGACACGCCATGCAGTATTCAACGCATCTATGATAGCAGCGTCTTCCTCATACCTTATACAGTTAGAGCGGGATGGCACCAAAACAACCTATCTAGTCGCGTTGACTTGAAGTAAATATGTAGAAAGAAGGTCATTCTTACGGAATAGACTTATGTGTATTAGCGAGCTGAAAAGAGATGCAATGAAAACAAATCAATAAGTCATCTCGTTTCGCCGAAGAAAGAGACGGCGCAATAACAAACTAGCATTTAATGCTGGATCGCGTTACATACGGACTGTGATCGAATGTAAACCTTGTTCACCATGCATATGATATGAAATCGGTTGACAACATATTGTTTATCTGTGTTATACGCAATAGATCCTCTGTTCATGGAAGTTCCCGTTGTTAACTCGCAACATAGAGACTGTAGTATGTTGTATATACAAATAATATATTACGCAATAACATATTAAAAATGAGCCAATTAAAAGATACTTAAACATAAATTAGTTATAAATTTCGGAACTTAGGAACGTAATATGCAAACAGAATATTTCTTTTTTTGACGAACTGGCCGAAAACAAATTTCATATAATAAGAAAAAAATAAATTTAAAAAATATTCTTGAATATCGAATTCACGTTCACTGTCAAACCTTGCACTTTGCGACACTCCACCCTGTTGCTAACCACCCTCTGTCCTCGACCGAATGTAGTGGCTGCCTCCACGCTGACACGTGCAACTGCTGACCGACGTACATCTTATACCTTATACATTATCTATAAAGTTTTATTAAAAAAAAAACTTGTCAAAATTAGAAAACATGTCAAAATTTTGACGTCCGTTGAAGTGTCAACGTGATAAAACAATCTAATCGTGGCTATGTAAGAGGTCTGTCCGGGCCGTGTGTTTGTGTCTTAGCCAACTAATACATGCACTATATTGTCTCTAAATAAACATAACTTCTGTGCCACATCCAACTGCAAGTGAACACATTGAAAAGATCCGGCACGTGTAAGCGTCTGTACAGCACACTGACAATATAGTAGGCGGCTATGAGATTATAGAGTCTATGTTCATAGTGCAGTCGCTAAAGTAGAATGGAGATATTCTTAATCGCTATTTAATGTGATGATTGTTTAAAGGTAATAAAATATTATGTAATACCGTTATTAATTATAAATAGGTACTGACGGATGCGTTTTATTATAATAGATCAATAAAATATGTAATATAATCTTATGATTTGTGTATTCAAAGCGGGAACTGATATAGAGTATTGGCAAACCTAGTTCCTGCCCTGTATCGGAGGTCTGAACTAGGTCAGTAGTGCACTGAGTGGCTTCAGCGCCCTCACCCCTCGTGATTCAAACACGAACCATTCAACATTAGACCGAATTTTAATTTACGTCATCATTTATGATTTCATAGCACAAATGAGTACATCAGTACTTCATTCTCTAGTGATTCATTATCAGGATGCAACAATATATAATACTATATCAATATTTCCATGTTTTGTAATAAATTTTTCAGTCTTATTAGCGGCCTTGCAATGAGTTCTGTGAAAGGCGAGCTACATTTTATGCGACATTTACATTTGTGGAGTTACAAAGATAATTAACATTGTTTTTTTTCCGCACTTTATTAAAGCAAATATATTGAATAGCTATTTATATGCAGTAGTTATAGTCGACTTTTCATTATTAACTTAGCAACAAAGAACCTTAGGACGTCCTCGATATATGAAACTGCAAGCGGGCGTACACCATCGACTGAGTCATTCGTCCCCATTGTACTCACCAGCTATCTGTAATGGTTCATTGCGACAATTTCATCATAACCCAAATAAAATTGATCGCTCAGCCAAATATAATTTAGACTCTTAATACGTTAATTTATAATACTGTCGTCACGAGTGTGTTTGATACACGTGTAGACAAAGGAATATCGCAACCTTAGCAGACCACCCTTGGCCGTGGTACTGTGACCTAGATGGAGCCCCCCCTCCCTGCCCCCTCTTCCCCTCCCCGGCCTCCTCGCACCGCTGACCTGACCCAGATCCAAATGCACTTGATATAGCTTCAGTTCCCTGGCGTCAAGCGCTGCCACTCCGCCCGCACACCCCAATTCCGCGTCCCTGACACGATCTTTTGTGCAACCCACTTATATATCCGATCGCAGAACATGAAATATAATAAAAACCATACAATTATATCGTAAATACAGTTTGTAAACGAGGAGACTGGATTTCTGCATTTAATAAGCTCAAATCGACCGGTCGTATCGGTTATAAACGCGGCATTGGTACGAAGGTCAATTTGAATCTTTGCCGAACTGGACTACTTAGTGTGTTAGTTCTCTCTTATTCTACCGATAAATATTGATTTTAGTCTCGTACCATGGCATTCGCATTGTATTACATACTCACCTTGCCATGTGAATTGTTTACACGAGCGGGGATTTGTTTCCGCTTTGCATTTAGATAACTAGTCACTATCATAGCCTGCATTACAATTACTAGCAAATGACAATGTATTCAATTGAAATGTCACTGCTTGGAGTGTACACGTTAAAGCTTTCAGATGTAACATTTGTAGGCTATTTATTCACATTGTGTCCGTATTACCATAATCGAGATATGTATCATAATATTGTGTATAAAGAGAGGCGTATTTTGAAAGCCGTTAATTGATTACGCATGGTCTATTTGAATGTCGTGTGAAGCTGTCGGCCGGTGGTGCAAGAGCCATTTGGTAACTACACCGCAAGGCCGCGACCTAGAGCCGCTTCCGCACCGTACATTGTAGCTCGATTTAACTTATGACCGTTTCGCTATTGGATCTTCCCATAGATACACTAGCGACTACCCACTACCGACAACCTTGCTCTATATTCGTCTTGCGTTATTTAGCAACACTATGTTTATATTAAACATAATTCTCTTTGTTACAGATCAACAGCGTCGTGTTCGAATGCACTTGGAGAGGTTGCGGTTACATCACAAACACATGCCTTAAAGTCGAAGCACACATTCGTCAGACGCACTTAGGGTGAGATATATCATTTGTTGACGCATTACACGTGTACGAAGATTTATTTCTATCGCATATTCATATGAACAGTGAGACATATTGAACTTTAATCCAACAACAAAATGTGGACACAGTCCGGCTGCATGCGCTGGCGGTTGCCAACGCTAATTTGCATGAAATCGATAATGCATAGATATTTCGCTTACGTTACAACCACGCGCATGACTTCAATTTCATAATACGATAAAGCGCTTAATAATATACATAATCTAACATTAAAACGTAAATCACGAACCAACGATAACAATGTAAATAATAATTTATAAACTGCACTTTAGATTTACGTGCGAAGTCGATTACAACGATGCAAGTATTTAATATGTTTTATTACGTACAATGAGTGTTAGATATTAAAAGTATTAGATAATTATGTTCGAAATATTCAGTGTAATTACGAGGCCGGCCCTTGTGACCCGGAAGCGTATAGGCTTCGTGACAAGGTTGACTCTGCATGCCTAGTTCTGAAGCTCGTTACACACAAGGTCACATCGCTCGCTCGCTTCTTACGTAACAGCAAACTGCTACTGTTTTAATATTGATATCATCTTTTAAATACATTTTTACGTTCTTAGCTATTCATTTGTTCTATATATTTTTTTATATACTATTATGCAAATAAAATCTTAGCAGGATACTTAGTTTTTTGTTTCTACCAGACCAAAGAAGGAAGGCGATCATGAGGAGGAATTCTACTACACGGAGCGCGAGGTCGCCGCGCCACCACCGACCCTCTCCCATCGGGACATGTGTCGACCTCCGCACGAAGACCCAGACTATCAACGACAGCTCGTGGGCTCATACAGGTAAAATATAAAAAACAAAACCTACAACATTGCAACTTCAATCTGTTCAGAGCCAATTTAAAGTCTTTACGGGAAATGTGATTGCTATATCTATATTCGAATCTATGACAGCACAATAATGGTCCATTAAACATATTCCAGACAAGGTCTTCTGTCTACTCTGCAGAATGGTGCAGCGAGACCTATAAGCATTCCCGTAACGCATTCCTGGTCAAGCTCACAATCACCGGTACGTTCAGATTCAAAGCAATGTATTACAGTACATAATTTGAACTGGTTGTGAATATAAATTGTTAATGTTTCCAGAAACATCTAAAGATCTCGGGCGTGAGCAGTTCCCCGGGAAGTCCCGGTCGCCGGCCTCGCTCGGACAACAAGAAGTGCCGTAAAGTGTACGGCATGGACCAACGCGATCTTTGGTGCACTCAGTGCAAGTGGAAGAAGGCTTGCACACGTTTCGGTGATTAGCGCCTGAGGCCCTCGCTCGCCTCCGTGCGCGCTGTGATGAACTCTAAGTGAGCGTTCTGCCGCCAACAGCGACATGCTGTGTCAGCGTCTCTGATGCTACAACAGGGACGAGTATTCCTTAGCGAGGACTCTAACGTTCGTCGGACGTGATGGTTCTAGGATATAAACGGAAAGAATATATATATTGTTAGTTGAGTTTTTATTAAATTATACGGAGTAAATATATTATAAATATTTTGAATAGATGTAAAGTTTAAGGGAGACATATTTTTTTTTCTCTACGAATGTGACTCGATATTTTGACTGCAAAATGGACATTGCCCACGTATTTTTGTAACGCGGTAGGATTGCCTTTACCCGACACGCACATATAGTGTGTCGCTCTCGGTCAGAGACTGTGAATAATAGAATTAAGATACTAGGCTTAAGGTTAGACTGACACAATGCGAGGCGGTGTGAGAACAATTGTTAGCTGTACATGAGTTACGTGCGCTTACCTTGTATATTAAATATAGCAGTTGGATTTAAGACACACTATTTTTACCGGATAATAGCTTTTAATGGAAAAATCAGATGTGGTTGGACTACGGTGAGCAAAAAAATATATATATCAATTAAATTCTATAGCAAACAGTTTTCCATACATCCAGCCTTCATCTTCCTAGTTTTGCTATAACATTAGTATATCGATCACTAACGATTCGAAACATATCTGTGAATAATCATAAATTAAACTCTATTTAGCACACAATAGCGTTCAATATATTATTTTTTGACATATCTATAGATAACTATTGTATGAATTTTTCGATGTTATTATAATGTATTACGTGATAATAATAGATGGATAATACACAAGTAACTGTATATTATCAACATAATATATATTCTTCTAAAATGTTATTAATCTTAATCTAACGAGCAATACCTGTTGGAGGCTTCGTCGTTCGTGTAACTGTATGGAGTCAGTGTATTCCGTCCACGTCATCGGGAGTGCTTTATGTAGCTTTTTGCTAACAATTATTTTCATACCGCCATCGACGGACGCCGAACGCGTAACACGTACTCGACTTGGTGTTATAGCATTCCAGTCGCGATAAATTAGTGATGTTTATCACTTATATGTTTTGACTGAATTAATAGATAATAATTAATAAAAATGAAACATATTGTAATAAAACGATTAGTGCTGTAAGTTATCTCAGATTCGACTAAAAGACTACACAAATTTAGACTTAAAATTTTTATGAACATATCTTTATGGTATACAAAGCTGGTCCTACGAACAAGGAGACAATACTCAATTTGATGCATCCAGCGCCGACGAACTGAGCTAGGGTTGTCACCAGCTTACAGTTGAGTGGCAGCCCTGTTGTATAAGCCCTGGTTATGACGAGAACTAAGGATACGGAGGAAATACCACCAGTGTGTGAACACGGACATATTGTGATAAAATTTGACATAATTCTACGGGAATACGCAATGTTCAAAGTTTATTATATCAAGGACTAAGAAGCTGTAATGATGTCAGGTGACGAAGGGTCACCAGTAAGTTCCAGCCATGGAAACCAGCGGGACAAGATGTGATGGTAATATAAGGACGGCGATTGCAATCTGCAATATTATTTGTTAAGTATTATTATATAATTATATTTGTAAATAGATAAATATATTGAGAATTATATTTAATATATTATATGAAATAATTGAAACGTATTTCGGATATGTACATAAAATATTGCTGTATTTACTGTTACTTAAATTCGCTATGATTTTCATTTCTTATAGTTATATGTATGTAACCTGTTAACGATCAGCGCGGTATTTCGAAGTTAAAGATTTTATTACGAGACGATGTTTATATATTATTCTATATAACGATAACTGTTCTAAAACATTTCCACATATTAAATTCGTCTGTGCCAATTTTTTTAAATATTAGTTCGCTGTGAAGTATTCATAACAGTTCGTCGACTTCGCACTGATAATGTTTGGTGCTTGTTCTCACAGAAAACACAATGTTGCCACAAAATAATTTTAATAGTTTAAATTTGTCTGATATATTTTTAACAAACAGCAGTTTTTTCTTCCTAAGAAAATTTTACTTTCTTTTTGGTGCTAAAAAAATATTCTTTAAGTTCTGGATGTAAACTATTTTTATTTAATCGGAAAAAAATTCGAGTGTTAAAACTATAAAATATCACATAAACGCAAATACGCAAGAAAATTCTCTAATTCGTTGTAAAAATTTCGTTTCTATAACAAACAGTATGATCGTCATACTCAGTTGAAGTGACTCTTTAGTTACATATCTTTTAAACAATGTGTACCTGCGATTATTACCAAATATATATGTGAATTATAAATATTTCATTGCAATAATGGTTGTGATAATACATCATTATAAAGTGGTTGTAAGCAATGATATGGAATATATTTGTCGCAACGAAACTCCGCGCTCACCGAACTAAATCACTTTAGTATAAGGCTACAACAACTCAGCTAGCGATTTGACAACTGCCATATTGTAAGGAGCTAGACGTAATGCTATAGATTGTAAACAAATAATTAGTGAATAGTGATATATTAAGTTGAAGTCATATTATAGTATTTAATAATTTTAAGTACAACAGAAATTATATTACCTTCGTTATGAGTATGTTTTAAATGAAGCATGCTTGTAAAGATAATCATGAATTTAGAAAAGCATACAAGCCGGGAGGAACGTACCAAACAGAAGTAGCCTTATTGCCGTAGAAAGAATATCGTCCTCTTATATTTTCTAATTTCTACGACAACTTCCACTGCGTCGTCTAAAATTACTATAAAATCGATATTAAAATTCTTCAAAATTCATAGTCAAGGTTCTTATAGCTTTTAGATTGTTTGATTTTCTTCCAAAACTATGGATTAAATTGTTTAATTTTTGCATCGCTTGCTTGCTTTTTTAATTAACCATCGGTTTTGTTCATTTGACTTTGTAGGTACCAAAACAATATCGAAGTATTGAAATGCCAGCGTCAAATGGTCTTACGAACCAGCTGGGTTAAATAATATATAGATCTCAATTTATTTTGAAGCTATTAGATTTATGTCAAAGTAATATATTAGTAGTACCGTTCTCTTAATACTTTGATATGAAATGTATGTTTTAGTTTTTTTTTTAGTTAAAGACAATTTAACTTCATGTAAGGAGTTTGTATATAGTTTATATTAATTTATTTAGCCAAAACTTTTGCTCAATAATGTATACACTCAACACCAAAGTCATAATAATAAAAAAAAAATATGTATCACGTCAGTACAAAAGGAAGCATAATCGAGGCGGTACGTCTCTAGTGAAAAATCTCATTAACTTGCCGGATATACTTATCTACATAATAAAACACTTATTATTTTTATATTAACATCACAGTGGCATTCAGACTTCTCCGTATCTCAATAATATCGGAGTGATCTGACAGAGGCCCTAGTCCCGTCTAAGTCTATAAAGTTTTCATTTTTTATCGGTTTAAGTGTTTTCATTGAAAGAGTGTATTTATTTTAAGTATTTTAATATAATAAATGTGCTGATATGTTTATATTTTAATATTGCATCCGTCTACACGTATAGTTATAGTAAGGTAGATAATTTTTTTTTTTGTTATTAGGATATAATTACATGTACTTAGCTTATGGGTACAATATTTATTTTTCTATCATAATGATATCATGGAAATTTTGTTCTCAATAGATCCGTAGATTAAAAGAAGCTATGCAAATGTCTAAATAATATTCGATGACGTAATACATTTCACTTCCAATTTATTTCAGAGGAGTCAATTAAAATTTATCCTAAATTTAATCATCTTCATAAAATATACTAAAACGCTTGTAACGTGTCTTCGCTACATGAGATCATCTTATTCTTAATGGAGATACAACCTGCCCAATTGGAAGTGTTCTTGTAGTTTGTAGTGCCTAATTCTAAATGTGTATGTAACTGAATCTTTATAATTTGATCCACTATCATGTATAGATGTAAGGAACGTAAAGTTGTACCACATCAGTGTATTGTTTTAAGAATATGAAGCGAAATTATCTATAGACTATATATAAGTTGAAACATTGTAAGCTTTGAACATATATTGATTGAATATAATATGTATTTAGATATATCAAAATATCTTTTTGTATTAATTACACTACGATGTAAAGTTTATGAATAATATTGTAATTATTTTCTATATAATAATTATGTTTTGAATTTCAAATTTGATTGGTATTAATTACTCCAAAACTAGAATAGCATTGTATGTGGGCAATTAAATTTACGAAAATATGTCTCCTGTTCGATATAAGTAGGTATCGTTGTAAGCACCGTGTAAAAACTTTTTGAACTCTGAAAAGAACTATACGCATTTTAATAATGGTAATGTCGTTAGGAGATTTCTTGTAAATTTATGCTCTATATGATTACAGTGAAAGTAAACAGTCCCGTTGCAAATTTGTTGAAATGCGTCATGGATTCTCAAGTACTAGCCAATTTTAACGTGAATTATTTCTTAACGGAAACTGTTGTTTAATGAATTGTCAGCATTTTTAGATGACCCCGGATGTATTGTTATTTTTATTTTATTTTATTATTGTATTTTTTCGGCGATATATATATGTAAGGTTGACGTAGCGTCTACAGATCGGTTTCGTGGTTACCATTAGTTGTAAGTATATTAAATAATGATCAATCGAAGGGTATTGTTTGAAATGTTTTACTCCGGAATGATAGACATATTTCCATGTTGTCAATATCACAGCAGTTTTTACCGACACTGTCAGCTCAGTATCGTAAATTCTATATATTTTTTAAAGATAAACATTTATATACAAAATGATAATAGTTTTTTAATTCAAAATGTAACTGAACCGGATAAATGAGTGTTATAATGAAACGCATTGACTAGCTGGCAGTTGATCTACTGTGATATTAATAATTCTATTTATTAATCTTCTAGACTATTATTTATAAATTTGAATGTTGAATAGAAGTGTTATATTGACAGACATCGTGTTAGTTTAGGAAATGTTATTTTACACTGAACCTATATAAAAGGTCCAGGTTGTGTTCCAAATTATTGATTTTTTTTTAATTTAAAATATTATATTTGTGCGTTTTTTTTTTGTTATAATATTGCAATGAAATCATATATGTAATAATTAATTATGGTATATTTTTTATGAATGTGAACATCCTAATAATTGTGATCATCACAATATATTACGTTTCGTGGTATCAGTATATCATATCTTTCACTTGAGCTCTCTAAAGACAGGTGTTGTGGCTGACGCGATTATTATTATGTTACAGATTGAAATGAATCAATTGAAAAAGATTGAATGAAAATTGTAACCATTCACAATAATAATAATGCAATTTTCGACAGTCTTTAGCAAATTAGTTTTATTTTATCTATTTCATAGACTATGTCTGGATTATTATACCTCATTTAATTTTAGATTGAATTTATATCTTGAAAAAAATATAAATGTCGATTATTAGTAATAACTGTGCATTATTTCCCAGACCTTATATGAGAATCTTTTTAATAACGTTATTTACCTACATTGTGGTATTGTGTAAATAAAATTCCTTTGTATTAAAAACATGACGTCTTCGGTTTCTTATTCTTGAAATGTGTAATGATAATTGTATGGAACAACTCTTGACCTTATATTTATTTGATCATGTTATTAATTGATATATATTTACAAATATAAACTTTAGATTAAAACAACTGTTTTAATTTATTTAAGAACATCACTAAGTAGTCCTCGAATTTCCCTATATTAGACATAAGAGAGCAAAACTTATCTATACGAGGGTCAAACTGAAAGTTCTTAGAAAATTCAAAACTGATTACATTAGCCAGTTATTAGTTTTATTATATCTTTTCAAAATATTGTGCATTCACATCAATACACCGCTGCATGCGATGGAACCACTGGGAAAAACACTTTGCCCACTCGTCGCCCACCGATTCTTCAGCATTCATAAACCGCTTTCCTTTAAGTTTTTCTTTAATTTTTGGAAATAAATAAAAATCACAAGGCGCGAGGTCGGGGCTATACGGCTGGTGACCCAGTAATTCAACGTTTGAGACATCAAAGACAGCCAAATAGTCGAGCGTTCGCTTGCCGGTGTGCGACGAGGCGTTGTCGTGGTGAAGGAGGATCCTAATGCGAGGTTGTTTCTCTCGAACTTTTTCCAAGACAAGTGGCAAACAATTGGTAGGGTACCATTCTGCAGAAACTGTTTTTTGATCCTCTAACACAATTGTTGCGAAATAACCTATCCTTCCAAAGAACGAGGCCACCATTTTTTTTCCCGCACTTCGATCTCTCTTCATTTTAGTTGGCAACTCCTCGAAAGGACACACCCACTGAGCAGACTTTCTTTTGGTTTCATAACAGTAAATCCAGCTTTCGTCACCTGTTAGTATGTCGAACACAGCATTTGGGTCACATCCATTAAATCTTTCAATCATTTTACGGCACAAATCCACAATATGGAGTTTTTGAGCCTCAGTCAGTATCCACCGGGCGCAAAGCTTCCTGACCGCTAAATGTTCGTGGAGGATTTTGTGAACTTGACTCATACCTATGCCTAAGCTTGTCCGAATCTGCTGATAGGTCACTCATTTGTCAGTCTCTATCATACGCCGCACAACACAGATGCTATCTTCAGTCGTCGCCGTAGAAGGCCATCCTTCACGTAAATCATCATTGAGATAAGTGCGACCACGTTTAAACTCATTAAACCAGTTGTAAACAGTCGCATGAGATGGGGCTTCATCTTGAAAGGCCAATCGTAGTCTATCATAACTTTCTTGTTGACTTAAATGACATCTAAAGTCATAAAAAATCATTGCACGAAAATTTTCTCTTGTTAAATTCATGTTGACGTGAAACAGACAATTTTCAATTTGCCGCAAAATCGTAAAACAAATGACAAATATATGAAATATATACTCAGTAATATTGGCAAAGAGTTCTATTTTCAAATTTTAGAATATTTTTTTTTATATTATTGTTTATAAGTGGCCAGTTCTAAAAACCTTCAGTTTGACCCTCGTAACGCCTCTATAGCCTACTAGTCGAAAAATTACTAGTGGTTTTTCCATTAATAACCACAAGTTAACGTATGTGTATATGCAAAATACTTCAACCAGTTGAAGCCTAAAAGCATTAAAAATACTTCTTCAAAATTTATTGTCGCGGAAAAAAAAACGTAAAGTTTTTTTGTACAAGATAATATTAGTTTGATTATTGAGAGAACAAAATGTTCAGGAGCCATATTATATTAAGGAATTTAATCTTTAAGACCACATGAAATTGTCAGTAATAGAAGTCAAACATGTTGAGATTACTTAAATTTGTTGAAAAGTAAGCCCGAATGTATTAAATAGTACGAAATCCATGAAAGAATATAAAATATTAAAGCAGAGAAAAGAAACTCGATAACAAAAAAAAATAAACTTTTCATGTTGCATTGCTTTCAAATTAAAACCACAAATTAAAGAGCTAGATTGAATGTTTTCGGAATAAAGTCTCAAATGTGAAAAAAGGGTAATGGATGATCGAGACACATATTTGTATATGACCACTCTCACTGAACAGTAAACCCTACGTTTTAATATCAAACGTTAAGTGTACTTTGGACTTTGAACCTAATTTATTTTAAAATATTCTTAGACTTACGGCTCTATGTCTATTCAGGTATGAATAAAAATTTTTCCTTGGGCTATAGTTCTATATGTTTCCTTACAAATTTTTTCAACAATAAAATATGACCGTTATAATTTGCACCCTCGGATAGATGTTGTCAATTATTTACAATTACATATTAGGTACTAAATTGATTATTCGTTGGTATTTTAATTACTTCAAAACTTCTCATTATTTTAGGAGTACCTATTTCTCATAAGTCAGGGTGTCATAATAATATTGTTTTAAGTTGTGTACCACGGAACATCAGCCTTTTTGAGACATTAATAACAGTATTGATATAGTCAAATAAATGAATAGATGAATAATGTAAGACAAAACTACCTTTCAGTGACAATGATGAAGATGAGACCTTTCCAGTCCGATCAAAAGTGCTATTTGTAATTTGTGCCCATATTACGTTTTATGGGTTAGCTTGTATAGCTATAAACCCTTTTAGCTTTCACAGCATCACCGAATAGATGATCTTACCTCTGGTCTCAGGGGTATTTCTAAGAGGCCGTACGTCACCTTAGGCTTATGACGTCTTTGAATGGCATTATTCGTACCTTCGGCCCATCATATAAACTAAACTTAAACCCTACTATGTTACTTTAACCGTAACGATTAATGGTAATAATAAAGAGGGACTACTCACGGTAAAAGTAAGTTTAATTTAAAAACACACGTTATTATAAAATCTATATCATTTAGAATTCTATTCATGACAACGATTTTAAAGTCCATATGAATATTCGTTGAGTAAGTAATACCAATACAGAATTATTATGGTGATTAAAGTAGGAAAGACTGCGCATAGCCAAGCCATTGTCGTCATTCTAGTCTCGGAAATAATATTTCTTTACTTATTCAGAAGACTGGTCTCTAAGTATTATTGAAACTTTAAATGAATCTATGTGTATAAATAAATATAAAAATATAAATATAGAATGTTCATGAATAAAAATCGATTTTTATGAGTTTCACCAATTAGTCAATTTTTTTTTACTATTTTTGTAAATTTTACACGAAATAATTTCCCTGATTATATAAATACATATATCACAACAACAATTACCATAATTTAAAAATTAAATAATGTTTGTATTCTTTATAAATACCTGGATATTAATTTAACAGATTATCAAAATTTCATTTCAATTCGACCGTACCTTTTTATTATTTTCATTCCAATAGCTTAGAGTTTCTTTTATTAGTCCGAATTTGTTTTCATAGTATTTTTGACATTACTTTCTAATCATATTATGAAACTTATTTTAAGTTCCTACAAAATTCATTTTAGTAATAGGTACTTTTTTAGTCTCAATTCTTTTCTTTTAAACATCCCATAGAAAAACGTGGTGATTTTAACAATTATAAACAGCGAATAATGTTCGATACCGATTTAGTATCGATTTTATCGAAACTGCAACATTAAAATACCGATGTATCTAAATCAGAACATCTCTAGTCATTAGTCATTACTTATTGTCAACTTCAAAGTTTATAGACAACTACAAACCAGATATCCAGATGACAAAAATCAATAAAAAGAATCAGACAATCAGTAACTCATAATTTGATATATGTAATTTGTTTGTTCGTCCATACCTGTTATAGTTATTCGTACAGCCATTAATTTGCCGACCCAAAATGGGAGCCGTGCTTGGAATTTGTTCAGCAGCACAGGTAAGAAATCAATAAAAATTAAATCTTTGTTCTGAAAATTACCATCGTCAGATCTTTACCTTGGTTGTTTACAACTTGAAAATATATCCTTATCTTGTGACGACCTCAGAGCTGTGAATAAACAACCTTCTTTTGTCTTTTAATTTACTTTGTCATGTTTCTCAAAAGTGATCATAAATAATACAAGTGTTTGACCTTAATTTAGGGAATTAAAAGAAATACAGAACATAACATTTAAATATATAGCAAAAGGTTAAAGTTGTTCACATAGTACTTTTATTATCTACTAATATTCATTTCATTTAATGGAAATACTATTTACATTATAAATATGATGAAATTCTCATTGAAGAGTTTAATGACTAACACAATCTTTGTTTTTTATTAAGAGGGTATTATCAAGTTTTTATGACATTGTAATATTTTCCTTGTGTAACTTAATTATGAAATAATATAATCTAACAATGAGATTACTTTCACCTGGCTCACATTCTTTTATGCAATATATAGTATATTTATTGCAGACATCAACCCTATAGGTATCATACTCCTCGTAATATACAGTTACAAAAATGAAACAAAAAGCACAAAGAAATTACAGTCTTTAAGTATAAATATTTATAGCAATTTGTGACCCTCCCAAACCTCTTGTCACAAACTTTTCATCACTTAGAATGTTATTATTATGTATTTGATATTCAAAGTTGTATAATATTTTGGTACATATTACAAAAACACTTATACAAAATAATTATGATTTCGACGGTCGGTGGATGCAATGAAACCAAAATTTTTTGACTTAATTTAATTAAAAGTAAATTACAACTAGGGTGTGACTATGCTGCACAAAGGTTGAAAAAATAGTGACAACAAATCTAATGAAATTCTTAAAAGAAAAATTATAATCTTAAAACATAAAAGAAATATAAAACCAAAAACTGTCTTTAGACGGGACTGCTGAGTCAGACCCGTGTAGAATAGATGAGTTTACCCAGAAGCTAAGGCGTCCTCTGATTACACTGTATAAAGATAATTATATTTTAATTAAATGACCACTTACAACACTGTCACATAACAAAATCAGTAATTTTTTAGTTACCATATATTTTGCAACAAAATTTCAAGATATTATGCAATATTTAAAAGACACTTATCATAATATGAGTTGATCAACAGCATAAGAATGAAAGTTGCAGTTGTTTGGAAATCTTGTGATCTATTTAGAGGAATGTAACCAAAATGTTCTTGTCTGATCTTGTCTTTTAAAAAATATATATAAAATATGTATATTTTAAAATCAATAATATATTTATTTATTTTTTCCAGCTGGCCTGCTGCTGTGGCAGTGCTGCATGCTCATTGTGCTGCTCAGCTTGTCCGTCATGTGCCAATTCAACATCCACACGACTCATGTACACTGTAATGTTGCTACTTGTCATGGTAGTGGCCTGCATCACTCTTGCTCCGGGGTTACATGAACAGATGAAAAAGGCATGTACAATATTATATTGTTTACATGAACATATATTGTAATATTAATATTTATAAGTAATCATGAAAATTTTAACACTTTCAGGTACCATTTTGTGAAAATTCAACATCAATGGTGCCAGGTACCTTCAAAGTTGACTGTGATAATGCTGTTGGTTATTTGGCTGTTTATAGGTACACATATGACCAAATATAAAATTTAACACAAGTGTTTATATGAGATATCTATGTTATTTGCTTCTTTTACAGAATCTGCTTTGCAACTTGTCTCTTCTTTGTTTTGATGGCATTGCTCATGATTGGAGTGAGATCTTCAAAAGATCCAAGAGCTGGTATTCAAAACGGGTAATTAATATTAATTATTTTCCTTTACTTATTATGATAAATTTGTATTATTTATTGAATGATTAACTGAATGTAAATAATTATGTTTTTACTTCAAGGTTCTGGGGCATCAAATATCTGATTGTTATTGGCGGTATCATAGGGGCTTTCTTCATACCTGAAGGATCATTTGCATCAACCTGGATGGTGTTTGGAATGATTGGTGGCTTCTGCTTCATTGTTATACAGCTTATTTTGATCATTGACTTTGCTCACTCTTGGGCCGAAAAATGGGTTTGTAAGTATACCATACATATTTTTTCCTCAAATCGTAGAATAGGTGAACAACACTTCTAGACATAGGTGTTCTGTAACCTGTGCCACAACTCAACCCCTTATTTCTTCTGAAGCCACCAAGGTTGAATGGCACTAATCAGGTTGACGGTCCATCTAATGGCTACTTGCTACTTGATCGTCATTCAAGGCCCCTTAAACCCTATCGATAGTCGCTTCTATGACCTGTATGTCCAGTTCAATGCTATGACGATTACTTTGATTATTATATAAAACTCCTTATTAAGGTCTGAAACATGTATTGAAACTTCTATCTCTTTCTGTTGCCTTCAAGGTGTTTTTAAATTTTGTATTAAGACCAATAGTTACTGATTACCTCTGATCTGAATATACATAATTTATATTTCTTTTAGCCAATTACGAAGAAACACAATCTCGAGGTTGGTACTCGGCGTTGCTGTTGGCCATGTTGTCATGCTATGCGCTTACATTGACTGGCATTGTTTTACTTTATGTCTTCTATACTAAGGTAATTACATTAATTATTTAGCTTAAATTACATAAGACTTCCACACAAACCAATAAATGTTCCATTAGTTATTAATAAATTTCTTCACAATGAATATAGTATGCAATTATAACACTGCAATTTCATAACCAAACAGACATTGAAGTTAATATTGTCCATCTAATACATGAAACAGATTTCCTAACATTTTAAAATGACTACCTATTAATATTACATACAGTAATAATGTTATTGATTAATATTACAGCCAGATGGATGTGACCTATCAAAGTTCATCATTTCCTTCAACCTGATCCTGGTTGTGATAGCGAGTGCTATATCAATCCTGCCTTCAGTCCAGGAGTACCAACCCAGGTCTGGTCTCCTTCAGTCAGCGGTTGTGTCATTGTATGTCATGTACCTGACTTGGTCAGCCCTGTCAAACTCCGCTGCCCCATGTAATGCCAGTATCACTGATGAAAATGAGGTAAGTTGTCATTTAACAATAGGTATGAATATTAGAAAAATTTATATTGTTTTTAGAAAACAAAGAATTCTATCTCACTGATAGGGCTGTACAAACTTGTTCTTCAGATTTATATTTAATATTTATATAGCTATTGTACACGAAATTTTATTATTATTTATGAAATGTAATTTTCAATTATTTAGGCATTTATTTATTGTAATTGAAACTTTTTTACTCTTATGTATTTATTCTAAATTTATATCATACATAAATTATTTATTATATTTACAAATGCATAACCAGGATTTACGAGAAGAAAATTATTGGGTATGTATTTATATCACTAGTATGTAAATGTATCTAAAATTTTATATATTTCTAAAGCATACACACTTTTATAAATTATATGGTTTTGAGCCAAGATATTCAAATTTGTTTCTAAAATAAGTAATCTTTAATCATTATATGGTCAGTACATATTAATTGTTTCGCTTGACTGAAGAGCTAAACAATATTTCTATAATTTTAGTTCAATTATTAAATAAGGTAACAAACCTTGTCTATCTTTACAAACTATCAACATAATAATAATAATTATTATTATTTTCCAGTCGTCATTCGACAAGCAGTCTATCATTGGTCTGGTGATTTGGGTGTGCAGCGTACTATACTCGTGCGTACGAACAGCATCTTCCTCTTCCAAGATTACAATGTCAGAACATATTCTAGCCAAGGATGGAACGTCAGGTAAAAAAATTATGTCCATATATCTTTTTATCAGTTATTTGGTACTATTGTTGTAATACTAACTCATATTCCCATCGAAAACTGCACGGCGGCGCTGACTCAGGCGAGGGAGGGCTGATTGCTAATGAAGGTAATGATATTACGGTACCCAAGCTTTAAAGTTTGCTTCAAGGTGGCGTCACTAACCAGTTGCTCGAAACATAAAATTTGTAGTAAGACACCGTAAAATTAATGATGTGCCGAGTATAATATGTATCCAATAACTTGTGAAAAAGAAAAATCCATAACGGATTTTTGCTGATGTTTGATGGATTTTTTCCCCTTTTAATTCTATAACAAAGTTCAAATTCTACGCAGCTCACTAAATATTGATGAAAAATACACAATTCAAATAGAATCCCACACTATAATATAAACAATATCTTATCGCGCTATGCGTTACCTTTTTAATGTGATCCGGCACATCACTAATTAGTAATTAAAATCATTATCATAATTAATAGATTTACGACAGTTCACGCATGGTAAATATTAACAGATGATATAGCATTGTTATTTTAGCGATGCATCCGGTGCTTTTGGGATATGTATGTATGTCTATTGAGTATACTGTATACAGCGATATAAATTTAATACATCTAGGATGCAGCTTATTAGCTTAAGGTAAAACTATGTGACTAGATTATTATAGTAAACCAGATTTTCCTAAAACTTTTCCGATACTCTTTTTGATGATTTCTATCGATTAAAATAAGTCCTTAGTTTAAGATTACTGAATGCAAGTGAACAAATATCATAAAAATTAGTTATTTTTAGCACCATGGACGACCATATATATTTCGTTATTTAGAACTCCTGATTTTAATTAATAGTACAATTATTACATCATGCAGTTAAATACCAGTTTCATGAAAGCACATAGACATTATATTTTCAATCAATAACCATAAAATTGACACGAAGACATTTCAAATAAAAATTTTGAAGGAAGATCTGATCTATAATTACCATAGTCATGATTTAGTTAGAACAATAAAAGCAGAATGTGGGTACGCTCATTGAGCGCAGGTTATGATCCAATAGAAGGAGACGGTGGTGAGGCAGGCGCTAAGGAGACCAAGGTGTATGACAACGAAGATGACGCCGTAGCCTACTCCTGGAGCTTCTTCCACGTTGTCTTCGCTCTAGCCACCCTGTATATCATGATGACACTCACCAACTGGTACAAGTGAGTACCAAATTAGACTATTTTATTATATATTTGACTGAAAACAGTTCTAGTTCTTTTGTCTTGGTTCACAAATCTTAACTTTTTACTATTTCTTTTCTTATTACATAATATATATATAGATTCAAGGAACAAAATACAGTTGTAACATAACTTTCCATTTATTATGTAGAATTTTATGTATAAAATGTTTTTACATAACATCACTGAACAATGTTTGAAAATATATAAAAATATTGAATACCACTTCAGTGTATTACAAAAAAATAATTTACAAGTTTTTTTTAATAAAACAAGTACATATTAATTTCTTAACTTTAAAACTAATAACCTAATTTGTCTTCTTTATTTTCCCGCAGCCCGAGTTCTCAGCTATCAAAGTCTAATGTGGCGTCCATGTGGATCAAGATTACTTCTTCTTGGTTGTGCATTGGTCTGTACATTTGGACCCTTGTCGCACCAGCAGTTCTGCCTGACCGCGACTTTAGTTAAGAGTCCTGTTGTCTTGTCTTATTAACTCTTACTTTGGAAAGGAACACAAATGTACCAATTATCGACCACCAACTGTCAATTCTATATAAGATGTTATCAGAATAAAGATCTTTCCAATGTAAGAGCTCCGCTGTTTATTTTATTTTAGTCTTAAAACTGCTATTTTTAGAGATTCCATAATCACAGTGTAGTTTTCATTAGTTATGTACTCTTATAACTTGAAGATCTCATTTCTAATTTGACTTCTTTCCGTTTTATTGCTATTCAACTTGTATCTCATAACTTTTTTCTTAATACAAAATATAAATTCTATTACATGGCTTTAAATAATAATTGTATTGAATTAAATGTTTTTGTTTTTTCATGTATGTATAATAAGTAAAGTTAATAAATATATTAGTTGTAAATATTGTTTAATTCAAGTTCCAGAAGACAATTTTGTTATATCCTTTTCAGATTCTTGTTTCTCACTATATCATACTTTAACAGTTTAGCATATTTTTTCAACAGTTTTTCCCAATAACAAGTCACATCTTTGTCAGATAGATTGTCCCAAATGTGCTGAAAGCCTCTTTCAGCTATCTCCTCAGCCAATGTATCATGTTCATTGAAAAACTTTATATATTTCATTATTTCATCTTGATCAGCTTTTGGATTAATTGGAATGTAATGAACCCAAGGTTTCAGTGATGGATAGAAAAATTCAAGCCACTCATCCCCAACATGAAATACTAATGATTTACATAAAAATAAATGCTTGAAACGGAAACTTGCTGCTACTCCTCTGTAGTTGAAGAGGTATTTATATTTGCAATGGTCTTCAAATGACACCTCACTCGCTGGGGGAGCATATAGTGTATCCTATGAAAAATTAATCCATTAAAACAAATTATGCAAATAAAATTACAGTTACATAACTAAGAATAACTCACTGCATCAGATTTCCAAGCTTGGTTTTTGGTATACTGAGCATCTACTAGTTCTGGATGAGATCTTGATAAAAGAATCAGAGCATCCCTCTCCTCGCTTGTCCTTGATCCCCTAAAGAATGCTCTTCCTTCCTTCTTATTCCATGGCCATCTAAATAAAACAACTTAAAAATTCAAACAGTCCTACACTCACAAAAGTCCAAAATACAGTGAAAACTCTATATAACGACACTCGATTTAACGTCAAACTCTATAAAGCGTCGAAATCATTTGACTTTGGTTGGTTTAGCTTGTCTACCATACAATGGTACACTCTACATAGCGGCACACCCACTCTCAATAACGACAACAATTAAGTAATAAAAAGTACCTTTTAAGTTGCTAAAATTAGTAAAAACTGTACAGCTGTGTACGTTCCTTTGTCGCTTTGTTATCCTAGCCCGCAATAAACTTGACTGTCCCTATCATGCATACCGAAGTTCCTAAGAAATTCGTTCTTTTTTTTACAATTACAAATTGCTTAAACGTATCGACGGTTTTTGACCATAAGTAGGAGTCTTGTATTACCTATACGTTAACATAAAAAGTTGCTCACAAAATCTCAAACTATAACATTCTTTTTTATGTACATAAGTACTAACACTAGTCTAAAATAAACTTTGTCTTTTTCTAATTCTGATTTTTCTTCTTTCTATTTAACGGCAACTCTCTATAACGCACTAAAATGCACGGTCCCTTCAGTGCCGTTATATAGAGTTTACACTGTATATAGCTAACTTTAATTTTATGCACTTAATATAGCAATAAAGGTGTTTGAAAAAGTTCTCATTTTATTACTTTTTAGCAGCCGCAGATATAGATGTTCTATGTTTGTCCCAGCGACCAATGCCTGTAGGGTATAATGCTATAGCCGGTCCCCCTTCCCAGAAACTCCAAGTTGGATACATTATATCGTAATAACTCTTTGTCTGCAAATAAATGCAATTATAAACTTTAATGAATAAATTCAAATTTATAACACACAACACAAGTTTCATCAAAAGTAAACATTTTAAACAATGTAATACAATATTTATTTAATTACTTTTTGATCCAATATATTAGATTAAATGGGAATTTCTATCTATAAATATTTATATCTGAAACACACTAAACTTCCAAAGAAATTCACATGATATATAACAATTATTCGGAATAAAACATAACCCTTTTGTCTATAAATATAATATACAGAAGCTAAATTATGTACCTTGAATAAGCCAAGCAAATTTATAAAGAATATCTAACTAACAATAATAAAATAAAAAATTGACCTTACTGAAAGAAAACACTGGTGCTTTCTTATGACCCCAGTCTTTGTTAAGCTGTGGCCAGTCCCTAGTGTTTATGACTAAATCCATATCAGGTAAGGTTGGTGCAAGTATTTTTAAATAATGCTCCACTCCAGCACATCTAGCTGGAAAATGGCAATCTGTCTCTCTGAAAATCTTGCCATCGAAAATCTGAAAGACATTTTATAATCATATTTCTCCCTTTATAACTTGGTACTTCCATTTTATACTAGCTATACCTGATAAGTTGTCCCCTTAGGCTTGGCTTGAGCAAACATTTCTCTTGTTATTCCGCTTTTAAAAGCATCCAGATCATTATTTATTACATCTGCATGGCAGTTACAATTTGTTTTCACACAAGGTGTGTAATTTTGTAATGCATTTTTGATTAAAAAATTTATCTTGGCATCAAAATCATTAATTTCTAAAATACAAATTTTAGTTTATAAAAATAATGCACTTTACACATTATAAAAATTTAATATACAGTCATACCTTTACTATATCTATTTATTTTTTCTCCACAAGAATCCTTCTTTGAACAGGATTCTTCATAATTACATTGTACTATCACTCCAATGAAAGAATAAACAAATAACCTTATAAACGAAAAATGCATAATTTTAATCTATGAATATTATTTTTAAATGATTTCAATTGTTACTTAAACTTAACTGTTAGATTTTATGTTGTGACTTGTGAGTGGATAGTTAATACTGTCAGTGAAGGCAAGTAGGTACGAAGTACTGAGCTGTCACAACTGACCATTCGTCACAAGCGGTCTCGTAACTTTTGACTTTTTCAACCAAAGACAAAAACTATTGTCAATGCGAATTAAGTTATAGCTTACAGAAACTATCGTACAGACAGAACTTTCTAGAGACTAAAATTTAATTAGTCGGAAAGAGAATTCACGAAAATAGGCCTATTCTTTCCTAATTAAATTATTTTCATAACATGCCTATTACATACCGGTAGAAAGTGGATAGACTAGAAAATAATTGTTCAAAATGAAAGATCGAAGTCGTAATAACTTTCTTTTATCGCTGTAAAGTACTCTTTATTTAAATTATACCATTTTCTTAACTTTATCAATTAATAAAATGGAGAATAGGAATTATTCTCAATGAATTCTAAAAATTATTAAAGCATATATTAGTAAACTTAAAAGTTGGAGTAAAATTTCGAGCAGGTAGCAGCAATTTTTTTTTATTATTTAGGTTTTAAAGCTAAGTACAGATTTTCTTTTTAAAAATGTTTCATGAATATAAAAAAAATGGTGGCGCAAAAAGTAAGTTTAATAATATGTTTAAACTATAATTTGGCAAACGATGTACTAAACACCCTGTATTATAAAAGCAAAAGTTTGAAAGTTGTAGAAATGATTGCTGCACTAACACGAATAAATTAAATTAAAAATAAGAGTAAGACATAAAAAATCACAACATAATATAATTCATCCGGTATTTCCCGCAGTTCCCATAGTAACATTGTGTATGAAGTTCTGTGACACGGACTATAGATGTTGCCGACGATTAACTGCCATACCTACCGATGGTTTGAAAACACTTAACTCTACATCCGAAATTCATTATAATAAGGGCACTGAGCGACATCATTCTTAAAACATAGTCTCCTGGGTTTAATGAAATCTGACACTGGCAAGAGTTCGTTTAGATAAAACTAATATTTTCAGCAGTGGCGGCTGGTGGGTTATCAAACTGGTGGTGCACTTTACTAAAATATTAAAATTAGAAAATACTACAAAACAACAATTGACATAAAATATGTTTATTTTTTATACATTAATTAATGCAACGACATTTTTTATTTCGTAGAAAAGTTTTGATCCTTTTCAATTCCAATTCGTCATACATCAGGTGATCTCGGTAATCTTCGGCCGCTCGTGCGGCGCTCGAGAACCGACTCGTTACTCGGTACATTTCTATGAACTATCTTTTGTCTCACGCGTCAGGCGTATTGATGCGTATCTCATACAAGATGTATTAGCAGTCCTCGTGCACTCGCCGAAGTGTAGTTTAGTAAAGAGCTCAAACTTTTTGACTATAATTAGAAATTTAATTTTTTATACGTTTTTGTATATTTAGAAAATAAATATGTATTAAAATGATAATTTAAAAATATAGATAAAGTAATATTTTGTAATTTTTAAATCTTTTGAATAGGTGGTTCAGCGCACGAGTGCACTTAAGGTACAGCCGCCACTGATTTTCAGACTACTAGGTGTTATTTTATTATTTTAGACTACATACTCCTGACTTTCACGGCGACAACCTCACCTCGTTTGCTCGTGAATACGGATGCTGCAAAGTAACCGAAACGTCTATGTAGTCTTATAATAATAAAATCATACGTAGTGATTCGAAAATAATAGTTTTTTTTAACTCTTCCCCTTAAGTAATTTTGGGTACATTATAATCGGTATTACTAATTTTATTAAAGATATAAATTGACAAAATAAAGGACAAAACAATCCATTCTATAAAAGAGATTGCTATTGAAAAATTATTCATATGAATGATATATTTTTATTTTCTTAGATCACTTAACAACATACAAACATAAGACAACTAATAAAGAATAATTTCCATTCTGAGTTTTTGTTTCATTTGAGACATCTTGAAAGTTTTTAATATATTATAGATTTTTGACTTCATATTATACACCAAATCCTTGATATGGATTATTAGAAAAATAAAACAGTCAAAGGTAAAAAATATTTACTGTTTCTCTAGTAATTCTTACATAAAAATGTTGTTACAACAAGTATTGTTACAAACAAGTGTTATAATTTTTGTAATTCATAAAATACTAATGGTTTTAACTTTTAAGCAACCATATAAACATATATATGTCAATTAAATTTATAATGTCCATACAAATTCTATGTAAGCACCAACTAGCACCTGGACCAAATACATTTTTTCTCTAAATCTCTTTATAATTGGGGAGCCCAAACGGGGATTTCGGGATTTACGAGGGTCAAACTGAAAGTTCTTAGAACTGCCCACTTATAAACAATATAATAAAAAAATATTTCTAAAATTTGAAAATAGAACTCTTTGCCAATATTACTGAGTATATATTTCATATATTTGTCATTTGTTTTACGATTTGGCGGCAAATTGAAAATTGTCTGTGTCACGTCAACATGAATTTAACACGAGAAAATTTTCGTGCAATGATTTTTTATGACTTTAGATGTCATTTAAGTCAACAAGAAAGTTATGATCGCCTACGATTGGCCTTTCACGACGAGGCCCCATCTCGTGCGACTGTTTACAACTGGTTTAATGAGTTTAAACGTAGTCGCATTAATCTCAATGATGATTTACGTGAGGGACGGCCGTCTACGGCGACGACTGAAGATAACATCTGTGTTGTGCGGCGTATGATAGAGACTGACAAAAGAGTGACCTATCAGCAGATTCGGACAAGCTTAGGCATCGGTATGAGTCAAGTGCACAAAATCCTCCACGAACATTTAGCGGTCAGGAAGCTTTGCGCCCGGTGGATACCTCATAAATTGACTGAGGCTCAAAAACTCCATCGTGTGGATTGGTGCCGTAAAATGATTGAAAGATTTAATGGATGTGACTCAAATGCTGTGTTCGACATACTAACAGGTGACGAAAGCTGGATTTACTGTTCTGATCCTGAAACCAAAAGACAATCTGCTCAGTGGGTGTGTGCTTTCGAGGAGTTGCCAACTAAAGTGAAGAGAGATCGAAGTGCGGGAAAAAAATGGTGGCCTCGTTCTTTGGAAGGATAGGTCATTTCGCAACAATTGTGTTAGAGGATCAAAAAACAGTTTCTGCAGAATGGTAAACTACCTATTGTTTGCCACTTGTCTTGGAAAAAGTTCGAGAAACGACCTCGCAGTAGGATCCTCCTTCACCACGGCAACGCCTCGTCGCACACCGCCAAGCGAACGATCGACTATTTGGCGACATCAAACGTTGAATTACTGGGTCACCCGCCGTATGGCCCCGACCTCGCGCCTTGTGATTTTTATTTATTTCCAAAAATTTAAGAAAAACTTAAAGGAAAGCGGTTTATGAATGCTGAAGAAGCCGTGGCTGCGTATCGCGTTGCCATTGAAGAGACCCCTAAGGAGGAATGGGCAAAGTGCTTTTCCCAGTGGTTCCATCACATGCAGCGGTGTATTGATGTGAATGGACAATATTTTGAAAAGATATAATAAGACTAATAACTGGCTAATGTAATCAGTTTTTGATTTTCTAAGGACTTTCAGTTTGACCCTCGTACTAAAGCGCGGCAGATTAATATACAGATACCTTGTACCCAGTTAAGTACCTCCACAAAACATGAAGCCCATATATAAGGCCGCCCGTGAAGGATACAGGATCAGATTAGTAAAAAAAAAATTGACCATCAGAAATTCTCGAGCGCGTCAGATTAAGGTAAGGTGAGTTAATTACACCCTAAAAAGTGTATATTCCACTAATCTGACAATTTGAGAGTGACGTAAAAAAAGGGGAGGGCAACAAAGTTGTAAAAAAAACGTCATCTCGACATTCTCGAGCGTAGCTAATTTTTTTTATATTTTGAAGGAAATAATTCAAGAATAATGAAAAATATATAATCTGACGACTTCCACAAGCCGAAATAACAAAAATTCGTCGATAAAGTGAAATGCTTGTAGCTGCGTGATGCCTACATTTCCTTCTCCGCCTTTCTATTCCTCTCTCACTCTTCCTCTATCTATTACTCTCTCACTCCGTCCCCACTCTGGTTTATATCACGCACAATGCTATAAATTATTTACTGCAATTAAAATACCGCGAGACTTTCAGTATTTACAAAATCAAAGTGTAGTGGAACATGACAATGCACCGAAAGTTTCGGGAAATAGCTCCGAAACCTCCTGATTCTGGAGTGTTCCGAAGCACATGGTACTGTTGAAACCTTGTCTACTGAGGCTGCTGGTACATCGACAGACGACTAAGTGCTAATATGACTTCATTTATTAAATATTTATAATACTTAAATTGAGAGACATCTGATAATTTTTAGAATTTTCTTAACAAAAAAAATTTAGGAAAATAATTTTATTTAAAAGCATCATTTTTAGAAGCTCTGAAAAATTATAAATGAGATTTTTATAAATAATTTTCTATGTCTAGTTTATTTTTTAAGACAAATCAAACAATTGTCAAGTGTCTGTTAACTTCAGTCTCATAAGTATTTATAGATAATTTTTTCATTGACAAAAAAATATTTAGTTAAACTTTTATACAGAAAAAATGGTGTGTGTAACTGTGTACTCATGTACACGCGTTAGAAGTTGTACTTCTTTGGCACATAATAAAATATTGGCACATATAAAATTATAAATTATATGAATTAAATTCAATATTATTTAAGAATTTTCTAAATCCACAAATTTTGGAGCTGCAAAGTATCAATAGTTTACAATCGATAATTATAAAATATTTTAATTTTTATGAAAATGAAGTTAGCTGACATATAAAAATTTTAGATTTTTTTTTCTTGAAAAAATAATGACAAAAAAATAAAAAAAATCACTTTTTAAAAATCTTCAAAAACTGTAAGTGCAATTTTTAAAAAATATTTTTGTGTTATGATTTAATTATTAAAAAGAAAGTCAAACAATTAAAAACTCCGGCTAACTTTAGTATCATTAATTATTTATTTAACATATGTTTCTTATAAATTATTTAACTTAGTGATAATATCTTTTTAATTAAAATTTATTTTAAAATAATGTTAATTACATGAATGAAAAGACAAATATTGTAGGACGAAACTAGATATTGCTTCCAACAAAGTTCCGGAAAATTATTAAAATCTTCTATAACATTAATTTAAAAAAATATGGATAGAATTACTATATTCGATAAATAAAATGATTTAGTCTGTATTAAAAAATTATGAACTCAATAAAAAGATACCTAAATATAATATTATATAGGTACTACAATATTTATATTTTTGTTCAAATATTTTAATTCATGAAATTACATACTATTATTTTTTAGAAAATATAAATAAAAAAAAAAATATTATCAAGTTGAATAAAAACTAAAATATTTAATTAACCATCTTTTACAATTGATTATTATTAATATAAATAATTTATTTCATATTAAATGGTATTTTTATCGAATTTGAAATTTTTTAACCAATATTTTTATTTTATGTTATACTTAAATTATTGTTATAAAATTTTCAGAGCGGGAGAGCCGAGCAACGTGCAGGAAGGCTTTCAGGATTCCAATAATTCATTTAGTACAGATGAGCCTGTCGCTCATGAGGACTCAGCATCACAAACGTGTAGAGATGTGACTTATCTTAAATAAAAGTATCTGAAATACAGATACAAGATACGTATTTACATCTTGTATTTGAAATACTATTTATATTTATTATTTTGTATCTTATATTTAGATACATGTTCCTGGCATTTTAGTATTTTGAAAATATTTTGTTCCCCAAGATACTTTTACTAAAATTTTTCGAACGTAACTAAACACAGCGCGTCGTTTATACATTTTGTCGATATTGCCGGAAACCAAATGACAGATGGCGACACTATCTTTCTAGAAATGTCACAAAATTCAAAATGAAATTCACTTTTTAAGTGAATATGTGGACTTTTCGAAGTCAATAGCAGAAGCTATTTAGAGCCTGCAAGGGGAAAAAGACAGTTGTTATGGTTGTCTGTTACCGGAATTATACAGAATCCAACATGTTATCCAAAGCCTCAGAATGGAAAATTTAAAATACTGCAGCCCTCTGCTAGATGTAATAGATGGAATTTAGATAGACAGGTTTAAACAGTTGGAACCAGCAGCAAACGAAGCTATACTAGCCTCAGTGTCCCATCCAATGTTTAAACTGAAATGGGTATCAAAGGCGCGAAAGCAATATGTAAAAGAACTTTTCCTGTCTGAAACTAGAAAGACCAATCGATCTGAAAAAGAAAAATCAGAGACTTTAAAGAACATTGAAGATGTTATCAAAAAAAAGTCAAAAGATGAATCCTATTATATGTTTCTAGAGGAATCTGATTCCTCTATTGCTAGTGGCAAAAACACAGCAGCACCAGTGATTTAGAGACACTCCAGTACCTAAACAATAAAGAAACAAATATTAAGAGCTTAAATGCTTATCCTACAATAAAAAAAAATATTCCTAAAATATAACACATGTTTGCCCAGTTCTGCGCCTGTGGAGCGACTCTTTTCCTCTGGGGGCTTGAATGCCTCCTAGAAGGAAGATGAGCGACAATATGTTTGAGGAATTACTTCAACTAAAATCTCTACTAAACTATAAAGATTAAAAAAAATAAAGTTTCAATTTTAGTACACCTTCCTATATTATAATTTTTTTTTTCTCATGATGGTTCAATCAAATGTCTCTTTTCTTACAAAAGTATTTTATCTTTAAAAAGTATTTGTAAGATAGGTATTTTGTATCTAGTATTTCAGATACCTTTTTAGAAAATTATTTGTATCTGGTATCTGAAATGCTTTTTTAAAAATTATATTGCATCTTGTATTTCAGATACTTTATATAAGGTATCTTATACATCACTGCAAACGTGCTTCATTTGCCAAAAACAGCGTAAACGGCATCATGGTCGTGAAGTTCGTTTAGCTGTCAATATATTAACAACTATTGAGAATTTGAAAAGCTCGGCCACGAAACAAAATGATGTACAAATGTTGGAAAAGCTCAGTTCTTTCTCTGATGATACCAAAATTCCCTGCCATAAATGTTGCAAGGATCAATATTTACGAGATATTAATAAGAATGATAATAGCGAATTTCAAAGGGAAAAAAAAAGTTACCAATACTGCGTATACTATTCTTTGTGAAATGTTAGAAGAAACAGTGATCAAGAATAGTGAATGTTTGTTTTTTGATTTCGTAAAAAAAAGAATATCAAAAATTGTTAGAGCAGCAATGCAGTTTATTATCTAATTCCATCAATATTTCTTCGTTCTCAGACCGTCACTTGGAAAGAAAATTGATGGAAACTTTTGACAATAAGATAAAAATAATTTACGCTGGAAAAATAAAAGTTTCTTGCTCCATTCTCCGCCTGTTTTAACTTACACGGATTTATTTAAAACGGTCAGTTAAAACATCATTAACAGTAAAAGAAACCATCCGTTCAGTTGCAACACAACTTCGTGAAGAAATTCTTAACTCAACCAGAAGAGAATTGCCTGAATATTGTACAGCTGCAGACTTGATATTGGGAGAGTGCGATTACGTACCAGACCTTTTTCATTGTTTTTTGGAATCGTTCATTCGTGGTTATGTTTCTCATCTATCCCAAAAAGTTAGGGAAAATAGAAAAAAAAAGAACTTTCTATTTTTTCAATTGGGCAAGATCTGATTTATACAGCTTTTGGTTACAAAATTAAAACTTCGAAGCAAATTACCCTAGATCTGGCAGTGAAGAGCTTATGCAACAGTAAGAAAGTTGTTAATATACTTTCAAAATATGGACACTGTTGCTCTTACACAACTTTAGTGTATATTTATGGCTAGTGTACTACACAAATTTACTGCAACAAGTAGATAACACACATCCAGGCCTCCGATCTGAAATGGCTAAGGGTTCGTTTGGAATCAGAAGAACCAGCAAGCCTTTCACACGAATTCCTGTGGATTTAACGCTAGAGCAGACGATAAATGGTGATGCTGCTCGTCGTCTTACTGGAATTGTCAACCTCATAAATTCAATTTCTGCTAGACAACGTTGGGCTAAAAATCATGGAGCGCGAACAAGAATCATATCTCATGTGCTTACTCGTGCAGGCCTTGACAGAAGCTACCATGATATTGCTGCTGATCTACACCCAGATCGAATGAAAAAACAACACATCCAAATTGAAGCTTTTCCGAACAGCATCTGTTGTTTAATAATTCAACGGGGCAAGCTGCTTCTGTAGAAATTACAAACTGTTTACTAAATACAGTGTCTGGATGAACATTTAATTGTGTATGAATGTAAAAACAAACATGAATGTAATTTAAATTCAGACAGGTTTCACCAGCCAGAAAAAAAAATAAGGTGCTAAGTTTTGCAAGCCTCAAGAAGAAAAAAAATGAAAATTGGGGAAAAAGTGCACGAAGTTACATTTGCAGCGGGATTTATTCAGACGGTTATTAGCTCTCTCTTGACACGAGTATAGACTTGGAGAAAGTACTTTGTTTTCCCATAACTCCTATGCCGTTATCACTGTGCCATATTGATGGTTCTTTAAACAAGACTGATAAGTCAGTATTAATTCACGAGTTAGAGAAATAAGTTGAAGATATGGAGCAACCGCCACCCCAAGTTGACCTTTTAATTATAGATGGCTTCTTTTTTTAAAAAACTTTTAAAGAAATGCCCCGTAGTTTTGGAGGAGTGTCAAAGAAAATATTACAATGCCTTGTCAGTAATGCCAGTACTTCCTGAGCTTTTCAATTAATTAACTTCAATGATTTGAAAAAATTAAAAAAAATTTTTTTTGGAAAGTGGTTTTTTGGGAATAACTTTTAACCGGCTTTATCGATCAACTTTAAAAACTAATCCGCCTTTGAGCTTAAAAAACCACGTCGATCGCCACCAAGCTGGTCAAAAGCGGTTGATTCGTTCGAGAGAAATCGTGAACGAAAGAAACCCGAAAGTTGTTTTTTCGGGATTACTCCGAAATTTGTGGTTCAATCAATTAAAATTGCAAAATTACTTATGAGGATGATAAAACTGCGTCGAATGCCGCCAACCTTGTGAAAATCGGTTGATCCATTCAAAAGTTATTGCGGTTTGAAAATTCCAAAAATAGTGTTCTATGAAACTTCTATCAGACTTTCGAGCTGGGAGAGCTCAAATGCATAGAAATATTATTTCTTTGAACTCAGCGAGCTCAAAATATCACATACATTATATTTTGAGGTCAAAATGTCATAAGTACAATTTTAAGCGCCCAGGAATGGAACTAGCGAGAAGTTGCAGGGATGGCCTTTAAGGTGAACCGTTTTTCTAATTTTTTTTTGTCTGATTAGGCGAATCCCTCTACATCAATGGTTCCCAACCAGTGGTCCGTTGACCACCAATGGTCCGCAGAAGCCAAAATATGGTCCGCGAATGATTTTAAATTTAGCGGGTGGTGAGCCGTTTTAGTTTGACAATTCACGGATCGCTTCGCGCGCGGCTTTGAAAAGCGCTGGTGGTGGGGGCGGTACGCGGAGCTCGGCGAAGATGATACAAATAAAGTGCACTCTACTTACAATTTAACGTGTAAAGTGCGTGTGCAAGGAATTACCTACGCTTTACATTCATTTGTTATATGTATTTGATTGTCGGTAATAGCATTTAGTACTACTGACTGTGCAAGGAAGTGAATCATTAATTACTGTCCGTAATTCTTAACTTTATTTCTTGAATTTAATGTGAGTAATATAATAGGTAAGTGAACATTTTGTTTCGAATAACCCTTTTTGTAGGTATTTAAAATTATCATTAAATACGGGCAAACATTTTTAATGCGCCTATTTCTGCTCGTCTTTTGGCGGGATCGTGTCTATAGCAAAGTAGTATATTGTTTGAAAACTAAAACTACTTTGGATATGATTTCAAAAATACATATACATAGTTATTAATTTTAATCTAAGTTAGATCACGATCATATTAAAATAGATACCTAAACTTAGGCTTTTATTTTCTTGGTTTGTATTCGGTTTCATGTTTTATATTCTCTTTTCAGAATATGGCACCTAAAAAAAATATGAAAATAGTTATATAAAATTTGGATTTACACAGTGAGTAGGCAGTTACAAAAACCACAGTGTGTTATATGCGCAACCGTTCTCTCAAATGATGCGTTGAAACCAGCAAAATTAAAACGCAACTTAGAAACGGTACATCCAAATTTTTCTGACCGTCCGGTAGAATTCTTTGAAGGAAAATTAGAGAACTTAAAAAAAATTAAACTCGGGTCTAGTGGTACGAGATTTGCAACATCTGAAAAATTATTAGCAGCGTCGTTTGAGATTTCTAAATTAATAGCACAATGTAAAAAACCTCACACAGTCGGAGAAACACTCGTGAAACCGTGTTTGATCAAAGCCGTCGAAGAAGTTTTAGGATTAGAGGCCAAGAAAAAAATACAAGATATACCTCTGTCAAATAACACGGTCAAAGCTCGAATTGAACTTATGTCAAATGATATTGAGGAGCAACTTGTTTCAAGAATAAAAAGGTCGCCAGTTTTCGCTTTGCAGTGTGATGAATCGACCGACATTTCAAATTGTTGTCAACTACTTGTATTTGTTCGCTTTTTAGACGACGACAACACAATTATTAAAGAAGAATTATTGATTTCACGGGAACTGGATACAACATCGAAAGGTATTGACGTCATGAACTCAATATCGGAATATTTTGAGAAACATAATCTTATGTGGAATAAACTCGTTGCCCTTTGTACTGATGTAATGTTAGGGTCACGTTCTGGGCTGGCAACATAAGTAAAACAGAAAAATCATATGGTAATAATAACGCACTGTATCATACATCGCCAGGCTTTAGCTTCTAAGACTCTTCCTGACTGCCTTAATGATACACTGAAAATGGCCATAAAAGTTGTAAATGTAGTTGTAGTTGTAAATACACGCCTTTTTAAAAAATTATGTACTGAAATGGACTCTGACCATGAGGCACTTCTCTTTCACACAGAAGTTCGATGGCAATTGAAATGTAATATGTTGGGAAAATTGTATGAACTGAGAGCAGAGGTTGAGATTTTTCTGGTTGACAAAAAGATGAATGATTTGTTAAAACATTTTACTAATTCGGCATGTCAAATGAATTTTGCTTATCTTGTGGATATTTTGACGCATTTAAATAAATGAAATATACAACTGCAAGGTTCCGGAAATAAACAATTAGAAAACGTCGCAAATATATTCATTTTTTAAGATAAACTTCGCGCTTTTATTTGCAAAGTTCAATTGTGGTTACGTAAAATTGAAGAAAATAATTATTCTGCGTTTGGATCGTTAAAAGCACTTGTTGAAGACAAAAAGAATGACGCTATTAAATCAAATATACAAGAAAACCTCAAGATTCATTTACAAATGTTGATTGATGTATTCAATCGTTACTTTCCTGAATATACCGAAGAAGCTAAAGTTGATCAAAAACTGATTCGTAACCCTTTTAGTACGGACGCTAGAGAAGTTACTGAAGAAATCCAGGAAGAACTCATTGAATTACAAAATGACAGAAACTGCAACGATGCTTTTGAATCGAATTCACTTGAGTCGTTTTGGTGTAAAAAAGCAATTTCTTATGTTAAACTTCGAGAAATGGCCTTGCGATATTTTATGATTTTTTCAACAACTTATTTATGTGAACAAGGATTTTCTGCTTTATTGGTAATTAAAAACAAAGCGAGGAATCGTTTGAAAGTAAGTGATGATTTGCTTGTAGCTTTGAGTAACAATATTAGTCCTAGGATAGCTGAACTCGTGAAGAAAATGCAAGCTCAGAAATCACATTAATACAAAATTGTAGAAGTTTATCCTAAAAATATGATTATTTCTTGTTTTGTAATATCCTATTGATTTGTTAATTAAAGTTTCAGTTCGATTATTACAGTTTATTTTTATTATACTTACATAGTGGTCCCTGCTAACACGTATAATATAAAAGTGGTCCGGAACTAAAAAAAGGTTGGGAACCCCTGCTCTACATAATCGTCAGATTATGAGACAGTACGTTTAGAACATAAATATTAACCATATATATCTTAATCTGACGCGCTTGAGTATTTGGAAATGGCGATTTTTTTTTGCATATTATGAAAATGCCCGCGAGTTTGCGTCCCATAGAAATCGTCAGATTAGTGAATGAGAGCTTTTTTGGTGCAATTAACACTCCCTTAGAAAATCTGACGCGCTCGACAAATTTTTTTTTCATTTTCAACCCTTAAATACAACCACCCGCATCATGCAAACGATCAGATTAACATACGTACATTATTAAAAATACGTAGGGCATTGATGCTATCAATATCTGTCGCGCTCGAGGATGTCCAAGCAACAGTTTTTTCTTACATATTTAAAAATCTATAGCCGCTTCCCCCACCCATGTAAAGGTATATATCATATAACATTTTTTTCTTCTTATCATCTAAGCTTTGCATCCCAATAGGTCTCTACGACGCTCGAGTAAATCCCCATTTAGCCTCGTGGGCTCCCCTACTATAAACATATATATGTCTATTAAATTTATAATGTCCATACAAATTCTATGTAAGCACCACCTAGCACCTGGACCAAACACATTTTTTCACTAAATCTCTTTAAACAAAATGCCAATTTACCTTGGATATCATATTTAGATAGTACATATTACAAATTTTCATTTAAGTCTCCATCATTTACAACTTTTAAATAGCAATGGTAGCCAATTCTTACACACATTGCCTTGAAATTTCCATTAACAATAATGGATAGAGTTCAATCTGCAAAATTTTATGATAATCAATATTTAAATTCCCAAAATAATTATGTTCTAAGATGACGATTAAATGCTACAACTAATTAAGTGTTACAATATTTCATCAAACTCATACAATACAAATGAAAAAAGAAATAATACAGCTACAGTTAGCAAAATAGTGATATAATTTCTAAAACCATAATCTCAATGTTATAAAGTTTACATACAAATTTCAACTATCAACTGGCGATAACATTCTCTATCTACATCAGTTACTTGGTTAGTTTCCGTTCAAGTTGGTCTGCAATGGCCTGCAGGAAGTCCTCGGTATTCAAATACATCCCTTCCTTAGTGTTGGCCATACCATGGATACATATCACTAGATCCTTGGTCATCTTCCCACTGTCTATACACTCCACACACGCCTGGTAAAATATAATAATTAATATTTAAATCATATCTACATGTGTACTGGAAAAAACAGATAAATTTTAAGAATTTATAATGAAAATATTGACAGATTAAGAAACCTCTCTATTTTGTGTTGGTAAAAAATGTCTTCAAACACTATTTTTATTTATAAATAAGTTCTCCTTATTATTAACTTTAAAATTGTGTTACTAGTTTTATAGCCTATTCACTATCATATATAAAATATAGCAAAAAATACTGATATGAGTAATTTTATGAAATATTAATTAACCTAAAGTTCACATTGACATTCATTGATAATAAATGCATGCATGAATTCAAGGTTCAAGAAAAACAGACTTATCTGGTTACTAATTAAGTGATAATTATGATATATGTACTTTCATACAGAAAGTATGTACAGATATCTTATATCTTATTATTTTTAACAACTTTCAAATGCTTATATAATATCTCTACAAATAAATGCTTTAGTTGTATCTGATATGGAAAATTTATTTGTTTGTTGAGTATTAATGTGTGTTATTTAAACCAATATGGAATGTTTAATTTACAGCTATCAATTAAAGCTTACAGTGCTCAACATAGTTGTTCATTTCTAATATAACAAAACAAAAAAATATATGTAAAGAATTTATATAAAAATCATAGACTATTCATACTTTGTGTGCATTTTTCAGTGTATGAATAATTTAAGTAATAATTACCTCTTCCAGTGATTTAGAGAATCGTTCCAACTCGGGAGTATTATCGAGCTTGGCGCGGTGCATCAACCCTCTGGTCCAAGCGTATATGGAGGCGACAGGGTTGGTGCTGGTCGGCTTGCCCTGCTGGTGCATCCGGTAGTGACGTGTCACAGTACCGTGGGCTGCTTCAGACTCAACTGTCTTACCATCCGGACACATGAGCACTGACGTCATCATACCCAACGAGCCGTAACCCTGGGAACATTTGGGAATTAGGAGGCAATTTTGAATATATGGAGGGAAACAAACTGTCAGTAGTGAATGACATTAGCTGTTAATATTGACATGATGACATGACATTTATATGATGCAATAATAGTTTCACACGACACTGGCAGAATATACTGTGCACGTCTTTGCATGGATGAAAGCGATATTTTAAACATCAACCAATAATAGTTTCGTTATGCTGCGACTTTCTTTTGCAACTAGTGAAAAAAGAGTTACTTAAATAAACTACGTAGATTACCTTTACATTGAGGGTTTGTGATACATAGGGTGAATAGTATGTAAAGAGTTAACGCATCACCATGAAATATTTTATCCATAACACAAAATTTATATCAGATACTAAATAATTGTATTATATACCTGTGCAACGACATCTGACTGCACATCACCGTCATAGTTTTTACAGGCCCACACGAACCCACCCGAGCTTTTGATAGCCTGAGCCACCATGTCATCGATCAGACGATGTTCGTACCATATTTTGGCATCTTCGAATTGCTTCTTGTAGTCACTGAAACATATGAAATAAAACCATCAGATAATGTGATAGTTATAATTCTAGTGATTAAACTGATGATGATAACGTTCAATATTGCTATAGTTATGATATAAAAATAGGTACCGTTCGTAAATTTCCTGGAAAATATCCTTGAAGCGACCGTCGTAGAACTTCAATATGGTGTTCTTGGTTGAGAGATATAACGGCCATTTCTTTTGCAAAGCGACCTTAAAAAAGATTTTGAAATAAGTTATGCCCTTTAATTAATTGCATTTTCATCTACTGTTTATATTGTTTTATTACCTGGAAACTTGAGTGTGCGAAAGCCTGTATGGATTCATCGGTATTGTACATTCCTTGAACTACACCTGGTGATTTGAAGTCATATAGCATTCTCTTCTCTACAGAACCATCTGCTGCTGTGTACACCATCTCAACCTAAAGGGAAAATTTATTTTAACTCTGTTTGCGAAATGACAAATATACTGCACGTACTTAAGGTACGCAAGGTGGGCGTAACGAAAAATGATATTCGATTAAATGCTTCAAAAATTTCTTCTACTGGGACTTAAGTACAAATATATAAAAGAAAGAATTCAGCCAAAAATGTATTGTGTACCTTTCCAGGTTTTGGTATAACAAAGTCTTGTGCCTTGTACTGGTCTCCGTGAGCGTGACGGCCAATTACGATAGCATTCGTCCATCCAGGAACAACTCTCGGTATACTCTTGCATAGAATGGGCTCTCTGAACACTGTCCCTCCCAAAATATTACGAATCGTCCCGTTTGGACTCAGCCACATCTTCTTTAATTTAAACTCTAGAAATTACATTTTTATGAAATAACATACACTGTCAATTTTGTTCCTAACACATTAAAATTTACAGTTAAGTGAAAAACAGGAAAAGAAATTATCATTAAAAATGTCCTTAAACAATTAACTGTAAAGTCCGAATAAAGTGGTACAGCGAAAGTAGTAAAGCGAGTTCATTAAATGATTCCATGAATATCTCCTTAACCGTTAATGACATACCTTCAACCCTCTGCTCGTCGGGTGTGATGGTAGCGCATTTGATGCCCACATTGTGTTTAAGGATCGCGTGGGCGGCGTCTATGGTAACCTGATCATTCGTCGCGTCTCGGTGAGGTAGACCAAGATCGTAGTACAGGCAGTCCAGCTATGGATAATATTGTTTTAAAACTTCATTTAAAACTACTCAATATTCAGTGAAAAGCTATTGCTTCCCCATAAAGTCTTCCTTTAATATATAAAACCTTCAATTTGAGTTATAGAATATAAACAAAATATATACTGTGCTTGCTATTCCCTAATTGCTTATATTTCTACGTCATCTGTTTTATCATTCCAGACGGTTTTTATAAAATATAAGGATCACTATATTTTAAAAGTACAGTTAAAACTCTTATTAGGGATAAATAAGAAAAAACTTGTTATAAGCATATATAGTTACGGCCACTCTTGACCGAGTTAAAAGTTTGATATATGAATTCTAATAGTAGATCGTATATGGAACAAACAGCGTCCTAGTAAACTCACGATAACAAAGTCACATACAATCTATTTCATTAATTCTTTGATTAATACCGCAAGTGCAAAATAAGTATGCAATTTATTTTTCACACAACGGGTTTTTAAGTAAACCAGTCGTGGGATTATATGTCTTTTAATTCTTGTTTCGTATAAAGTAACTTTTATCAATATCCTCGGACTAAACGAGTTGTTTTAAGATTGTAAAGTATGTTGACCCTCGAACATTCATATAACGCCTGGTGTCAAAATTCCACTCACGCTCTTTCGTACGGTACACACATTTCCTTTGTATGTGATTAAATTTCTCACAACTTTATGTTGTAGAAAACGTCAAAAGAGTATTGGAAATTATATTTTGAAATATTAAATTTTATCACTATCAAACAATATTTTACATGTTTTATGTTATCATACATCTTCTATATATATAAAAATGGATTGCTGTTCCTTAGTCTCGCTAAAACTCGAGAACAGCTGAACGGATTTATCTTATCTTAGTCTTGAAATGTTCGTGGAGGTTCAGGGAAGGTATAAAAGCTGAAAAAAATTGATTCATTACTGGGAAAATTATAAAAACAGCCCTTTTCTATTTCCCATACAAACGTTTTTTTTTGACATTAGATTTGACAACTAACTAATATGTCAATCATTCTGTCGCACTTCAAAACACGGAGATTTATGGCTTACAGGTAAACTCCATAAATATAAATGAAAAAACGTAATAGATATTTCTTGATTATAGGGCGACACGAAGTTAGCCAGGTCTTCTAGTTATATATAATACAGTCCATTAAATATAGTTTTCAATGCACACTTATGAGTTATGACTAAGTGTATGTATGGTACCCAGATAATCAACAATAAAATTTAATCGTAATATGATAATTTTAACCTCATTCACATAAAACAATACAAAAACAGAATTATTTTCTCATTTCAAAGAATTTAAACATCTCATTAAATCATATGAATAACTAATATAATTTTTATTGTACTTTTGAATGTTTATACATATCCGAGATAATGATCTTATAATATATAAATAAATTTGTCATAAAATTGTAAATGATTGTAGAGGCACTAACCGGATTTCAATATATATATACAGATAATAATTTGTATAAATAATAACAATTTAAGTAATACACATACTTAAACAATGAATAACAGATTGTATTCGATCTAAAATCTTAATTAATAATTATTATCTTACAATAATCAAACATCATTTTAGTAATGAAAGCATTGAAATGACAAAAATAACTTTTATCTCCTTCTGTGTTGGGCACAATTGCAGTAATTAAAATGTCAAGGGGTTTAATTGATAATATAGTTTTATGTAAAGAAATATTTGTGATGATTTTAGAATTGTTATCAGCAGCGGTAATTTTTCATAGGTTCAACATATTTCCATGCTTTTATAAACAAATTGTCTACAATAACATATTTTATCAAAAATATGTTTTTAAAGATATTGTGTGAGCATTAAATATAATGAATTAGACTTTATACTATGCAATATAATATTAAAATTATGAATGAAATTGATCAAAGAACAGTGAAACATTATACAATACAATTTATTTTAATTGACTCTATCTTATGAGACGTTTCATAGCTCAATGTATTTGTCTTTGCTAGTATTAAATATTATAATAAAACATCAACAACTTTATGTAGAGATGTAAATTAGTCCCTATTTAGTGATAGGCAAGTGCACAGTGAACAGAAAAGAAACTAATTTTATTCTTCATCAGTTAGGCAATATATTAACAATATCAACATACCTTAACATAGGGAAATATGAGTTTCTCTTTGATCTTCTCCCAAATTATACGGGTCATCTCGTCTCCATCCATTTCCACCACAGGCTTAGATGCCACAACCCTTTTTGCTGTTCCATCTAAATATGGAAATGTTAACTAGTGTATTTTAATGCAATTACTATTTAACTTATGAAGTTACATTATTTTCTAGCTAGTATTGAGTGACAATAATGTATTACAACTAATTTAAAATTGTCTTTTTATGTGAAAATAAAACAAATATCTTATTCTTTACCTTTGCATTTGTCCAAAGGTGACTGAACTTATATAAATAACAAATATTATAAAATTACCTAACCTAGCACCGGCTTCTGTGGTTGACAATTTATTAACTATATATACGCGTTATTCCAAAAATTGCTATAGGTTGTTGACAAAAAAAAACTATTTTACTCATAATTTATAAATTGTAAAATACTTACATTTTCTTCTTGATACAATAGTTTGTTCAGAAACATATTTTAACAATCGTTTTGTGCCGTTTGCAGCCATGCTTACAAATAAAATTTATAAAATGATAGAAAGTAATTAGTAATCTAATCAGGATATTTTTCTAAAATTATTACAATGCCCACAACTGAACGCATAAACGTGTCAGTCGCTTATAACGACATATACATTATACAACGCTTGATAAAATACACTACTACAATCGCACTGGGTACTGCGTTGAGACTTGAAATGTTTGTATGTAGGCGTATTAAACACATGGACAATTCAAAGATTAGTGAAGCGTAGACAGTTATAAAGATTATTGAGAATAATTTTCAACTAGGTACATATAAATCTTTCATCATGATAATTTATTTTCATTATATAGAATCTGTATATTTTACTTTATTTATTGTATTAAATATTGTAATGAAAAAAAATATAAACTGGTTCTACATAACACGGTCATAAGTCACAAATAAGACTGATCTACAGTACTGTAACATATTTGAGTATAATATACCTATGTACTTTACATTTTGCATAATTCAATTTGTGATTTTGTAATAGTTAAGTACGTATTAATTATAAGATTATTGTATTTATTTCTTTGAGACCTAAGCGAAAATACAGTTTTACGTAATTATGTTATGATTTATATATTTTTTTAGTATAAATTACATTTATCAGCTTTTTGTTAGTCCATCTAATACATATTATTAATTTTTATATACATAACCAGTTTGTTCTTCTGTATTTAATTTATCTTTGGAAATAGTGAGAGCGCACGAGGCCGGCCGGCAGGCAACGACACCAGGCGGCCGGCATCATCCGTCCAACGATGCAATAATAATTTCGTTCTTTCGGTACGGTTTGGCTGGTTCGGTTCTCATTATCGCATTGACTGTCTATTAAAATTTAGTTAATATTACAAAATACGCAAGTAAAAATAGTGCAATTAATTAACTTTACTACAGTATATGGTACACTCATCTCATAAACAAACAAGGTAAGGGTCAATATTTTTTTTAAATTTTTAAATTCATGTATGTTATGAACCAACTTCTGTATGTTATCTATGTATTTAAATGTTAAACATAAGATAACTTATTTATTTTGATATAAGTTAATATGTATTTATAATGTGTATTTCCTAATTTAGATACTAATTATAACGGTTTCATGAAATCATAAGGATTATGTATCTCATTAATAGTAGTTTAATAAATATTAATCTCTGGGATATTTTGAGCTTATTCAACTTTTCTTCTATAATTCACATACCTAAACGATTCATAAAAACCGGTGCTATTATTATATTTGTATATTTTGGATACCTACCTGATAACGAATGCCGAACGCGCTTTTAAAACTGTTTTGAAAAGGAACCCAAGTTTTTATAGTCGTATAACAAAAACGGGGGTTATCTTCATGACTGTTCTTTTTTCACTCATTTTTTACATTTATGCTTTTAGTACCTGTTAAGCATATAGGTATGTAATAGATTAACGTCCACAACACAACTTATGGTATTTTTAGTCAGTTCCATTCTAAATAATAGAATATTTTTTTCTTTTCAATATAATATATTTTTTCACTTCATATAAAAAATATTGATCTCAATTTAAAGGTCATACCAAAACTATGTAGTTAAATTTCAACCGAGTTTGTTTTATAATTGTAAGTGATATTATGTAACATATAATTAAAATTCATTGTGATCTGTGTACTCATATCACTTTTATCGTCGTCATTATTGGTCTTAATTTTCTAATAATCATAACTAAGTAATAGACTTTGATCTAGAGCGGATCTGGCTCATGAAGATTAAAATTAAATTTGTAATTTTAAAATAAATTCCACAGTAACAATTAAGTTGGAGCCAAAATGTGCGGATGTGTGAGGGTACTCCGCCTTGGCAGTCCAATAAAAAAATCATGGCAACGCAGATTGTTTTCTTCATCTTCTTCGCCGCCAACGCAAGGAGTGCCATACACCAAACTTAGTGTCGGAGTTCCCAAAGAGATATGGCAGGATGAAAGAAGGTAAAAAATATTTTTGTTTGATAATAATTAATAAAGTAATACAAAAGTACACAAAATCTGTAAGTTGTATATTTTAACACTTGTATGCAAATTTAGATTTCAATTTCGGCACTCATTATCATCTAATTTTGTAAGTAAATTTACATATTTAATTAATTTGAATAATTTGTGATATTAAAGTTGTAATTATCTGTTGTTTCGTAACTTTTGCACGTTGTATAAAATGTCATAATGTCATCTTAAAGTATAAAAATTAAAAAGTATTTTGGATTTGTTTATCACAATTATAAAATTAAAAGGTTATTGTCAATTGCATAAGGTACAGACAAAAAATGCTAAGTCAGAAGACTTAATATTAATGGACTCTATCCACTAAAACATATGTAACTATGACCGTAATAGTAATGTGTCAGACCAGCTTGCAACACAATATGCTCTGTTAATCCCACTATACTCTAGTGAATAGAGCGTATCAATTACGTATGAAAGTCATATGTATCGGCTTTAATGAAGGGAGCGTCGGCAGATCATCTTCACGTTATTCGCGGTCTCTGTTGTCTGCTTAATAGTAATTCACCTGATTCCTGCTACGGTCATAGTTATAAACGTTGTAGGGTAGTCCTTAAGGCTATAGAAATAAGACGATTTGTTTAATAAACCATCAGCATTTTAAATGAATGATATGTCGAAATATTTTTTTTAGAGTTGCCATAGTACCAGCTGTAGTAAGTAAATTAGTTAAAAAAGGTTTCACAGTTAATGTAGAAGAAAATGCTGGTACATTAGCAAATTTCCCAAATAAGACTTATGAAGAGGTTGGAGCTAAAATAACTAGCGTAAAGGATACCTACGGTTCAAGTATATACACTCATGTTTGAATACTGTTTTTTCTGTCTTATCCTAAGGATATCGGATTTACTACTTGACTTTTTTTTGTAGATATAATTCTTAAAGTACGCCCGTTGGCTGAAAGCGAACTTCAAAATGTTAACGAGGAATCAACGCTTATATCATTTTTCTACCCAGCTCAAAACCAAGCTCTTATACAAAAGCTGGCTGCCAAAAAGGTTAATGCGTTTGGTGAGTTCCATCCTTCTTTTTATAAAAAAAGTATAAGACTTAATATAGTAATTGAAAATGCCTTCATTTTATTTGAACGAGTGATTAAAATCAATTAGGCCATCGTTCGAAATAACTTAGCATCAATCCAATTAAGTTCAATAACGTACATTGCGTATTTAGAAGAGAATATTTGAAAAAGAATTTAAATTGCCCATACATTTTCAGCAATGGACTGCATTCCTCGGATAAGCCGTGCGCAGGTGTTCGACGCTTTGAGTTCCATGGCGAACGTGGCTGGCTATCGAGCCGTCATTGAAGCCGCAGCACATTTCCCACGTTTCTTCTCCGGTATGACAAATATTACGTCTTTATACTGAATTGTTTGATCTATTTATAGACAACTTGTTTAGGTCAGATAACTTTAGACCGGTCGGATTTGACGACCATTTAAGGTTTTACAAATATTTACGATTTATACTTATATCGCTTTATTTAATAATTGTCAAGAATTTTTTAAGATTAAATATGATAAAAGGTACACATATAGCGATAAATATTTATAATTTACTGAATTTTCCTCATATTTCTTAGTAATTATATTTATTTTGTATTTCATTAAACATAATATAATAAACTTATAAAAATGTATGAATTACATTCACTCCTGACACCATTTTGATATTTTCTGTTGCCATGTTCACATGCACATATTATTACAAAATCAACCAATATATTAATAATTTTTGGTCAATCAAATAGTTCTATAGATCATTCAAACAAGCATGACTAGAAATTCCATCATGTTAGGCTAAAGAATCTTCAAGTTATATATAAATAATGTTATGTTGGTAGGTCAGATGACTGCAGCAGGTCGCGTGCCGCCGTGCCGCGTGTTGGTGGTTGGCGGAGGAGTGGCGGGATTAGCAGCAGCGGCTCAGGCAAGATGTATGGGGGCCGCGGTCCGGGCCTTTGACACACGACCCGCTGTGAGGGAACAGATCGAGAGTCTCGGCGCTCAGTTCATTACTATGGAAGTCAAGGTTAGGTCATATCTAATATGACTTTGAAAAAATCTCATGATGATATACCATTATTGTGTTGATTTGATTGGCTTATTTACGTCCGAGGTGGACAATTTTGCTTTATATTAATCTTATTGACTATGCATCCGGTCTATGAGGTTAACATTAACGAACATGCTAACGATATTTAAAAAACAAATATGTTATTGTAAATTAAGCATTTTTTTAACGTATGATAAAATATGAGAGAACTTAGAAGTTTTTTAGATTGAGATTTATATAAAATGCTAACATGAACAAAGCTAAGATAATTTCGTTAGTTTATTAGAATGTCATTCAGAGGATGATTTGTGGGTAGAATGATATTTGTACTATCAAGTTTCATATAAAACGTGTCTTCTTCAGATTTTATCAATATAACAAGCAGAATGGGCACTAGTTTATTGAGATCTTTAAGGACTGCTTTTATATTTTACTTGGTTTTATATCCACCGAAAAATTTGAATTATTATATTATTAGTAATTTCTAAAAGAAGTGAATGCATTGTGTTATTGAGTGAGAAACATTAAAATAATTTATTTTTTGTTTGCTCATGTGTGTCGGTTCAAGAGAGGCTTTTAGACGAACATATTCCATATTTAAAGTATAAGGTGAAAATAAAAAAAGAACTCATTAACTCAAGAGTACAGAACGTGAATGTCTTTTAAATCGTATATATCCGTATATTTGTAAAGACCCGTTTATTTAATGATAACTTTCACCTCATTTTGTAAATGATAAAATTCGATATAATTATATCATATAAAAATCCCGATAGCTTAACTTTATGTACCAAATAATGAATTTTATCGTTCTAGTGACATCATCTACATTGTTTTCACTAATATTTACGCATAATATTTGTTTTGTCAATGCTCTGTTATATAATTCAGTATCTGTTTCAAGGTCTATTGTATATTGTAATCATGATGATTAAACACAATACGTGCATGCAGTTTACAATTTACATAGTTTCAGGTGCAAGTTTACTGTGACGTAATAAGTTTACATTTCATATAAGTACTTACTATTGAATTATCTTCATTATTCTTCATATGATATTACTGAAGAAATATAAATGATACAATTATCTTGTACTTGATTTAAAATCAAGATTTGATTTGATATGCATTTTATAATTTACTAACATGCATTACCTCATCAAAATTATGGTCATAAACTAAAAATTTAAGAAATTATATTAGTTCTTATGAATAATAAAATATTTATACCTTATGAAGTAAATTTTAGCTAGCATATTACATGGACGTTCTTTTTTCATACTGTTTTAAATCTTATTATTAGGAATTTTAAGAACATACTCATGTGTAGTTTATAAAAGAGCAATAAAATCAAGCATTATTCAGTGGTTATTTAAATATATCTTTTAACAGGAGGAAGGGGCTGGCGCTGGTGGCTATGCAAAGGAGATGAGCGAGGAGTTCCTTCAGGCGGAGCGTGCTTTGTTGGGACGGGAGGCTCGGAGTTCAGACGTCGTGATCAGTACAGCACTCATACCAGGGAAACCGGCGCCACTGCTCATATTAGAGGTATTTACCGTTTTTTTTTGTATACATTGTAGTGAAAAGTAATAAATATTGAGTGTGTTCATAATGTTCTAAAATCTACAATAATGACTCGATTTATGTTGGCGAAAAAATGATTAAACTTTAAATCTGCAAATACTAGAAATAGGTTTTAATGTTTTTTGTCTCAATATTTATGTATAAAATATATTGCAAGTTTGTTACTGTTTTTTATATATAAATTAATCATTATATTACAGGATGCTGTAAAAGACATGGCCCCTGGAAGCGTGATAGTTGATCTAGCCGCTGAGATGGGTGGGAACGTACAGACGACCACTAAGGGCAAAGTGACAAGAGTTCATGACGTCACACACATCGGCCTCACAGACCTGCCGAGTCGCATGCCCGCACACGCCTCAACACTCTACGCCAACAATATCTCTGCATTCTTATTAAGTTTAGGTAAATTAACACTTACATATCATAGAAAAAAATAAGTGAAACAAAAATGACCACAATATTTTTGGTCCCTTAGATAAGTTAAATTAGAAAGAAATAGTTGTGTCCAAATTATTTTAAGTTGAGTTAATAAATCTCCTAACAAGTGCAAAACAAATCAGTCTCATTCCAATGCACTTTTATCTTAATTATTAAAAATGTTAAGCAGTATTAAGATACCAATTTATTTTTTAACAGATTATAAAAAAATCATACATTTATTTGATTGCGATAAAAAGTTTAATGTTGATAAAACTTTAATGCATTTATTGCGTTTTAATGCCCAAGATATCAATTGTTACAATGACCTAGTTATAAATAATAGAATATTTTGAAATTAAATTTTCTTTTATATATATTTGTCCGATCTTGCCATATTAACGAATGTCTGGCATTAAAATGTTTTTGGATGAAAAGTATTATTATATAACTTTCATAATTGTCGTAGACATATAACAAACAGAACAAAATTTCCTTTCACATTAAATAAAAAATAATCTCCATCTCTATACAATAGGTACTAATGATCACTTCCACATTAATCTGGAGGATGAAGTGACTCGAGGAGCGATAGTGCTTAAGGCTGGTGAATTGCTATGGCCCCCGCCCCCCGCGCCCGTGGCTGCCCCCGACAAAGCCCCCAAAACTGTCGCCCCTGTAAAGGTCGAGCCTCCTAACCCTTTCAATGAAACCTTAAAGGACACCTTCTTATATTCTACCGGTAAGCGTTCAAAGTTGCAAGGTATATAATGTGTTATATAAGCTATAAAATTCTTCATAATTCCATACAGACACTCTAACACTATCTTTATATTCATAACACTGTTTCTGACTTTTGTATTCGAATTAAAGTTTTGCGATAACTACAGCCGTAAATATACGATATTTAAATATAAAAAGAATATTATCAATATATATTTTTAGAATTATTGTTTAACAAAAAAAAATCAGTCGAATTTAAATCATCCTTTTTAAGGCGTTAAAAGGTATAGTTTCATAAAAAATGCAGTACACCATACATGCATGATTCAGGATTTTATTTCAACTCATAGGTTGAGAAAGAAAGTGCTCATTCCATTATAGTAACCCAGAAAACGGCAGAAAATAATTCTGCTATTGTTTATAGCTTTGAAATCTATATGAAAGAGGAAATTTTTCAGGAATATCTTTTAATGGAAGTAGCAAATGATGATGAATGTATCAACTAGTCTTATGAACACCGACACAATAATGACAATTTAATATTACAGGTCTGGCCAGTCTTATCGGTCTAGGTATAGCCTCGCCGAACCCAGCCTTCACCACTATGACCACCACATTGGCTTTATCTGGTAATTTCTATAGGATTTTTTTAAATCTCAGTACAAATCAATGAAACAAAAAAAGTAACTATTGTACTAGAGAATCAAAAACCAATGTCTGGTCCTCCTTTTCGTATTTATTTATAATCTTAATTGTTCGAATTTTAAATTAAAAGACTTGGTTTGAAAATAGTAAATACAGGGTGACTGGTGAGTTACTATCAATATTTAAGGACGTGGTAGTTGACGATCATATATGACAAAATAAAAATTAATATAACATAAATATTAATAAACTTCTAAGTAAAGTTAACCAAAAGTTATGTAATTAATTACGGATCGCGTGGATACCCTAGCTGCGTTATCGACACAAAACAGTTATGTACGTAGGTATATGTAGTTATCGCGCGGTAGTTTACCTACATCCAAACGCCGCGCGCCGCCGCGTGTTAGACCTTAGATAAACAAAAATGATCCATTTCCCTTCATACTTTAATCCTGGCTTAGGACAGGCAAAAATACCAAGATATTTCTTTCGTTTAAGCAACCAATTTATTGACTAGGTAAATGGTGTGACCTTGACACAAAAAATATATGAACTGTTTACCTATCTTGGTATTTCCGGCGTATTTAAAAATGGAATCATACTTATTTACAACAATTGTCAATCATTAAACTACCTATTTACCTACATAACTACACTAACCTTAACAAATGTTCAAAGTGAGCTCCTTCTCGTGTGATACACAGTTCGGCACGTTTACACATATTGTCTTTCACACGATTTAATACGAATGGGTCACTTTTAATAGTTTTGAAATCACTATTGATTTTTAATTTCAACTCCTCTCTGTTTACATACTCTGTAGCATACACAAGACGTTTCCTTGGGCATGTGTTGGAACACGGAACTGTCCGAAGTCTCGTAATCTTTGATTAGCGTTTAAGATGACGCTGGCCGTAGGTACTCGACGATTGGGGAACATCTCCCGGTACAAATTGATTGCGCCCCGCAAGCTTTCATTTGCACGCGCATACGCATGAACCATGTCCAAGTATTCTGCATTTGTGTATTGAAAAGCCATATTTAATTACTAATAAGTAATAACGGGTCACACGCACACACGACAGATTATTATTAGGTATACGCGTAAGATCGATCGCTAGGCGCGCGCGCGGGAAGACGAACGTACGGACCTTACGGCGGCGCTCGCGCGACTAATAGCCGACTAATGGCCCGCTAGCCACGGGGCGGGGGTTGGGGAGTAGCGACACACTGGCGCCGGCAAGGCACGTGTCCAAACTTTATTTATTTATACGGAAATTTGGTCAAAAATTAAGTACCTATTTTTTTTACATAATTCGAATGAGAATCATGTACCGAGTATGCTCCTTAAATATTGATAGTAACTCACCAGTCACCCTGTATATACGTAACATTCAAATACATATCAATAAATAGGTGTTGTGGGTTACCACACGGTATGGGGTGTGGTACCGGCGCTACACTCTCCTTTAATGTCTGTCACTAACGCCGTGTCGGGTATTACGGCTGTGGGGGGACTACTGCTGATGGGAGGAGGCTATCTACCAGAAACACCTGTGCAGGTAACTGCTGCATTAATGACGTCATAATAATTGTTAGACGGCAGGGCCTATATTTTTGTAGCTGCTACTTTGAAGTGAATATTTAATACTTTAATATTAGTTTTATATTGAAATTTCTGGCAAACCTAATGTCTTTTAACTCCAACTATCACAAAATTGGAATAGAATACAATAAATACCACGCTATTTGAGTGCATTTTCTCGCTAACAAAACAGAGTCGATACATTCACAATGTCTTTGTTCTTCCAGTGGCTTGCCAGTACAGCGGCACTGATCTCCTTTGTCAACGTATTCGGAGGGTTTATGGTGACACAGCGTATGTTGGATATGTTTAAAAGGTAAAAAATAAACTTTATCTTAAAAGAAAAGTTTAGATTTTGTTAATATCTTATTTCTTTCTTTCCATCCAGGCCAGGTGATCCACCAGAATATGGATATCTGTACGCTATACCTGCTGCAGCACTTTTAGGTGGATACATTACAACAGCAATGCAGGTATATACATTATACATATTCCAAGCATGGTATTTAAAGAAATTCATTTGCTCTATACACTCTTTTTGAACAAGCGTTGACAAAGTTCCACTATATAAGAATTATAATTATAATGAATTATACGTACATAAAGATAAAAAAGACAAACTCATAAACTATATATTTTATATATTTTTCTTTTATAGGGTTACCCTGAAGTTCACCAGATGGCGTACCTAGCTTCGTCGTTATGCTGCGTCGGAGCACTCGCCGGCCTTAGTTCACAGACGACAGCCAGGAAAGGAAACTATTTAGGAATGGTAATTTATACCTATTAAAGATTGATATAAAAAAGAAGTATTCAAAAATGATAATCTTTTTAATAAACAAGTATGAACAACGTGCAATCGATGATTAGAAAAGGCATCCATAAAGAAAAAGACGTAGCTATAGACTCGGCCCAAGACCCACTCATTGTAATCTTGATGACATTAGTATTAATCTTTTGATCATTGTAAAGGCATTGAGATATTAAAGACATTCAAACATTATTTTTGACTAGTAATAATCAAAATATTACATACACTTATTGTTTTTAAGATGTGTATTTCGAAATTTCAATACAAGTGTAATAGGCAAGAGTAATGTTTTTGTCTGGAAATATAGCTCAAGTGATATCACGTGTTTTGAAGTAAGAGCTCATGATCGTCAGCTGTATTTCTACATACTAACTTAAAAGAGGCAACTTGGGTAAAGCTCGTCTAATTTTGATGATACTTTAGTAATATGAGATTGCATTATTCTTTTGATAAAAAATATGTATATTTCATATATTGTATAGTAATGTAAAAAGTTTGTACTAGATTGGTGTATCCGGCGGTATAGCGGCTACACTCGGAGCGTTGACGCCAACAGCTGAGGTATTGGCACAAATGGTAGGCGTGGCGGGCATTGGTGGTCTACTTGGTGGAGTCATCGCTAAGAAAATTGAAATCACTGATTTGCCACAACTTGTAGCTGGATTCCACAGGTGTTTCTCTTTTAATTATTATTTTTCGCCATATCAACTTTAAAAAACTTTATAATATCTATCTGTATTCCTTATTTTCTCTCCAGTTTGCTTGTCATATATATTTGTTGTCTACTCTTAATCACTAAGCTAGAAATTTAGCTATTATAAAAAGTTAACTCGACCAAGGTTCTTATATTCAGAAGATCGTCGTGTAACGTCCATTCAGATGAATTTCATTCAATATATTAGTATAATGAGTAGTTCCAATATTTATATCATTTGGAGCAAATTGAAACTCTTGTTGACATCTTTTTAGAAATTACTGAATGTTATGGAATCTATTCCATATACAAATTCTGTACTGCTAGCCGTTATAAAAAATTAAAAAAACTTGCTAATAATGAATACATGTTTTATTAATAGTTTGGTAGGCATGGCCGCTGTATTAACATGTCTGGCGACGTACATGCACGATTTCCCCGCCATGGCGCTGGACCCCACAGCAGCCACGCTTAAGACATCTCTCTTCCTTGGAACGTACATCGGTGGAATAACGTTCACGTGAGTACAGTATATTATACACTGATAAATAATGATGACATAGATTTATAATAATTTCTTACCAATAAACATTATATCTAAACTATATAGTAACTTTTCCTTGAAATTCTGAGTTAAAATAATGTTCATTATAATAATAATGAAAATTAATGAATAATTTTTTGGAAAATCTCAAAAAGGTTGTCACACATTATTTTTCTGTATTTGAAAACGTACTACTACATTTTCTCGGCGATACATGAGTTGTCAGAGTTAATAGAAGTCTTTATTTCAACGGTCTCTTCATTACACTTCCAAAACAATTTACGCAGGTTGCATATAGACTTTACAAACCCGTTACAAATCCGTCATATCAGTATAATCGATATATATATTTTTTTCTGGTTTACTACAAATAAATAACTCAAAACTTTCAATTTACATCCTATTAGCCTATGAATGTATGTAATTTCTTCTCCAGCGGGTCGTTAGTAGCCTACGGTAAACTTCAAGGAGTATTATCTTCGGCCCCCTTGTTGCTGCCGGGTCGTCATGCTCTGAACGCGGCGCTGGCCACGGGAGCACTGGGCTGTGGCGGCGCCCTGCTCGCCTTCCCCGAAGCCCCCGGCCTGCCACTATTATCCGCCGCCGCAGTCCTCAGCGGCATACAGGGACTCACACTCACATCTGCTATTGGTGGTGCGTTGATATTATTTTTCACTTTCTTATAAACGCTCTTCTAAGGTTATTAATTCCTTATATTTTCTTCTCCACATCAGAATTTTTTGTTCTAACAGTGTATATTTACAATCATTGGTACTGGTGATGTAAATTTAGAATAATATTAAGATAAAAAAAATCAATTGATATAACAGTTCTGTTCTGTTTGTCGACTAAACTTACTTTTAATTAATTGATAGACTTTTATTATGATAACAACAAAAAAACGTAAGATTTCTCTTTGCAAGGAGTAATTCTTATAATATATCATGTGTAGGTGCCGACATGCCGGTGGTGATCACAGTTCTCAACAGTTACTCCGGCTGGGCGCTGTGTGCTGAAGGGTTCATGTTGAACAACTCTCTAATGACCATCGTCGGCGCACTCATCGGCAGCTCCGGAGCTATCCTATCTTATATTATGTGCAAGGTAATATCAGCATAATACTTTCTGGTAATATAAAGTAACTGAAATGTAAAATAATGTAGTATCAGACATACTAATAATAGTCTCATTTCATTATATTAGGTTTGATTTCAAAAAATATTTATGATTGTAAGTCAGTGGTGGCCTAGTGGTTACAAGGCCCGCCTCTCTTGCACGAAGGCGCGGGTTCGATCCTGGTCCGGGCAAGTACCAATGTGATTTTTCCGAGTCATATGTACTTTCTAAGACTATTTAGACATCACTGATTAATGCCGATTCCCAAAAGAGGGTTGATGTCAGGCAGACGGCCGGTCGTAAAAACAATTAGCCAAAACTATTCACAACAATATTAAGGCAGACCCTGGCTAAAGCTGGGAAATTGCCAGGTAGAAGAAAGACTTATGATTGTAATGCAATGGTACGATTCATATTAACATATTAGTTTTTTTATCATAACCTTCGTCATTTAAAAAATTATTTAAAATCTATATGGATATAATTAACATAAAAATACAATTAAAATTTAAATTCTAATTGTCATCAATTTATTCCAGGCCATGAACCGTTCGTTGCCGAATGTAATCCTAGGTGGGTACGGTGTAACGGGGTCCGGATCAGCTCGCCCGGAAGGGGCCACTCACACCGAGATGAACGTCGACAGTGTAGCAGACCTCGTTCACCGAGCCTCCTCTATTATTATAACTCCCGGTATAGTAAATGGCTTTCGATAATTCAGTCTATATTATACTGCCAATATCTTCTTAACTAACCTTTTTTGTTATATTTCTTTTTTCTTAAGGTTATGGTCTGTGTGTGGCCAAAGCTCAGTACCCTATCGCCGAATTGGTGGACATTCTTAAGGGCATCGGAAAAAAAGTGCGTTTTGCTATACATCCAGTTGCTGGTAAGTAATTATTCTTTAGCAGATATAGTTTTGTAAATATTATATTTATGACAAGTAATTTAACCATATCTGTATAAAAAATAATAATAGTGAGTTATTCTTCAAATGTATGTTATTATTATAAAAGGTCGTATGCCCGGCCAACTGAACGTGCTCCTCGCTGAAGCCGGTGTGCCGTATGACGACGTGTTCGAGATGGAGGAAATCAACGATGAATTCCCGGAAACTGACTTGGTCTTAGTTATAGGTATATATATTCAGACAGATTATTTAAACCACATATTATGAGAATTTTTCGCCTATATACTTTTAAACAAAACTATGGTGTTTTCGAATTTACTTTACGTATTTCAATATTCTACCGGTCGTTACATTTTAGCAAATTCATTGACAGTCGAGACACTTAATTCTAGGATTAACAACAAAAAAACAACCAACAAGATATGTAAAAATTTGATATTAAGCAAAATATAATATTTTAGGCGCCAACGACACCGTGAACAGTGCTGCTGAAGACGACCCGGAGTCTCCCATAGCAGGTATGCCGGTACTCAAAGTGTGGAAGGCGAACCAAGTAAGTTTATAATATTATACAAATAAAATATACTCATACTGTTCTGATACAAACTAGTGTTAATACGATTTTTTTATTATAAATGATTTCAAAGTTTTTCATTTGTTTCATAAATCTCCGTCATTCTCATTTAGTCTGTCCTAAATTTGAAAAAGGAATCAGAACATATAATTCAAATGTTTTTTTTTTTAATTTCCAGGTGGTAGTGATGAAGAGGTCTATGGGTGTCGGCTACGCGGCCGTTGATAACCCCATATTCTACAACCCCAACACCGCCATGTTGTTGGGTGACGCCAAGAAGACTTGCGACGCACTTCTTGACAGAATCAAACATCTCGCTGCATAAATTAATGATAAACATTAATTACATATATATAATTGTTGAGGGGCTTTTAGATACTTATGAGAGTTTAATCAGAAGAAATCAATTTTATATCCTTAAATATTATGAATTGAAAATAGAAAAATATGTATCAAATCTTTATTATTGATGTAAATTCTTTTATAAGAACTTTAAATAGAATCATGTCCAATATTTAAAAACCCGTAAACAGTTCCCTGTGTCCATTTTGTTATCAAATATTGGCTGAAGATTAACACCTATACATTTTTTTGTCTGTGACAATTAAGCCAATAATGAGAGGATTATAATTATTAAGAAATATCATGTTATAATCTTAATAGTAATAGGTGATTTAGAAAAAATGCTCACAATTTTTTTTATGTCACGATTTTTAATATTAACATTAGTTAATATGATATTTTTTACCACATTTTAATAACGCTTGTTGTGAATACCACGTAAGTGCCTTTACTAATATAAATGAATTCTTTATGAATCTAGTCTGTAAATTGTTTTAAAATTAAGTATGCAATGGACTGGATGAAATTATTTTAAAAGTTATTTTTAATATAAATTTTTTTATAGGTTGCGTATTTAGAATAAATATACGAGCAACGTTGATTACTCCGTAGTAATAATATTTCGAAATAATAATAAATATATGCAATTGAAATTCATTATTTAGTTATGTGTCCTTATATTTTGGACACTCGGTATATTCTCGCCATATAACACCCCATCGTTATTGCAATCTAGTCTTCCAAAAATACATTGAGTTATAGATTTATGTCAATTACCTACTACTGTACCATGTCCTACATAAGACATGAGAAATTCAAATATTTTTTTAAGATAATGCTCTTACATCTTTATTCTTATGTTTAGAGAAGCTAGCGCCTTAATACTTTTGTTTATTGTAATCTCAAATAGGTTTACATTCCAACGTAATTATCTTACTAGATGTATGAAATGTAAAAATATTGCATTTTATTTGTATGCATTATTACAGAATGTGTTAAGTATGAAAGGCGCTATTTTATGTTATTATGCGGCGAGTGTATTCTTACAAATTAAATAAATTTTATAATAAAGAACAAGAATTTTATTTATGTAATCATGTATGAATTTTTAATAACAATTATTATTTTAATTTCAATAAAAAACATAGAAAATACATAACTTTGAATTATGGAAAAATTTTCATAAAATGGCTGGAATACAACATACTGAAGGGCTGGGAATTATAACTCGAGATACGTCATGACTCATGTCGCTTTATATATTTTTATTCTAGTATTGAAATCCAGTTGATTTAAACTTATATCCTTAAGTAATTACTCATTTATGTAATGAAGTGGTAGATGTTGTGAACCGTTAGTTTGAGGGAGAGAGCATTTTAGTTTTGATATTCGAATTTAAAGAACGTAATCCGTAATGTAGATTTGCGGATGTGTCGCTACCCTTGATTGAGGATGAGGGGGATGAAAGGATGGGAATGGGAGGGAAAAGGAAAAGGTCATCCGGCTCTCTTACTTATCGGATGAGACACAGACATTACAAGACATCTCTTTAATCTTTCTGTGAGAGGGTGGTAATTCTCCGGTTAGCTTGAGCTAGGCTCTACCACCTGAAAAGATTAACGTTTATTGGCCAAGAGATTTAAGGTTTCTGAATGTGAACACTGCATTTCTTTTCGTACAACTAACCTATATAGTCTATTATTATCTATGCAACTAACAACCAAGTATAGAAAGGTGTAAAAGAATTTAAATTAATAATTTGTTGAACTTCAAAATATTATGTTTCAAAAAAAAAATACTTTAAAATCATATAAAGGTACTGCATATAAAAATCGTTATTTTTTTTGCATACATTTATATCGAATCGAAAATTTTAGGCTGTATGGTGTTTGTATTTGCCCTGGCCATATCACAACTAAACGTCATTTTGAGATATGAATGTCAAATGTCAGTGTAACTCTAAGTACCTACAAATTACAATTCACATTGGCATTGGCGCTGTGTGAAGTTGTATTCGATTGAGTGGGGGTACGTGTTACCGGTTAACATATTTTGTTCTTAAAAAAGAGAAAATCAATAAACAATAACACTAAGAATTATCATAGTAAAAATATGGAATAATTTTATAATATTTTTAGTTCATGTTATCTTACAAATGAATATATATTGTGAAGTAAATACATCTTTTTCTACAGTGTGAAGACGACACCTGGTAATTAGAATTTATATTAGGATAGCAAAATAGCACGTAGCTTTATGTTGTCTGATACCTTCGAGTAGTGTCTGCTGTTCAGTTACATCGCATCGATTATCACTATGGTATGTCTTATTATTTTCGTGTATATCGAACTGGAAGCTTTATAAATAATTATGACGCATAGCAGTGAATACTTTTAACCGTAGGCATGCTTCTTATATTTATATATTTATATGCATCATTTTTACAAATTTATTTTTAATGCGGCTAGTATTTATATAAATTTTTGGAATATTAAGATTTATTTCTAAAATGTACAATATATGTATGTATGTATGTATAGTGTATACTTATCACAATAATTTAATTATTTATTTGTTTTTAGGCAAGTGATAACAACATGCCTGTTAACAGCAAGTTTGCTCTTCCTGTGAGCAGTGATGAAAATATGAGTGTGTTATCATACATATACAGATTCTTTAAAAAGGTAAGCTATTACTGTCTTAAATACAAATATTACCGAACTTACCAAAACTATTAAGAAAGTAAGATTATCCTGTTACCATTACAATATAAGTAAATATTACATTGTATTTACTGTGTTGAGTATTGATTATAATTGAATATGGAAGCTTATATTTTGGAACGGAGCCAAACTACTTATTGGGTTTTGTGTGGTACATGAAAATTTAAATACAAATGCTTTCTTGTTAATTACTTTGGCCTGGTTAATTTACAAAACAAATGCTCACACATAGTTATGAAATGAGTCAGTGCGGCCTTCATGTTTAAGACTCTTGAATCATTAGATATTTGACCTTCACATTAACATTATTTAGTATAGTGAATTGAGATAAACAAAATTAAACTGTTCTGATACCAATACTAATCATTTTTATTCTTATTGAACATACAATTCTAAAATGCTAAGGTAAAAAGTAGAAAATTTAGGTGAAATAAAGGTGGCGTTATTGCTTTAAGATAATACTCCACACAATGTTAGGGTTACATAAAGAAACAAACAAGTGTATCATAAAAAATATATTCACATACATTTATTTTTAATCTAACATTTGTATAAATAATCTTAGTATAGTCATTAAAAACATTATTACCATGGCATCACTTAATAAACACAATACATGTATTCAAGATCACTTTTATTGACATCTTATCAGCGGAAATGTAATAGAAATTTTAACTTTTATTATACATAAGTGTTGAGTATACTTGATATTATACACCTACAATAAAGTTTTAAATTGAGAATATAAATGTTTATGCTTTAGAGTCATAGACATGATATAAAAAAGATTTTAATAACATTGAACTACTTTGTGCTTTGATGACATCATACAAGTTATAAATATTCCCATTGGACAGGATATGCGTGCGGATCACATACTTCATCGATTGTTGGTATGGAAAAAGATATCGATATATCTGCAGTGTAGACGAGGGTTTACTATTGCTACAAATAAGGAACTTATTTATGATTAAACTAGGCAAGGTCCTTTGTACGCGTCAACATGTGTTGGTCTATTTTAAGCCAGTTTGAACAGTCGGATTAGTGCATGTTATACGAATGACGACGTTTCTGTTTTTCTTTATAATCTATATAAGAGTAAGGAAAATGGAAATGAATACTGTATGAATAGAATATAAATATTCCTTTGACGAAGTTAGCAATTATGTAAATATAGCTCAATACTTATCACCCGCATTTAGTGCGTTATATGTAAATACAAACAAATATACAGCTATACACAATTAAATAAGTAACAATAACAAAAAGGGAATTTTTTCGAAGACTTATAATTGAAATTTTTATTCATTATTTCTAAAATAAAAGCATTGACTCAGCTTAGATCTAATGTCACGCAGTAACCTATTTAAAAAAAAAGTAAATTATGAAGAAAAATAGAAATTTTTGAAAACACCAAAAAACTTTTCCATTGAGAACTATAGTTGTTGAATGTACCAAAAAGGTTTCATATTATAAAAAAATCAATTAGGTTTCGATAGTTGGAGCGGTGTACTTGGTGGGTTATATGCAATGGAGTGTGGCGTGGTTGCTGGGGCCGGTCGTGTTGTCGGTGATGAGGGACCAGTGGAGGCGGGACAGCGAGTACCGCCGCAACCTCGCCAAGACAGCCGCCCTCTCCTCCGAAAAGGACATCGTACTGGCCAAGCTTGATGACTTACCGGCTTGGGTGAGAACCATATTAATTAGATAGTTAATGATGATGATGAATACATTTTGAAAAGTTGCTACAGAGTGAACGAAATCCACAATGACATATTCATTATTCATACAAGCCTAATTTCATAGGAAGATAAAAACCGGGCCTTTTTTACCAATACTTCTTTGCAACTATAACAATATAAACAAAATATGTAATCTTATTTTTAGGTGTTCTTCCCAGACGTCGAAAGAGCGGAATGGCTGAACAGGGTGAGTACGTCACACTTTGAAAAATTATCTTGAGCAGGAATCAATTTGCCTTAATTGTGTGCTAACTTTGTGAAACATTTTATTGTCCTACAGATATTGCTTCAAGTGTGGCCCAACGTGAACCACTACGCCCGAACTCTTCTCAAGGACACCATAGAGCCAGCGGTGGCGGAAAGTCTTTCCAACTTTAAGCTTAACGGTTTCAAGTTTGAACGCATGATCCTCGGTACTATCGTAAGTGAACATATATTATTCTTCTTTTTCTTCCTGGCAATTTCCCAGCTTTAGCCAGGGTCTGCCTCGTACATATATTATTATAATTCCTATTATGTTTACCAAAGAACAGTTTATTGTGAAGTGCCAAAAAAAAAATACTTAACATTCTTATGATCGTTGGAATTAGTTAACGATAGCATCTTAAACTATAGGTTTAGCTTAATATGTCAAAAAAAACGTCCAATTTAAATACAATATCCGTTATAAAAATTTGCATCATCAACCTTCCAGTGATTACAGTTTTTCATAATGCAAGATTTATGCATTAAAAATGGAAACGCACTGAACTGAACAACTTTTATAATAAGTTATGTTAGTTAAGGATATTTTTGTTAAGGATAAGTGTAATGTATTAACGTGTGGTATTTGTTGCCAGGCGCCGCGTGTCGGAGGCGTCAAGGTCTATGATAAGAACCTCTCGAGGGATGAAATCATCATGGACGTGGACTTATTGTGAGTTTGTTCAACATGATTCATAGCTTTATCATGACTATAAACTTGTAAACGTATTATCGTACACGATAACTCAACTATTCCTAGAATGCCCACTTAATTTGTAATAATACGTCGTAAAAGTTTCGATCGTGTTTTGTTCCAGCTATGCCGGCGATTGTGATATATCATTCGTCCTACAGCGTATACGAGGTGGAATTAAAGATCTACAGGTACATAGTGTAAATTGATTACAACATAAAATGATTTGCCGACATTTATTTTAAGAACGCAGTTGTACTAGCTTATCAACCAAACAAAGTACATACATATGTCCATTCTGTACAAACAAACTCATAGGTAAATAAATCATTGTCTAGGAATTATTCAACCAATACTTCCCATACTTATTTGTTATCCACGAGTAACTCGTAACGAGCTATGTAAGTGAATTCTAATGGGATCTTTATCTTCTAGTTGTCTGTTCACACACATACACATATGCTCACACACACACACATACAGGGTGACTGGTGAATTACTATCGATATTTGAGGACGTGATATTTGACGATCATATATGACAAAATAAAAATTAATATAACATAAATATTAATAAACTTCTAAGTAAAGTTAACCAAAAGTTATGTAATTAATTACGCATCGTGTGAACACCCTACAGATTAGGTATACACTGACACTCACACATACGCATGTCGTGACGTGGTGTTGTATCAACACGTCGCCGCACGCGTCCACACTTGAACACTTGGAACGTGTCAACACTTTACTTATTTATACGGAAATTTTGTCAAAAATTAAGTGCCTATTTTTTTTTACATAATTCGAATGAGAATCATGTACCGAGTATGCTCCTTAAATATTGATAGTAATTCACCAGTCACCCTGTATATGCTCACACACACATGGAAATAATCCCCATGAACGTCTGCCTTCAGATCCACGGCATGGTCCGCGTGGTGATGAAGCCCCTCATCAGTAAGATGCCGCTGGTGGGAGGGCTGCAGGTGTTCTTCCTCAACAACCCCTCCATAGACTTCAACCTGGTGGGTGCGGCCGACGTACTCGATATGCCCGGCTTTAGGTAGAATATATTACTATCAGTATTTATCTCTATTACCCTCATTTATATAATTTTACCCTCTCGTTCCATCTCACTAGCAGTGGCAACGAATACGTACCCTTCGAAGTTATGTTATAAACTGGATTGTCTGTGTCTTATAAATGAAACAACCGTTTTATAAGCCTATGAATACCAAAACATCATTTTTTATAATTTTTGTCTGCCTGTTTGTTCCGAATAATCTCTGAAATAATTGGACCTATTTTGACGGGACTTTCATTGACAGATAACTGATGCAATAAGGAGTAACTTAGGATCCTTTTTATTCCCATCTCGAATCCGGATACCAAAATGGAGCGTTAATTGATTTTTTACTTTTAAAAATAGTTAATCAATAAAATATTATTATATTTTAGTGACATCTTACGTCGTTGCATCGTCGAACAAATATCAAGAATGATGGTGTTACCCAACAAGCTGCCTATCAAGCTCAGCGATGAGATACCCACGGTTGACTTAAGAATGCCAGAGCCAGAGGTGAGTTCATGATATATATTGTAATGTCTTTTTGGATATAAGTAGCAATATTAATATATATTTTTTGATTACAGGGTGTCCTTAGAATTCATTTGGTCCAAGCACAGAATCTCATGAAGAAGGATGTCTCCATGTTGGGTTAGTGGACATAAAAAATACTTAGTCTAAATATATGTATTACTAGTTTTTCTACCACTTAATTAACGCTATATTCGTAATAGCTGAGCGAAATATCCAAAGCAAATGAAAATCATGGATATGGTAACCGACAGTGATATCTATAATTATTATAGATTATAATCAGTGTCTTGTGACTTCATACGCAATACTACTGATATTTTATCCTAACGTCTCAGCTACTTTACAGTAACGTTTGTAAAAATGTAATAATATTTTTTTTTGTTATAAATCCAACAAATAATTCGTACAAAAGCTTTTGAATTTAGAATATTAGTATTCTGAGTCAGTGTTTAAATATTTAAATATGCCAATAAACAGTACAATCTTAGGTACTACAATATTCTACTTACATAGCACCTGATTTTCTATAACCACTATATTCCTACCTTAAGGACTACTATATAAGAAATAAATTCCTTTGTCACAGGTAAGGGCAAGTCTGATCCATACGCGATAATAACAGTTGGGGCTCAGCAATGGAAGACAAAACACATTGACAACAACATCAACCCTAGATGGGAATTCTGGTGCGAGGTATGATCATGCCGGGAGCATACATATGTATATTTTGCCAGTTTAATGCATTAAATCTCGTATTTAGCACGGTTATGGATGCACTTTCTTATATTACTATTAGTTACTAAGCTTCTTGAACGAAGACGTCTGAATTCTGACTTTCGAAATTATTAAAACTGGTAAGTGTATGGAATTCATCCATTTAATTGTTTATGTAACAGTATGAAGTGGATTTATGTTAGATTTCTTTTTGCTTAGAAGAAATGACGAAAGAAAAAAATGTTCTCTACTAAAAATATTCATAAGCTCCAATTTGAGTTCCACAAACCCCAAAGTATACGACTTACCAAAAAAATATGATTAAACTTAATTTTTTTTTTTGGTTTTCAAGATCAAATAGAAGTATACCCTCTTATTTTTAAATTTAAAAGTTTTACAAAAATATTTGAGATCTCATGCTCGCCCTCCAGTGGGCTTATTCTAAGGTTAAATCGTCACCCGTTTCTAATTCAAAAACTTGCATTATACTATAATATGTGAAGATATATGAATGAAAATTTTCTTTCAACTATTGGTGAGGGGACTGAAAACTACAGTATAGCTTACAATGACGAAAGAAACGCTGTAACTCACGAGCGTTTTCCTCAAATATATTTGTTATAAACAAAGTTTTTATAAAGTTATTACTAGCTGTCTAAAATAACTTTAAGTTGTAAATAATTTTATGTACACCACAATGTTTTGTCTACTCTTATTTCGTCTTCTGTATATAGTTTTTGTATTCATGTTTGTGTCATGAGGTTTGTTTTGGATGTAGTCAGATTTTGGAACTTTGTTCGCAGATACATAACGAATGTAATACTTGGCAATATAAACTATTCTATAGAGCTTTAGTAGCTTTTTTTTTTTTTTAGATCAAGCATGTTTTGCCTTAATAATTTCCGTAATTCTTCGTTGATTAAATTAATATATTTTGGATTTTTATTAGCTGTTGCTACTATAAATAATAAATCTGCTTTGCGCATGTATGATTTAACTGACCAATTTAGTTACTTTCACTAACGTTGTTTGGTTTTATATTATTTTAAACGGTGAATGAACTTAATAGAAATTTTGGATAACAACATTAACACTACTTTCTTATACTGCATTGACTAATATATTAAAACGACCGATTAAAAAACGTGTTAGAGAAATGATTTTGTTCTGTCACTTATGTTTGCTCGGGACTCTATTCGGCGAACAGGCGCGAATTATGCAATCACTTGGGCAGGCGTTGGACATTGAAGTGTTTGACAAGGACGAAGGGAACGATGACGACAAACTGGGCAGGTGAGTGAGGTGGTGGGGGGAGGGGGTCCACCTTGACAATAAGAAGGAGTATAATAATAAGTAGGAATTGGTTAAGGGTTTTTAGATGTAAGAACGGCTCGTCAATAAGTAAGTGTGCACTAGAATAGATTGCTATATGTGCTTGACGTAAGTTATGCTTATGATGTATAAGAAAATGCGAAACACGTGTTGGACCAAAAGATAAATGGTAACATTAATTTATTTTCGCATCTTCTTGTACTAAATTAACAGCCTCTGTGCCTCCTAGTTTGCGACGTAGGACACTGCAATATATGACTACCAAAAAATTGTTGCAGTGTTCTAAGTATCCGCTTGCTGCTATACTCTAGGCTATATTTTATTGCACATGTGTATTTCATTTATAGGTTCTGCTTCACCAATAATATATATTATGTATAAGGTATTGTAAAGCGAGAAGGCGATGCCTCCGTATGAGGTATATAATTAACTGATAGTAATTTTTTCTAAGGCTATAATAAGCTCGAGAAAGAGCCAGGTGCTGCAGTGCGAGCTGTGGGACTGGGACCCGGGGATGGGCATACAGAACGATGATTACCTCGGCAGGTCCGTTTGAAGGCGCGACTTTTACTTTGAGTGTCATACCCTCATATTGACGTCAGCAACAAAAAAAAACAAAAACTAACCACTGATGACGTCGATATGCGGCTCACGTTTTGTTTATGAGTTTTTTTTGGTGTTTCGATGCTGATTGTTCTTTATTTTGATCTTATATTATTTATGATTGGGGATCATCACGGCTTAGTCTATAAAGTTTTATGATTTATACTAACATTGCTCGATTGACAGGAACTAAAAAAAAATATTATCTAACGTCTATTTTGTTTGCGCTTGTGTATATATAAATGGGTTGTGACAGTCTGTGGTGCGACAGTCGGGCGGCAGTGTCGCCATACAGCTTTACGACTGGGACAGGGCTGGCAGGGATGAGAAATTAGGCAGGTCGGTTGAAGATAGCATGATGATAACGAACATTAAAAATGTCCTCAACAGGCATGTCATCATCACTTCATTGATGGAACATCGAAAAGTAGACCAATGATAGAATCCACTCAAAGAAATGTTGCCAAAAAGCGCTTTGGAACGTGCAATGCTTCATTATAATGAATTGCATAATTCAATCTCATAGTTTTCATCAATTTTCACAGTTATAATTTTTATCACAAGGTCACATTAACTACAAATGAATATGCCTACAAATATAACATACTAAAAGATCTTGCACCAAATTTTCATTGAAATGTATATGAATCATTCTTTAATTGGACTAGATCATCCTTAAATATTTTCCACCTGATGAATCTGTAGGTGGTGAACGCACTATCTCAGTAATAGCCTTGATTCTATTATAAAGTAATACAAAAAAGTTTTTTCTACAATATCTGCACTGCACGACTGTCACAATGTCACGATTAAATTACTTTTAAGTGCCAACATTAACAAACTAAATGCTACTGGAACAATATTTTTGTGTTTGTGGCTGTTTATAATTAAAAAAAATATTCGAACTAAAAAGTATATTATTTTCAGATGTTCTTTGGATATATCTCAAGTTGTTCGTGCTGGACGTTTAGACACGGTGAGATTTATATCAAATATACATATGTAGCCACCTGATGTTTATGAAGATTATAATATATATGTTTTATTCATATTTCAGTGGCAAACACTGCAACAGGCTAAGACCGGCAAAGTACATTTGCGTCTATCGTGGCATCGCTTTTCAACTGACTTGTTGGATCTCAGTCATGTAAGTTCATTTAAATATATATATTTTTACATGTGTAGAAATCAGTGTTACCTTACGTTATATTATTTTTACAGGCCCTAACAGAGACTCAACTTGTTAAGAATGCTGAACTGAGTTCGGCTGTTCTATCCGTCTACATCGATTCTTGCAAACATTTGCCTGTAAGTAATTATTATTTTTATAAATAAAATTAACACCACTCATAACCGATTTCATTTTACGTCATCCAGTGACGTCATCAGTTGAAGTGGCACAATTTACAATAAAACTTAGCTTTGCATTTGTATTTTGTATATTTAGAATTCTATGTTCGCTATTGTTAAACTGTGTACCATGGAGTCAAGACACGTATTCTCTATCGTTCTGCTGTCGTTCACACTATCATATTATTCAATATTCCCAGTATAATCATGTATGGTTTCAGAATGCTCGTGCGCAGTCCCGTCCAGATCCATACCTTGTGGTAACGGTTGGTAAGAAGAGTGAGAATACTGGAGTACAGATGAGAACAGACAGCCCCGTCTATGAGATCGGATACTCGTTCTTAGTACAGAATCCTGAGATTGATGTACTGGAAATAAAGGTACTAAACATTTAAATTAATTAAATCGATCAATACTATTATTATATAAGATCCGCAATCCACCTTAACGTACTGGCTTCAACAGTTCATAATATATAAAAACATTTTTACTACCTGCGTAAGGAATATTGAATTATATGCTGTATTGTCAATAATAAACAGCGCCAGAATGGCAACTCCTTACATCATGAGGATCAATATTGCCAACATAATATATTATATTTTACTAATATATTTCTGTTCGTCAGGTCCTCGATCAAAAGACAGGAAACCAGCTAGGAATGCTGAGCTACGGTATATCAACGCTTTTGAAACAAAAAAATCTGACGATGTTGAGTCAACCGATGAACCTACAAAAGTCTGGCCCCGAATCTAAAATCATCATTGCGGCTCAATTGAAGGTGATACAAAAACAAAATAAAAGATAACTTAACTATTTACATAAAAATCATATAAGTTAATGTCTTCTTAAAGACTGCTTTACAAGTTTGTTTTGTTTCTATCTCTCAGATCCTTAAAGAGGCTGTCAAGGAAGAGGACTTTGATGAAGAAACAGTTTCCGTGGCAAGCGAACCATCGGATGACCGCACTGAGGACAAAAAACCGGATCCACCGAGCACTGAACCCACGGGTAATAAATACATTGATATTAGTAGAGAGGAAAAGAGACAAAAGATATTCTATATTTGAAAATAACAATGATTTAACGTTTATTTTTTAGTATTATTCAAATTACACACAGATTCTGCGCTAAAAGTTGTTTTTATTGACTATATCGAAAAATTATTTTTGCAGCTGTTGCACCACCTGTACCTTCGAACACAGATCTGAAGAATATAGAAGACACTCCCCCGGCTACCGACACCATCGACAATAACTCCGAAAAATCTATACCCGTCGAACAAATTATTAAGGAAGTTGGTGAGTCTTGGTTGAATATAAATTTTATACTATTACTAGCTTTCCGCCCGCAGCTTCGCCCGCGTGGAGTTCGGTTATATCGCGTTTCCAAGAGACCCTTTCCAAAGTCTGGGATAAAAACTATCCTATGTTCTTTCTCAAGGTCAACTCTACGTCTGTACCAAATTTCATTAAAATCAGTTCAGTGATTTAGGCGTGAAAGCGTATTTTCCATTGTTAACGCCCCCGCAACCCCACTTGTGGTTGGAGTTTCGTAAAATCCGTTTTTAGCTGACCTCTACTCGGCGAAAGGAATAATCCTACCAAATTTCAAGTCGCGACGTCTTATGGTTCCAGAGATTTCGTGATGAGTCAATATATAGGTGGAAATCTCTTTTATATATATAGATAATACCATATAAATATGTATATATACAGGGTGACTGGTGAATTACTATCAATATTTAAGGAGCATACTCGGTACATGATTCTCATTCGAATTATGTAAAAAAATAAGTACTTAATTTTTGACCAAATTTCCGTATAAATAAATAAAGTGTTGACACGTTCCAAGTGTTCCAAGTGTGGACGCGTGCGGCGGCGTGCTGATACAAAACCACGCCCCCGCCGCGCGTGTTTGTGTGCGTGTGTATACCTAATCTGTAGGGTGTGCACACGATGCGTAATTAATTACACAACTTTTGGTTAACTTTACTTAGAAGTTTATTAATATTTATGTTATATTAATTTTTATTTTGTCATATATGATCGTCAAATATCACGTCCTCAAATATCGATAGTAATTCACCAGTCACCCTGTATAATAAAAGTAACCCATTTCAGACGTACCTCAAGAGAGTCAAGCGCCTCCTGAACGTGATTCACCAAAATTAATTCACAGGACCTCTTCAATAACGACGTAAATATAACATTAATATTGTTATTAATATTGTTAGTAAGAATTTCTGTCTGTTGTTCATGTCCACTTCTGAACCGATTTAAAGAATTATTATGGAACTCGATTGAGTTTCAGAAAGACAAGGACACCTACCTCAACTTTTAGATAGCGATTTTAGTAAATTTATGATCATTTTAGAATTGAATTAAAAAAACAGATAAATGATTTTTCATACATCATGTTATATTTTTTTCTGATAAAAAAAATAAAAATATGTAAGACTATATGAATAAAAAAAAAGTTTCTATCGCTTCCTACATAACATTAAATTGCGTTTTATGAAATTGTTTCATAAAATAAAAACTCAAATACAAAAAAGACATCCAAAAATACATGGAAATTATTTAATCAATATTTTTTTATATTATTTCAGATCAGCTGGCGAGGCTGGTCTTGGAAGGATTCTGTTATCTCTACGTTACAGCATGCAGAATCAAACACTATATGTTGTCGTACACAAGATTATGTAAGATATAGTTAAATTTCGTCCAAAATATTTACAAAGTAATGGGTATTTTAGTTAAGCCTTATCTGTTATCAGGAATATACCTCTCAAGGACCCTACCAATGTCCCGGACCCATATGTGAAACTATACCTTCTACCTGGTCGATCTAAGGATTCCAAACGCAAAACTTTGGTAAGTAAATTTACAAGAACATATGAAATTATTATTTTCTTTGAAATTTAATTCTCATTAATATGTATTAACTACAACAATATTTATATGTATAATAATACGCAAAATATATACGAAAATTTAATAAATTATGTCGTATAAAACTTACAAACATTCATGACTGAAAATTAACGGGATTTTATATTTCTAGTATTTTGCCATTATATGAATATTAACTTGTTATTGTCTACATGTGCAGGTTGTGAAAGACAATTGTATGCCGGAGTATGACGAACAGTTTGAGTGGAGCATCCCGCTGGCTGAACTTCACTCCAGACAACTGGAGGTGACCGTCGCCACGCACAAAGGATTCCTCGGTGGAAGTCCTGTTATAGGACAGGTAGATTAAAAACATTAACAGATTGTATAAATTTTAATATACATTTAGTAATATAACTAATTATACCAAAATTACCAATTTTCATACCATTAGGACATAAGTAAAGAGAAAACTCCAGAGAATTACCTAATTATGTTCAGCCAACTTGATTAGGAAGACAAATGCAAAACAAATAATGATTGTGCGTGTGGAGTACCTTCCTCGCGGAAGACGTGTAACTTCGTAATGTTTGAATAAAAACAGGAAGCGAAATTTATTTTTAAAGATTTTTTTGTGTTTCTTTAAGACAAAATTTATTAACATTACTTACAAATCACAATTCATTGCCCGCATGCGTTCGAGTGCCAATCACTTTCACTCGCTTTGTCTCCATTTATGTCCTTTCCAACCTACTCCTGGATCGTCAAACTTTTAACGCAACCTTAGTGAAAGTCACATAAGAAGTTTCAATTCAAATAATTTTGTTAAATTGTAAATTTATTTTTTGGTGGGTTTAGTAAATTCACCCTTTGTATTTTAAATTGAATAGCTGAAATGTCTTAGGGCAGCACATGTTACCATTTGAACCCTTCTTATAATGTGTTTATTGACAATGCCATAAATATTCACATGTGTTATACCTATTAAAGAATTAAATATTCTAAGACTACAGCAGAAAAATAACATATAAATTCATTTATATACAGATAATAATTTCAATAGTACTATTAAATATTTCACGAAAAATATGCTTTAAAAACCTTTTTTACGTAATAAACAATATAGAAGTTTTATGCCTATTATGATAGAACTTCAAGGAATGAGAATTAGTCACTCATGAATATTAGGTGCTCAAATGACGAAGTTGTTTATATACTATTATTAATATTTTCTTTTATCAGGTAATAGTTCATCTGAACCAGTATGACTTCAGGGAAGCGAAGACTCTCTGGTTTGATCTTCTGCCTGAAACTTCACCGAGAGAGTAGAATATAAGATTTTGTATTAACATTTAATGCATTACTAATGCTTATGAATGAGAGATCTGTCAAATGCACTCGCATATTAGCTTATTGTACCACTGTTGTATTTTCGAATAACAAATTTGTTTTTATATAGAAATGTACCAGATAGCTATTTATATTTACTTGGTGTTGAATCTTAAACTATATTTTATTATGTGTTAATGTTTGAATCATGTTGTAACTGTTTTGGAATTCTTTTGGAATTTGTTACTTAATGAATGAAACTGATGCTTATGAAAACATCCACAAAACATATTTAAGCCTAATGTTTATGCTTTTTTTATTTTTATTAAAGGAATATACAAGACTTTCTTTATTATTTCTTTCTCTATTCCTAATGAGATAATATTCATAATGATGTCTCCACTTTAGATAACTATCTCATCATAATTTTGTATATTATAAAAAAAAATCAATATTTACGTTTTCAAACAAATTATGATTTCGACGGTCGGTGGATGCAATGAAACCAAAATTTAAATTACTTTAGTTTTAAACTAGAATTACAACAAATTGGTTCGACTATGTCGTACCTATGAGTACGACTATGAGAGGGGATGCGTAAAGCATTTTTTCCCAGTGCGCACAAAAAAAAAAAAATGTCGTACGAAGGGTGAACAAATAGTGACACAATATTCTAAAAAGAAAGATAAAACTAAAAAAGTCTATTCACACGGAACTGCTGAATCAGACCTGTGTAGAATTAACAAGTAATTATCTTAATATTTTAATTAAACTATTACTATGATATTATGCGACAGGCATAACAAACATGTATCATAACTTTGTTAGAATATTTTTCTTTGACATTTTTTGTTCTTTCAATAAAATATATTGGTATACCTCAGCAGATTGAAAATACTCTGAAATTGAAATGATGAAATTTAATTCAACTTGATGAAACTGAGTCATTTTCTTTGTTTTTTTTTTTGTCATAATTGGTACATTGATGTTATCAAAACAAGCTTGACCTTTTTTATATTGTTTGGTCCAATTGCAAACAATAAAATGAAAGACATTTCAACTGAACTATTAGAAAAAAGTTATGACCTAAAAAAAATTAGTTCACTGAAGTACTTCATTGCTATTAAATTAATGTGATCACTTATAAATGAAAGAAAGTTTATAAAAAACCTCTTTTTATTTTCATTTGTTCACATATTAAGTTACTAAAATATTTAAATGCACATAACATTGCGTTGTTTCAAAACTTTGTTATTGTAACATATTCTTAAACATAAATTATGAACACAATGCTATTCAAGTTGATAAACATTTTACTTATTTTTATTATGAACTCAATACTTAGAGGCTCAAGTCAAAATAAGGATGTACAAAAGTTTCACACAAAGTTTTTTTTAAATAATACAAGTTATTTATGATATTTTTATGTATTTGGTACAATTTTCTGTGCAATAATTTTTCCATAACCACCACGGCCACCATCATAGTCAGTACGGTATTCATCACGAACCTGAAAATAAAAAACAATTCAAATAAGAATACTAATAAAACTAATGCATCAAATCTAACATATATGTATACAATATAATAATTTAGAATATACAAAATAGTTATAAATAACAAACTATAATTGTTATTTTTTATAAATAATTATGTGAATAAAGGAAAAATCAACAATCAAGTATATAATAATAATGTCTATGTTCTTAAATACCTGTCCACCAGTCTTTCCTCTTCCATATTGTCTGCCTTCAACGAACCCAGCATCCCAATCACATCTTATAATTCTATCATCCAGTCTTGTGCCATTTATATATCTAGAATAATGAAAACTATGTTGTTAAACTAGACATCAATGAGAACTTTATATTGAAAAAACATTTCCTAACCTCATACAGTCCTCTGCGTCTGGTCTCGTATAATATTCTAGAAAACAAAATCCACATGGAGTTTTTTTATATTTATCCAATCCCATTATTACTCTTCGTATATCACCGCATCGCGAGAATAATTCATATATCTGCTCTTCAGTTGTGTAGAATGATAAATTTCCTATGTACAGTGTAGATGATGCTCTTAATAATTTCTCTTGTTCTGTTCTTGATCCCTGCAAAATATTAAAAATTGAGTTTATTATGACAGTACAAGTTATGAATGTTAAGTAGGTAAATCTTTAAATTTCAAAAGCTTACCTTAAAATGCTGATCTCGGTATGAACTAATTTCTATAGAGGAATTCATTGCATCGCTGCTTCTTTTCATTCTTATTGCTAATGTATTTGCCTGCAAATATATAAATCACTTATAAGGGGTTAGCAAATAAACATAAAACATTTAATCGTAGCGTTATTGCACTGTCAATTCCTTAAGTTTCGAGAATCGTGGACAAAACGCAAACATAGTACAAAAATAAATGACAAATGACAGTAACTAGCAATTTCTTGATGTTTTACATTTGACAGCTTAAAAAACTACGAGTTTAATGTTTATTCATATTATGTATTTTATGTAAAATTATTTACAGTATTTTATGAAAAACTAATATTATATAATAATTTAAAATATATAGTTAGTAGAAATTTTCTACTAAGACTTTTTTAGTTCTACTCAAAGTAAAAAAAATATTTTTGTCTCATTACATAACTTATTTCTTTCTTATTATTCCATTTAAATCAATTATACTATAATAAATGAAACATATTCTTTTTAAAATATATTTTTTTAAACTTTTTTTGTGAAATAAACAGCATAATGTAGTTTGATTCAGTGATTTTTTTAGATTATAGCCGTATTCGGGGTTTGAACAATTATTTCATGAATCACAATATGAAATATTGCGCAAACGTGTGCTTTTTCCTTAAATTGTATTTTAAAAAAACATTACATTAAAATAATTGCCTTTTGAAGTGATAATGACATGGAATAAACTTAAGGGCGTTGCAATATCATGTTTGTAACAATTTAAATGAAAATATGATTTTCGGATCTACGTACTTCACTTTTTTCCTACCGTAAAATATATCCAATGTTTCGAGTACTTTACAGAAAAGTCAAGAGTGAGAAGCACTCATTTCAGCTGGATGCCTGTGATCACAGTTCCTGTAGACAGTAGTAGTAGACTCTACATTCTAAACAGTAGAAAGGAACCAAAACTTCCGCGTCGGTTGAAATTAAATTATAACTTGGAAATGTTTAAAAAATAATATCGGTTTTTAAAGCATATTCTAAAATCATTAAAACGACTACTCGGACAAGAACCAAGTTCAATAAATGGAATAGGTACATTTATTAATCAATCCTAATATGTAATTATTCTATTCTCGTATATTCTATAACACTATAGATAAATAGCTATAACAGAAGAATAATACCGCAAAATTGTCCTCCCTCTTTTTAATTAGTGTTGGTTATAAACAAGTAATCTGAGTTGAATGGCTAAATGCTATCCATTCTTACAGGTTGTTCGGAAAGTCATTTCGTTTTTCTTGGGGAACATGAAAAACACTTTTCGTATGATGAATAAATATTTTATTAAATTATATATTGGCCATTCTGGTCCAACACCTTTTGCCATCTTTCTCGCAGTAACATAATTCCCCTCTCATAAAAGTTTTAGTCCTTGCTGGCAAAAAACTGATTCAGGTGGCTTTTGACATTTTCATTTGAGGTAAAGGTTTTGCCATACAAAAAATTTTGCAGAGACCGGAACAAATAGTAGTAGGAAGGCGCCAGATCTGGAGAATATGGTGGAGGTTGCAGTATGCCCCATTCTAGCTGTAAAAGTTTTTGGCTAGTAACCAAACTTGTGTGAGGTCTCGCATTATGGTTAACACTACACCCTTCCTGTTGATTAATTCGGGCATCTTCTCTTTAAGTGAATCATTCAATTTGTCCAGCTGATGACAATAGACTCTTGAATTAATCGTAGTATTGCCCGGCAAAAGCTCAAAAAAAAGTTTCCTATAGCAGACCTAGGTATACATTTCATTTTTGAGACAAATTCCTCATGTAGGTACCTATGTCGAAAATTTGCCTAAGTTTGTACATGATTTCATTAATTAATTGTTCAAAATAACTCTTATATTAGAATAATGTGATTGACGTAATAGTAATTTTTAGGATTTTACATGCATAGATAACATAACAATAACAACAGGATCAAAATGAAATATCGAATTCTTTTTTTTTTTTAAATTAAGACCGTTTATTTATAAAATATATACACAACGGTGTCAATCATAGATAAAATATGTTTAAATAAATTGACATTATATAACAAACGTTACACGCCTAAAACAATACTGTGGTATTTTAAGTTCTCGTCTTGTTATGTAATTAAATCGATTCTGATTTTATCATTTTCATACATTTATGGGTTTGACTTAATTAATGTAACTTTTGTCAGGGATGAACAAAAAAGTAATATTTTTATTTTTATAAATTAGAGCTTTTTATCTAAATGTCGTCTATTTGAAAGTTAAAGTTGATAAAATATAATACTTCAAATCATATTCTTATCTATAACGATTTATATTATTTCATTTTAACACAGGGATTTCTAGTGACCTTAAAAACTAGATTTTTTTGGTATTGAAGAATTACTTAAGGTGCAAATATTATTTACATTTTAAACATCTACACAGCAGGAATGAAGTTTAAAATATAATTTAAGACAATTGTATAAGAAAACCCTATAGGGCTTATGCCTGATAAGTTTAGTGATTTTTCTCTAAGATATTTCATGTTAGTTAGCGAAGACAATTTTAAGTAGTGATCCACATATCATAGGAAATTGCAAGTTCGTTTTGTCACTTGCTTCTTCTTGAGAGCAGCTCGCACGGCCTCCTCAAATACTTCATGCATGTTCTCTCTTTCCAACGCAGAACATTCAACCAACTGGACTGCTCTGAAAAGTAATAAAAAATACGATAAAATGGATGTAATTTATTTTGATATCGTTAATAATAGTTACTTTATAATAAATGAATGAGAAACAATGCAACAAAATAACCTGACGTCATAGCCTTGACATTTTAAACAGAATACTTATTAATATGCAGAATAAAAATACACATGAAGTAAGATATATAGATACGTAAGTAATTTCTATAATTATTGCGACCTTATCTCATTTGAAGGAACACCCTATTCATTCCCTTTTTGCGGAATTAAGGAAGAATTAAAGAAGTACTATTTAAAGTGAAGTTTAAAACGAATTGTTCAGTTAATTGCCGCCAAGGTTTTATTCTCAGAGCGTCCAGTAAACCATTTAGTACAAGCGTGCGTGTTAATGAATCTGTGGTACATTCTCTCGTCGGTTGTCGCTGACGGTATCTGAGCGCGTTATCACTTTACGATAACACAGCTGCTGCCATTCGTTTGATAGCATCTGACGGTTTTTACAAACTTCGCTTTGTTTTGTAATAATAATTATATTATTTATTTATTATTATAGTTTAATTTGAATTGTTTTGTTGCTACTGAATTCTCACCTTATTTTCCTTTTTAATACTTTTCCTTCTTGTGTAGTTATAACCGCTTGGCCGCTTGCTCTTAAATCTGTTTTGGTAGCTGAAAAGTTAAAAAAGAATTATATTAATTATACATAAAACGAAGTATAAAGTTACATTATAGAGACAAACAACTTGATTGAAGAAAACTGGAACTAACATTGTATTAAACTATTAATCATCAAGTACTGAGTTATTGTGACAACAATTTGTACATTTCAGTGTAACATTTTTGCCAATTTTTATCCTTTTATTACTGGCTCTTAACTAACTTCATCCTTGTTAACTTGCATTAAGCCAACGATCTAATATAATTATTTTTAAATGGCCAACTGCGGGTAAAATTAAACTACTCACGCCATTTTCCCACTGCGAAAATTATCGATAAATTTTGTATTAATTATATTTGTGGTTTTATAAAAAGTTTAAATGAATTAATTATTTATATTTCCTACAACAACTTACCAACAAGTACTATTGGTACTGACGAACTAAAATGTTTTAATTCAGGATACCATTTGTGACCAACGTTTTCATAAGAAGACCTGCTCCCAACTGAGTAACATACCAGGAAACAATGCGTCTGTAAAAGGCAAAGTATATTATAATAAAGGCAGAAATCGTACATAGATGTCATAGCCTCAGTTCCTTTCTATAATAATAGCTAGTCATTAGTCTTATAGTGTCATAAGTAGAATTTTGCGCAATAAACCTTAATTCAGGCCCATTTTAGCGTTTATGAAGGAGTTGGTTAAGTAAAATTGTTTAGGCTAATGTTAGGTGTGGGATTTTGTGATAGATGTTGTTAACTCGATGTTTATCACCTCTTGTTTGTAGTAATATAATTATCTTTTTAAATGAGGTTAAATTTTGACCATAACTGCCAGTTAAACTACTCTTATCACCTATTTCACAGAATTATTCAAACAATATATCCCTTTTCGAAGTCATCCTATATGTGGGATTATAAAAAACAGCAATGACAAATCGTTAAATGGTTGAAAAAAAAGTTTAATGCATTCCAGTAGTAACAATAAATATTGTAAAAATAAAATATACTAATTGAGTTGGTACAACACCCGAATGATTTCTAGTTTTTGCTCCAGTAATTCCTAGATATCCCGAATAAGCTTGAAGCCAATACTAGTTGCAATAAAAAAACTAATTTATAGTATACATGTTAGTGCGTGATAGAAGTTTCTAGTTTCTCTATTTCATTTTAAATCAAACTCGATAAACAACCTCATCCATTTTCTTTTTCTTGTACGTATAGGGAATATCTCAAGAACAAGAATAGATTGCTATTCTAATAATAGTTCCAATATCTTTTATGAACGTTAATTTACAGTTATATTGATAGTTCAATTATTTTTAGTATTATATAAATATATATTAAAAAAAAATTAATGGTTGAATCAAAGTATATTTTTTTTACCACTTACGTTATTATATGACAATGGTCTAAGTCTTTCGTAATCTTCCTGGCCGGCAGTGTCCCAGAGTGTCATCTCAATTTCTTGTCCATCAACTGTAATATGTCCTACATAGTTGTCAAATCTAAAAAGAAAATGAATTCTTTATTCTACAATAGAACAGTTAATGTTAATATAAATATTGGGCAACAATGGCCACAGGTTAAATTCTATATTTCAGAATGAACGAAAGTAAGAACTACTTTTAATTAGGTTCGAAAATAAAATATTTCTTCTACGCTTTTCTCTTGTTTAAGAATTGCATTGTCTGTATTGAAAATAAAACCATTGCTAAAAACTAATAATTAAATAGAATGCTTATTAATTAACGATCCTTAATTACAGTTAATCTTAAATCACATAAAACTATTAATTCCAAAATATGTTTGTGTGTTATGAACTGTATTTCCTCATATTATTTACAGTAGGACCCGACCTTGGTCGTAGTTACAATACGTATCAGCAACGGTCATTGACTACAAACGAGTAAGACCTCGTCGTGTTAGAGACGCATCATAAGCATGTCTGCTGTAGGCGTACGTCTTAAGAAGGAAGCGACAAACTTAAACAATACAACAATGCCAATGAGTATCTGACTTTATAAATAGTGCAACTCGATTTACTTCACGGTTTGCACATTACCAACGCGTTAACTACACATCGCTCACATTCGCAACCGGAAATAGATACTCATATAATGTTAAGTACCTACTTCGAAGCCGGTACCTATGTATTAATCTCTAGATTACAAGAGATTTTCTTTAATTCGTTGGGTCATAATATTATATTGGAATTGGTTGAAAGTAATTTGTTATATAACAACGATTGTTAAATATTATGTTAATGACGAAGATTTAAAATTAGTCACCATCATTTAGTATTCCAAGGAAGTTATAACGTGTTTATGTATACACTTAATGACGTCAGTTAATCATAAGTATGTTTTTAATCGTCAAAATTTTTTGTTGATGTTATAACAAAATTTTAATACTTGAGATTCGCTAAATTGCAGATAACTTTATTATATTTATGAACAATGTCTTTCCACATATAACATCTAGTCTACTATTTAGACCAGACTTAAAGTTTAATAAACATTAATAATGCATTAATTTTGTAATAAATAATGTGATACAAAAATGAGTTGGTAATAAAATTGTCTGTTTTTAACATTTAACAAATAATTATTTTATTAATATATTACGATTATGTCACACACATAAGTATTTATTTTGCTTTACTTGCATATGATACAATTTATCTCTACTTTTATGACGAGATAACGTAAATTTTATCATGTTGAAATTTAAAAAACTATACTAAGTAATAATATCTGTCGGATATTTGGAAATTACTAGAATGAATCACGAAAATTATTAACAATATTGTGAGGTCATTAAAGGAAAACCTAACAAAATTATGTTCCTATAATAGTAACATTTTAATATTGGAATACCATATCCCTATATATATTTGATGGGAAAACCCGTACTTAATATAACAATAAATACACTATAATTCCACTTATATCGAAACCGACAATGATACAAGATAACGAAGTCACAGCACCAACCTGCTAATTTTAACGCACTACATCTAGACTATAAACTAACCCAATGACCTAAAAACGAAGCAATAACTTAAACTATTTACTTACACCGTCGGTACGTATTCTTTAGGGAATTCGTTTCTAGTGTAAACGTAGAGAAGGCAAGTTTTGCCAACCATACCATCGCCCACCACTGTTATCTTGAGTCTCGGTGCACTCCCCATAATGCGCGGAGGGCATTCAAAAAACAATCACACACTATAAACACTGTAGTAACAACAATGTCTTTTGTTTTAACGCTCGACCAGCGGCAACCGTAACATATCGGATTTTAAAAATGATTCAATCCTGTAAGACAAATAGGTCCTTGAAGATTCTTATCACTTGGTGATGTAACGATCTTATCAAACACGAAGAAACATTACTGATAACGCGCCAATTTTAATTGAAACAAGACGCGCGCACACTTTCGTGGTTAAATGCGAAATGATCACAAATATTAAAATGCGCGTGATTCAACTGCGGTTTGTCATAGCAAAATAGCCGTTGGCCGCAGAACAACACACTCGTATCCGCGGAAGGCCTCTGCCAATACAATTAGTAATTAATTCAATAGACGTATTCCTTCCAATTTTATAACATATAGTTAGGGTAACATATATTAATGTAGGTATCATTAATAATTATTATTATTGTTCTATAAAATATTCGTGATAAGTAACATCCATATGTTACTTCACTCGACATATAAACCTGTTTAAACATTTATATTCTATGAATATATGTATAAAATCATTTTCGTTTATCTTAATAGTTTAACTTGTTATTGCCGATAATTGATCATTAGAGATACATTTAAGATAATTACGGTAGTCTAAATTATAAACCAAAGTTTTTTTTTGGAATTTAAACAAAAAGTAAGTATACTGTATAAGTTTGCTTCATTGTGTTATAAATTACAACGATATTACATACAATATTATGCTTATAAATAAGACATGTACTTAGTTCAAAAAACCCTTATTTTACTATATCACATCACGTTTCATTTAGTCGCAGTAATTGGATAACAATCTATACTAATATTATAAAGCTGAAGAGTTTGTTTGTTTGTTTGTTTGAAAGCGCTAATCTCCGAAACTACTGATTCAAATTGAATAATTCTTTTTGTGTTGGATAGTCCAGTTATCGAGGAAGGCTGTGGGCTATATAACATCACGCTACGACCAATAGGAGCAAAGATATAGTGGTAAATGTGTAAAAAACGGGAGAAATTATTTCATCTTTGAAGCCTTCCGTTGCGTGCGCCGTGAAAACGGTTCAAGATACACAAAAAATATGTGTTAAAGAATAATAGCTCTTTTAATGATCTAAAAAACAGTTCGCGGCAGTATATGTCTATCTTTTAAGATTAACTCACAAAAATCGTTTTTATGGTACCTAATTTGGTCGAAATAATTTGTTTAAGTTGTATCAAAATAATAATATTAATCTTTATTCAAATAAATATGTTGTTGGTTAAGAGTACTTCATTGTGAATTAAAAAAAACAGGTTTTATCCTGAAAAATCTACGGGAACTCGACCATTCCGAAAACCCCGCAAGAACGGGAACTATGTGGGAAGAACCAAAAATCTGCCGGAAGTCACTATTCCACGCGGACGAAGTCGCGGCATAAGCTAGTACGATATAAACACGAATTCATTAAATCCAAAATACCTATCGTTTTATATAAAGGATTCAATGTCAACTTTATTTTGTTTTTTTTTTTATGGGAAAAGGGGGCAACCGAGCAAATGGCCTACTTGATGGTAGGTTAGTTACCTTTGCCCTTTGACATCTGCAAAGTAGATATGCAGATGTGTTGCCGCCCTTGTTTGGGGAAAATGGGGAGTAAAAGGTGGGGAAGGGAGGGAAAGGAAAGGGTGGGAAAAGGGAAAGGGCAACAACAGGGTACTGTTGTTGTTTTTTAAGTCAATTTACCGCGTATGTGTAAAAGTAAGCATTATTGAAAAATCCATTGTTTTTTGCCTTCAAAAGCACACCACGGTCTACAATACTGTATACTTATATCTCATATATGTATTTTAAAAAAACTCGTATGAGTTTCAAGATATACGATTTTGTTAATTTTATTTTATTTTTAAGCACTCGATGCCATGAAAACCTAAATATTAATCCTTTCTGCATTATGTATGAACATTAATAAAATAATTTGTTCAACCACATTATACTTAGGTACATTTGAACTGAAGAGTATTAAATACGTTGGTACTTAAATAACTAAACATATAATTAAAATTGCAACAACCCTAGCCACGACTTCTATGGCAGTCACCTACTAGGTGTTATATGATATGACTTCTTCAAAACTTCGAAAACCAGTAAAACATTTACGCATAAAGCATTTAATCTTAATGTTACATAGATTTCCTATACCCATCAGGTTTAAGGAAAAGATATCCGTGCTTCTTAAAAGATTTTACTACGTTACTGAACTTACAAACTTCATTCATAACTTTTATAGCAATATCCTTGATGGGGGAAGATGGAGAGGAAACGGTGGGAAAAGGAAAAGGGCAATGGGTTCTCTCATTCATGGGAAGAAACGCCTCCTAATAAGACTAGGTACTTCACACCGATCTTCTGTGAGAGGATGGTACTTCCGCGTTATTGGTAAGCCAATCCATGTTCGAGCGACAGTAATTTGACCACAGCGAGGCTCTACCACCCATAACTATTGGGTGCTTACAATTATTGAAATTCAACTTCGAGTGTAATATATTCGCGAGATCCCTTTTAAAACCACCGAGCAGTCGTACCAAGTATAGAAATATGGTACTTTCTGAAACAACTGTAACAACAAACTGTATACATACATATCATAATTACCAATTATTACTACCCAAATTTTTGGTAAGTTTTTAAATGTTTGTAAAACAGCAGACATTGCTTGTTATATAATCTGCATCATGTATACATATACTTTTCACAGACAAATGAAGACTATTAAACAAAACTTAGTTTTATGCAATGTGTCATTCAAATTATACTATAATTAGAACAAAGAAGACTTTATTCTTTGTCCGTGGATTGCAGACATTTATAGCAGCAGTAATAATACAAACTCCGTCACTGAAAATTCCTTAAAAAACTCTGTTTCAATGAAATGTTAAACAAAATTTTTGTATACTTTTTATAATATACGTCTCAGAGTTTATGAACCATGATAATAGCATCGTTACGTTATTACAAATAATAACTAACCATTATTACATTAAAAAACTACGCATTAATTGTCTTTTAACGACATGCTGGCAAGCATAAAAGACTTAATCGAGAAACAATAGGTCACAAATGACTTACATAATTTTGGATCTAAGTTAATAATCTTACACTTGGGCCGTAATAGCGAAACATAGCTAAGAACTATTTTAAAGGAAATTGGCATTCAAATGAAAAAACTGCATGGATACTAGTAGATCCAATTTGGGAGATATTATGCCACAGACGGATATACTCAAACACATCAACATCAAACTTATAACATCACCCTATTTAGGTGGTAATTAATAGAATACAAATTTCCTACATTTCCCTAATTAAAATTTTGTAAATAAATAATGTTATACAAGTTCTGGGAATAACATCTATTTCATTGAAATGTAAGAGATCCTTAAATAGCGGAACCAATATTTCAGAAACTGGTTTATACGCTGTATACTGGTTTATATGGTAAAAGTAATAAAACACACTTTTATATTAATCATGTATTAAACAATTGATATTATAACAAACATTATCATCACAGTCAAAAGTTAAGTACTCAGTTATCACTCCAAGTTATATTAAAATTACTTTGGTCAGTCCTTGTCCTTATAACTAACATAAAAAATACTGGTTACGAAATATTAGTACATAAAGACATTTAAAAATTATCAGAATTGTTGGTAACTATTATATTGTTTATTATAAATTAAGGTGGAGTCAATGTAATGTGCAATTTTTAATGTATATTTATTTTTATTCACTGATTAATATTTTCATTTTTCTGTATTAAATGCAGCTCGTATTACCCAAAACTATGTTTTCCACTTAAGAAATAGCTTGCTATTAAAAATTAATTAATGAAAACAAAACATTCAGCTTCAAGTACATTTCTTTTTCAGAATTTGGTAAGTTTGGATTTGGTTACCAATAGAGTATCTGATTATATAAAAAAAATCTTTTTTGTTAGTATGTATATCTTTAAGAACACAAATAAATTACTTACTGACAGATCCATGCAAAAACTATCACAAAATTGTATGTTAATAAAATGTCGGCCAACCTCAATTATCATGCAATTACTTTCACCACAATTCAGTTCAATAAAATTATAAATTACAATTAATTAAAAATTACTTTTTGATAGCCACACTGTTAATTCCTTCGAGTATGAGTTCTTCCTTTAGAGCCAATACTTCTCTCAACATTTCCTGGTTGTTAGCTTGAAGCTTAGCTATTAAAGCTCTTTGTTTTCTTTCCCGATCCTTCAGCTGCATTAAAGTTGAGTCGCACACATCAGTGCAAGAAGAGTAGCTGTCTGTAAAGTTAAATTAATTATATAATCATAAAAATAAAATATCATTTATAACTGAGAGAAGATAGTTTACCAGATTTATTCCTGTGTGAGTTTAATAATTTCTCATTTTCAATCTTCAGTCGTGATATTTTATTCTGGTATATCTTTTCATTTGTTTCTTTTTGTTTTGTGATCTGCTTCAATTTATTTTTAGCATCTAACAGTTTTTGGTACACCTCATTTGATTGGTCCGACACTCTTTGTGCAGATGCAACACATGCTCTGGATTCATTTTTTTCTGTATTCAATTTATCTTTTAGTTTGCCTGCTGTGAACTGAAACATAAAATATTATGATAAAAAAATGTTAATTAATAATTAAGGAAAAGTTTGTTATGTATGTTTGATATGACACAATTTGGGTTAATAACTGATTTCATACATGTCTATTATATGGCTAGCATTTTAAAATTGGAAGCAATACTTACAGTGAGTTGTTTATTATTGTGTTCAAGGATATGGTTATGCTCCATTAATCGGTCGACCTTTTCTATTGTATTCTTATGATAATGTAGAAGCGTCCATACAGAATTGATAAATAGAACTAAGGCCTCTGGACGTAAAGTATCGTTTTCAACATCAGTATGTGGATTAAAGGTATAAGTAATATTCAATAAACTCAGTTCCTGGAGGAATACAATTAACAGTTAATAATCAGAAATTAATAATTTACCATGAAATTTTAAAAAATCAATAATTTACCTCACTTAAACCAATCAAACATTCTTTGAAATTTTGATGTGTACAAGGCTCATAAATTGTAGCTTTCTTGTATTTATAGTTTTGTAAGAGCTCCTTGACTTCTTCATCCAAATTTTCAATTTCTTTGGAAGACATTGTGATTTGTCAGGAACTTTAAATTTAAGTTTAGATAATTTGATATTTTAACCACCGCCAGAAAATCGACAAAGTTCTTCAAAGTTTTGAAAATTTAAATAACTGTCATTGATTTATAACATTCACACTCAAGGTCATTCTTATTCTTAGTCTGTTATCTATGATACGCGTACGGAGTATAAGTTTGTCAAAGGGTAAATTTACATGAATTACAATATAAAAAGATTTTTGTACTCCAATTTAAAATTGATATTTAGATTTATAAAACTTTATTTTTAAAAAAGATAAAATACATTCATGTATGAATTTTATAAAGCTAAGCCATAAACGGAACGCTATTTACAAGTCTTCCACTTTTGAAACCAACAAATGCAGGAGATTGTTTGTTTGTTAAAAATAGGACATAATAAAAAGACAAAGGTAATATTAACAAATTATTTTATTTTACATAATTAAAATTTTCAAATATTTGTTACTATATATATCATTTTGAATTACATCATGCATTAGTGAATAAAAACGTTATCTTATTCGTTATTATATTAACACTGGTCCATATTAATTATTTTTTGTTAGCATAAATAGGTTTTATCTTGTAAATTCTTATCAATTATACAAAAAACCAATCATTAATAAACCAGATCGAGTTATTGTTTATAACATTCGTTTCACAGTTGAATGAATACAAAACCATTCTGGCATACAAATGCTGCCGGCACTGGATGGTTCCGTAGAGACAAGGTGTCACTTCTTTCTAGAATGGTCGATCAATTTATTCTGAAAATAATACATAAATATAAGATGAAACATATATTTAAAGGATTATCATTTAATTATTCATGTATATTATATTATAATATATTACCCTCGCTGCGTGTAGTCCTATCTCGCTCAATCTCTTATGTTGGTAAGTGAGCGGTTCATGAAGTTTCGCGTCCCCGCGTTTGTAGAAGTCGCTGTAATCGAGGCGGAAAGCCAACGTCTGTAGCGACACTTCCGTGTGTAGCGCTAGTTTTAATATCAGAGTTGTCACATGGCCCCTGAAATTTTTCCAAGTGTTATTTTCAAAATCTTTGTTTTTATTGTCGTTGCATATTTATGATAGGTTGAATAGTACTCACCTGTAACTTCTAGCCCAAACATTCAAATCCGCCTTCCTATTGGCTAAGAACTGTTGAAATATTTTCCTTTTTTCTTTATCTAACGCTTCGTCGGCGCTCGTGAATGCGTATTCTCCTAAAAATTGGTTGATTGCTTAGTAAATAAATAAATTATAAATATTATATAAACAGTGTTAGTGAAGTTTTCTCAAAATAACGAAAAGTTATTAATGTATATTTTTTTTCATTAAGTTTGTTATAATACCTCGTGATATTCTCTCAGCCTTCAACTCTCTAAGTTGGTCTCGTCGCTCAAGCTCCGCACTAATTCCAGTGTGAAGCGTTGTCTCGAAGCTTCGTAGAGCTAATATTTCGTTTAATACATTGCCCAAATATGACTGCAGTTCCTATAGAATAGAAAACATAAAATTATATTAGAATATGTACTCATTTTTTAATTTTAATTTTTAATATGATGTATAATGATGTTGAAATATTTTGTAACGTAGATTCATATACATTATCTTAATTCGTTTCAGTTTCGTTTCAGTCCAACCGGCCTTGGTGGGGCCGGAAGGGATGTGTGAGGCTCGGCCTGGGCAGGCCCCTACTCACTAAAACCACTGCGAAAGCCATCGGCCGCTATGTCGGTGTACATTTATAGTATACCTGCGTGGTGTGGTGTATCATGGCGTGTATGGAGTGTCTGTCCAGCGCTCGGTGGTGTAGAGCCAGCAGTGTGTCGAGGTGTCTCCTCTCAGAAGCGGCTGCCAGTAGCTCGGCCCACGCGGTCTCCGCCCCCTCGCAGCTCGCCTCCTGTAGGGCGCCACACAGACGCAGCGCCTCCGCACGGAGACACGACACGCGACGCATCAGACCCCACACCTCTGACAACAAATAACTGGATATTATTAATATTGATACTTTCGTTATACAAGCTAGTGATCGTGGTAGGTTCATTATTTTCATGCATTCTGTTTTGTGAAAGGAATTTAGAATGATTTAGAATTTATTTCGTTAACATTTATATGGTAGAGTATAATCACATAAGGTGCCGTCAAATGTTCTTAGTACACGTTTCGAGTGTTTCTTAGAACCTGGAACTTAAGTTTAAATTTCAAATTAGGATCAAATGTAGTTCGAATAGTTTTCAATAATAATAATAAATGCAGTATGTATACTGACCGGGCATGTGTTTAAGTCTCTTCTGTAGTATGGCGTAGTCGCGCCAGGCGTGATGCAGGGCGTGTTCGATCCTCTTGACACGCCACAGCTGTGTGAAGAGAGCTCTATATCGAGCGGCACACGTGGCCGGGAATAAGGTACCCAGCGGTCCGTCCACACGATATTGTAGAGCGAATACATCCCATCCACTATCCTCCCGTCCGTCGCCTACGAAATATATACAAATATATGTATTTCATATAAATTTAACATTCTTAATACATATATGTATTGAACTTACAGTTCGGATATAAATTGACGTGTAGACGGGCGAGCACGTGGGGTGGCTCGAATTGTGCGTTCGTAGCACGCACCGCCGCTTCTAGAGTGCACGTTAGATTGTGGACGTATAACGAGGTGGCCGGCTTGTTGAGCTCCTCCCTTTTAGATTATCAATTTCACAATTTTTTAAAAGCTCCTTACACTCATTAAAAAATTAAATTATGATACTGTACTCGTAGCGTCAGTACTAATTGTTCTAATTATCTATATTATTAAAAAAAAAGTGAAAGATGGCTTCATTTGAAATTTACTACTGGTATACATAAAATGCGGGTGGCACAAGACCGGTCGTCGTGGAGATCCTTGGGGGAGGCCTATGTCCTGCACTGGACGTCTTTCAGCTGATGATGATGATACATAAAATTTCTTCATATATAGAGCAGAATACATACTGCAGTAACGTCATGAGATGATGCACGAAGTCTCCCTGAGCCAGCAGCAGGTACCGCCTGTGAGCCGCGAGGTGGTCCAGCAGGTGGTGGTGCGAGCACAGCGCCCCCAGGAGCCGAGCGGACGCTACACCGTGAGCGAGGGACACGCCCTCACGGAGACCGTCCGTCTCCCACCACGACACCACGCGCTCGTCGGGACGCTCACCGCCACCTTGTAACACATACATTTGAATATCTTTATATAAATAATTCTTCTGTAAGTGTGTGTCACTGAACTTCTCTCAAACGACTGGACCGATTTTGATTAAATTTTTTGTGTGTGTTCAAGGAGATTTGGAAATGGTTTAGATTCACAATTTTGTCCGCTGGACAATGTTTTTTTAAATTTATTAGTAGTTGTTGATACAAACTTTTTTTTTGACATTAGATTTGACAACTAACTAATATGTAAATCTTTCTGTCGCACTTCAAAACACGGAGATTTATGGCTTTAATAAGTAAACTCCAAAAATATAAATAAAAAACGTAACATATATTTCTTGATTATAGGGCGATACGAAGTTCGCCGGGTCTTCTAGTAGATATACAGGGTGACTGGTGAATTACTATCAATATTTAAGGGGGATACTCGGTACATGATTCTCATTCGAATTATGTAAAAAAAAATAGGTACTTATTTTTTGACAAAATTTCCGTATAAATAAATAAAGTGCTGACACGTTCCAAGTGTTCCCAGTGTGTACGCGTGCGGCGGCGTGCTGATACAACACAACGCCGCCGCACTCGTATGTGTGAGTGTGGGTGTATACCGAATCTGTAGGGTGTTCACACGATGCGTAATTTGGTTAACTTTACCTAGAAGTTTATTAATATTTATGTTATATTAATTTTTATTTCGTCATATATGATCGTCACAAATCACGTCCTCAAATATCGATAGTAATTCACCAGTCACCCTGTATATATATATATATATATATATATATATATATATATATATATATATATATATATATATATATATATATATATATACAGGGTGACTGGTGAATTACTATCAATATTTAAGGAGAATACTCGGTACATGATTCTCATTCGAATTATGTAAAAAAAATAGGCACTTAATTTTTGACAAAATTTCCGTATGAATAAGTAAAGTGTTGACACGTTCCAAGTGTTCAAGTGTGGACGCGTGCGGCGGCGTGTTGATACAACACCACGAACCGCTCGCGTATGTGTGAGTGTGAGTGTATACCTAATCTGTAGGGTGTTCACACGATGCGTTATTAATTACATAACTTTTGGTTAACTTTACTTAGAAGTTTATTAATATTTATGTTATATTAATTTTTATTTCGCCATATATGATCGTCAAATATCACGTCCTCAAATATCGATAGTAATTCACCAGTCACCCTGTATATATATATTTAATATATATATATTTAATATATATATATATGAAATATATATATATATATATATTTATATATATAGATATAATTTCTACAGTCTATCTACAAACTTACTATTTTCCTTTGGTGTCTAAGGCTATAAGCAAAACTATCTTAACAAAATCCAGTTTATTTCCTGGGTTAGTTACAATGTGTTATACCAGGTGTCGCCTGTGGTTGCAGTAGATCGTGTAGATGTCGCTGGTGTGTGAGGTCGGCCGGCGCTTGTTCATCAGCGCACGCCTCTCTCATGAACACCACACTCTTGCCAGTCGCCAGGATCTGAGACGCTAGCTCCCGGGACATAAACGACGGCACCATCCATTCTCTTTGATAAAAACAACAATATTGTTTTAATAATACAACCTTGATAATTAAGTTTATTTTCAGTATAGCTGCTAGAGTTTATAGAGCAAAGGAATACAAAAATATTTTTAAAACTTATTGTAAATTCGATGTTTCAAGATTATATTACACTGAAAATGAATTTCAGTAAAATGTGTTTGGTTACCATAAGTATGAAGAATATTAAAAAAGAATCAATATTTAAAGCTACATGATTTTGATCCACATGAAATAATTAGCCCAATCACCTTTCTTTGTTTAAGTAATTTATTTTTTTGTAACTCTTTTAGACGTGTATCTATGGTCATATGGCAAGAATCTCAGAGCAGTATACAGGTAATGAAATCCTATATGTATACAATAAAATATAATTACCTCACTCTGTACTTGTCGTGCCACATCCTATCGATGGGTACTCCACTTCTACTTTCAATGAAGAATTCATTGAAAGGGTCGTCTATTTCACCTGTAAGAGTTTAACTTTCTTAGAAAGAAATTGATATATGGACCCTATAAACATATTTTTAATCAATATAGATCCACTAATATAAAAGAAAACAATTTCAATTTATAGTTACATGAAAAAAGAACTTTAGAACAATGAAACGAAAATTTTGTAGTATAATATTAACCATGTAGAAGCCATCTCGTTAGCATCAGTAGTAGGGGGTATGTGAGCGCTGTCAGCAGGCGGCGGGCCAAGGAACATACACGATCATCACCGTGACGTACGAAGCGATGTACACACGACGCTAACTCACCACCTGAAATGACATTACATTTATTTTGCAAAGAAATATTCCGAAGATATAGACTGTATGATATATAGTTCTAAACTTTGCAAACATTTCAGCACTAAATGTCTCAATATAAGTATTATTTTTTTACAAGTGACATTTGATTTTATAAAATAGTATAATGCACCCACAATTCACTTATTTTCAATTCTTCATTACCTCTGAAAGATTATAAACAAAATTAACAATTATTTCAATGATTCACATCTGACGTATGATATTATATTGCTAATAATATTTGTTGGTTTTGGTGTCTTATTAAAGTTATTTTAATGACCTTTTTTATGATGGGCTGTGTGTGCTATGTAGGCGAGCCAGGTCAGTCGATGAAGGGGCTCCTGCGCCCATACACAAACGCGACGAAGGGTGCCGCCACCGCCATCACCCTCACATACCTGGGAATAAAATTATATACATCATTTTCAAGCGTATAAACAAAATAATATTTTATTAAACAGCATCTGATGTTGCCATATAATAAATACCTGAGACTGTAGTAACGCAATACTTCGATAATATTCTGTCAGTTCATCCCTTATTGAAGATACCAATCCTTCGCCCATTAGACCTGTAACGGATTTATATGTTTGAATAAATTTACAACAAACATAATAGTAGCAAGAAAAGAATAATGGACAAATTGAATCAAATCTTACTATAAATTTAAATAAGCATAGGTTGACTAACTCAATAGTTAGCTTTAATTGGTATACCAATTGATACGCCATATTCCAGAGCTAGCAGATTCGAAAATACTCGCGTCAATGAATTCTTCTGTGTTTATTTTCTTATATAATTTTAATGTAAATATCATTCCAACATTTTTTAAAGTTAAAACTTAATTACACGAAATCCTAGCCTAATTATATTTTTCTATTGGCTTGTGCAAGGTCTACTTCTCAGAAAAAACACTTGAATGACATATTACAATTGTTTTTTTTCTGTAAGTGCACTAAGACCTAATTCGCTTTTCCCAATTATAAAATATCTAAACTGGTGGTCACTACAGTTTTAGATGTCTATTGATAGATTAGTAAAAAAATACAAAAACACAGCAGTCGTCAAATTAGAAAAATTGAAGTAAATTAAAAATATTTGTCCTCCTCATATTACTTGTACAAATACATTACTTAAAATATTATACTTCCAACATCCAAAGTAATTCTAAGTAGATAGAACTTGCAATATATCAAATAAAGTAACAATAATTACAACAACATATATTCTTTATTGTTAAAAGTATTATCCTACCTTGCGGCATAAGCCCGGAGGCTGGGTCAATAAATTCCTTAAGCCGATCATGTAAGAAGCCGAGGTGAGCTATACGCGCGTACAGAGCCTGCGCTGGTCGAGGCCAGGCTACTGGAACACGTGACTTGACACCCGCAGCAGCCAACACCGCATCACGCACACAGGCACGCTCTGTAGAACGATCTAGAACAATAAGTATATATTTATTAATTACATCATATTATATAAAGCCATCCAACATATTGCTCGGTAGTCATAGAAACTAATAAGAATCGTATATTATTATATTTATTCAAATATTAATCGAACAGCTCAAACAATATATTTTGAGTGAAACTTATTTTCTCAGATTACTACATGTAGTAAAAACTATATACTCCCGACATGATCATGGGCAGACAAGATGTGAATTTCTCATTGTTATTTGCTGCAAAGTAACCAAAATGATGGGAGTATGTAGTTTTTAAGAAGAATAAATTAAGTGTAGTAATTTCGAATATTAGTTTCATTTACATGACTACTTGCAAAAGTCTTAGATCTCATTATGTATATATTAAGAATATAAGATAATTCTGTTTTCATTGCAGAGTAAACATATGAAAGCCTCAGAAGGGAAGGACTTTAAAACTTCATGATCTAATTTTCTTTCAACCTTTGAAGACCTTTTAATTCACTACAAAAGAAAAAAAGACTGACATCAAACAATGATTACGTCATCGGTAGTTATTTACTTTTTAATCGTCACATCGAGAAGATACATAAAAAAATATAATTATTTTTTTTTTCTGGATTTATATTTTAAAAAAAATTGGGTATTTGTAAAGTAGGTTTACGATCGAGATGTTTACGTGATAACGTCTTATTGGTGATATAAGTTTTTGGGAAGTAAAACATTCAACGAAAACTTAACCACACGAGAAAATCTCCATTCGTTTGTATGCCGCTAGAGTGAGAGAGACGGAAGATCGGTCCACTCACTCGAACGCTATGCCTGCCTCCGCTTGACAAGTTTCACGGAATGACTGGCAGCGCTCGAGATGAGACGGGAGATCGGTCCGTCTCTCTCTCGTTATACCTGCGATCGCGATTGAAAATATTTACGTAAGCATGGGGGAAGAGGGTAAGAGCTTTGCTTACTTTTGCTGACAAGGGGGATGAGGGGTAAATAATTGTAATAAATCTGCTTATGTAATCCTTGAACGGCCCCTTATTGCAGATCAAGCCTTAGAAATCCTTTAAAAGTCTTCCAAAGGATTTCCTTGGTACATATAAAGGTACATACACATTTATTTATTTATTTATTTGTACAATTTCCTTTCTTTGTTTTTCTCTTATTATTTCTGTCTATATTGGTGTACAATAAAGAGTAAATAAATAAATAAATAAATACATATGAACATAACACACAAGAAACATAATAAAACAAATTACCATTTGATTGTACTGCAACAATCATATTGCTACTGTTTGAGGGTAAGCTCTGATTAGATCCCTGTGGTTTTGGAGCATGACTGCCCCAACTCATTGATCCCATTGTACTCTTACTAGAACTTGATGCTGAGACTCCCAAACCAGAATTCTGAAATTAATTTCATATCAAAATATTCCTCAGTGCTATGGGTTTTATATATTTTGTAACAACAAATATTGTGGTAATCAAGTATGGCCTTACAACAGTCGGAAGATTGGGAAGAGGGAATAACTGATGTGTAGATTCAGTTTGTTGAGGAGTGTCCGATAGAGCAAGGAGTAATGATAGAACGGCTACACGCTGCTTCAACACAAACTGAAATTAAAATATAAATAGTCATTATATGTTAATAATTTTACCAACAAATACAAAATTAAGGTATTCTTACTGAATTTTTGAGTTTGACATATGATTCATTAAATTTATCCGCGTCTTTGGCAGACACACTGGCCAATTTTGAATGGATCTTTTGACAGAGCAATCTCTCATCTTGGCTTGAACGACTCTTTTCACTAGTTGATGTTAAATAAGACAGAGCAAGCTCATATGCGCTATCTGAAAATAAATTCCACATTAAAAATATCATTGTTTTGGAAAAAAATTACTGCCCTATTTGTAACTTACCCTTCCTTTTAAATTTCGAAAGTATATCTTTAAAGAATTCCTGAATATTACTCATTTAACACAAAACAAATATAACGAGATAAATGTTGTAATAAAAATTTTAAACTGACGTATTAAATATTTTGAAAAGGGAAGCTCACCTGGTTCCGATGACAGTCCTTCACATAATTTATGAAGTAGCGTAGCAATTGTATTATTGGTAGCAATATCCATATTCTTTTTTTTAATACTGTGTGAAATATTCTCCACAAACAAAATGAAACAAATAAGCTCTATAACATTAGTTAAAACTTGTCATACTTGTTAATGTGACAGAATAAGTACGAAATTATCCTTCATAAACATACATAATACAATTTAAATGATTTCAAGTTAGAATTCAATACTACCAAAGTTCAACAGTTTTCAGCGGTACAAACCGATAACTGATAATATTTTTAATTTTGATGTTTACAATTTACGCTAAGTTAAGAAATTTGACATATTCTAATAACCATAGATATTAAAAAAAATCTTTAAATGGAATATAGGTAAATAAGTTTTTTTTTTAATTCAATATTATCCTCCTAAACCTCTTATTTTTGTAAATATATTATTTTTATTTAAAAAAAAACTTTTAAAGCTGTTAGAGAAATGTTAAAAGCAAACTTTTGGATTGTTAAACAAAAAGTAGTCAAACCACTATTAAGAATTAAAATAACCAAAAATAAATCGAGGAACTAGAGGTGTTAAAAATACTCAAGATTTTTTTATAAACATATAATGCTAGTTTTTAAGTTTAGAATTTAGTGTAGGAAACACATATAATGTCTGAATTTAACCGAAGAACCGATTGCCTTTCTGGAAGCAATAAAGTCCTCCAAATCACTGTTATAAAGAAAACTTATTAATTTGTTAGAATTTCATATATATCTCTTAAATAAATTGCTTTTTTTCCACGTTCGAAATCCCGATAGAAATACGGATATAATTGTACAAAATCAGGAATGTGTGAATGCAGAATCTTAAACACATTTTAGGGAAAGGTGAGAAGACCTACGATCTAAAACCTTTTGTGGCGAGGAGTAATTACGCTGGTTTTTTTGTGGGTAAACTGGGTACTTAAACCTAGGAGTCCCACATAACCACAACTGCCTACCCCGGGTAGAGTGGTATGCGAAAAGCATTTTTCAGGCGATAACAAAAAAAAAAAAAGGTAAGAACTGGAAAAAGATTTCTATCTCCTCAAAGTTTAAAAGAATTCAACCTATATTTTATATAAAAATAACATTTGAAAAATAAGTCTACTTTATTTCTTATCGCTATGCTCCTATGTTTTCGTGCATGTGTATATGATTCTTATATAATTTGTATTTAAGAATTGATCAAGACCACTTTCAATGATTGTAACATGAATAAAAAAGTAAGTTCCGTGCTTTTATTAAATATGTAAATTATTTTTCGCTTTTTTCACTCTGCAATACTGTACATGGTACATCTACTGTTATATTCTGTGACAACATTATATGTGACGCAAAGTGATTGATATCTATGGCGTTATTTTTTAAGAAATCGCTAGATTAATAACTACTGATTTGATTCACTGCAAATATTCAAAACATTATGACTATACAATTTGTAAATTGTAATTGTATCAACTAATTCTCAAATAGTAGAGTTAAATGTGCAAACATGAGTTTTTCCATTGATGAAGTGAATTTTCTCGTGTATCGATACTTACAGGAGTCCGGTATGATTTTTAGAATTTGTGATTTTATTGTCATTATGATTTTATATCGTAATTATTTAAGATTTTATTTTAATATTGAAATTTCGTAGGATTCCATCATTCAGCTTATACATTTGGAATTGAATCACATATATCGCAAAGCAATATAAATGGTGCCTTAGTGCCGCCGGCAGCATTGTTAAATATACTGCAGAAGGGTTTGCAATATACCGAAGCCGAAATAACTATTGGAGAAGATGGTATGTTTAGTAAATATAACCTAACAATTTGTTTTGTAGCACATTTATAATATAATCATTTACAGGAACTGAAACACGTCTTACAGAGAGCCTGAGTTTAATTGATGCTGTAACTCCAGATATTGTGTCCACTCGTCAAAATGCTCATAATGCTCAAAAGCAAGCTAACAAAGAACCAGGTTCTGGTGGAGAACAAAACGGAGTTGATGTATGTGAACTTTTATAATGATATCAATATTCATTAAATTAATGTTCTAAAACAAATGCGCAACTTTCAGGGAACAGCATGTAGTGCAGCATCGACCACAGGAGGCACGGTAACACCAAATGTACCAGAAAATATGGATGTTGATCAATCAATTGAAATACCAGCAAGCAAGGCAACAGTACTACGAGGACATGAATCTGAAGTGTTTATTTGCGCTTGGAATCCAAGCACTGATTTATTGGCTAGTGGTTCAGGAGATAGCACTGCTCGGTAATATCATTGAATTTATCTCTTATAAAAAGAAAGTAGCTTTGTAATATTTGTCTGGTATAAATAGCTATTAACTGCTTTTTGATAATGATATATTGATAATTTAATTTGATTAATTTTCAGAATATGGGATATGTCAGACAATCCAGCAACTACACCTAATCAGCTTATATTAAGACATTGTATACAAAAAGGTGGAGCCGAGGTGCCTAGCAATAAAGATGTTACCTCATTGGACTGGAATGTATGGACATTCTATATTGACTCCTTATATTGTTTTCCTGTTCTTGAAACTGATTATTTCGATTATTTCAGTGTGATGGTAACTTATTGGCGACTGGATCATATGATGGCTATGCAAGAATCTGGACAACTGATGGCACATTAGCATCTACCTTAGGGCAACACAAAGGTCCTATATTTGCACTCAAGTGGAATAAGAGGGGAAATTATATCTTAAGTGCAGGGGTAAGTAAAAAAAACTTGATATTAGGATTTTAAAGAGAACAGTAACTTATTACTTCAAAGATAATACATTGTTTTATTTTTAGGTTGACAAGACAACAATTATATGGGATGCAGCATCAGGCCAATGCACTCAACAGTTTTCTTTCCATGCAGCACCAGCTCTTGATGTTGATTGGCAAACAAACAATTCATTTGCTTCATGTTCAACTGACCAATGTATTCATGTTTGCAGGTTACATGTTGACAAACCCATAAAAAGCTTCAAGGGACATACGGTGAGAAAAGTTATTAATACTTTTTAAACTATGAACAAATTATATTGCCTACTTTTATATAGAACAAGCCAGAAGTACATAAAACAATATTACTATTTCAAGAAACATTAGCTATAAGTATTCTTTTGTTTTATTGAATTAAAAATAATTATATGTGTATGTATTTTTAGAATGAAGTCAATGCAATAAAATGGGACCCACAAGGACAACTCCTTGCATCATGTTCCGATGACATGACATTAAAAATATGGTCCATGAAACAAGACACGTGGGTTCATGACCTTAAGGCACATTTGAAAGAAATATACACCATAAAGTGGTCTCCTACTGGACCTGGAACACAGAATCCTAATATGAATTTAATATTAGCCAGTGCATCATTTGATTCTACAGTGCGCTTATGGGATGTGGAAAGAGGAGTTTGTATTCATACTCTAACAAAACATACTGAACCAGTTTACAGTGTAGCATTCTCTCCCGATGGGAAATTTTTAGCCAGTGGATCCTTTGACAAGTGTGTTCACATATGGTCAACACAGACAGGTGGGCTGGTACACTCTTATAAAGGGACAGGTGGTATTTTTGAAGTATGCTGGAATTCAAGAGGTACAAAAGTAGGTGCCAGTGCGAGTGATGGAAGTGTTTTTGTCTTAGATTTACGCAAATTGTAATATATTCTAGCAATTAGAGTCGATTAATTATGAACTGATGGTTGTATTGCTGTATGGTAGACTCCAAGTTCACAATTGCTATTGCAAGACATCATAATATGTAGAGTATTAATAAGAAATACTATGTAGTATGTATACTTAATTATAGATATTATTTTAATAAAAATGTTTTTGTTATAAAAACTTGATATAAAGACAGGAAGAAATATTTTTATTGCTGTATTAATTTATCAACATTGGGAAAGAATTGGACTCCAAGAATTTTACTTTTAACTCAATTTAATATAATTTCTACATGTAACACTTCTATTTAGCATTACATAAAATATGTTTTAAAGAAGAAATAGGCCTATTGTAATAGGCATAAGCTTTAGAAAAATAATATGCAACTTATTCAACTATAAAACTTTTTATATTATAGTTTGTTTTTCATTTTTAAATATAAATCCATGATATATTTATATTTTTACATACCTACTTAATTATTGTTTAATTAAATAAGTAAGGGTAATACTAAATTAGAACTAAATAATACATTAATTTATAAAATTAATTATATTGATAATTAACAACTATATGTATTTATATTTGCATTGGTCTTTTATATGCTAATAAATCATCATGTTTATAAAGTGTGTGAAGTTTCTCATACATGTACTTAAAGAAAAATAATAGGTCATCATATTGTCCATTATAAGGTTTACAGAAATCACATATTTCACTACTATGCTTTGGAAAGTTGGTAGTTAGTATAGAATTATAATCTTCGCAGCAACCCCATGCTCCCACATGTAGTTCTAAGAGCATTTGATGTAAAGCTTCAACTGTTGATAGGTACCACCTTGGACTGCCTTTTTGGTGTCGCCAAAATTGAGATATTCGATTCTGCAGTACAACCTTAGGTAATTTTTGCAATCTTTCATCAGAAAATATACCTCTACTTTGATTCCATGTACTGTCAATTAGAATTAAACGATCAATTGGTAATTTCTCAACATGATGAATGGAATTTATTTTCTTATCACTATCAAATATTTTTGTCATCAGTGTGCCAACATTATATCCTGAAGGTAATTCTGATAACAAACTGTCGGCATATGATTGTGAATTTTGTTTTCCTGTAAATAATTCTTGAACTGTGCTTGCTTCAGTCCCTGGATATAAAAGTACAGTTCTTTCATCACTAGAATAATCAGGCATGTCAGGATATGTATATATATTAACATAACCAGGAGCTAGTACAGCTGCATGGGCAGCAGTACTCTTCCCATCTATTTCTCTCCTGTGTTTTATGATGTCAACTTTAATCGGCAACTAAAAGAAGAAACTGTAGTTAAAAAAAAGCAGTGACAGAAACTTATTGTATTATAAAAAATTCGTCTTACAGTACATGTTGGAATTTTCCCTTCAAGTGGTGCAACGGGAACGAAACAAGTATAACAAAAATACATTCGAGATTTTCCACAACGTGGACATGGACTGCGACTATTTAAGCTGTTTAAAATTTCGGAATTAGAAATTTTTAAACCTTCAAATGGTTTTTCGTCCCGAAGTCTAGCTTCTGGACTCTTGGGATTCATATTGCGTATACCAATCAGTAGTTTATAAAATATTAAGTAGTTTCTACTTTAATATAAAATAATCAAATTCTTATAAATAAACATCACTAGGCACACGGTCCGGCTAAATTCATTCATTTATTTCCCGGGTTAATTCACGTCTTACAGGCAGTGAGCACCACTACAAAAGATGACAATTGACAAGTGCTTTGACAGTTTCGTTAGATATTAGTGTCAAATTGACTACTATGGAGGCACAAGCAAAAACTTAGAATATAAAGTTCCTATAAATACTTTCAATAAATGTTTTACTTTTATACATTGTTTTGGAAAACTTATGCTATTTCGTCATCTCAAACGTACCACTTACATACAGATTTATGTTCTCCAACAGTGAGAAAAAGTTCCGAATTTAAATCAAAATAAATATATTTAATATTCTTATTTATAAGCTTTTAATGGCCTTAATTAATAACAATTATTTTCTTGTTAGTAATGAAGAGTTAATTTAAATAACGAGAGTCACCGACGTAACCAAATGGATAATCTCGTTGAAGTAGCAGTGGGTAGGCCATGCAGCACATGGTCGTTGGGACAGAAAAGTTATCAAATGTACACCACGGATCGGAAAACGCAGCGATGGACATCCACAAACTAAATGTTTGGACGACTTAGTCAAGGCCGATGGTTCACGGTGGACGTAGGCCGCTTCCGATCAAAGCAAATGGAAGTTAATGAAGGAGGCTATGTCCAGCTGTTTATTTCACAAGGCTGAGATGATGATGATGATGATTTTCTTATACATTTAAGAACTTCTGAATGTCTAGCGGTTTTTGATAAAAGGTCACGATTAGGTAATCATAAATATAAAAAAGGTCCGTTCCGAAACACTTTCAAATTCAACTTGTTCTGCCCTAGGTTGTCCTAACTAGTTCAAATAAAATCAGTATTATAAGAAACTCGAAGCATTTTTTGTTTACTATTAACTTTTTTAAGAAATTACCTTCTATACCAATGTGCTGTATTTGGCTTCATACATATCATGTTGAAATGCATCCAAGGCAGTTAAGGAATTCTTTATTTCAAGTATAACATGAGAGTTGTATCTATTGTGTACTATATTATCATTATTCTTTCCTTGTTGTAGTGGAGATTACTAGGTACGTAACATAAAACGGTGCTAAGAAATAATGAAGTTGATTTTTTATACTAAACAGGAGCTAATTTCAAAAGTAAATACATTTAATAACAGAATACATCTAAACATGTATACTAATGCGAATGAGTAACATTAGTTATTTTTAAAATTATGATTCTGATTTTAATACTTTGACGTTATTAGGATTATTTTCTCTATGTAAACTAATCCTTATGCATAAACGCAAATTTAATTTAATTTTATAGTTAGGATTAAAAAAGTATATTTAAAGCATTTATTCTTACTCACTACTAAATTTATATATTATTGACAATTAATAATTAACTTGAAAAATATTGCTAACATTTTGAAACGAAATACGATACATGTATCATAACAAACCTTACAAATATTTCATCTATTTTCGTTATTACGTCAAAGTGCATATATTTGTGATTTTAAATATTTTTTTCTATAGTTTTGAATGTAATAATAAGGTAAATGTTAGTTTATTTTAAATTGTATTTTCTTTCCGGAAGATCGCACTAAAACTACTAAAACGTTTTTTGTAATATTCTTATTGCCTACCTTGTTTAGGACAATGACGCCATTTTGTCGCGCCGGCTGATCAGTAATATTAACTAAAAGTCTTATTTTATTTTAATCTCTAGGGAATAAGATAAAGTCTGTTTCTGCTAATAATATATCTAATCAGATGTACTGTTGGTGTTACTTACTTTGTCAATCAATGCGCATATTGACAGTGTGAAGAAAATATTGATTGTGTATTCTTTACCGCAAATATGATCAAAGAAAGGGTGTAATTCAACTTCTTTGTCGTTAAAAAGGTTTCTATTTCATAATATAAACAATTAATTTACTGTAAATAGAAGTTACTTCGTAGGTTTTGCACTTATTGTCAGAGATCACGTACTTACACTAAAATCGTATTTTTCTTTCTTTTCCTAATGATATCACAATGAACTTGTAAGAAAATATAATTTAAAATAGATTCAAATTTTTAGGAGAGGAAATGGTTAGAGTGATGTTATAATAATGACAATATCAATGAAGGAACAAGATCAGATGCCAGGGGAAGTAAGTTTGTAGAGATAATATAAGTATAACTTGCGTAAATTCAGAATTAATTATGCTTATTTGAATTTTTTTAGATGGTTTTCCCCGAGGCGAAATTAAAAGCACTAGAAGAAAAGATATCACATCCAAGATGGGTTGTACCTGTATTGCCAGAGCAAGAGTTAGAAGCTCTTTTGATTGCTGCTACAGAATTGGCTGCAAGAGGTTTGTGTTGTGTTTATTTAAGAAAAATGTTGACTCTATTGACAAATGGATACAAGAGATATCATATTCATAATGATAATATTGAGAGAATTTATAAAAAAATTGTTTTATCTCTCATAGGTGAAGATGTAAACAATCTTGCGTGCCAGCATTTCTACACAGATTCATTAACGGTGTCCTTTACGAAAATTTTAACGGATGATGCAGTCTCATCTTGGAAAAATAATATTCAACAATGTGTACGATCGAACTGTGAAAAACTTGTGAAATTATGTGCTATGAAATTGGATGACCCTAGATTTCTGCATCTGTTATATATGGCCTTCAATCCTAATAACAAGTAAGAGTATATTATGTTATGTATTATATGATATATAATTTATGATCATAACTCCAATTTTCACCTAGCAGGCATGCATTAACCTAATAAATTTTTCAGATTTCATACATTCAATGCATCTAGAACTTGTGAAGGGTTATCAGTAACAAACTCTACAACCGCAGGACAGGGCTCCACTCAGGAGACTGAAGTGTTTGCTAAATCACAAGATCTTCGAACACCTAGGGGGTGGCTGGTCCATCTTATAAATGTGTATGTATTATTTAATTATAATTATTTCAATATAGAATATATGCATACACATGTTAAATATGTTAGATTATCATATTCACACACAATATACTTGTTACATCAATTAATTCATTTGGAATGAATTTATGACATCATCGTCTGTAATTGTTATAACTACAGTTCATAAAAAGTTTTTTCCACTAATGGAACTGAAGCTTTATTCTTATAATATTTTTTACTATTTGTTAGTAAAGTGATAAATTTAAAATCTTTAGTATATAAAAATTTTGACTTACAATGTTTGTTACTATAAAATATATGCAAAGCATTTTTAGAATATTTGTAGGACATTTGATAAACATGGATTTTAAAATGTATTGTTTATTTGTTGTTACATATATGCTTTTTATTATTTATGACAGTGAGTATCACCATATGATGTTATTTTACAGATTTGGTCAAGCTGGAGGTTTTGTTAAGCTTAGAGAAAGATTTGAAACTATTATGGGCTTCAAGAAATCAGATCTCACATCATCAGCAATAAGTGAAGAAAAAGTTATGAATGAAATAACAGAGAAAGAAAACGAAGAAAATAAAAGCAATGTTACTGAAAGTATCACATCTTTACCTGATAATTTAGAGGTTTGTTTTACTATGTTTGTTAAAGAAAAGTATTTGAGAAAGCATGCAGTATGTTTGAATTATATTTTGTTTTAGGGTTCTATGACAAGGAGTGAACAGCCGTCATCATTGGAACAGTCAACAAGCGGTGAAACATGTGTTAATGCTGTTTGGCAACTTTTGAGACCTTTGGGTCTTTGTCATGAACTTCTCACTCCACATACTGTAACAGTTTACCTCTTACCAGTACTGGTAAGTGAAATTTCTTCTCTAATTTTGAAATCATATACAAATGAAACAATTTAGAAATTTTGATTTAATTACAGGAATGTATCCCAACACTCCTGGAAAGTCTTACTGATGAAGAATTGAAAAGAGAGGCCCGAGGCAGCGAAAATAAGACTGACACTGTGTCATGCCTCATCAGAGCCTGCAAGTGTGTTTCTTTAAAGACTCCTCAGCATCACAGTTTACTTAAATGTAAGTATGCTTTTGTATACATAATATTTTTCTCTTTATATACAAATTTGGTTGATGTTTGTTTTTAACAGTGATTTAACAAGGAACATACAATTGTGAATTTACAAATTATTTCATTTATTAATGAAAAAAAAGCGAATGTAAAATATTTATAACAATCTGATTATTTAAATAATTTTACGAAACAAAAGCAAATAGCTTTGCTTTTTGTATAAATTGTATGATTTATGTTAATGAGATAAACATATACAACACAAATAAATGTTTTCAATATGAATGTCGGTGTTCATTGTAAGTGTTATTTCTTTGTCAATGTTCATCATTTATTTCAGTGTTGCACCGGGTTACATGTTTGTTTACAGAAGTTAATAGTGGGAGCAGCAAGGCGGGTTGTAGACCCTGTAGCTGCTAAGGGGCGCAGTTCATAATCCACCCCTTATCCGCTACATTGTCTGTAATCTGGACTTTATAACATCACATCAGCTTCTCATGCATGTTTTCACTATAAATGTATTTTTTAATTTCAACTCTATATGTGATTACTATGTTTTTTATTTCTATGTGACTTTGTCTACATATTGTTGGTTTTAAGATATTTATATTATTTTATGTGCATTCTAGTAGAATTGTGTGATACAATGAAACACAACACATAGTTGTTATTTTTAATTTAATTTTATTTATTACAGCCTTAGAAATGTTTCGACTCAAGATGATCCTGCGACTGTTGCAAATGTCTTCTTTCAATGGAAAAATGTCTGCGTTAAATGAAATTAATCAGTTGATAAGTTCGATATCACAACAACCAAAACCAGAATGGCTTACTCCCACTGTCATAACGGTATGCATTATTTCTACTAAGACAAATTTCCTATAAATTGTACTGATGTAAATATTTTTATACATTAAAATGTATTACAGAATTGGATACGTGAAAACAAAGTTGTAGATATAGTGTTGAGGGATTCTCTACATCAACCCCAGTATGTGGATAGATTAGAAAAAATGCTTAGGTTTATGATCAAAGAAAACTCTTTGACGAGGGACGACCTGGACGCCATCTGGAGGGCGCAACACGGAAAACACGAGGCCATAGTCAAGAACCTGCACGATCTACTCGCGAAATTAGCTTGGGACTTTACACCAGACCAACTCGATCATTTATTTGATTGTTTTAAGGTATAACAGATAAAAATACATATCAAAACATAGAGTATTCTATTAAATTCAACTTGATATAAAAAATGCTTTTTAATAAATTTCAGGCTAGTTGGGCGACATCCAGTAAGAAACAGAGCGATAAACTCTTGGAAGTAATGCGAAGACTAGCAGAGGATGATAAAGATGGCGTCATGGCTAACAAAGTAAGCAAACCAAAACTAATACGACCGTGCTATTATTACGAATACTAAGATCGTCTGAGTCATTTGAATTCTATTTATGTTATATTCCACTCATATCCAAATGTCATATTTATATTTAGATGGTAAAGACGATATCAATAATATGGTACTTTAACTCTTGCGCAGGTGCTGGTGCTCTTTTGGAATTTGGCCCATTCTGACGAAGTATGCACGGAGATTATGGACGTGGCGTTAGCGAATCTTATCAAAATACTTGACTACAGCTGCAGCCAAGATCGTGATGCACAAAAGATACTGTGGCTTGATAAGTACGTTAACGTGCAACAAAAACATAAAAAGCAATAGTCGTTTGGTTTTATTGATAAATAAAGAATGCATGACGTCATTATACAAGATATGGAAATAAGTAAAAATATTTTTACATTATTTTTACACTATTGGCAACATTAAAGTATTACGTTGCATGCATGCATCTGCGAAAACTATGCAAGGTTTCACAATTGTTGTATAATTAGAAAAAATATTAACGTATCAATAATGTAGGTGCGTGGAGGAGTTGAAAAGCAACGACAAGTGGGTACTGCCGGCGTTGAAGATGATGCGTGACATCTGCTGTCTGTACGAGGCGGGGGGCGGCGCCGGCGGCCGGCCGCACGTGACGCGTCAAGAACTCATTGACCGACTGCAGACACAACATTCGCTTGTCATACTCGTCACCGACTCACTGACGCACTATATGAACGTGGTGCGGACTAAGCTGGCCGGTAATTAAATTTTCAATATTGAAATAAATTGGAATTATTAGCGAGATATTTTGTGTTAAGCTATTAGGGCCGTTCAAGTATTACGTAAGCACTACGGGGGGGCTGGGGGTCTTTGCTTTGCTTACTTTTGCTGACAAGGGGGATGGGGGGGTAAATATTTGTAATAAATCTGCTTACGTAATACTTGAACGGCCTCTTAGTGACTATTATTGATAAAGAAAACAGAAACGATTCGATGTACTTGGGCCCGAATGTAATGAAAGTAAAATAGTTTAAATTGAATGTCAGTTTAATAGTCACTTGCTATAAAAATAAAAAAAGTCGGAGAGTGTCAGATTTAGCAATGAAAGATTTAAAAAACGTTGCATTATGTCACCAATTCTATATTACAATTAATTATACCTAAAAGTTGTTTAGGCAATGTTGTCCCTGGTCCCATGAATATATATGTATGTCCAGAACATTTAAACAATCAATGAATTTAAACTGTCTAGGCTACAGTTTAGTATCGATGTTAGTCAGCTGCTAATTTATTTTTGTAAGTAACCATTAAAACACTAAATGAAACGGAAATATCTTCTTCTTCTTTTGTACATTTGTCATCGATTAATTATATCGATAAAGTATCGAAAATTATTTAGTTCCTCATATTCTAGATGGACGATTGGCCTGATTTTTGGTATTTCATCCAAATAAAAAAATGTGAAGCGTATCTCAGCCATTTACATTTGGGTCCACTAATTTTTACCTACTTAAACTTTCAGTACCTGATTGTTAATCATTTGTTTATTTTAGGAGAGGGCTCAATAGATTGGGAGAATTGGCTTCCAGACGGTCGCTACCCTCATGCTGCTCAGGTTCACGAAAGGCTAAGTTTTCTACGGTTTTTGCTTAAGGATGGGCAATTATGGCTTTGTGCGGAACAGGTAAATGTTATTTTTATTTATAGTCTAAGATCCCGATATAAGGCGACCTTCACCGAGATGTTTATTTGATGAAACATATTTTATATTCAATTTAATATGTCAATAACTATATTACATATGGGTTGCCTCATAAATTTTAGTCCAGGATATGATTAATTAACAATTAAAAATAGATTTTTTTTTCAAATATTTCACCGGTTTGCTTATTAGATAAATTCCACACCAATCGAAAGTACGGAGCCCATAGAATATGGAAATGTTAGGTTGCCTATTCTTTTCCAGTCACAACTCTCGGGTTGCCAGGGATAAACAGGGACAGCGATAGTAGCATTTTGCACCGGTCTGATAATTTAATCAAATTTAAATGAAAATTAAGATTATTTAATTATGAACACGGTGAAATAGGGTTGCCTGCGAAAAATCGGTCCTAAATTAGGGTTGTCGAATTTTAAAAAGTAAAATATTGCCGCGAGTGAATATGTACGACTGAGAGGTCCCAAGCAGTGGCGGCTGTACCTTAAGTGCACTCGTGCGCTGAACCACCAAATCAAAAGATTTAAAAATTACAAAATATTACTTCATCTTTATTTTTAAATTACCATTTTAATATTTATTTTTTAAACATACAAAAACGTATAAAAATTTAAAATTCCATTATGGTCAAAAAGTTTGAGCGCTTTACTAAACCAATATCTCGTGCGCTTCGGCGAGTGCACGAGGACTGCTAATACATCTTGTATAAGATACGAGTTAATACGCCTGACGCGTGAAACAAAGATAGTTCATAGAAATGTACCGAGTAATGAGTCGGTTCTCGAGCGCCGCACGAGCGGCCGATGATTACCGAGAGCACCCGATGACGAATTGAGGCATGATTGACATCTCGTTATGTTTTGTTGCATTTTCTAATTTTAATATTTTAGCAAAGTGCACTACCAGTTCGATTACCCACCAGCCGCCACTGGTGTGTATGCTATTTGTCAGTGCAACTGACAAGGATAGCGATAGACGTGTATATGCTGTGTATCATTTTGGAGTAATGTATTATTATTATATTAAAAATAGAAGAATAGTTCTTTAATATTAATTTAATTAATTATTTATGTGTATATATTTAATGTGACATTAAAGTATATATATATACGCAGCTGTTACGCTCTGTCCTCTTCTAACGCACGGAACAGTTGCTTGGGACCTCTCAGTCGTACATATTCACTCGCGGCAATATTTTACTTTTTAAAATTCGACAACCCTAATTTAGGACCGATTTTTCGCAAGCAACCCTATTTCACCGTGTTCATAATTAAATAATCTTAATTTTCATTTAAATTTGATTAAATTATCAGACCGGTGCAAAATGCTACTATCGATGTCCCTGTTTATCCTTGGCAACCCGAGAGTTGTGACTGGAAAAGAATAGGCAACCTAACATTTTCATATTCTATGGGCTCCGTACTTTCGATTGGTGTGGAATTTATCTAATAAACAAACCGGTGAAATATTTGAAAAAAAAATCTATTTTTAATTGTTAATTAATCATATCCTGGACTAAAATTTATGAGGCAACCCATATGTAATATAGTTATTGACATATTAAATTGAATATAAAATATGTTTCATCAAATAAACATCTCGGTGAAGGTCGCTCATATCGGGATCCTCTACTATTAGTAAATTCATAACTACCTGACTAATGATAGATTTCAATGTAATATCTGTTTGATTGCAGGCAAAGCAAATTTGGATATGCCTAGCCGAAAGACCTGCGCATTTGGGGGACCGCGAAGCTTGTTTTCGTTGGTTTAGCAAATTAATGGGCGAGGAACCAGATCTGGATCCAAATATAAACTTGCATTTTTTTCGAAGGAATATTATGACACTATCACCTAGCTTATTAACTCATTCCGGAATCAAATGCTTTGAGAGGTACATTTATTTTATTATTACAGCAGTAAATTTTGACAATATTTTCAAGATATAGGTATAATTCATACTCTGTTTGTTTTTCAGATTTTTTAAAGCGGTAAATTCAAAAGAAGGCAAGCTTAAGGCTAAACGTCGTAGTTTTCTAATTAATGACGCTGATCTCATAGGATTAGACTATTTATGGAGAGTGAGTATTACAAATGTATACTATGAGTACTATGTGAGTTGACAAGTGATGTATAAACTACGTACACTGTCTCCCGCAGGTAATAACAGAGTGTGACGACGAGATATCAGCGCGTGGTATAGAGCTGCTGCGCGAGGTGTGCACTTGCACAGGCCCGCAGCTGTCGGCCGCCCACCACCACGAGGCCTTCCTCACACACTGCTGTGCGCGCACACAGAGACTGCAGAAAGATATGGATACGCAAGATGGTGAGACAAGCTTCGAAATGTTTCATATGCAGGGTGACTGGTGAATTACTATCGATATTTGAGGACGTGATATTTGACGATCGTATATGACAAAATAAAAATTAATATAACATAAACATTAATAAACTTCTAAGTAAAGTTAACCAAAAGTTATGTAATTAATTACGCATCGTGTGAACACCCTACAGATTAGGTATACACACACACTCACACCTACGCGCGCGGCGGCGTGTTGTTGTATCAGCACGCCGCCGCACGCGTTCACACTTCGAACACTTGGAACGTGTACACACTTTATGTATTTATACGGAAATTTGGTCAAAAATTAAGTACCTATTTTTTTTACATAATTCGAATGAGAATCATGTACCGAGTATGCTCCTTAAATATTGATAGTAATTCACCAGTCACCCTGTATAGTATATTAAAACTTTTTGGTTGCTTTAACTCGTTTAAGAAGGCTATGTCAAGTTCAAGGAGGAAAATTTTACGTAATATTTTGTAAATTTATTCTTTTTATTCAAACTCGATCATTCGCAGGTCCTTGTTATTTGTAAGTTATGAGATTAAAATATATTTTTAATTCAAATATTTTTTCATTTACTTTTCAGATGTCTCCGAATGTTGTACTAGAATGTGTAGAGTTATACGTGCCATACAAGAATATATAAACGAGTGTGATAGAAGATTTACTTCAGAGAGACAGATACTGCCAGTGTATAGGTCGGGAAGAGGCAGGCAGTGCACTATTATAGTAAGATTTAACTTTCAAACTGGCCAAAGGCAAATTGACGACATAGAACTGTTTTCGCATTCAAATGAAACGCTACATTCGCTTCGTACGGCGGTCCAGAGGAGGTGAATTGATGAGATTATAACATTTTCATTATTAAATTACTATATATGTGAAACTCTTTAAAAAGCATTTATTTACAGGTTGAAGTGCGCTTCTGAAAATAATATAAAAATAGAAATGTACATAAATAAATTAGAACTATATGTGAATGGGGAGCTCCTAGACACGAGTCACGATCGTAAAATACTCTCTCAAATACCTCTAAGAGATAAAACTGTGATTATTGCTAAGGTAAATATTTAGTATTCGAATAATTAAACGATATGTATATGGGTATATTTAACGTAATTGTAATTAAAGGTTTACGATGGCCAAGTATGCGGAAGTGGAGGCTGCGGTTCCTCAAACGAATCGAGCAGTGATTCTAGCATCTCTTCCCCACCACTCCCTCCTACACCAGAACATGCTCTTCCTGGCGTTGTATGTACACGTTAATTACACAAGATATATCTCATCTACAGAATCCCTACTAATATTATAAATGCGAAAGTAACTCTGTCTGTCTGTCTGTCTGTCTGTCTGTCTGTCTGTCTGCTACGCTTTCACGCCTAAACCACTGAACTGATTTTAATGAAATTCGGTACAGAGATAGAGTTGACCTTGAGAAAGAACATAGGATAGTTTTTATCCCAGACTTTTGAAAGGTTCTCTTGGAAACGCGATATAACCGAACTCCACGCGGCGAAGCTGCGGGCGGAAAGCTAGTAATTAGATAAATATTAAAAAGCTTTTATTTTAGTTGAAATTTGTGAGCAAAAATTTTTTTACCATATCATTTCTTTGTGGTTTTGCAGATTTTCGCTCAAGGCTCGTGGTATTTACCTTTCATTCTGGAGTTGGAGCATGTCGGCATTACAAAGGGACACGCCCCGCTAACAGAGGCCGCTCATTTACTATCGCAAATATGTCCTAGTCACAAACAAACTGTATGTCAAACCCAAATATTGTGTTATTTAATTAGGAAAATCTACTAATTACATATAATTTTAGGTCGAAAAATTAACTGAAGCTCTATTAAGTCGCGAGGACACTAAGTTAAGGGATATGTTATATGGACCAGCCCCACCCACCGTTGCCTATAATGTTGAGGTGAGAAATTTAATCTTCAATATTTGTATAACCAATGGATAAAAGAGATAAATATAATATTAATGTATATTTTAAGGTCCTATATAGCATGGTAATGCCGTCGTCGGAGACTAGACTAGAAAGAAATAGAAGTTTCCAGCTGGCCTGTGTAAAAAAAGCTCCCCTGTTAGTGCAGTGCTTATCAGACAATGAATTTTTGAAGGATGCTGCACCACACACGAGACGGTAAAATATGTGAATTGATATATAAATAACATTCAAATACCATAATATCATGAAAAATTCATCAAGAAATCAGGAATCACATCTCATACTTATGAAATACTCAGTATATAGTTCAAGAATACTCTATTATACATCTATACTAATATTATAAAGCTGAAGAGTTTGTTTGTTTGAAAGCGCTAATCTCCGAAACTACTGGTTCGAATTGAATAATTCTTTTTGTGTTGGATAATCCAGTTATCGAGGAAGGCTGTAGGCTATATAACATCACGCTACGACCAATAGGAGCAAAGATATAGTGGTAAATGTGTAAAAAACGGGAGAAATTATTTCATCTTTGAAGCCTTCCGTTGCGTGCGCCGTGAAAACGGTTCAAGATACACAAAAAATATGTATTAAAGAATAATAGCTCATTTAATGATCTCAAAAACAGTCCGCGACAGTATATGTCTATCTTTAAGATTAACTCACAAAAACCGTTTTTATGGTACCTAATTGGGTCGAAATAATTTGTTTAAGTTGTATCAACATAATAATATTAATCTCTATTCAAATAAACAAATAAAATATGTTGTTGGTAAAGAGTACTTCATTGTGAATAAAAAAAAAACATAGGTTTTATCCTAAAAATTCTACGGGAACTCGACAATTCCGAAAACCCCGCAAGAACGGGAACTATGTGGGAAGAACCAAAAATCTGCCGGAAGTCACTATTCCACGCGGACGAAGCCGCGGCAAAAGCTAGTATAATATATACATGTGGGAGTCTAATTAAACCTTTATATGTTATATACATACATATTTGCCTACTCCTTTATTATATAATAAACATGTATTATTATTTCTGTAATTTCAGAGTCGGATATTTAGCTTTGGTGAGACTGGCGAAACTGGCTTTGTACACCTTGGGACATTTGTTTGAAATTCTTGCCCCAGATGGTTCTGACACCTCTGTAGATAAAGAATTTAGGTATGTTCTACATCAGAGTTATTCATTTTTATATTATTCTTATTTATTGACCCTATTAAAACTTGTAGGATGGATGTCACAATATTAAGAGAGGCTCTGCAAACTGTTCCGAATCATAACTGTGAGCTTGTTGTAAAGGCAATTGCTGAAAAGCTGGCCAACAGCCTTGGAGAGCAGGTATACTTTTTTTATATAATTTATATATTTGTATATAAAAATGTTACATTTATTAATTTACGTTATTATATTCTTGTAATTTGCTTCTACTAATATGTGGTATAATTCATATCATTACACTGAAAATCTAGATGGTAACTAGCAGTGAGGAAAGCGACTCTGTATCTTCGTTGGTGTGGTGGCGCGTGCCCACTACGGCCACTGTTCGCGCCCTCTATGGTCTCGCCTACTCTGTGGCACAACCTGATCCAGACGGACTAGTGCATTCCGATGATGTTATATGTAAGTACATAAAACTACAAATTTTTCAACAATTGCTTTTGTGTATTAGTATACCAATTTTTATTTTCTGGGTTATACAACACTCTTGGTATATGTATTTTAAGTGTATTAAATTTAAATACTATCCTTGTTTTATATCCATCAGTGGTTCGGGAATGTATGGAAGTAGTCACGATTTGCATGGCGCTAGGAGGGGGACACCTCGAATCTCTTCTACATGAATCCTGGTGGCAGGACACCGCACTGTACTTAATGATCGACTGTCCCAATCCTCAGGTAAGCATTGAGTACTACAAGAAAATGAATAATTTACTCTCATAAAAATGTAAAAAATTTGGCCTACATATATGCATTGCAATATTTTTTGGACAGTTAGGTATTTTTCCGCCGTTGAATAATAATTTTATTTTATTTTCTAGGACTATAAACCATGTAAATTTTTACAGTGCAATAAAGAGTATATATAATGTAATTACTATATTGACGATAGAAATATTATGTGCAATTTCATATAAGTACTCAGTAATAAATAAATATCATGACTCAGGTCCGAGTGTCATGCGCCGAGCAGCTATTGTCGATGTGTGCGTGGGGCGGTGGTGGAGGTGCGCGGGGGGCGCTGGCGGCGCTAGGCGGGGCTCGCGGGGCCGCCGCGCCGAGACTCACCACACACGCGAGGCACGCGCAGCAGTTCCTACAGCTGCTGTGTCGACTGGTGGCACTCGCGGGACCCACTGCCAGGACACTGGAGGATCTCGCTATTGAGGTAAACGTAATATCAATTAGTAATATATAACTTAAACAAGATTAATGAGAACACCAAAGACAATAACAAAGTTACTGAACATGTATGTAAGGATGGACTGTTCGTTTGTATCATGACATTATGGATGTATTTTGTGACATAGTTTAAAGAAGTTACTGTCGATTGATCTCTATATCTATTGTTTAAATACATTTCACACATATCGTTGTGACCTTAATTCTGAATTAGTTAAGCATAAAGCTAGCTGATTATTTGTCGTTGATTTACCTCGAAAATTTGTTTCAATTCTTAAAGGTGGAGTGGTTGCGTGCAGTCCGTGATAATCCCGCAACATTAGACGACACTTTATTGGAAGGTCATCTAAATCTTACCAAAGAATTATTCACCCACGTTCCGGCTCAGGTGAAGTTCCAATACGGGGCACATCCGGACCACAAAGACTCGGGATTGATTAGGGTAAAGTCGTTCAGCCAGTTTTGTATTTACTTGAGGTTATTGGTGTATTGACTAAGTTGTGTAACAGGAAGTGACGACCGAGTTCCTGTGGCCATATTCGTGGGCGTGGTGCCATATGGGGAACGAAATGTCTGGCGATGAGGAGGGAACTAGCGAGGAAGAGTGTGAGGGTGTGGCGCCACTGTGTCGTACACCCGGCGCCGCAGCCGCTGCAACAGATCTACTGCTGGCTCTAGTACATGCTTGCGTTCCTAACATGGCTGCGCTTGCAAACTTACTTGAACAGATGTTCTACAGTGGTAAGTAATATTAGTTGACAAACTGTCACGAAATTTTTAGCCTCAGCTGTACCTAAAATAGTTTCGTTATGCATCTAGTAATAAATTTGAACTCTAACCAAAATTGAGTCCTCCAATGTGTAATCTGTCTTAACATCTATTTAAGTCAGAAATCAATCAATAATAAGCAATCACATTATATGTCTACGAAAATTATATTCTATTAACCAAATAATCTCCTGTAGATTTAGCATCAACCGGTAAAATTTTCTTTTCTTCGCTAATATATTACATATATTTAATTCTTTTCAATCATAACGTTCTTCTTAATAGATAAAAACATGGGTCTATCCGAGTGGGAGTACATGCCGTGTGTGGGTCCGCGGCCGCCGGCCGGCCTTGTCGGTCTGAAGAACGCGGGCGCCACGTGTTACATGAACTCTGTGCTACAACAACTGTACTGCGTGCGAGCCGTGCGGGACGTGCTTCTCACAGTACAAGGTATGGGCGATGAACGAACATTCACTAATTCATTGATTTATGACCCTAATTATTATATTTTATTGTATCTAGTAAGTTTTGGAGTAAGATCTAAACATTATGGAATCCATGTTGAGTTAGCCTGTAAGTGATGATACGCAACTGTAAAAAAGTTCCATGATGTTATAATGTAGTTATAACTGTTTGTGTATCACGTTGGCTTCCTATTAAATAAAATAAAAATAAAATATTTTATTACGAACTGAATAGTCCTTGAATATCATTACTGTAGTTACGGAGAAATGAATGAGAAATTAAGCCATAAATCGTAAACGCATTATACCTGTAAAAGCTAATTTACTCTTGCCTCAAAGTAGTTTAAATTGAATGTTCCTGGAAACAAGAAGCAAGTTAATTATAAAATTTCGAAATATCGTGTTGTATATATAATTTTTCGCTTTTTTTCATACACACGATTGTTTTCACTAACAAATAAAATATGATACTGTGTAATAAAAGACGGTTTTTGGAATCACAGTATTAATCAAGGAAGTAATTGTATGTAAACTAAATATATTTAATAGACATTTTGTATAAACAGGGGCTGCTACTGACCCAAATGAAGATTTTTCCGGTGAAACGCATCTTCACAGTATTTTGGAAAATAGCACAGAGGTTAATAATCATTAAAATTTAATTCATTTTTTACATAAAAATTAAACAGAAATTTTAATTTATTACTATATTATTGATTTCACTGTTTTCTTTCAGAATAACACCGACTATAATATCACTATACTTAAACAAGTACAAGCCATATTTGCCCACTTACATTACAGCAAACTTCAGTATTATGTACCCAGGGGACTATGGGCACACTTCAGGTAAGAACTAAAAAACAAAATAATATTATGACAAGTCAAAAAAATATTATATGAAAAAAGATTAAAGTACAAATTATTTCAGCTTAAAAAAAACTGCTTCATAGAATTTCTACATTCATAAGTTCTTCAAAAGGGAGGGTTTTGAATTAAATTTAATATTATTAATTTTTAGGTTACAAGGAGAACCTGTGAATTTACGTGAACAGCAAGATGCTGTGGAGTTTTTTATGTCTCTGGTGGAATCACTCGACGAGGCTTTAAAGTCGTTGGGACAAGAACAACTTATGGCGAAAACCATGGGAGGAACATACTCCGATCAGAAAATTTGTAAGGGATGTCCACACAGGTAAATATTTTTTATTAAAATATTTCAATCTGTATATTAAACAACGATCTAATAATATTATTCTACAGGTATTGCAAGGAAGAACCATTCAGTGTAGTTTCCCTGGACATAAGAAATATGTCGCGCTTACAAGAATCTCTTGAAGCGTACGTTAGAGGAGAGCTTCTGGAAGGTGCCGATGCCTATTACTGCGATAAGTGTAACAAGAAGGTATATTTACAGAGATATGTACATCAATATATGTAAAAAAACTTTACTTAAAAGTAATTATTCGTAGGTTGTAACAGTGAAACGTCTGTGTCTCAACAAATTACCGCCGGTCCTAGTCATACAGCTGAAGAGATTCGAATACGACTTCGAGAAAGTTTGTGCAATAAAATTCAACGATTACTTTGAATTTCCGCGGGAGTTGGACGTAGAGCCCTACACCGGTAAGATATAGATCCTTGATGTACCTTTCTATAGTAAATATATAATAAGTATAAGCGACCCATCTATATTCTGCCTCAATTGAGTTATATTTTTGTTATATATCTCCCTGACAGAGCTTTTTATTTCTTAAATTATTGATGAATGATTTAATCTATGTATATATAAGTTACGTAGATATGACGAACGAAACAAAAGCATATTGACATTGTAAATCATACAACATTCCACAGACTTTATTTTCATATCTCAAGAGATTTTTATTAATTACTAGCTTTCCGCCCGCAGCTTCGCCCGCGTGGAGTTCGGTTATATCGCGTTACCAAGAGAACTTTTCAAAAGTCTGAGATAAAAACTATCCTATGTTCTTTCTTAAGGTTAACTCTATCTCTATATAAAAATTCATTAAAATACGTTCAGTGGTTTAGACGTGAAAGTGTAACAGACAGACAGACAGAGTTACTTTCGCATTTATAATATTAGTAGGGATTCTGTTTTGAAAATTAGGACTTATTATATCTTTGAAATGAATGTTTCCAGCGTGGGGTCTAGCACGAGCGGAGGGCGACGCGTCCCTGTGGGAGGGAGGGGAACGTACCGAGACTCACTACCAGCTCAGCGGGATAGTGGTGCACTCCGGACAGGCCTCTGGTGGACACTACTATTCATATGTACTACTTAGGTATATATAATTAATCAACCTCCTCAGTTGTGTTAATAATATTAATGATCTTTTATTGTTGCTTAAAAAGGTAACTAGGCATTCAGTTATAACAAGATTATATGGAAATAATTATATGAGTGAGACAATAATAATCATGAAAATTAATGTGTAACGTGTTGATAATATAGAGTGACAATAATATAAAGTTTTATTATATATAATATAATATATTAATTATTTTTATACATAACATTTGTTCTACAATGTCTTAGAAAAAGTGTGTTCTGATTTATTATCTATACTAATATTATAAAGCTGAAGAGTTTGTTTGTTTGAACGCGCTAATCTCCGAAACTATTGGTTCGAATTGAATAATTCTTTTTGTGTTGGATAGTCCAGTTATCGAGGAAGGCTATAGGCTATATAACATCACGCTACGACCAATAGGAGCAAAGATATAGTGGTAAATGTGTAAAAAACGGGAGAAATTATTTTATAATAAATTTTATATGTTGTTAATATGTTAAGAGATAACGCGGGTGACGCTGGTCGGTGGGTGAAGCTGGATGACGGTGAAGTGTCAGAGTGCGCCATGCATGATGACGATGAGATGAAGGCTCAGTGCTTCGGAGGAGAATACATGGGAGAGGTGCGGATACAAACAATATACTATTATCATAAATAGTCCTTCATGTTATTTAAAAGTTTCTTCAAAATTCTGGTGTAGAAGAAAATTGTAACATTATGAGTTTCGTTACGCTCTGTTTTCTTTATTAACTTCCTATGATATATAAATATTGCAGAAATTCGGCTGTAATATAAGATACTTTACAATTTAAATATTCATAATGTATTCTTTTGATTTAAAAACATTATAAATAATGTATATTACATTTACTATTTAAGGTATTTGATGCAAATATAAAGAGGGTGTCATATAAGAGACAGAAGAGATGGTGGAACGCTTACATGCTATTCTACACACGAAAGGACATGATTGATACATCCGGTCTCGAGAGAATCATGCAAAACATAACACTAAAGTGAGTTTTTTACAAAAACAATTTTATTTAAAGGTTTTTCTTAAAAGTTATGAATTAATTTTAATATTTCTCAGGGAAAGTGCCATACCCAAACCTATCTGGAATTCGGTTCGTCGCAGTAATATCGCTTTCTCACACAACCAGGACCAGTTCAGTTTGGAACATTTTAATTTCATGAAGAAGCTATGTTGTATGCGCATGCAAGTGTTACCCGGCTCACAGAGCGCGGTATGGGTAAGATATATTAAGTAATAAATTAATTATTAAGTAGAATATTATCTTATTCAGCTATACATTGTAGGGCCCAGAACACGAGGAAATGTCGATGTTAGCTGTACAGTTGGCAGCTAAATTCTTGTTCCAAGTTGGTTTCCATACAAAGAAAACATTACGTGGACCCGCTGCGGACTGGTAAAGAATTCGTTGTTATTATAAATTATATTATTATATATACGTCGAAATAAATCTACAACATTATATAATATTAACAGGCAAGACATACTCTGTCAGCATCTCAGATGTTCTCAGGCTGTCAGAACTTGGTTTGCGACCGACCTGTTCAAACATTCTCACAGGTAATGAAAGCTTATTAATATTTGTTTTAGATTTACAAAGTATTCGAGATATACAACAGTCTTTTTGTTGGTAGGTTATGTGACTACTTACTGTCCTGTCCATCGGCTGAAGTAAGAGTTGTATTTATGAAAATCATCGTGTTTTTGGCTCATTTCTCCATACAGGACTCGCCAGGTATGATACAGTATCTATATATTATTCAGAATAAAACATTTAAGGTATTCAATAAACATATATTTGTTTTAGGAGGTACTCAAATAAACCGACGTTAATTATTCCTACTAATATTATAAATGCGAAAGTAACTCTGTCTGTCTGTCTGTCTGTCTGTCTGCTACGCTTTCACGCCTAAACCACTGAACTGATTTTAATGAAATTCGGTACAGAGATAGAGTTGACCTTGAGAAAGAACATAGGATAGTTTTTATCCCAGACTTTTGAAAGGTTCTCTTGGAAACGCGATATAACCGAACTCCACGCGGCGAAGCTGCGGGCGGAAAGCTAGTTACAACATAAATATTTAAAAATTCCAATATAGTCATAGCATAGTTCATGATAATAAAACTACAGGTTGCTAAAGTGTATCTGACCCATAATTTCAGTGAGCAGCGGCTACGGGTCGTGGTGTTCCCGCGAGGAGGCCACCTCTCTATCAGACCAGGTGATATGTGCTGCTCGTGCGTTAGCGGCGCCTCACACACACGCACACGACCACCGACACCTGCCGCTGCTGTTCAACCTGTTCCACGCGTACGCTATGCTGGGCTTGGGCGAGAGACACCAGCTACTTAGGGTAATTGGAACAACACATTACCTCTATCTTAAATGATATTAAATAGTATTATCAGGACTAACCTAACAAACAATACCGACAGACACTTATCTTTCTGTAAAATTTATTTATTTATTTATTTATTTGTAAATATAATTTCAATAACTCCATAAAAATCGAAACGTCAGCCTAATTAACCTTTAACATATGCGTTTAGCGTACATGAACATAATAATATATTAATGGGATTCTTTGTTTTCTGATTTTTAGCTCAAAATCCTCGACATAGTACTAACAGTCTGTTTGGAAGACTCGTCCTCGTCGCTTGGAAAATATCAGTATCCGGAATCTGCTAAAATACATCAGGTAAAATGTTTGTTACTACTACAAATAACGAACTATATGGGAGGTAAAATTAATATCTATAAAAAAAAAGAAACATCCCTTTATAAAATCTTATTGACTGAATATAAACAGAAAACTTATTATGAATTGAATGTTTCTTTAAGTTTGAACATTTGTAGTTGAAATGACATGATCATAATGTTGTTCTTAAAGAAACCATAGCAGTTCTTTTTAAAAAATGAATTTTTAATACATTGATCATGTCTATGTTTTCAGGTGGTGTGCGCATTGGTCCGTTGTTGCGACGTGAGCGCTCGTTGTCAGTCAGCAAACGCCAGCGAGGGCGTTTTGCCACTGGCCAATCCGTACGCGGACGCGGCGCACGCGCACTCACCGCGACCCGCACTGTCCGCAGCCGCCGCTGACGTGCTCTACAACCGCACCGGGTAACGAAGTAGACTAACTAGATATGTACTAGTAATAATACTTTTGAAAAATATCTACAAACACTTCTTTGCCTTTCTTCAAACTGAAATTATGCAATTAAAAATTTTAGTCTAAGCGATTGGCTATTGAAATATATAATTATTGTTGTAATATTAATAAAAATCTGTTCATATAGAGAATATATGGAGATTCATTCGTCCTCACATAATTTTGCATGTTATCATATAAGTTTTAAATTATATTTTTCATATTGAAAATGACTTTATAAATGAATATTAGATGCATTTTTTATATCATGTGTATGAATTTTCAGGTCTTACATGAAGAAACTAACTGAGGAGTGCTGCGGATGTGAAGAGGGTATCCGACTGCTTCAATTCATGTGCTGGGAGCATGCTGGCTGGTCTCGCATGGCGCTGGCCGAGTTGCTGTGGCAGATGGCTTACGCGTTCTGCCATGAACTACGGAGACACGCGGACGCACTCACCGCACTCCTGCTAATGGAAGATAGTTGGCAGCATCACAGGATACATAACGCTATCAAGGTTATTAGAACTTCCATATATGTATTGAGAACAAATGTCGACATAAAATTGTTTATTATAATATATATCCTTGAAAATTTTAATTACAGGGTGTGTCAGAGGAGCGACCTGGGCTTCTTGAGACAGCTTTGCGCGCGCGCAGTCATTACCAGAAACGAGCGTATGCTTGTGTGAAGTTGGTTGTAGGAGTGATGTGTCGCACTCCGCTCGCCGTACGAGCTGTGCACGGACAGCCCGACGCACGACGACGATGGAGACAGCTTCTAGCGTGGTTACAGGACGAGCTGGAACGCGTGAGTACATCGGTGGTTTAAAATTGTTTAGCTTAACTAAACCTTAGTTTATGAGACAATAACGGACATAGTATTTTAATGGCGGATATCTTGCTCCTATATTAAAAAAATGAACCCACTTTCCCGTCCTAGACCAGGAACGCTTGATGAGTTGTTTTGTTTCAGAAGTATGGATCCGGTGGTTACGGGTCATACGGTACTTGGTCTCCCCCCAGCCTGTCCAACGAAACGTCAAGTGGATATTTCCTCGAGCGCAGTAACTCTGCAAGAAAGACTCTCGAAAAGTATGTAAATGTTGTTTAACCGATTTAAATAAGTCTGTGAGTGGTATGGACTCACCTGAATTCTTGTTCAGGGCCTATCAACTCTGTCCGGAAGAGGAGGAAGAAGAAGAGGAGTCGCGAGACGCCGGCTCGGGCTCGGGCTCCGGCGAGGCTGGTGACGACAGCGGCGACGATGATGCTCCCGACGACGAGGAGCCCGCGCCGCGCAGACTACAGCTGGCGCCCCCCGCCCCGCCGGCGCCGCCAGCCCCGCCCGCTCCTCCTGCGCCGCCCGCCGGCCTGTGAGCCTCCCGCTCTAGTCCGCGTCCCGCCGCCGCGCCCGCGCCCCGCCCACGCCACGCTCGCGCCCCGCCCGCGCCAAGCCCGACCGTAGTTTTGTTCTGTGATGTTAACGATACGTGTATACTCGACGACTGGCGACGCCCGGCCCGCGGCTCCGTCGACGCTCTGTTTACTTTTAATCGTTTATGTAACATAATGTTCCGCTTTAAAAGTACCATAGTATTTATTTTATTCTTTTTAAGACTTATTCATTACTTATTATTCGATAGAAGAATTTATTTTCGATCTACGAGTAGCATATTTGAAATGATTTTTTTTTTAACAATAAAGTGATAACGTGTTCGAACTAATTCCGATTCCATGTACACGCATCTAACAAAGCCACGTTTTATTACACGTTCCTTCGACCATTACATCCAAAAAGTTTGAATAATGAATTTCAAAAACTATTCCTACATAAAAGTTTCTTTAAATAAGTTGTGAATTAATGTTATAAAAAAAATTTAATCAAATACTTAAAACATAATATTTTTTATTCAGAACTTTCTTATAAAGTGATAGCTAACAGAAATCTGAATTATACTAAAACCGAATAAAATTAATGCGTTCATTTTAATTTAAACACTACTTAAATTTTATATATTGTATAAATGACAGTTTTAAAATATAATAAAAAACTTATGTGATTGATATCAATAAGAACAGTTTCCGATATATAACAAATGTAAACAAAAGGAGTATGTTTATGAAATTCATTGGGTGTTCATCATTATTATTATGTAGCAATAGTTTTTTTCGTTTTCTGGTGTAATTTAATTTTTATTATTTAACCTCTTTAGATGTAATGCATAATTTATATAAACTATCTTATTTAGTTACATGTTGACTGCACATTGAAATGATTAAGGCCAGATTATAAGATTTTGGCGTATAGGCACTATGCGTTAATAACATTTTTATGACTTTATTGCTAGCTTTATATTAGTAACAAAGCGTGTAGAGAGTGTAGATATTATTATAGAGGTATTAAACACTAGTCTAACAGGAAAATGTTGCCACGTCGACTTTCTGCTTTGTATTATATGTTATTTATTTTTATATTCCATAAAAGTGGTTGTATATTTTTTCCTTTATTTTAGTGGTTAAATCGTGGCGTCCTTCAGGCTATCAGGATTAATATGACGTTGATGTGCATTCAGAAAAAAAAAATCTGATATATTTTATAGTACATGATACTCAGTGAATACAGCAAACTACTTCAATCACACTTCATAGACTCTGTGTAGTGAGTAATTATATATATTTTTGTTTTAAATAACTTTCTTCTATATTTATATTAACTGCAATAAAAGTATTCGATGATGTTAAACCACGTATTGTTGGTTCCGTACAGCTTATTACATGTTAGTAACGTATTAATCGGATATTAATTAATGAATATCGGTCGTCGAGACCTCGTGCCTTATTTTAATTTCCGTTGCTCAATTTGTTACACCTGATAGTCTGTGCCGTCTTTAAAAAATGTATCTTCAAATCTCAATAAGATCAAATTCAAATCATTAACGCTTGGCTTAACATTTTGTAGATATTTTAACACAATAAAACTTAACGCTTGCATTAGTGTGATTATGTAACGGAAGCATTTTGTATTATGTATAGCTTGGTGCAGTGTCAGTTAGTTGTTGTTATCTTTATTACCAAAGATGGATATGTAAGATGCTGGGCGTTCGGCGACCCTCTCTTCATAGCTTAGTGATTGAAATGTTTTGTATCTTTTATAAAACGCAAAAAGTTAAGGAGTTTTTCTTTTTGTTAACAAATGAAAATTGTGATGGATCTTAGGATTAGATAGGTGAGTTATATGTGATGGTGAGACTTGATACAGAAACTGCCAAATACATTCTACAAATGTCGAACATGTGGGACATACAAAATCGTGTAAATAATCATTATGACCATTTTTAAAAAAAACCTTTTTTATCGTTGTATAACCAAATAATGTTTTTGAAATGATAAATACAGTTATTTTCATTTTTTTAAATGCGTTTTGAACGTAAGTTTGCATGGAGTTTCCATAAGTTAATAGTACAGCGAGTAGAGCTCGAGCCAGTTGATTGATTTACAAAGAACGCATGCCTCACCTGAACAGTGGAAAAAATATTATTCATAGATTTATTATAAGTTGAGTTTTGTATACAGTATAATGTTTCTATGGCAGATATGTAACGAATGGCATTTGACATTAAAGAATGCAACTGAAAGCATTCACACGAATATAATACATCAGAAAATAAATTACGAAAATTCATAACGTGTTTTATTTGAAACAGAACATTCCAGAAGATAATATAATATGTAGTTTAATATAAGTTCATGGTTACGCACTATGAAATTACATAAAACATGTTATTTGCGAAAAATAACATAGTTAACAATAATGACCTGTGATCTTATTTTATTGTTAAGATAAACTGTTACAACTCTGTTATCAGTGGTTCACAATTTACATAAGTAATTATATTGATTGTGTTCGAGCAGTACGATCTGTGACTTTGAATAGGAAATGGAGAAATATATTAGTGTTAAAGATCTTGAAGACGCCGCGCTGGCAGCGCTGCCGAAGACTGTCAGGGACTATTATAAGAGTGGAGCGACAGACGAATACACTTTGGCGGAAAATAGACGAGCGTTTCAGAGGTGTTTACCAATAATTATAACCTATATTGTTTATGTTATTAAAAGTGAATAATCACTTAATTTCATATACAATACAGATTAAGAATACGTCCAAAATGTCTGGTGGGTATCAAAGGATGCGATACATCGACTACCATTCTAGGAGACAAGGTGTCGATGCCGGTCGGAATCTCCCCTACAGCCATGCAGAGAATGGCGCATCCTGATGGAGAAACCGCTACCGCACGAGGTAATGTCGGGAAAATAACTAATAAAAATTAATACCAAATGAGAAAAATAGTAAAAGTCCCTTAAAAATATTTACGCTGATAACCAAAAATCCTTCTGTATGTGATGTTATGTAACTCGTATTCAAAAAATTAATGAATACTGAAGTCTTAATCAACCAATTATTTCACGACAGCTGCCCAAGCTGAAGGTGTGATATACACTTTAAGTACAATCTCCACCAGTTCCATAGAAGAGGTAGCTCAAGCAGCCCCAAACGCTTTGAAGTGGTTTCAACTTTATATATATAATGACAGGTCAGTCTATATTGATAAGAAAATAATGCAAAAGAAATTGTTTGATTTTTGAAATGACATACTTTTATAAAATTTAAAGGTAATTTACGAGTATTTGGACGTTAAAGGACAACTTCGCCTAAAAGCATGTGCAACAGAAATCAAATTCTCTCATCTTTTACTGTGTAGTGATGTGTTCTGTAATAATAAATATCAATCATATAAAATAGTTACCTCCAGATGGGGACAGTGTCAATTCATAATCCATCAAGGTATGCTTCATAGTAGCTTGTAGTAAGTAGTAATGGTGTCACAGAACATAAAAAGAAAATGCTAAGATAACTATAAAGGTTTAATGTCAGGTAAGGGGTAACTGTTCTATACTGGAACCCTCAAGTCCATCAAATAAGTACGGACTTCGTCCTCGTCATCAAGTATTGAAATTGATGCATGTAACGGGGAAGCAATAACAAAACTTTTAAATCAAATAATAGCAAGTAGAACTTAAATGGTTGTCAGACACTAAGTGTATTCATAGAAGTCGTTTTATTTTCTGTAAAATCATAAGATAAAAAGACTCAGTTACGCTATGTAACAAGTGTACACACCTCAATCGTTAACAGTTAGGTACACTGTAAATGGCATACTCATTGCTCCTAGTGGTGGCAGAAAAGCGTGTTTAAATGTGTGGGTGTCTCAATTTTTTTTTCAGATAAGTAATGTTTATTGAGATAAGAGATGGCTTAGTTAGCCTTTAGCGTTCGAAAAATTTTGTCGGTTGTTATAGTCCGTTAGACTTAAGCTGAGCTTTGCATTTGTGTGTAAAAGTAGAGTTAGACAAAAAACTTTTAGAATTAAATTTTATTATATATTTTAAATTGTTACATAACATAATTGCTATAAAATAAGCAAAACTTGTAAAAGCCCAGATGGAAATATTTTGAATATTGAGGAAAAAAAATTATTGATTAATAAGAATTTTGAAAAAACTACAAATTCTTATTCACTTGACATTGCTTTTTCAACATTTGATATTGCTACCAGTACAAAAGGTGAAGTGAGGAAGGTGTGGGGCGAAGTAAAAGCAGTACAAACCGGTTTAAAACTACAAAAGAACATTTCATTCAAAAATTTGACATCTCACCTACATTATCCGTGTGCACTCAAACAAATGCAAAGCTCAGCTTAAATCAAACGCACTATGTAATGTATGTACATTTTATGTCATTTTTAGGGAAATTACAAGAAATCTCGTTTTAAGAGCCGAAAGGGCAGGCTTTAAAGCAATAGCGCTGACTGTGGATACACCTCTGTTTGGTCTAAGAAGAGCTGATATCAGAAATAAGTTTACACTTCCCAAACATTTGAAGTAAGCATTGTGAAATTTATCATTCAATATATATTTGTTTAAGGAAAGTTTACTTAATGAGGTTAAATTTTTATAATATTTCTAGGTTAGCCAATTTTGAAGGACATTTATCTGATAAAATACACAGTTCTGGTGAAGGCAGCGGTTTGAGTCATTACGTTAACAATTTGTTCGATCCATCGTTAACTTGGGACGAAATAAGATGGCTGAAGAGGTAATGATATATCTTAATTGACTCAGGTCTTCATACAGGTTATATTTTTCATCGTATACAGACTATTTGTTAAAGATGAAAATGACCCGCTCTCGTTGTATACTAAAGATATCTTTATTTATTTGAAATTTTTGTTAGAAGATTTTATTAAAGTTACTTCTATCATCATGATCATGAGTTATACAAAATTAACTTATGAAGAATGTTTGAAAAGGATTTAAAACATGTAATTGATATTTCCAAATATCGACAAATAATATTATCATAGTAGCATGTTAAACCCTACATATACATATATAGTGCTATGTATATTTATATATATATTAATTTAAATGAATACTCGCGAAAATCTTAGATCTCATTAATATAATTTATTATATACATATTTTTTATTATTTGTGTCAGTATAACCAAGCTGCCCATCATAGCGAAGGGCATCCTCCGCGGTGATGACGCGGCTCGTGCGGCGCGGGCGGGGTGCGCCGCCGTGCTCGTCTCCAACCACGGAGCGAGGCAACTGGACGGAGTACCCGCCACGGTAACAACACACACTCACTGTATTATAGTCATCAGAAATGCATATGTACCCTTAGAACGGGCATACTTTGGCAAACTAAATACGGCTAACAGCCGTACCTGTTCCATTATAATTTGGTCACTCGTGATCAATCACTCACTCACTTTGAAGTGAAATTGTACCCTGGTATTTACTTATTTTCTTTTGACAACATAATTTTTATTAAATAATAATGTACTAAAAAAATAAACTTTATACACAGATCTAATATAAGATAACGGAAGGCTATCCAAGAGTGTTATGTTTTCCAGATCGAAGTTCTTCCAGAAATCACAGCAGCAGTTGAGCAATACAATGTTGAAGTGTACTTGGATGGAGGAGTCACTACAGGGACTGACGTTTACAAAGCCTTGGCTCTAGGAGCGAAAATGGCAAGTATTCCTTGTCTTAAACTAACTAACCCACACGACTCCACCCGTGTCGTTTAATAACTATATAAAAAAAGATATTTCACTGTTATTTTTGGATAGTGTTTAATCGATACAACTTAAAAAAAAATGATATTTTTTTCGCCGTAAAAGGAGGATGGAGGAATTATATTGTGTTATTCCTTTTCACACCTTCCAAAGTGTATCAAATAAAATCCTGACGGATTGCCCACTTTAAACGTGTAATCAAGGGATTAGACTAGGTTTCAAACAAATCGTATTCTACAATATGTTTTCACTTCTTTCCACGGAATCCAAAACTAGCAGAACTTTTTTGTGGACACCGAATTAACGTTATTACCGAAAATCTGACTTAGACCTAAGAAACACGGTATGATTAGGTTTAAGGATACCTCAACATCTAATAACTGGAGATTCCAAGGATACATTCTTAAAATTTGAAGGCAATGTGAACTGATTCCTTTTGGCAATGAAAAGACATGATTGTATTTTAGTGGCATTTATTTTCACAGGTTTATCATCGCTCCATTCACAAACTTTTTGCATTGTGAAATAAATACCCCCACTGCCATGTTTTTTCTTTTAAACTGTATTTTATCCTAGCTGGCCAATTAATACCACTAAGAAACTATTCCGTTTTCTGCGTAACCAAAAATAATCAATAATAGCAGATAAATAGAGTTGTGGGTAACATAGATACTTGAAAAACCTAGCAATGACTGCCGAACAAATGTTCAGAACGTTCAGTCGAAAAATTTGTTATCTTGGCATACATGCCATGAGATATTAAAAAACTAGAATTCTTACAAATGAGGTTAATGTGTCAGAGGCCTTGTTAAAAAACATTTAATATCAAAACATTCATTTAAGTCAAACAGCGAGAGCTTTACCTTTCTCTGAAGATTTTCTAAGGAAAAGTGTGGTTTATAGCAAATGGTTCCTAATCGCCCCGAGACGATCATCTTCTAGGTAGCCATAAGAATCAGTTCAATATACATACCTCCTAAGTAGTCTAGAGATAATAACATCGAACTGTTATTATCATACTCTGCCCGTCTTCTTTTCATATACACAGATATCAAATTGGCAAGCTTCACGTAGTTAGTCCCTGTACAAAGCATCAAAGTAAATCCGTTCGATCCGTCAAATTTTAAAACGGCTATGGAGTACAGGTCGCTCACATCATCAGCTTTTAATTTCAAGACCATCTCAGTACCTGCTTATTTACTAAAAACATTTAGCTTACTGTATTATCTAAAATGTTGATTAATTGCATTCGCTAAAGTTATATTTACATGCGCTGAATTCTTTTTGAGCTCGGTTAGAAGAATAGAAACTAGTTTTACTCATGAATATCGTGAATTCATAGTGAATCAATTATTTCGTAATAAGTAGTTTTTTAATTTTATTTATTCTTCTCAAATAAGTTTTTATCTTTTTAGGTGTTTGTTGGTCGTCCGGCGCTTTGGGGACTAGCTGTGGCCGGACAAGAAGGTGTCCAGAAAATGTTGAACATTATTCGTAAAGAGTTTGAGTACACTTTACAAATTGCGGGTAAATATTCAAAAATGTTTTAAATATTGGTATAACTTTGATAGCAATTTCAAGAGTGAGAAAATATATTGAATAACAAATTTTTTTCTATGTATATATTTTTTTATTTCGTTTCAGGAACTCAAACTATACCAGAAATAACAAAAGACATGGTGCGGCACGAGGCTACCTACAGTAGACTGTGAATTATTCTAATATAAAAATAAGTTATTTCAAACCAAATAAAATACGTTTTATTAATTATAGACTTTAATTATTTAACTAGAAGTTTGCGATACAGATTGTAAAGCACCGATGGTGTCATATAAGTTTCTCTCGGCCACATTTTTTTGGATATTCTCTGAAAAGATTTTATCCCATTTTAAAGTTAACTATATTATATACATAAATATTTTATGACATTTAATTGGCAGAAAATTTGGTTTAATGGGACAAAAATATCCAAGTTTAATCCATTTAAGCCAAAAAGTTCTATAAGTACCTTAAAATCGCAGCCATACATATTAATACCGATCTTAAGTCTCTTAACAGTTTTCTGTAGCGACACGTCCTTAGCCAGTTTCTGTCTGAGTATGACGGTGTCGTTGCACGTGTTACATTCTATATTTGATATATCCACTGTATTTCTTTCATAGTTGTCATTTATTTTCTCCATCATATCTTTCTCCCTCATATATTCTGTAAAGCTGTAACTACACGATGGTTCGCTATTGGTAGGTTCTACATTATCTATATTAACGTTAGTGTCATTGACCTTTCTTTTGAATATATTTCGTATGTTAGTGAAGCTTTTCACAAGTGTCGTGCAAGAGCCGTTTATGAGATTAAAAAATTTGGCGCTCATCGTTTTATTTTGACTCTTGTCTGATATTGTCCTGTTTAGTTTTTGTTTGTTGACATTTTTATTATTCTGTACCGTGAACTTGTAACGTTTTTGTATTGATGATGATGGATTTTTTATGGAAGAAGAACGCGACGAATTTGTTTTGTGAGGTACTTTAGTGTGTTTCGGAGTTGAAACAAATGGAGGCTTGAAATCTAATATCGTGTTATTATCAAGTTTGAGAGTGTCGTTAAATTGGGACAGTTCTTTGATTGGATGCGTCTGAATATACTGTCTTCCTGATTGTTCTAGAAAGTTCTTTGACCTTAACTTATTGTTACGAGTATCGTCATTATTTCTTATATTAGTAAAAGTCTCAATTGTTTTGCACAAAAACGAGAACGACATTTCTTTTGTTTCATTAATATTTGGAATATTTCTTTCAAAAGTACGAGAAAATGTTCCCGCGCCGTATTCCCTAGTGTTGTTTATTGTGAATTGTTTTGTTATTGGTCTAATATTGTGCCTGTTTATATCATTATATTTTTTTTGCACCGGTTTTTTAAAAAGTGGTGATGTAATTTTTTTATTATTTATATTATTTTCTCTCTGTATCGTCATAATTTCTTTATACACGTTACGGAATAAGTTTCTTGTATCGGCTCCATTGTCTGTGAACGATCTATTTTGTAATATATTTGTAGTCTCTGGTCCATATTTTGGTTTTGTTTTAGGATTTGCAACATCCCTTTCTATATCAATCCCAGCTGTAATATAGTGTTGGAAAAATATGTAGTAATTGCCATCCGATAAAGAATTAGATAAAGAATAATAAACAACGCTTAAACAAGGTTTTATTATATAAGACTTATGACCTAAAAATACTCTTTAAACAATAAACACACGAGGAAAAGTTATCTATTTTTTTATGACCATGAAGCTGATAATATAGTTTAGTATACAAACCTTTTCGTTTTGAATATAATATTATTGAAGACCACTGTCCAATCTATAAGAAAAAAAAAATCCGCGTATAAATAAATAAACATACACCAAAATATCGAAAAGAACCAGAATAAAATTTACAATTGATTGTGGGCCAAACGTCATTAGCAAAGTTTCAACAATTTCAAAAACTTGTGGCGATCTATTTAACATTGTTATGTTTTCTTGGCTGGTGTTTTCGATTACAGTACTAAGAAGAAACAGACACTCCGGATACTGTAACGACTCCCTGGAATAATATTTCAGTATTAAGAGTTCTAAATCTTTGTAGCTCTATGGACAAAAAGTGGACATAAAATAAATATTATAGACCTCGTAAATAAACTCATTCCACCGCATTCGTGAAACAGCTGAATGTTTCGATCGTTGTCCTTCAACAGACTCTGCAGTAATAAATATATCTCCGTGTATTCTTGGTTACATTTTATGATACACTAAAAGAAATCGTCAAGTATTATTCCTATTGTATTTTAGAATTTATATGTTACTTATTAGAATAGTTTGCCAGAGGCGATATATATTCGTTATAATAGACATTATTTAAAGCTTTTTACAGTTAAATTCTCAAATAAAATTTACTTGAACACCATATTTCCATTCCTACTAATATTATAAATGCGAAAGTAACTCTGTCTGTCTGTCTATCTGTTACGCTTTCACGCCTAAACCACTGAACTGATTTTAATGAAATTTGGTACAGAGATAGAGTTGACCTTGAGAAAGAACAGGATAGTTTTTATCCCAGACTTTTGAATGGTTCTCTTGGATACGCGATATAACTCCACGCGTTCGAAGCTGCGGGCGGAAAGCTAGTAACAAATAAAGTGAATTGTAACATATAAATTCATAATAATATACGTTATATTGAAATCGAAAGTAATAAGACTGTTTATTTTGTCTGTCTTTCTTTCTTATCACCATAGCACAGGACAACACACCCACATCTAGAGTTTATGTTGTAAAGTTTAGGATTTATTATAAACATGACAGTTTCACAAAATCCTTTATAGAACTGACAGTGTGTATATGTTGTGTCTACTCTGTGCCGGCTACAATCATTTATATACAAGTTTTAAGTCAACCCACCATCGGCACGAGGTGCGCGCACACACTCTGAGACCAGCGAGCACACATAGACAACGACACGCACAGAGAGCGCAGGGGAGCGCGCTGCTGTTGGCACACACGAATAATATTATTATTATATATGCATTTCCTTATCTACCTAGTTTACTATGAAAATTTCTATGGTATATTATAAATTATATTCCTTGATGTTTTCTTTAAGGTTAATAATTGGCTGCAATACTTTATTATATGTATACCAGTTTAGGTCAAGCTTAAACAGTGAATATGGACGCTACATGAACCTTTATAAGTATCTTTATTCATACATGTTAATAGGTATGTTAAAATAAATTTATTTTCCAGTGCCGAAATCTAGTTCAAATTTGGGAAAAATATATCTAAAAAATATATTCGCAATAACCCACTATATAAGTGGCCAAACGATGAGTAAAAGTAATATTGATAAATTGTACTTAATACCTCCGTCAACCCTATCTTATTTTTACTAAATATGTGTGGTCTCATGATAAGAATTGTCTTAATATTCCAAATGTATTAAAATTACATATTTACCATCATACAGCTCGTAAATAGATTACACATAGCGGCTAAACAGCCACTCGTTCTGATCATGTTTTGGACGTAAATGTGCAGAGTTTGTTTTTTACTATAACCTCCGTCTTCTCCGAATGAAAGCAAAATGGATATAAAATCCAGAGCCACAGATACTTTTGTTTGCAAACAGCAATTTAAAACGAGTAAAATCTTATCGTATAAATATCTGCATTTGATTATTTGATCACAACCATTTTCCTAAAAAAAAGTGGATAGAAAATATTAAACTATTTATAAGAAAATGTTTCCCTTGACATAATGTTTGAAGGAAAATAAACCAACGTTTTCTCACCTCGGAAAGTAGATATAAACCTAAAGAGTACAATGCTTTTGAGATTAAAACTATATTATTTGTATGGTGGACTAATTCTAAGATATCTGATATTTTTGTTTCAAACATTTCTTCTTGGATTTGTTGTCTAAAATGTTTTAAAATTATTTGTGTAACTGATTTCATAAGTTAATTTGCTATATAAATTAAACAATATAGTCACCTGGCCCCTTGAGTCTACTTTTATTTCGCTTTCATAGTCAAAAGTTATAATACTACTAATTAGTTATCATTTACAATACTAATTTCGAAATCCCGCCATAATAAAACTGACGACCGGAAATCGAAATGTTTTGTATTGTGAAAATGGTTCGTTCATTTTAGTAAGTTCAAATCAAATATATAAAGTAATTCTAAATTACAACCTAAAAACATCTGATATGTTTTTTCCTTATTAAAACTGACTTTAACATTAAAAATCAACATTTAATATTATTTAGAATCTTTGTAATATACAGACAATTATTCGAATGGTGAATCGTAATGGGGTACTTGATAGTTTTTCTGTGTACTCTATAGTAACTTGGTGCTATGCCACAATGACATCTATCATGAAATGTCGACAACACTGAACACAATAGTCAATAGATTGTTTTTTTCGTTTTCATAAACGATGTGCGATATGAAGCTTTACTTGTTACTTTAATTTCGTGAATAATATCAAGCTTTTATTTATGAAACAAGTTACTATTATATAGTACAATCTTTTCATTTATTAAAAGTGGTTACTTTTACTTGCTCCTTATAAAATAAAACTTTTCAAATGGATGTCGGAGAATTGCTTTCGTTCAAAGTACATATATACATTTATTGATATTTAAATGTAAATATGTGACAATTTGATTCAAATTATAATTTTCCATATGCATTTCAGCCGGTACCAACGCCTAAACGTCCTAATGAGGAAGATTTGGAGGATTCAGATGATGAAGGCAAAGGTTCAAAGAAAGCAAAGCGGTCAAATAAATCCGCAATTAATCGAATGCAGCAATTAGGAAATAAATCACTACCAAAAGAACCAATAATTAGTGATAAGGAAAAAGAAGATATTTTAAGATATGTGGAAACAGAGGCTACAGAGGTTAGTTTATTATTATGCTGTAGGACATATATCATTTTTATGTGTTAAATATAGTCCAATTTGATTTCTTTTAATCTTGGAATGACAATAAAGGTAGAAATATATAAAATCTTGTAACTATAGTTCAAATTCAATTTCAGTTTTAAAGGTTTATTCTTAACATAATTGTTCTGTTTTTATAAATTAATTAATTGCTTCAGGGAGAAATACTTGACGACACTGCTGTGAAAAAGCTTGTCCTTAATTTTGAGAAGAAAGCCCTCAGAAATAGAGAAATGAGGATAAAGTTTCCCGATCAACCAGAAAAGTTTATGGAAAGTGAAATAGATTTATTTGAAGCTCTTCAGGTTATACCATAATTTTATTATTAATAAATTTATTTTTGTCATAAGATTAACTTTGTTATTTGCTTGTATAAGAACAAATAATGTAGAAAAGATAAAAAAGGCTGAGAAAATGATTTTAATCAGAGAATTCAGACTCTTTATAGTTAATTTGTAATTCTAAAGTAAACACTTTGTTTTGATATTTCTTTAGAATCATTGTGATTTCAAACTGGATGAAACATAAAATTAAGTCTATAGAGACAAAAACACACAAATGTATAGGATTCAGCCGGCAAGGGAATGAGATAAAACACATTCCACATTCTCAGTTATTTGTTTCATTTTCTTTCCTATTTTTCCTCAGGATTTAAGTGCGGTGGCAACAGTACCAGATCAGTATCCACTATTAGTGGAATTAAAATGCATTAATTCCATATTGGAGTTACTCTCGCATGACAATACTGATGTTTCAACAAAAGTTGTGAATTTGCTACAGGTAACATTGCCTTGCTATTTTTCTTATCTCATTATTATTGCTTTATCAATAACTAAAATTTAGTCTGCTCCACTGCACCAATTAAGAAAAAAATGCCAATTAGTCCATACCTATAAAGTATGAAACAATGTATACATAATAGTTATAAACACTATAGATACAATAATAATTGATTTATAGCTCTAATTCTATATGAAATTAAAAATTACAGGAACTCACTGATGTAGATATTTTGCATGAGAGTGAAGAAGGTGCAGAGGAGTTAATCAATGCTCTAGCAGAAGCCGAGTGTCCATCTTTATTGTTACACAATCTGGCCCGTTTAGATGAACAGGTGCCTGATGAGAGAGATGCTGTTCACAATACATTAGGTAATTTTGGAAGTTATATAATTATGTTATTGGTACTAAAATAGTGTTAAACAATATGTATGTTTATAATTATTATGACACAGGTATTATAGAAAATATAACAGAGTTCAGGCCAGAATTATGTGTGGAGGTTGCGAAACAAGGTTTTATACAGTGGATATTAAAAAGACTGAAGGTATTTATTTCTTAATATTAATAATAATTAATTTATATTTGAATAAATCTATGTTTTCATGCTATGCACACACCTTGATGAACACTCAAAGGAGTATTAGGTATAATGTAAAATAATACATTAAGTAAATACGAAAAACATACTTTTATTTCAATGTACTTAAGAAAGTCTTAGTTATTGTTAAATTTACTAATCTATTTTACAATGTTGTTTCAGTTAAAAGTACCATTTGATGGCAACAAATTATATGCCACAGAAATTTTATCTATTTTGTTACAAAATACACCAGAAAATAGAAAACTGCTTGGTGAATTAGATGGTATCGACGTTCTGTTACAACAATTGGCGGTAAGCTTTAAAAATATTGATATAAACATATACTAAGTTCTTCTGAGAAATGATTTGTAAAACGACTAAAACGGATCATAAAGCTTCTTTACAATGTAGTTCTGTCTGTCTAATGTATATATCGACGCTACGAGCTTTAATAATGGATGCGACATGAAAATAATTTGAGGCTGTCATCAATTCTTATTCAAACTTATTAGTATTCATGATTATTGTTAAAAGTAAAACGAAATCAAAGATTGTTTAAAAGGAGAATAGAACTATGTTTGATTCTTGGTATAAATATGATCTGGACCCACGACGGCAGAGTTCAATGAGTGCGGACCATTGAACAATGTGATTATGAAGAACCTTCGAAAAATACAAAGAAATTTAGAACAATTGAAGTTTCATTATAAAATATCATGGAAAGTACTAGAAGTTGCATAAGTGGCAGCAGCGATGCTGGCGTCTTTCTCTCTTTAAAAACAACGAATTTGTAATAAATCCGATATATATGATATATGTATTTATTCCTTGTTTAGTTCTACAAGCGTCATGACCCCAGTAGTGCAGAGGAGCAGGAGGCTATGGAGAACATGTTCGACTCACTGTGCTGTGCGCTCATGGAGCCGCTCAATAGAGACCGCTTCCTTAGAGGAGAAGGACTGCAGCTTATGAACCTTATGCTCAGGTATTGATGAATTTTAAGACACTTTTAGCTTCACTTATATATTTGTTTCCTTGTAATCAAAGTTATTGAGCTCGATTTTGCGCAACCTGTAGTAAAGAGATTTATATAACTTGTTTTTTCCTTATTGGTTATCTTATGTACCCATAGTTTAATATCATTAAACTTAGACCAACACACTTTGTAAGTGTGTTGCTCTAAGTTTTTCGATTCATAGGCTAGTCATACTTAAGAAACTCTGAAAAAGTATAGTAATATAAGAACAAAAAACTTGCAGAGAGAAGAAAATGTCCCGCAATGGTTCGTTAAAAGTATTAGACCACGCTCTGGCCGGTCCCGATGGTAAGGACAATTGTAATAAATTCGTGGACATCCTCGGACTACGGACGGTATTCCCTTTATTTATGAAGACGCCGAAGAGGAAGAGAATATTGACTTTAGACCAGCATGAGGGTAGGTCGCTAACAGCTATAGAACCGTTACATTCAAACATCATATAGTTTAGTCTCATTGTATTTTTGTTTTAGAACATGTGGTATCAATAATATCTTCGATGTTACGCAACTGTCTGGGAAGTCAACGTCAGAGGCTCTTGGCCAAGTTCACTGAAAACGACTTGGAGAAAGTGGACAGACTGTTGGAACTGCACTTTAAATATATGGACAAAGTGGATCGTACTGAGAAAGAGATGGAGGTAGATTTCATACAAAAATAGTTATATTGTTATGGTATTTAAAAGTTTTTTTTTTACTATCTATTCTATTAAATCAGATGGAGGCCGAAGATTTGGATGACGATGCTCAATACTTGAAGAGATTATCTGGTGGGCTGTTCACTCTACAGCTGATAGATAGAATTATTTTAGAGGTATTTATAGATATTGTAAAATTTCAGAGTTTTTGAACAACACATTAATATAATAAATATATTCGTCAGGTGTGCACAGCTGGTCCGCCGGCCATCAAGCAGAGAGTACAACGTGTGCTATCGCTGAGAGGAGGCTCGCTTAAAATTATCAGACACGTGATGAGAGGTACATATGTTACAGCTTTATATATTTACATATGGAGTAAATTTTATTGGAATTATCCGATATTATTTCAACAACTGAAAAAATGTTTAAAATGAATAATCGTTAATAAAAATAATTAATTGTTTTAATAGAAATTGTTAAAGTAATATTTGTACGACAATTTTAAGTGTCACCTATCTTAATGTTAAAACGACTAGATTTGTATGTTTAAAATAGTTTAGGGAAAAAAATGTGATGTTAAATGAATTTTTTATAAGGAAACAAAGGCAAATGTAAAATGATTAAATGCTTGCAGAATACGCGGGCAACCTCGGCGACGCGGGCAGCGAGGAATGGCGCCAACAGGAACAACAACATATACTACAGCTGGTCGACAAATTCTAGAACATACTAGAATAAAATACAAATATAACATTTAATATTTTTTTTATTTGTATGTGCATTTATTCTATATGTAACAGTAAACAAAAATCATAACAACTTTATATATAGTATCCATAATAAATTTACCAGAATTAAACAATAAGGGAACATAATGAACAAAATAATAAAAATAAATGTTTATATTACGTCACTGAGTATAAAATGAAAGAGGTTATGACTCCATAAGTTAAAAAAAATTGTCCAATTATAAAAACACGTATTACTTGTGCACAATGATAAACTAACCCTGACTTTCTTCTAATATTTATATTGACAGTTATCTGGCAATAATTCCTAACTAAATTTAGTAAACAGTGTTAACCTTTTCCAATTACAAATTTTATAATTATTTATCACGATTACATGAAGTGAACATATAAATATCAAACTAAATGCAAATTCATGTCATATCTATTTTGTTTCAAACAATGATTGTACTCGTGCAGGTATATGCTGCCATTATAATTATAAAATATCACTCAAAACTGATTTAAACTACTCCCAAATATCCATGATTGAAAAAGAGATAAGAAAAATTCACATGTTTTTAAAACGAATCGTAACACTATATGAATCACTAACATTTTTATCACATTAGTTGAAATTGAAATTTAAAGTACACAGATTATGTTAAAAAAAGTTTTAGGAAACTTTTCAGACTTGATTCTTGTATGTAATTATTGTCGGTCTGAAACAGCCTTCATGAATCTCATACAGTCTCGAAGTATTAATTATATGTAAAATAAATTGTTATCACAATAAAAAGTAATAGCAGATTCAGTAGTATACTTTACATTTTGAATAAATGTCATTTGATTTGGATACCAATGTAGACTAACATTTTGATAGTGAATAAAATTATTTACAGATACATTTTATTTGTATATAAAACGTTTTGAATAACAAACGAATACAGGACGACATTGAAAAAGCAAGAACATTCTTAAGTACCATCGATTTCATAGAGAAAATTAAATACACTTGAATTTTAAAAATAGTAAAATCACCTAACATGTTTATATAGTCCCAATATATAAGGCAACCCTAGTGTGATCTATTGTGACAAGAATCTAGCGAGCTAATTTTATATATCGCTTTCTTTTCATAGTAATTTAAGGCGATCGAATGAGCTACTGGTTCGTATAAGACAATTAATTAATCGTTACACTACGGAGGTTGTATATGAAGGCACGCGCGGTTCTAAGGGCAGTCCTTGCTCATCATCTTGCTGAACGCTTTGGGGATGTCGTCGTTGGTCTTTGACACGTTGGAGCTGCCGAGGAGCGTGGGCGCTGGGATCGTACCGGACTGAATACCGTACGCTGTCTTTAGAAGGTCGTAGTTGATCTTTTCGGTGACGATGGAATCTTTTCTGAAATTATATAACATGAAAATCAGGGTTTGAAACTTTTTAAAAATATATTATTTTAGAAGACGGATGACAAAGAAATTTAACATACTTTTTATTATCTGTGATAATTTACATAACTCAGAGAACCTGTACTTTTATTTATTTAAAGGCCAATAGTGAGAACTAATTTAATTGGACTTTAAAAAAATCGGATCTACTTTCACAAATGTCGAATATTTTATTCCTATGAAGCTACATATACATATGTTAAAAAGTATAAGATATGTTGATACATAAAAAAAATCAAACAAACGAACGACACATTTAAAAAGCACAATATTTATCACAGTGAACAAATTGAGATGCTTGGGTTTAAAGAGTTTATATTTGGGATGGTGCATATTAAAATATGTGTATAATAAAATAAACGACTAACTTGTATTGTGGATGTTTGCCAATGAATTCTCTCATCCAGGAGGCCATGGTGAGTATTTCGCCTGAGGCGCGGCGTTGTATCAGCTTCAGGTACTGTTGTACGGAGCAGTGAGTGTCCGCGTCCACGTCCATACCAGACAGGTAGGACTCTATGAGAGGGATCAGACCAGGGAACACGCCCTCCTGAAATACGTTCCACACGTTGCATATAAGACCAAGATACACTGGTTATTATTCCCTACTAATATTATAAATGCGAAAGTAACTCTGTCTGTCCGTCTGTAACGCTTTCACGCTTAAACCACTGAACTGATTGTAATGAAATTTGGTACAGATATAGAGTTGACCTTGAGAAAGAACATAGGATAGTTTTTATCCCAGACTTTCGATAGGTTCTCTTGGAAACTCGATATAACTGAAGACCACGCGGGCAAAGCTGCGGGCGGAAAGCTAGTTTCATATAAGACTAGAAAGAACTGGTCGTTTGGGACAGAAATAAAATATCAAATTTGAAAATATTAACATTTGTTTTCACACACTAGTCCTTGTTCTCTACTAGACTATAGAACCATAGGTTCTAGAATTCATATTAGACTAGATAATACTAGTAATTTATTTCATACAAGAGACCAAAAAAGTCTGGTAATGTCGTAATCTATACACAAATTTAGGTGACTTTTTCTTAAAATAGACAACAAATTACCATACATTAGGAAAAAAATCGGTCCAGATACCCTTTCAAAAACTTTAAATAACTTAAAAAAATATTTTATGTTAGATATTGTATAAAATGTCGGTTAAAATAACGCTTACGACTAAAAATAATGTACTACATACTGTAATTAATAAAAATTATTATTATTATTGAAGAACGATTTATATATTGTAATATGCAACTCATGTAGGCATATATAATAAAAATACATTATAATTATTCTATATCGAGTTAGAGATAACAATAGTAATAATATAATATGTATTATTAATAGCCTTTTATTGCACTTATTTCATTAGATACGTACTCTAAAGATATATTATCAGCTGAACATTTAATCAACTGTGTTAATAATATAGATAAATGAACTATAGATCCTCCACTAGAACTTAGAATGATTTTGAAGATAACAATCATATTCATTGATATCCTTATCTATATGACACTTCCTGACATTACTCATGAAGGTCCCTTTATATAAACAAGGGGTTTGCTTGACTGTATGAATATGTTATATAATAACATATATATGTTATTTATATTAAACACTTTATACCTTTCCGTTAATGATCTCGTGTACGGTCATCTCTAGGTACGTGTCGGCGTCAGGTGAGCGTACGTCGCGACGCCACCAGAAGCGCTGTGATGCGCACGCGCCGCGACGCTGCGCGCGCTGCATGTTCTCATCCACCTGTAAAATAATAATACTCATTTGTGAAATCTCTTTAATATGTACAGTATATAAGAAGCTGCCTTTTTAGACATCTATTAGTATAAATTCGTATAAACGTAGAAAATTATACACATGTAAAATGTGGAGATCCTTGGAATATGCCAAAGAACAGATCTTTGAAACACACCAAAAACAGTCTTGGGACATTATACATAACATATTATAAGTTTAATTCATAGTTTAGTGAGTTCAGTTCTTAATCTTTAAAATCAATCGACATTATATGTATTTGGTTACAATTTTCAAACTCACCTTACTGATGGGCATCACGAATTTGAGGTTGTATGTTAATATGACGCGTGTTAGGAGCACCACGAAGCATACATAGGCGGCGTTCTCAAAGTCTGTGAGCTGAGCGTCACAAGGACGGAACTCGACGCGCCAACCGATTGGAGAGTTCGGAGGAGGAGGCTTGAAACGCATGGTCTGCCAGTTGGTGGATTGAATGTTCTTTAACAAAAATATATATTCACTTTTAAATACACACCACATACTAATGGAATTCAAATTTGGAAGACACTTTATATGTGGAATTTAAAAAAAAAGAGCTAAATTCATTTTTTTCTATAGAGCATAAATTATAAAATAGATAGTATAGGACGTACTTCAAAATGATCAGTATCATTCTCATCATCCTGGTGAACCTTTTCACTGAACAGAGACACCGTGTCTCGTATGAAGAGATGCGCCACGTGGATCGCCAGGGGGTGATCTATACCACCCTCGCGAAGACGACGGTACACTGCGGGATCGTGCACCACCTCGATATCGTTGTACCTGGGTGTTAACGATTCAGAAAATATATTATCATTAAAGTGACATCGGCTGAATATACTGTACCTACATTTTGCACGCACGAAGGCCATATATATTATTAAGAATTTAACTGTATTATTTTGAATAAATAACGTCGGTTTCTTTGTCCTTGTAAATTGTAATATAGTTTTAGTCGTTGATGTTTCAAAACAGACATAAACGTTCGTTCCAATGCTCAATATACGATAACAGTAAATGTATAAAACTACTAGCTGCCGCGGCAAACGTTGTTTTGCCAAATAAAAATTATAAAAATTTACGGTTGTATGTATTTTAAATTCCACATTATACATAATATACAGGGTGACTGGTGAATTACTATCGATACTTGAGGACGTGATATTTGACGATCATATATGACAAAATAAAAATTAATATAACATAAATATTAATAAACTTCTAAGTAAAGTTAACCAAAAGTTATGTAATTAATTACGCATCGTGTGAACACCCTACAGATTAGGTATACACTCACACACACATACGCGTGCGGCGGCGTAGTGTTGTATCAGCACGCCGCCGCACGCGTCCACACTTGGAACACTTGGAACGTGTCAACAATTTATTTATTTATACGGAAATTTTGTCAAAAATTAAGTACCTATTTTTTTTTACATAATTCGAATGAGAATCATGTACCGAGTATTCTCCTTAAATATTGATAGTAATTCACCAGTCACCCTGTATAAAATAAAAACAAAATAATAGTCCAAATCTAAAAATAAAACATAGGGGAGAACAACCCTTATCACTTAGGGGTATGAAAAATAGATAGTAGCCGATTCTCAGATCTACTGAATACGAATATAAAATTTGGTAAAAATCAGTAAAGCCGTTTCAGAGGAGTACGCCAACTAACTTTGTGACATGGAAATTTTATATATCAGATTAAGACTTAGTAATTTAAAAACATTTAAGTCTATTTAATAACATTACATTAAAATAGAACAAACCTTTAAAAACTCGTTTTATTTTTGTCAATTCAAGGATAATTACGTCATCAAAAGTGACGTATGTATAAAGTCATCGCACGAAATAAATAATTATCACCTACATTTTCATTTTCCTCATTCTAAATAAATATTTATCGCGGTTACCTCTCAAATGACGTCACAATTGCTGTGTCATATCTGATAGCTAAGTTTTCTATGCTGTGTCATTGATAATTGTTGCACTGTCAGTGCATATCAGTAAAAATATAATTATAACTATAGTACCTAGGTATTATAGAAATAAAATGACAATCACGGCGACTAAGACTTTTGAATTGATTATGATCAATGGACAAACCACAACTATGTTTTGTATTAAAACACGAATAATAGAATAGATTTAATATGGCTCGTGGTCATTGTAAAGGGTTTAATGATTTTGGTCAAACTACATCCTTATTCCTTACCAATAATTAACATCGTTAAACCCAACACGCTACTACTAGTTCTTAATACATATTCCTTCTAATATTATAAATGCGAAAATAACTCTGTCTGTTACGCTTTCACGCCTAAACCACTGAACTGAATTTAATGAAATTTGGTAGAGATATAGAGTTGACCTTGAAAAAGAACAGGATAGTTTTTATCCCAGACATTTGAAAGGTTCTCTTGGAAACGCGATATAACCGAACTCCACGCGGGAGAATTTGCGGGTGGAAAGCTAGTAAGTTATAAGTTATAACGTTGTTACTATCGTTTACGAATTCTACATGAATGAAAAACTAAAAAAACAGTTAAGATCAACTCATTTTGTTGGTTAATAAAACTAGTGTAATAGGGCAGAATGTTTGATTGAATTATTAGCACGTTAGTACAAAAATAATACGATATGGTATTCGAATCAATATGTATAAAAAATCATTAAAATAGAATAAATCTTCATTTAGTTTATTTTATAGTTACTTTTAGTAAAAATTAAATATATTGCATTGTTAGCTGTACTTACTTTTCATGTTCAGGTGATAGGTAGGAATCGATTGAGTCGTAGCGTGATTTGTGTATACGGAACTTGTCATTCTTCAGCGGCTCCAGACCCAACTCCTCTCTAGTACGGCAGTCAACTGAGGCTGAGACGACATTCCAGCGACAGTCAACATCCGTCAGGTAACCTCGGTACACGGGAGACGCAGCTGACAACGCTAGCTGGTCGAATTATAATATAAATTCATGAAAAACATATAGGAACAAAACCAGGACTCAAAATTACTTAAATATTATTAAAACAACTACTCAAAAACACTTTATTTTTATATTAACAATAATGCCGTTGCCAAATAATAACGAAATCGATATTAATTTAACCATTACATTTAACGAAAAGGCTTATAAAAAATGTCGACAGAAAACACGATCATATAATTATGATAATCAACATTCGGGATTTGTAATTTGGATCCGATCATTAAAATCAAATTAGAGCAATACTTTCACGATTCCGAGAAGTTAGTAAACAACAATTTAATAAATTAGAATAACGTCATTTTTATTCTGATTCAAACCTAGTAAGTACATTCATTTCGATACAGTCACACACAAAGAGCTAGTAAGGTTAATTGGTCATGCTTACAGCTTATATTAATTACTACTTTAAAAGAATTCAAAACAAAGGTTAACTTTAGTGTTCTTATGGAAAATAAGTACTGGCTATTAAAGAGAAAGAGAAATATTATTTTCATTATAAACGTAATACTTATGTTTAATTTTCTAGAAGTTTCTTTAAATTGAGAATAATTCAATCAAATATCGATATAAGAAGATTTGTATTCAAATTGAGTACATAAATCAGGCGAGATTAAAACGCCGTCGGGAAAGGAAATAAAAAGGTTTGAGGAGAAATTATTAATACAAAACGTGCTCTCATTGCGGCTGCGTAAAAAAAATTATCATCAAAAGATTGAGTTTCGCGATTTATTATGAGCGTCCGATCTACGAAAAATCACAATGGCAATAGTTCATTGACACTTGTTATTCTTTGTTATCACATAATAGTGATGTATATTTTTTACCAATGAAGTTCAGAAAAAGTTTTCTGAGTATTACTATAAGTTTGCACCATCAAACTACACTCTGTGTGTGTAGTTTCAAGTGATTCATTCATATTTCATAAATATGTTATGTAATGGTTTGACACTATCATTTTAGAAGGTTTACGATTAACTCTAAACTGTCCGTATTTATATGACGATGCTTACTTGTGCTAAGGGTACTGATTACGACTGTTCTTCAACAATTTCTTTGATCATATTATGTGTATCACATATATTGGAAATAATTAATTAGTAACGATATCATTATTTTTAATCATTTAGTATCAGAAGTCGGCTTTGATTACTGGTACTTTTTATGACATTGTTAACCTAAATGATGGCAGCTTTAGAAGATGACTCCATAAAAAAAATTTGCCCCAGACTGTGGGTTATCATAGCGTTATCATTTAACGATAATAGTGAATAATTAAAAAACACGTGATTAGTGCTAGAGTGTAATATGTACTTACTTATAACATATATTCTAGAAAATGAAATTATTTTTTTATAAAATTTATGTTTTATAGATAATGGAAGCTAACACTAAAGAACTTACATCTGTTAAACAAATACATAACCAACATATGTACCTATGTATGCCCAGGAGGTAATTTTTGTGTATTATATATAAAATTATGTTATTAAAATATCGAAGTCTTACCATGATTGGACACAAGGGAGCCAGTTGGTCGTACAATGTGCGGGCTTCAGTTATACAACAAGCCTGGAATGTGACCTGAAGACAGCAACAACCCATACCCAAACCCATAGCATCCAAATAAACAGAGTCCGGTTTAGCTAAATCTGGTAGTATCTTGTGGAAATCGTCGATAGGAATCTTAGTGTTCACATCGCGGTATACTTTAAACAAAAATATAATCAACAGACTAATAGATGAACAAAAGAAATCTTAAAGAGATTTATATTATCTTATTATTTTAATTGAAGCAAAAAGCATCTTAATAGTGTAGTTTTGATAAAGCTTGTTACATACCTGGAATATTTATGGCCATTCTATTTCCTCTTCTCTTCCGAATATTTTCGGCAAGTGTCCTATAACGCGGGTGTCCAGGGAATGTTGCTTGATCAGGGAAGAAGTATGATAATGACACACCCCTGTCCGGAGTGGGTTTGTATGGTGGAGATGTAAAGTTTGGACTGCCTAATCTGAAATCAAACAATTTGACCTAAGTTTTACACAACTTAACAATATAATAATTTTTTTTAATTATCTTTCATACCTAGGAAAATTTGTAATACTCATAATGACTTCACCATCTTTTAAAAGTGCACTTGCTTCGGCCCTACGATAGCGCATATTTGCTTCAACTATGTTGAAATGAGCCAGCAGCCCTCCATATGGCTTCCCCGGAGTCCCTTCAATCATATAAGCTCCATATTCTGGTCGCCAGAGGCTTTTTACATCTAAAATCCAACACAAATGTGTATTATTTGTGATACAAAAGACAAACAAGTCATTGTTTGTTCAACATGTAACATGAGATTTCCTTGAATCATTAATATATGTACTTGAAATATAATTCAATATTTTTAACAATTTTCAATGATTGTGGTTATGAAATTCGACAATTTGTGGTTACATATCTGTTATAAAATTATATTCAATAACTAAAAGAAATAATATAACGCATTCATCATATATTTAAAATTGACAGTCACAAAATCTAACACTGAACGAAACTGTTATATCAATATTTAAAATAAAAAACTAAATATTAAATACTGCATAAATCTTGTTATTAGTAACACAAAACATGACTAATTCTTAAAAAACTTTGCTAACTTTAATCTAACAGAACACTTGTAAAAAAATATAATAAATACATTCTATTCTTTTTTTTTAAATTATTGTGCAACATTTCAAAATTATAAATTTGTACTTATTAAATATGTTTTTGTGTGAACTACCTAATAATAAAGTATGTTTTAAGATAACAAAGATATATTATTTTACTTTGAGGATCTTTCAATTCTTTTTCTTGCAGTTTAGGCAGAACTTCCTCAGCTCTTAGACTTACAGTGGCTCGTTGATTAACATCATCAAATTTAACTATAATATACTCCACCTAAAAGTTGCAAAATATTTAGTACTTGCAAAACATATTAACTTTATTTTGAAAATACAACATATCTCTCAAGAGTTAATTATTTAAAAATATTATATATTACTATGAAAATTTATATTAATACCATATAATTAAAATAACATATGACGGAAATATAAAATTATTTCATATATTTACATATAAAACAGAAATAGTTATATGTTAGATAATAAACATGTGGTTGCGTGATATGTACATAGTACATATGGTAAATATAGAAATAAAATATAAAGAGAAAGATTCATTCAAGCAAGACATTTGATAATTATATATTTTTTCCCTCAAGGTTATTATATTAAAAACTAACATACCTCATCACCCCACTTGAGTACATCTCCAGTACGGTCTCTAAGCTTGCTGTAGAGATTAATAAACTGTTCAATACCATGTCGCCGCACATGTTCCGCTAATGCTTTGGTTTCTTCCCAAGAAAGAGGGCTACCTTCCGTCAATAAACCCATATTAACTATTTGAATACTTTGAAAATTAGAACGTAACTTTAAAACACTTTTATAAACTCCGAAAGCGCAACCGAACTTCTTTGCGGAAAAACAAAAGTTCATCTATTGCTAATAACGCATGTAAGTGAATAAAAAACTAACAAGACTATTCTATTTAAAATCTGAAAATCAACAATGTAATGACATGTCTCGAGTTTAAATATAAAGGAGAAAAAATTTATAAACCCAATGATTATTACAAAAACGATAATAATGCCGTTTAAATGTGTTTTTATATTTTCTTTTTAATGATTTATTCCCACTTAGTGAACACGTAAGATTCGAGAGCACTAAATGTATTACTCTGTGACAACAATTCAATGACTTATTTATTTACAATTGTCAAATCTGCTTTCAGATTAAGTCGAAACGTCACTGTCATTAGAAAAGACAAAAACATCAAAATATTACGTAACCATAGTACCTTCCCAAATTATCCAAAAAATAATTTAAAAATACCTGTCTAAAATGTAGGAAACCTTAACCTAATATTGTTTGTTTTGTAGTAATAAGTGAGGTTAAGAAGAATTGAAAATATTATAAAAATTATGTTATATTGGCAATTTATTAACTTAAAAATTAAATAGTAAGTTCTAAATACTATTAGGTGAAATCTTAATCTGTGGCATATGTTTTATCTATAATATCAAGACTGTCACTTGGATGACATAAACTATAAAGTATAATCTCGTAAATTGTATCATAGGTATTAGGTTGATTCGTTTCTGGGCATTAAGTTATATGTAATTGCTAAGTGAAATAAATTCATTAAATCAGAATAGTTGAAAGAAAATTTCGTTAATTAAAATGATAGTATAATGTTGTTGTAATTTAAATTTTTATACATAAAGTGTACCGCAGATGTCCTTGTTAACTATAATATTTAAAGTTCACACTGTGATGACTTTTTTTGTAATTTAATAATTACTATAAATAAGGAAGGAAGAAAATAAAATAATCATGGTGCCAGTTGCGATTGAAGGATGCAATCAGGGGACCGAAGGTGGAGGACCCCGTGGTGGATCTATTTCTTTGGGACTGCTAATAGATTTTATAGTTCAAAGAACTTATGACGAACTTACTGTATTGGCGGAACTGTGAGTATATTTATATTACACAAAACTTTGAAAATTAACCTGAATATGCATGAATTTGTAAAAAAAAATCTATGCAACTTGTTTGCAAAAAAATAACGAAATTTTTTACTTCTTACTATTTTATAGGTTACCTCGCAAAACAGATATGGAACGAAAGATCGAAATCTACAAATTCAGTGCCAGAACAAGGCAACTGTTTGTTCGTTTATTGGCTTTAGTGAAGTGGGCAAGCAGCGCTACAAAAGTTGATAGATCAGCTCATATTATGGCTTTCTTGGATAAACAGGCTCTCTTATTTGTTGAAACAGCAGATGTGCTAGCGCGAGTTGCAAGAGAGACTTTGGTTCATGCAAGGTAAGACAAGATTCTTTTTCTTAAAATTATAAATTATTCTACTGATTGCAAATGTTACAAAGAAAAGAAATATCATGATTATGAAAAATAAAAATAACATAATCTTGTAGTGTCCTAAAAGCTTAATTTAAAAAAGTATATGTATGTATGTGAAAATCCTAAAATGACTATGTATAATGAGATCTAAGATTTTCGCAAGTATTAATTTAGATGACACTAATATTTGTCGGATTTTTATACATATGATTTTTTTAAACTACATTCTCCCCCAATGTTTTGGTTACTTTTTAACAACTGTGATCACTTGCACATGAAATCACATCTCATCCAATAATAAAATAAATATAGTAATCCAAAAAAAATTAGTTTCACTTATTGTTATACATTTTATAATTTATACATATTTGAAATATACTTTTGAATAGTTTGGTTAACTATTGATAGTATATTTGGTAGGTTGCTTTTGATTACCACAGGACTATGTAATTTTGTATTATGTAAATCGTAATGCAGTGGTGGATTTACAAATTTGCAGCTAGTAGGCCATTCAATTTTTCTGCCCCTACTGATTTTTGAAATTCAATACGTTAGTTTAATCCCGTTATTAGTATGATTGTGAAATTAATGATATTTCTGTCAGTTACTAGATTATTTTTGCAACCCATTATGTACCTACTGAAGAGTTTGATTTTTAATCTGCCTTCACGCATCTGCCGCGATCCGGTTGCTCACTCGGGTGTCTGCCCCCGTTCCGCACCTCACCACCGCTATTGGCGCCCTACAACCGCCGAATTGAAAAAAAATAAATATGTGGTCATCCACCAATAACTTTAAAGGATATCCATAAAAAAATTCAAAGAGATTACATCACCGAATCACTTAGTTCCATACAAACTTTGACCCCTTAAGGGTACAATTTTGATAAATATTTTATGCTAAATATTAAACCGGACTTTAGACTACACAATTCAAGGAGATTCATGTAAAAGTGCCCAGTTTTTGCGTGATGTTCATTCAAACAAACGGACAGACAGACAGACAAACAAGAAATTAAAAGAAAATCTAATTCTACTCAGTTACTCATCTTAAGCCATCCTAGCAAATTTTTTTCGAATATCTTTAATGTACAGACTATTTTAGGTTTACGATTTTATTATAGTATAGATTGTGTACCTACACGTATAATTATAAAAAAAAATTACTAAATTTGGCGCCAATCTAAATCTGCCGCCCTAGGCACCGGCCTACTTGGCCTATTAGTAAATCCGCCACTGTCGTAATGAAAGGATATCATTCTATACTTTTCAAATTTGCTTCATTAGTCAACAGATTCTTGGTTATATCAAAAAGAAGGCACCACTACAAATTTAAATGTGGGCCTGTCAAGTGTAAAACTATTCCACAGGCTTTACATCACATAACTTAGTAAAATAATTATCACATTTTTAAGATTGCCAACATTCCACATGGCTGCAGCAGTGGAAGTGCTCACTCTTGGCACGTACAGTCGTTTGCCAGCCGTCATCCGTGAACGATTGGTACCACCGCCGCCGCTCACACCCGCGGAAAGACGTTCAACATTAAGAGCACTCGCACATGTTGTTCGACAAAGACTGACCACAGCTTCACTGCCCAGCGATGTTAGGAACTTGAAGGTAGTTAGTCTCGTTGCATGTGGACATGACAATAATTCTTTAAGTGCTAGTAATGATTGTATTTTTTAGGTTGAAAATGGAAGAGCTACATTCACTGTAGGTCAAGAGTTCAGTGTTTCATTGACGGTTATGGGTGATGCACCAAATGTGCCTTGGCGTTTATTAGATATTGCTATATTAATACAAGATAATGAAACTGGAGGTAAATATTTGTTATGTTTACGCTATATATGAGTTACTTAACGTTCAAACAAAATACCTTTAACTGTCATGTTCTTTTCAGAGGGAAAGCCATTAGTACATACGTCCCAATTGAACTGGCTACGTGGAGTCGCTCAGGCGAGGCTGGCGGCTGCGGGTCTCAGTGGCGCATTAACAGCCCTACGTTTCTTCTGTAGATCACTCTCTCTGGAACTGCTATATACACAGACATTAAGATTATGCCGCGACCGATTGGCCCGACATCTCCAAGTGGATAGATATATACCTGGACAAAAGTTACAGGTTTCATATTGGAGGTAATGCATTGTAATATTGTAATGGAATTAATTGTATCGTTTATACACTAGCGCTATGGATGCAATTTGATTGTATTAAGTTAGTATATAAAATTTGGCTGAGGACCAATATAGTTGAAAACTTAAGCAAAACTAGATTATTATAGTTTATATTTTGCTTTATTGTAAGTATAATGTATTGTTTTACAGGGAGTTGGGTTGTGAGCTGGGTTACCGTCTGATCGTGGGTGCGGAGGGAGAGTCTCTGTGCGTGTGGCACGTGCCGGCGCTGGCGGGCGGCGAGCGTGTGGCGGCCGCGCTCACACCGCACGCACCCTCCATGGAGCGGCTCCTCGCTCACACCGTACACGTGCGATCGAGACAGAGACTTAATGATCTCAAAGTTCTACTCAATGATCTTGGGGTAGGTGTAGAGTTTATTGAACACTAGATTGTGAAATAGCATTATACTTAGTTCCATTAAAAATTTATTTGGATGCAGTTTCTAATATTTGAAAAAGTACGATTAGAAAAAATTCTTTCATATAATAATAGTATATTTAAAAAACATTTACGTGTTAAAACATAACCTTCTACAGGGTGACTGGTAAATTACTATCAATTTTTGAGGACGTGATATTTGACGATCATATATGACAAAATAAAAATTAATATAACATAAATATTAATAAACTTCTAAGTAAAGTTAACCAAAAGTTATGTAATTAATTACGCATCGTGTGAACACCCTACAGATTAGGTATACACTGACACTCACACATACGCGTGTCGTGACGTGGTGTTGTATCAGCACGCTGCCGCACGCGTCCACACTTGAACACTTGGAACGTGTCAACACTTTACTTATTTATACGGAAATTTGGTCAAAAATTAAGTGCCTATTTTTTTTACATAATTCGAATGAGAATCATGTACCGAGTATTCTCCTTAAATATTGATAGTAATTCACCAGTCACCCTGTATAAGTATTTCAAATTTCTTGGTTTTTATATTATATCCTGTTGTTTTATGTTTAGTTAGTAGGGGGCATATGTATAACATAGTTTGTTTAGATCTATATGTTGATATGTATACACTTTACAGGTTGAATGTTCTGTGGGCGGCTGGCCGTGTTCCCTGGCGTGTTCAGTGGTGGCGCCATGTCTTCGTGCAGAACAGCTCCTGGTGTCTGTGGGGGCTCACGGCGGTCGCCTTAGAGCGCGTGTCCCCGCGTACCCCGCTACACCTCGTATGCCTGAACTAGCGGCCGCGCTAGCTGCCACGGACAGAACTCTTGTTAGACAACTATTGACTCAACTGAGGTGAGATATCTTACACCAGCCATACATTAAATACATGTTTATCTTCTGAGTCTTCTTATTATGTGCCCTTAGAAGTAAAATCGTTGATATAAAACGGTATTATTAGTTCCATAACCAATTCATTTATGCTTGCCAGATAAATTGTGTACCAATATACGAAGGTATTAAAAACATATACATACCTATTCCTAATTTGAAATTTGTCTTATAAAATATATTTTTATTTCTGATACCCCTATATCTTATAATATTTAATAGATTCTTATTTCAGATGAATATTACATGTCAATGTTAGTTTCGATTTCACTGAAAACCTAAAGATTTTTTTTTTACTTTTCTATAATATAGATCACAGATCCAGATTAGATACAAGCCATAATTAAGTATGATATTTAATGCGCCTATTTCAAAATAGAACAGTATTACTATTCTATATACAATCAGGTGACAAAGATGGCGTCACTGTTTAGTTTACATACCTTTTTTGAAATGTGAACTTCCAACGTGTAACTGGAAGTATTTGAACACTAAAACTAGTGAAGTAAACTTATAACCGAGTCATTATTGACAGACATCATTAGTAAAAATATATTGTTTAAATGTGTACTAGGTTTTGGTTGGTGGCCCGGCGATGTGAGAAGTCCCTACAACACCTGCCAGCCAGTGTGTGTGAACATCTACCGTTCCTGCACGGACCTGACCACCCTCTCAATAAACTATCGCCAGACAGACTATACGTCACCTTACATAGACATACGGATCACATACTAGTGAGTTATATATATCTATGTATATATAAATACATCAAACAAAAATTTTATAACGCTCATTTTACGAAAATTACGAGAGTGGTTGAACATGTTTAACAAAGAAAAGTGTATAATGACAAAAATTGCATAAAACTATTTCCTATTAATTACGAAATGAATTACAAATACATTTAATGAAATAAACATTACTCACACTACCATGCTTTTACACAAACATAACGTCAATCCGTGAATATAAAGCAACATGGATTATCTCGAAATGACAAACATTTATCGAAAATCTACTGTCTGGTTAAATCTGGTAATGTTAACTTCAAAAAATAGTCATTACAACAACTATATTATATTTCAGAGTTAGTGGATTTATGAGGAGACTAATAAATGAAATTATTAATATCCTTTATCATTTGTCAGGTAGTGGAGATGAAGGAGGTTGCAGCAGGAGGCACGGCTACCACCAGTTGCAGCAGCAACACCGGCAGCGCCTGTAGTGTGGCGCTGGCCTTCCATCTGGCCGGAGTGAGGAGGTGTACTCCCGACGAGTGCGAAGATGAGGTACTATTATCATCTAAAAATGAATTGCTGTTCGTTAGTCTCACTAAAATTCCAAAACGGCTGAACGGATTTATCTTATCTCAGTCTTAAAATGTTCGTGGAGGTTCAGGGAAGGTTTAAAAGCTGAAAAAAATTGATTAACTTCCGGGAAAACCCTAAAAACAGCGCTTTTCTATTTCCCATACAAACGGTTTTTTGACATTAGATTTGACGATTACCTAATATGTCAATCATTATGTCGCACTCCAAAACACGGACATTGATGGCTTAAAGGTAAAATCCAAAAAAATAAATAAGACATTATTTATTTCTTGATTGAGCAGTACGAAAACAAATATTTTTCGGAATTATTTTAACTACATACTCCCGACGATTCGTTTACTTTGCAGCAACCATTGTCACGGGAAGACGGGATGTCTCATCTGTAGTAAATCCGAAAAATATTAGTTTATATCAATGAATATTGTCGAAAATCTTAGATTTCAATATGTGAACCAATATCAAATTCATTATGTATACGGTAATGTTATGAACAATACAGCCATGTACTGTTTGTATGCTTCCTATTAATGTAATTTTTGTAATATTTATAGTCATCTGGTACTACGTCCAACACGCCGGCCACAGCACGTGCTTACCTCAAGTTACACTCACTGGTCGAGTTGGACACCTTCACGTTAACCCATGGGCCCTTCACACCTCTCGACACTCCAGGCAAGTAAAGAATCAACGGATTTCATCAAAATTAGGACTTGTCATTTTAATAACCATATGCCATGTAGGTATGCAGCCTGGGAAACGTAAGTTGTCTGGTTCCAACAGCCGTTCAGTTCGCGTCCGTCAGCCAGCATACTTTTTACCGGAATTGGCTCATGTCGTGGCCGCCGCAGACGAGAGAGTGCCTTTCGTGAATCTGGCGCAGGAGGTATAGAGTTATTTAATCATTTATATAGTAAGATTAACTTATAATCGCTCTTGAAACTGTACGATCTGACAAATAAAAATTTGAAAGCAAATAATCTCGTTCAGCATTTGAAAATTTAGATAAAGGCTAGGCATCAAATTTTATAAAAGGTAGTCCTAATAAGTTAGTCAGATTTCAGCCAAATATTTCATTTCTTAAGATATTTCTCTTTTATTTATACATCCATTACACAGTTGGCTGCCCGCGGCGTGACTCACGGTGGTGTCCAAGCGGAGTGGTCGGGCAGTGCTCTGGGTATGCGTATAGTGTCGTTACCGCGGCCCGAGGGCGCCAGCAGTGAAGCCGCCGCGGCGTTACGAGCGAGACTGTTGGCGGCCACCGTCCGCCTCACCACCAAGAACCAGGCACGAGTATGGACCGCTGAGATCGTGTTCCACGGCTCGCCTGTACCCACACCCAATCCTAAAGAACAAGGTATTTCTGTCTGAGTAATTTTTATAATACATACATAGGTTTAGGTATAGGTTTTTTTCCTTGGGGGAGGCCATATCCTGCAGTGGACGTCTTTTGGCTGATGATGATGATGATACATAGGTTTAGAGATGATTCATTTCCCATTAAGAACAAAGTTCACTTACTTACATAGGAAACTTAAACTAGTAACATAATAATTTATAAAGTTAATGGTGACCTTATTTATACAAACGTTCAAATATTATAAAGTTTGACAGTATGTTTTTAATTTAGCTTTAAATTTCAAAAAAAATTTTCATTAAATATTTCTTTCGGTAGATTATCCTACATTAGCGCTCCCTCGAATTGTATAGTTTTGTTACTATAATGTTTAGTTCTAGACTTAGATATTTGTAGTTTATGTATATTTCGTGTATAGTATTTATGTGATTTAGTCTTAAAAGTAGTTTGTGTGTGTTTAGATCCTGAAAGAATTTTTCTTACAAGTATGTATGTTTTGTATTTGTATAATTGTGCAATAGATAGTGTATCAATTTTCTAGTAAATTTCTTACATATACATCCTTACATGCGTTTAATACCTGTATTTGTGTCTATATAAATAAATTTGTATTGTATAGGTGAACGTCGCTGTGTTTATTTGCAATACGAGCTCGGTACGGACGCCGGTCGTACTGCCGATGCATTCCTCGCGGACTGGGCGTCCATAGTACATTTACACACACTACTACATGACTTCATGCTGCGACCCGTACAAGGTATATATGTTATGGTGTTATAATATACAAATATTAGCTGACCCGGCAAACGTTTTTTCCATATTTTTTTTTGGGTTACCTATATGTATTTATTAACGCTACATTATAAAAAAAAATTAAACAAAAATTTTTTACTGTGAACAACCCTTATGACTTAGGGGTGTGAAAAGTAGATGTTTGCCGATTCTCAGACCTACTCAATATGCTCATAAATTTTTTTGAAAATCGGTCAAGAAGTTCCGGAGGAGATCTCTGTCTAACACCGCGACATGAGAATTTGATATATAAGATGATGATTGTTTGCTTTAAACTATCAAAATTATCTATTTTTTCCGTTTCACGCCACATTCATTCATATTATATACAAATATGAAGTAGTATAATAAAATAAATACTTTGCTGCAATCTTTATAAAACAGAAAATTACAGTTATACATATATACATACAAAAATCTCTTTTATATGTTACGAAACTAAAATATAGTAAAAAATTCATAAAATAATAATTGTTCCAGAGCGTGAGAGCGTATGGCAGGGCGTGTGTATAAGGTCGTACACGTACCGGTCGCTGGTACTAGGTTTCGGTCCGGCTCAGCGCGCCACGGCCGTGCTGCAGTGGAGCGCCGCCAGCCAGCGGTACACGGTCGCCACGCCCGCACACCAGCCCGCAGCCAACGCTCACCATTTACTGCATCACCACCTCGACCATTACCTCAACTGGTTAGTAGAACATACATTCAATACAAGGGTAATATATTTCACCGAAGTCGGAGTCCCTTAGAGACTCGTGCGTAGTGAACGGAAGCATGGCATGCCGTTCCCGTTCACTAGCTTACGAACTGCGCAGAGAACGTCGAGATGGTTTAGTGGGTGGAAATCCCACATGCCCCTGTCGCGCTTCCCCCGCGACAGGAAGTCTTTGAAAGATTCCCCTCGTAAAAAAAAAGGTTCGGAAAAATAAAGATCTTAAAAAAATACTAATTACAAATGAACAATTTAATAATTCTTACAAATTTTTAAATTAAGGTTTTTTATGTGATACTTATACAAAATGGTGATTGATATCTCACAGAATCTAACAATGTGATTATAAAATGACTCGCGCTACCGAATTTACAGAGATGCGACTGTTCCTATGGTTCACGAGCAATAGTAAGACTCGATACAAGACTACAGATCATTATATCTTTTTAAAACTAATTAATTAGAGGGTTCTTTAAATTATCTAAGAGAAGGGTGGCTAATAGTATTGTATTAACGGTCCCAATAAAGAGAGTTTTATATTTACATTATAAACTTAAATTAATCACTATAACGTTAAATAGTTTCGTATGTAATAATCATTTATTAATATTCTCACAGGCACAAGGATTTAATGTCTCTTGGCGTGGTACTGCGTGAGACTTATATGCCGTTGTTAGCGTTGGGTCGCCTGCCCACTCTGCCACAACTTGGCCTTCACCACATACGAGCTCTCATGCCCACGCCCACATTCACACTGCTGGCACACTCATGGCGGAAGGTATATCTTCGCTTTTTTGCCTATAATTGGATTACAAAAGAATTTTTTTTAATGTAAATTAATATTTTTCTAGATTCGCATCATTTATGCCGGTGCATATTCGATAGAAGTGGGCATACGAGGCGGAAATACAGTTACAATTCGAGATGGTTCTTATTCTAAGTTCGACAGATGTTCCGTCGTCGATGAATTTGCTCCTGCACAAGGTTTAAAGGTACGAAACGATATTGAGAGGTTTTTTTTAAATATGTTATTGTTGTTTAATTTCTCCTTACATCTAACCACAAAGTTTTACAGATAATATTACAATATTAAGAAGGTAAAATGTAGTAGATTAAACTTTGTAAAATCTGTTAGAAAAGTATTAACACTTATCTTTAGCAGTAACTAAATTGTGTTCTATGAGTAAGATAAATAATATTTTAAAATATATTTGTTTGTATAGACTTTCTTGTCGCGATACGTCGATGACAACATCAGTGCGAGACTCTTAGCGGAGGACGATAACCCTCCATCACCGATGTCACCGATGCCACCAGGTAGTAACGATATATGTAGCTGCCAACATACATTATACTGTGATTAATGTTTATATTTAGAGATCGTGGAGTTTTAATTACAATAACTATAGCTATTACAGCGTTTTTTTTTAAATTATTACTCTAAATGATAGTAATTAGTATGTAATAGTAAATCAACCTTTCCTCTCTGTATTACTGTCTCTATAAAGGTGGACTGGCAATAAAAACACACTATATTTATTTTTTTATGTGAAACTTATATACATGTGTTGTATATATTTATATGTATCTGGTTGTAGGCGGTCTTCGTTTCCCCGCCCCGCTGACTCCTCCTCAGCCGCACACGCCGCACTCAGCGCCTGTGACACCACACCCGGCCTCTCCCGCACAACATCAGGTAATATGTTTAAAGTTTATATAATATATAAACTTTATACTGATAGCATAAAAAATAAATATCTATACTAATATTATAAAGCTGAAGACTTTGTTTGTTTGTTTGAAAGCGCTAATCTCCGAAACTACTGGTTCGAATTGAATAAATCTTTTTGTGTTGGATAGTCCAGTTATCGAGGAAGGCTGTGGGCTATATAACATCACGCTATGACCAATAGGAGCAAAGATATAGTGGTAAATGTGTAAAAAACGGGAGAAATTATAAATGATAAAATATTTTATTCGTATTCTGTTACAGATGGGCGGTGGATCATTCAACCTGACGTCACCTCCAGGTGGTGCGGGCGGCTCGGCTGGTGGTAGCGCGGGGGCCGCGGGTGTCTCAGCGTCCCCGGCCTCCCCTATGGCTCCCTCTCCCTTAGCGCCGGTCGCTTCTCCCCATCCTCCTCCTACGTCCCCGTTTACCGCCTGGCCCGCCTCGCCCTCCCTACCGCGTCCCTCGCCTGGACATCACCCCTCGCCCAGGCATCATATAGAACACAAGGGTATGTTCTACACAAATATACCTATACTCCAGCCACATTCGATCTGGAATTTTAGTAAACAAACCATGACTCATCATAATTAGGGTTGATACACTCTTAATAAAAATAATTATTATTGTAATAACAACTATATTCATTATAACACAATTTCCTGTTTAAACACAAAAAAATTAATTTATACAGGGTGACTGGTGAATTACTATCAATATTTAAGGAGAATACTCGGTACATGATTCTCATTCGAATTATGTAAAAAAATAGGCACTTAATTTTTGACAAAATTTCCGTATAAATAAATAAAGTGTTGACACGTTCCAAGTGTTCCAAATGTGGACGCGTGCGGCGGCGTGCTGATACAACACTACGCCGCCGCACGCGTATGTGTGTGTGAGTGTATACCTAATCTGTAGGGTGTTCACACGATGCGTAATTAATTACATAACTTTTGGTTAACTTTACTTAAAAGTTTATTAATATTTATGTTATATTAATTTTTATTTTGTCATATATGATCGTCAAATATCACGTCCTCAAGTATCGATAGTAATTCACCAGTCACCCTGTACATATAGAATCCATAAAAATTATTTAGCCGGTCAATACATAATTTATATGGAAATTAGCTTAAAAATAAAATTTAAAAATCTTTAATAACCACTATAAGATTACTACAAGACTTACAACCCTATATTTTAAAACTGACGTAAAGAAATCGCAAGTTCGTAACATTTGGAGTGTTTTTTTAGCAATTGGCAGATTTAGGAAGGTATATAATAGCGATACAGGCTCTTCGTAATTGGTAGTGTATATTTTTAGTCGTATTACAATAGTAGTATAACCACAACAGGTTAAGAATGTTAACATACACACAACGTTTCATTACACACAGATTTAAAAATAGACATCTTGTTTTGGCTAGCATAAATATAGCACTATAATCTCTGTTTCAACCACATATATTTACAATTTCTTCCAATATATATATCAGATAAAATTTAATAAATTTTATTGCGGTTACATTTTAATTAATTTAAAAAAATATTTTTTTAACACAAATAAAGTTAAACCAAACGTAACTACGTAATTTTGTTGCATTATACGCCCGCCATAATGTTTGTTTTGTTTTGTTGTTAGCTTTGCTTACCTACTCGTACAATTCGCGAGTATTTGATTCTGGTGTTCTTCGGTTCTGTTATTAATTGTTAGATTTTGTTATCACTACTTTGTTTTAATTCGTTATTGTTATAAGTTTGTTGTTATCTAATATTGTTTATATTAGATTACGATGAGTAATACTGAATAACCTGGTCCGAGTGGGATTGTATCTGTAGCGAAATTTAAATATACACAAAATTTAATCTAAATGAGTCCTGTCGTTTGGGAGGCGTGGATAAAGTTAATAAAGCGAATTATATAACTACGAGGTAATTTCTGATATCATTTTAAAATTTGAGGTTACTTTTTAGAGATCTACATTATTCCAGATGATCATAAGTATTATAATTATAATCAAGAATTAGTCCTTTGTCTTAAATATTTTATTATTAATCATCAATTTTAATTTTCATTAACTTCAAAAATAATTGTTGTACATATTTCTAAAAATGTTTTGAGCATCTGCCTGACGTTCGTTGCTAAGCAACGCTTTGTTATTAAACATTCCACATCGAGTTTGGCTGGAGTGTAGTAAACTATCAGAATTGTTTATTACTTAGATTATTCCTTTCAGAAGCATATGAATAATATGTTTTGATTATTTCAGCGGGTCCACAAGCGAGTTCGTCTACGGCTGTACGGAGTGGATGGAGGTCGGGTCTGTCGCCGGGCACACCGCTGGCCGTTGGCAAGTTAGAGGTTCTTTGTACACCATCCGAGCCTCCCCCAGGGGCGCCACCTGGACCACCTCTGGCACCGCTGCAACGCTTCCTCGCCTGTCAGTATATGAAACGGACGCTGCAACGTTTTGTACATCAGGAAGAGTTTGTAAGTTAATCAATCATCGTTAAAATAAAATTATTCATAGTTCATATCACTCATATTATAAAACATTCTAACAGTTAACGCTCGTGTCCGTGGACGCGCTGTCACTCACGTTCAGGTGTGAGGGCGCGGGGCTGGCGGCGCGCGTCGCCCTTCATCCACAACACATGCAGTCCTTACACTTGCAGTTGACGCCTCTTCCAGACCATAAAGACAACTGGTCCGCTGACGACCTACAGGTGCTTCATATATAACGTGTCACTTGTTAGGATTCCTTCGTGTAATACATTCACATATTCACTGCATATGTTTTCGATGACAAGGTAATGGAGAAGTTTTTCGACGTTCGTGTGGCGATCGCTCCGTATCGCGCGACAGCGCTGCAGGGCTGGGGCCGCGCCTGGGGAGCACCGGGCGCAGCGCTGCCGTCGCTGGTGGCGTTGATGAGGGCAGAATTGGTCCCCGTGGCACCCGCCCTGTGGACGTTACAGTGGGCGCTGCGCATCCCGCCCGCTGGACCGCAGATAGTACCGGCCGGACAACCCGCCGTCCTACTCGCCAAACATAAAATACTGTTCTTCGTGAGTGTCATAATTGTTACTTATTTTGTATTGTCTCTTGACGGTAGTTTGTTAAACTCCATATAATATTTAACAGATTTGCTTGACTCGCGGTGACACCCAACTCGTATTACCGCTGGTGTATGACATGCAGTCGAACGTTATACAGATAGCTGAACGAAGAGACGCACAGCAGCCGCATCTGATTGCTGTAAATTTACATCTCAAAAGGTAAATGATAATGATATTTATGTATATCAACTTGTTTATTTTCTTAACACTTTTTAACATAGTTGACCATTATAGATATATTTATGTACATGTTATTTATTTATAATATTTGTAAAATAGCATAAGCAATAGATGTCAGTAAAATAATCCCTAAAACTTTTGGCTATAATTGAAACTTGTACGTGGTAGGCAGATTTATAAAATATAATGTATGATACAGGTTCGCTGAGTTCAACCAGTCTCACGGCGAGTGTATCCTGTGGCCGGCCGTCCGAGACCTCTTGATCAACTTCACCCTGCCGCAGGACGCGCCCGCACCCACCGCGGCCCCGCCCACCTAGCGCACGCACAGACTGGCGCTCGACTGATTACACGATATACTCTGTGCTTAGTACCTGTGCAAACATTATCGTCCTATCCTAATTGACGATGCACTCACATTATGTACTTGGTACGCTTTAAGCTCGGTGGATATCAATATATGTAGTTGAATGTGCGCTGGCCGCTTGGAAATAATGAACTTGTGTGAATGTTACGATTATGAGGAATCAGTGGACGTTTTAGATGTGTGCAATTTGGTCGCCAAATTGTTGACCACAGATTGAATTGTATCAACGATTCAAATGATAGGTGACATTGTGTATACCATGAAACACGGTCCAGATAAAATAGAATTACATTTTAGACATAATGTAGGCGTAATTTAAGATTAATTGATAACTGCTGAGATGTAAATTTGTATAAATAAAAACGATGTCCATCTCTACATAGTGGTTTATTTTGTCATACCTTCAAACTTTAGACATAGGTGTCCATCTCTACATAGTGGTTTATTTTGTCATACCTTCAAACTTTAGACATAGGACATGGTAGAATGTGAAAACTAGTAGTGTAAAGTAGATTTTTGTATTCGTTTCTCTTCAAATCAATGTAAACATAATACATATACAATACATACATTATTTGTATAATAGTTTTTTTTTACACAACTCCTCAAAAAAGCGTTAGTCCAAGATCTAAGGACCCCCAGAGCTTACTTATTTTCTGACCGACAAAACATTTATAAAACGTTAAAAAAAGTAAGTACATTAAACTTACACATATCATCTAGTTTATACTAACGGTCAATTCAAAGTTATCAGGTGCTAGAGATAACTAAAAATTATACTCACTTTACTTTTAGTATGAGGTCTGATATTGACGTACATTACAGGAAATATTATAAACAAAATAAATACTGCCACACACCTTGTGTTGGCAGAATTTTTACCAGACCCTCTAATACCAACAACAAAAAACTCGATTAGAGTTACAATCTAATACTTGGTTTTGAAATTTTATATTTAGGATATTTAAATGTAAATCTTATAAGCTGCCTGATAAATCCGCGGGACCCAATATCCATCATCCATCCATCCAGAATGTATGATAACTAAATACCGATTTTTTTCTATTTCATTAAAATTATTTTGTTATTTGTGCAATGAAAGCTTTTTATAATAACGATTTGTTTTTATGTAATTGTTGCAACAATTGCGGTATAACGCCAAAATAGTAAGAATTGGTGTGATTTTTAATTATAAATCACCTATATGTTTATTTTTTGATGAACACAAAATAAGTCAGATTAGGAGAGAGACCCTTTCATTTTAGATTACTACTATATTTCGCGGGTAAGTAAGGTAAGTAAGGTAAGTAAGGTAAGTAAAAGTCGCGGGTAGACGTTGAAATAGATAGACATACATTTCGAAGCTCTACTTTTATTAAATATTATAATTACAAAAGTACTTATGTTTTAAAACTTATATCACCTTTGTATAAGTGGGCTATCACTACATTCACACACAAGTTTTCAACACTAAGAAATGGACACTCCTGTTGAACAGCTGGTCAAAGGTATGGAGGAACTTTCTTCAATGTTTAGCCAGAGGATGGGTGAGTTTGAAAAGAACTTAATGCCAGCCACCGCCTCTGCTCCTACAAACCCAACAATCAAGTCCTTGTCAGCCGAGTTCTACGCATTTAAGTCTCTTGTGTGGAAATCGCTGGGACTACTGAAAGCCCAAATAGAGCTTGTCGCACAGGGGTTGGATCGCATGGAGACTCATAGTCGCAGGAAGGTTCTCCTCTTCCACGGTGTTAAGGAGGAACCAGGTGAAGACGTCCTGAAGAAAACACTTGCAGTATTAACCGGCCATTTGAAGATGTCTGATGCCACATCTGATGTAATTGACTCCTGTCATCGCTTGGGTGTAAAGAGGGATGCCTCTCGGCCTATATTGGTTCGATTCGCCTCCGTACGCTTCCGTTCTAGAGTATGGAATGCCAAGTCGGCACTCAGGGGTTCTAAAATAACGATCTCAGAATTCCTGACAAAGGCCCGTCAAAGTGTTTTCATAGAAGCTCGCAAACACTTTGGGATGAAGAAGTGCTGGTCGACTGAAGGCGTAATTGTCATTCTTCTTCCTGACAACTCTCGTAAGAAGATTTCTGCATTGTCCGAGCTTAAGCAATTAGTCGCTCAGTATCCAAAGAGCAACAAGTGAACACCGGTGCTTTGTAGGTTACATATCAATTTGGTCGGTTTATATCACGATGATATTGACATTTGCAATGCAGGGTATAGTTAATTTTCTTTTTACTTGTTTAACTCTTAATTTTAACTATTTTACTTTGTAAATGAATTTTATAATTTTATTTTTTAACTACCCCTGTCATAATGGTTAAAGTGATAAGTGACAACTGACAACTAATGTTCACTGTCAGACCACACTGTTTTTAAATCTGGATTCGAGTCTTTTGAGTCGTAAAAATACTTTTGACTTTTTATTTTTTGTTTCTTTAATAGTTTCTATTTGTATATCTTTATTTTAATTTACTTTTAATTTTTAATTGTTAACACTACTTTTTATTGTTGGTTTTCTATTGTGTTCATTTTTAAAGTGTAAATCTCATTTTACAGTCAACTTATGCCTGAGGTGTGTGTTTCAAGTAAGTTGTTATTTTTTATATATATATATTTTTTTATATTTGTTTAATTTATTTATTTTTAGTATTTAGTATTTATTTTATATTTTTATTATACTATATATTTTTATTTTAATGATTTTAGATGAAGAATATTTTTCTTGCTCGTCAGATGAGTTTATGAGTATCTCTAGTAGCAGCAACATCTCGACTTCAGACTCAGAACCACTTGAAGTCAAATTGCCGAAAATATTTAATAATTCGAATCTCCTTTCCTTGGTGCATATTAACGCGCAGAGCTTAGTTGCTCACTATTCCGATCTTCTCACATCCTTTAGCACCGGCGTGGTTGACGGAATTCTGGTGTCTGAAACCTGGTTAAAACCGTCAATTTCATCCACCAGTTGTGCTCTGCCAGGCTACCAGCTCTTCCGTAACGACCGCACTGATCAGGGTGGGGGTGGCGTTGGTATTTACCTTCGCAGTGACATTCCTGCCCGAGTAGTTTCTCTTTCCTCCTCACAAATAAATGGATTTTTAGAATATCTTTTCCTGGAGATAGTTATACACCAAAAGAAAATCCTACTAGGTGTATTATATAGTCCTAATGATAAAATTAATTATTTTGACACTTTAGAGGGTGTTCTGGAAAATCTTGTCCCTATGTACGACCATATTGTATGCATGGGCGACTTAAACACCTGTTTACTAAAGAATGACTCTAGGGCACATAAATTAAATACTGTTACTTCATCACTCAATTTAAACATTCTCCCTATGTCCTCTGCGACACACTATTTTCCGAACAGTAGACCAACCCTAATAGATGTAATTGCTGTCTCTAACCCTAGTTTTGTTTCTTCCCACGGTCAAATGACTGCTCCATTCTCATACCACGATTTAATTTTCCTCACTTACAATGTGCGTCCTAAAAAGGTTAGAGGCAAAATTTGTCTTCTTCGCGATTTTAAGCATATGGACCTGGATCGTTTGAGAGAGGACGTGAAAAGTATTGACTGGTCGTCACTATACTCAGCTAATGACATTAATGCCATGGTTGAATTACTAACTACTGAGCTGATTCGACTATTTGATAAACATGCACCCGCTCGACCAGTCCGGATGAAACACGCACCTGCTCCCTGGTTGACGCCAGTGATCAGAAGAACTATGGCTAAACGTGACAGAGCAAAATCCAGAAACAAAAAACTACCATCTCAGGACAACCTTGACGAATACAAAAAACTTCGTAACATCTGCAACAGAATGTGTAGGGACGCAAAACGCCGCTATGTTCATGGTAGACTTCAGAATGCTTCCCAAGCGCAAGTTTGGGGATTCTTACGGTCATTAGGCGTGGGCAAAACCACGGATAGCTTTCAAGCTACCGTGGACCTCAATGAATTAAATCAGCATTTCATCATGCCACCTATAACATTAGATCCTGACACTAAATCTGCTACACTCTCTTATTTATCTAATCTTGTCCCACCAGACCTGCCCCCTTTCACTTTTGAACCAGTCTCGGAGGATACTGTTAGGAGGAATGTCCAATCTATCTCCACAAAAGCCATCGGTAGCGATAATCTCAGCCTGGACATGATACTTCCTGTGCTGGAGGATATTGCACCTGTGATCACTCACATTATTAATTTTTCACTCTCGTGCAATATCTTTCCAACACTTTGGAAGAACGCCTACGTTGTTCCGCTACCGAAGTCCTCTAATCCTTCCTCTCCTTCTCACTTCCGTCCCATATCGATACTGCCTATCCTTTCAAAAGTCCTGGAGTCTGTGGCTCATAAACAACTCTACTCCTACCTTACCATCAACAACCTCCTGTGTCCTTTCCAATCCGGCTTCCGTCCCTCTCACAGTACTGTTGGAGCACTGCTGAATATAACTGAGGACATTCGGTATGCTATGGATACCACCAAAGTTACTGTAATTGTTCTGTTAGACTTCAGCAGTGCTTTTAACTCTGTAGATTTCGACATTCTTCTTGGTACCCTTCGAGCGGTTAATATCTCTTCCTCTGCCATTGATTGGTTTCACTCTTATCTTTTCGGGCGCCGGCAGTGCGTGAAAACTGTAGATTCATCATCTGATTGGTCTAACTTATCTGCCGGTGTTCCTCAAGGCGGTGTACTCTCTCCACTTCTCTTTTCTGTTTTCATTAACAATATTTCCCGTGTCATTTCTTCTCCCTTTCATCTGTATGCAGATGACTTACAGTTGTATCGTCATTGTCAGTTGAGTGAGTTGTCTGAGACTGTTGACAGATTAAACGAAGACCTTTCGGCTGTTCAGCTATGGGCCAAGTCTTTTGGTCTACTGGTGAACCCTGCCAAATCTCAAGCAATGATTATAGGTAGCAGCAGGCTAAGAAGTAAAATTGACTGGCCTTCTGTGCCCTATATAAAGTATGCTGGGGTTCCAATAGCCTATCGTGATAGTGTAAAAAACTTGGGCCTGATCATTGACTGCAACATGTCTTGGACTTCTCATCTCAACGATGTTAGTAAGCGTATGCATTTCACGTTTCACTCTCTCAAACGTCTCCAATACTTTCTGCCTTTCAACACCAAAATTATGCTCGCTCAATCTCTTCTTCTTCCTATTCTCGACTACGCTGATGTTTGCTTTCTGGATGTGACAGAAGAGCAGCTTAATAAGTTAGAGCGCTTACAAAATCTAGCTATTCGTTTTATTTTCGGGCTACGTAAGTTCGACCATGTTTCCCTCTTCCGCGCTCAACTTAAATGGCTGCCTATTCGATTTCGCCGTGATATGCACATCCTGTCGGTCCTATTCAATATTCTTACAAACCCTAATACTCCTGAATACCTCAGCTCCCGCCTTAACCTGCTTCCTCCTTCGACCCGCTCCAGACGTTCTTGCGTCACTACGATGCTTGACGTGCCTCGGAGTAACAGTAAATTTCGACTTCGGTCGTTCGCAGTACGAGCTCCGCTACTATGGAACAAGCTTCCTAAATCCATACAGGACAGTGCTACTATTGGTATGTTTAAAAAACGCTTAAGACAGCATTTCCTGGCCCAAATTTATCCGTATTCATAAACTGTATATGTATGTATTCATATATGTATTTATGTATTACATTGTTTTGTACGTATATATGTATATGTTGATATGTATTTATTTATGTATATAATATGTGTATGTATATTTATTTATATAACTATTATTTTATAATGTATACAACTATATAACAAAAAGTCTGCACTGAATCGCCCGCTGTATGACTCATATCACTCACCTCCATAGGTTGACTGGAAGAGATCTCTTTTAGAGATAAGTCCGCCTTTTGTGTATGTTTTTTTTCTATTATGTTTTTTTTCTGTTTTGTTTTTTTGTGCAATAAAGGATATATATATATATATATATATATTTGAATATAATCTTTCTTTTTGTATAAACATACAAACTCCTTAGAAAAAACTTACAATTTCAATATCTATGCGTGCAATGTTGACAATATTTACAGTCGTCATTAAAGTTTTTGATATGTACTTTTCATAACATGGATTAAATTCTGTGTTTTTTATGATACTTATATAAAAATCATGGCTACCCGTAACCCAGTTTCTGTGGAGACTATACTTACATTCGATAACAGAGATGCGGTAATTATCTAAATTTACGTAAATGTAGTGACGAAACACGATTGTTACAATTATAATTGAATACGTTGTAGCAAAGTCAATGGTCAGAAGTATGGTCGACTACACATATCCCTGGCATGGACAACGCATCCGGTGGTGACGGTTTGAGTGGTATCCAGGGCCGGAAGAAACTACGATTTGGAGCTCTCATACTTGGGTCTTTCCTTACGATGCACTGCCGAGTGACTGCGTCCGCTCTTACTGGCGGCGTCTGTATGTACTCCAGACTCATTGTTAATATTTTATTATAAATGGAGAAACACAATGGTCGCTTAGTTGTTTTCATATTATTCCATATCCTGGCTACGGTGACGCTTGCCAATCCCTTGCGTCATTTTGAGGTATATCTTGGTCAATGGAGTATTAGTGGACCTGGTCGAGCGTTCCGGATTTTACCAATGTTTGAAGGTAAAATACTTGATCTCACCGTAAATGCAGTATTCTATTATACAATGGATTTCGTTATTCCTTCATTGTCAAACTTCAGGTCTTGGTATAGCAATATGCATTAACGCTTTGGTTCGGGCCATTATATGTTGTGCAATGGCAGCAATATGTGCTATATACGTCGTATATTCCGTCAGTGATTCAAAACTTCCATTTAGTTACTGCAGGTAAGCATAACATATATATAACACGTAACATCAGCTTTTCTCAACTGAACATAAATTTTATTTACAGGGATTTTGATCTGAGGCCGTATGACCCAATAAAAAAAGACCTAAAGTTTGTAATGTTAAGAGAAGTAAGTAAACAAATGCAACTATCTTATTTATCTAAATATACAAATGTTTTCAAATTAAAACTACCAAGAATAATGTAAAATTTTCTGTTTTACATTTTAGTCAAGATTTTCTTTGGTGACAGGAGATACAGAAGAGGAAATACATAATGAAGCTGTAACGGTTGGAATCCGTGACTTTGCATGGAGAAATGCGAGTGACTTAAAATCGAAAAGGAAAGGGCAAGTATTTTTAAGTTGGAATAGTGATTAATAGATCTAGTTGATTACTATTAACATTAATTATAACCCAATAATTAATTGTCCAGACCGATACTAAAACAATCACAACGAAGAAATTATCACCACAAAATAGAAATATGCAACGAAAGCTATACTATCGGATATCCAATTCTGTATAGCACTCCGGCATACAACTTTTTTTAGTAAGCACACATTTTAAGACTTATTTCATAATTTTAAAGTATATCATAATTTTAAAGTATATCATAATTAATTATTTTTTTCAGTGTGGAGGTGGTTTTATTTCGCGAAGACTATAATTTCGGTCATTTCAATATAACCTTAATGATAGCTTTAGTTGTAGTGTGGATATGTTTATGGTTACTGATGATATGGGAGCGTATAGCGCATAAGAGAGTAAGATGAAATAGACAATTTCGTAATTTAGTAGCAAGATTTAACAGGTTACTTTAATTTGTTATTTATATCTTTTCAGTTAATATTTAATAACGTGCAAACTTGGCTAATAGTCATCCCCTGGTTATGGGTCGTAGTACTTATTATTATTTCTACAATGCATCTCTTAGCCCTGCCTAAAGTTATGCGTAAAACTTTTAGAATTGGAGCAAAGGAAATTTTAGCTGTATGTTATCGGATACATTTTTAAGTTAATTATTTATTATTGGTTACTACATTAATACATAAAATCTTAACCAGGGTTTGGCTGATGCATTTGAAGTAGCAATCTATATACACTCTGCTGGTGTTGGTACAGAGCTGATTCATGGGAAGGGCTTAAACCACTACGGTATTCCCTAAAAAGTTTTTGTTTTTCAGTTATCATAAAATGTGTAGGAATAAATACAATAAGTAAAAAAATTATTATTATATGTTGTCAAAGGATTAATCAAGTTTCTTTATTGTCCAAGCTACCGGCCATATAGACCCGCATTTAAATGGTGAGAACGTATGGCACAGTGGCTTACTTCTATTGATGTCAGGACTACACTCAAGTGGCGCTGCTGTCTGTGCAATAGTCGATAACATTCAGCCAAACAACAAGAATGGTTACGATATGCGCGAAAGTATAACTTTAAAACACAAAAAAAGCTAGAAAAATATTTTTACTTCCTAATATTAGTATTACTTATGTATGTTTAAGGTACTTTATGGATAATTCCAATGTACTCTAAATGCATGTTGATTAACGGCTATTCACATGTGGCGTAAGAGCTTTCAACTATTTATTGTATTTTATAGTTAGTATTTATTTAGTGACCAATAAATTTGTTTCAGCTCTGTAGCTATTTTTAGTGGTCTTACGTTTTCTTATATGGCTGTTGCTTATGTGCTTCTTAAAACATCTTTACATATAATTTTCGAATATAAAGTGAAATTGGTGTAAGTATATATTCAGTGTAGTAATGGTAGACTAATAAAGATTATTTTACATAAAAACCTACAGTTATTTTATGCGGCAGATTCGCTGAACAGGCTGTAGTAGCTGGAATAATACTTTCATGTATGGGTCTAAGCTTTCTTTTTGCTACAAGTGTAAGTATTTTATGTAGGGTATTATAAAAAAGTATTTTAGATGAGTTCGGCTGTTATTATTTTTAGGGTGGAGTTGCTTTGTTAGAAAGCGTGGATGCCTTAATGACGGGAATATCAACGCCATTTGTTTGCATATTGGAACTAGTTGCGATCCTTTACGTTTATCGAGGTCGTGATTTTGTCTCTGACATGAATATAGCGACCGAGGAAAACGCGTGCTCGTCCAGAATAGACACACAGTGGCAAATTATACCTGTTATAACATTGGTGAGGATATGTATTTAATTATTTTTGATCTTATTTAATAAAAATCAACCTAAATACGTTAAGTCGGTCAGAAAGAATACGGAAAAGACCTTTGAAAGAAACTTTTGATATTAACCCATTAAGCGCCAAAATGAAATAGCAGTATCACAAAAATAAATCGTTTATTTTCTAATTATTATTGATACACTTAAATGGAAAACAAGTAAAAATTATGTGTTTATGTTTTGGAAACTTTTAGAAGTGTATAATCACATGAGCCTCTTAGGGGTGAAAAATTTTACAGAAATTTATTTTCAAGAAAGTTTTATATTCCCAGCTTCTTGCATCACAAAACGCACAAGGTAACTGTTCCTCAAGAGTCTGAAGATAGTGTCCTAACACACCATCCGCCTGACCTGACTCTGTTGAGGATGATGGGCGGCTTTTACTTAGTTTTGCATGACGCAAATAATAGTACGTTGCAAGATTGAACCACTTTCTGTAATGAATAGTAATTCTGTAGATAGGATTGGTCAAGTTCAACCACTCCCCTCGCTCTTTTATAATATTTTTTGGAATATCAAGGAATATCCACATTTTTACTCTTTCACATTTTATAGGACGCCTAGTGGTCCAATTTTGTCGTAATTTATTATATTCGCACCATCACTGTTATCTTTCTATATAACCAGCAATAATTTATTTGTTCTGTCGAATCTATATTTATATATTCAGGGGAAAATTCTTTTTCCTGTTTTCGAAAACTAAGCTAGTTGCACAAGATCCAAGCCTTCGCAAACCACTAAAAGATCGTAACAAGGAAAAAATAGTCACTGAAAACTGGTTTGTAGGATGGGTTTGCAGTTTTTTGACAACTATTGAACCAAGAGGCTCGTTCGTCGTATTTGTCATATTGTGCCTTTTTTTTTTGATCTACCACAAAAGTTTCTATAGGTTTTGTAGAATAATTTGATTTACACTTACGCTAATATAGTATACCCTCCTGTTTATGACGTCAAAGTCGCTTACTACCCAAAGATTCACCGCCAATGCTATCATCATCACAAGAGTAATTGTTAAGTAAGAACACTTCAATACTCCCAGTAAATTAGTCACAAAATTTTCATCAGTTTCTTCCACTTCGCCGGACAACACGCACGGAGGTGGCGGTGTAATGGCTACATTACAATCGACATGAGCGTCACTATTTTCAAAACAGCTTGCACATATCCATTTAACCTTTGGTAGTTTTTAATAGTCCTAAAACGTTTGGAAGTCAATGTTAATAGATGGAATAAAGATTTTTAATACCTGGATGTTGCCGCTGTGTTTGATAAAGTACAGCGATGTTTATTTCAACAAATTTTCACAAATACTTGCAATTTACTTATTAACTATGAATAGTTTTATACAATAATGATTACGAAATAGAAGTATTTGTATTGAATGAACTAAATATTAGTTTTAGGTCTCGTAGAGAATAATAGAGTGGACTTATCTACAGAGGAAGGATATCTTCTCAATATACAATGACCCAATTACACTTTAGACACAATTTAAAATCTACCCTCATAAAATCTCAATATATCGTAAATAATAAAAGAACATATTAAATCGCAACCTGAAACTTATTTTATTGAGCCAATGTAAAAGCTATATTACAAATACAAAAATTAACTGTACTCAAACGAGTACGGTGGCGCTAAATGGGTTAATTGAAACTATATAAAAAAAATCACTTATGTGATTGAGGCTAACATATGATTTATATGTATCAATTGAAGGTTACATTAATAATAAAGCTGAGCGTTGTGTTCGTGGCGGAATTGCCGAAGATGTCGTTGGCGTATGCGGCGGCGGCGTTGGTGGCCGTGGTCATCGCCGGACCTCTGCGAGCCGTTAGGAACGCTGTGGTCTTCATGCGAGCCAGGAGACACAAGTAGAAGGGATCTTAGTCACGAACTTTATCAAATCAGTCACAGTAATGTTTTGTACGTGTCTTAGTAAACGGTGTCAGAAATTAAAAAGCCAGTGATTGAAAATAAACGTTTATTCTTTCAATCATTTATAAATACCTATAGACCTTTGTACATTGACATGCGTACACATTGTATTAACGAAAGTGCGCGTCGCAGCTATTGAGCTTTTTGGTAAAATGTTTTTAAAAACCGCCTGGTGCTCATCGCCCGGGCGTGTGGTAAAACAAGCAACATTCTGTCGCAAATTAAATATTATTCAAAATACATAATACGCCAGGTAGCGTTCTGTTTAAATATTATATTTACATTCTATTCCTTTTGATTCTTTTGGTGTATCTTATTACAATATCTGACAGCTATCATACATGTTAGTTGTAAAAATTACAATATTTATATAATTAACACAATTTTTGTTTGTCAAAACACTGGCAATTATTAAATAAAACTTGATTGTTAATAAAATATAACTATAACGCTACCCACCGTATCATCATTAAAAGGTCCATTTAAAGCGACAGAGCGAAATATTAGGAACGCTTATTAACAATAGCAGACGGATAACGGTAGGTTATAGATACAACAACACTACACTAACCTACGACGACTATTAAACGATTAAATTAAAATATCACAATATGTACATATTACTGGACACTATTTTATAATATCAATAATTACTATGCGACACAAAATTTTCTTAAATATCCGATTAAATTATTCAAGATATTACACAGATCCCAAAACCGGCTGAGCGTAACGCGTAACCGGTACAGTGGAGACGAAACACTAAATAATAAAAGTATCGAAACAAGTCGAGGCCGTAAGACTTCGTATTTGACATTCATTTGGTTTGTAGTTACACAGGTCGAAGGATCGCATCGCGTCCTCGCTCACTAAACTAAATAATAATATTCGATCCAGAACATTCGAGGCTTCAACGGTCTGATGCTGTCCTCTCCAGATATCGTTTCTATAAAATCACAAGGCACTTCCGTTACAAAAAAAGGTAAATCACATATCGGCTCGGCCGAAGAGACACATCAATGTGTTATAGGTGTCCGAGTCACTGCGTGGTTCGTCAGAGCGACCGTCGTCAGAAGCGCCTTAGAGCGGCGGCCGCGCCCGTCGCCTTGCGCGTAGGCTGCACGGACAGAGGCGCTACTAGCACGCCCGCCTCCCCACCACCCGACCCGCTCGTACCCATCTCCTGGAAGTTAATACAATAACATATAGATTGATAAAAAGAACATGGAATCATAATATACCATTATCATCCAATCATCATATATTAAGGATATTAAAATTACTTCTCATTAATAGAGTACTTTACATGTTAATTTTTACAATAAAATATTGGAACACCCTGAGGCTTAATATTTTGTTACATATAATGTCCATGTCATATGTATTCATGAATTAATAAATTTATATTAATAGTCTTTTCAGAATTAAATATCTGTTTCATTACGCTTTAGAGACATAAATAAAAAATAAAATGTTGTGACTGTTGCTATAAATTTTTTGTTTGTAATAATTTAGTCTTGGATTAAACAATTAAAAAAAAATGGTATCATAAATGATAATCAAATCGATGGTAACAAATTAAAAGAGTCAAAGTGTATGTGAATATCATGTTTTTATTTAGTTTTAAATTTCATGTCAAACACTTTTGTACATACACAATACAGACTGAATATCACGTCAAGGTTACTAACATTAATGTTATTACAACTGGCGAGTCTCATCTGCGCGAGCTGCGAGGCCGGCGTCAGGTTGGAGGTGGACCCGAGGGGAGGGATCATAGACGACATGGCCCTCTTCAGCTTGGAGGGAGTCTTGTTGAACGACAGAGCTCGTCCGACCTGTGTAACACATACATATATCATAAATATACACATTTATATGTTTCAGTAAGGAAACTACACACGCACACAAGGAATTTAGTAAGTTACTCTACAAAAAGCAATCAAGAAAATTAGGGGTCCAGTTTATTTTTCGTTTCTAACGATGTTATCACACATATATTACATAAGAAAACGAATCCCATATAATAATTATCGTTTTTTATTAAAACCTTCCTTTAAAGAAATCCTCAATTTGTATAGTTAACATAAAGAAAGGAATACAATTAAGACGTAAATTATACATATAATTTTTATTTTGTTAAATTAAGAATCCACAATAGCAGATGAATTAGTTGATGTTTTCCCGAAATATAGATTATTAGTATGTCTTTTACTGGTACAATACAAGCCAACCACCTTAGGTATAGCACGCTCACAATGTTATGTCACCAATGACTGAACAAGCGAAGCATCTGTGCCCTTATCACGAGATTGCATCGTCAAAAGATACACAGTCGCTACTAGTATCAAAATAGTTATATTAATAAATAGTTCCCACTTGAAACTATATATTTTTGACTATACAAACTTGTGGCAAGGGTACACATTGTATGAACTCATTATCGTTATTCGAATGGTCGCTAAACTGTGTAACAAAGCATTAAATGTTACGAGCACCTTCATATCTATTTACTGAAAGGTTTTTAATATAATACTATTATTTATAGATGATATAAGTTTAGGTTCAAAATTTTATGTACAAAATGAATTTTTGAAAATATACAGGATTTGAAAAATAAAATGTTGAAAACATCAAAATTGCAACCTGCGACTTCCGACACGTAGCGTTCCAGTTGCTTAATCAATTTAGCCATCGTGTCAATCACAAGTAACGAATTAATTAATTTCTTTTTATTATCATTTATCATATCATTTCCAAAACTATAACATTAAAACATACATTTCACTATCAACCTTGAAAATTATATTTATTATAGGTTATCTAGTTCCTAAAGATTGTTAACTTTTTGCTTCATTGTTTTATTTATGAACTAAATTTTATCTAACTTAAAAATGTGACAACAAAGTATAATATAATTTCATCTAAATTATTACATAATTCGTATTTTTAATACGGTTTTCTGATCATTAAAACCTACACTGTAATATTCATTAAGGCTTGAAAATGTAAACATTATTTTCCTACATATACTCGTAACAACAAACTTTAATTAAACACATGCTTGAAGTCTAACTATATAGCCCATAAAAATATGCTTAACCTTCTACGAAGTAGGATTCTCTTTCAAAAAAACAATTAATATTTCAGATTTCCAAAACGACATAATTTTGTCAAACTCCAAAAACTCCAGAGTTATTACTATACAACAATTTCTCTCTCATTTTATATACAAATAATGAATATTAAATTTTCAGGAACAAGTTCAATAAAACAAACAGGTCCAATATGGAACTCGAACACAGGTCACAAATGATGGATGTCCTGCTAATGAAGGGCCCGAGAAACACTAGCACTTCACCCCGAGTAATGATCATGAATATGTTGTGATTTATTTATAAGCGGTGTTATTTGGTGGGGCGAGGTGGTGGGTGGTGGCGTGGCGTCAGACCTGTGCTAGTAAGTGAGCGCGCAATACCCATGTGTCTATCAAGGCCGGTCCCGGTTCGGCGCGCAGCCAGCCGCCGAGTCCCGCCAGCGCCTCCAGCTACAACACACACGTGCCAGACCAACGCGCTACCACTACCCGCCGCCCGCTAACACTCGGGACCGTCGGGTAGTGACATAATGTATCGTGTGCTCTTTAATAAACGATGTTCGTGACACTGTTCGCTTGTTTACGATAACTTGAATATTAAACCGACAGTAGCACGAGCATCGCTCTATATATTTATTGAATTCTCAGCTTAGCTAGTGTACATTAAATTGACACATGATTGAATTACATTCTAAAAAAAAAATAATTGATCAAAGGCATTCTGATGGCCTCTTCGTGTGTTTAAGTAGTATGTACAGTGCATCTATTGAATAGTAATTATAATTACCATATCTATACATATAGCATGTTTTCAACACCGGTTTTTCATGCCTTAGTAACATAATATACCAACACTTACCGGCATTGTTATTCATTGTTACTCTTTATAAAGCTAAGCTACATACATATTATATACCATAATGATTAAATAAACGCATGCTGCTAACATCTATCCAACGATATATTTTTTACATAGTATAGAAATTATTTAAATTACAGTAAATATAGGCGAGATTGAGGTATAGTTAAATATAATAAAAAAAATCATATGGACTTGTAAGTAGGGATATGAATTATCCTAAAATATATTGCATTTGTATTTAAATATTGATTATATTTGTTAGTCATTATTCATACCTTTATTCTGGTGCGAGCCGCGAATTTGGAGACTTTAGAGAGTGTGCTCAAGGCGAGGTCACTCGTGTCGATGTCCAGTTGATGGGACTCAAGACACGCGAGGAACTTATCCTGGAAAAAACAAACAGAATTAGCGATAGTGGAACTGATTTTAAAAGATATCCTTATTAGTTTATCTACCAGTGTCTAACGTATTATAGAAAAACCATGGACATAATTTAGAGTGAGTATTCATAGGGTTCAAAACATGTTCGATAGGTATAAACAATGCAAGAATAAAAAGAACTCCGGAAAGGTATTTAAAACGGAAATATACAGGGTGTTCTAAAAACTGTGTCAACCCTCTTAACTGCGTTATCAGTATCGAAAATAGAACACAATCAAACAACTTACATTTACAAACTCTTCAATAAAAATAATAAAATTAAATATTAAATGATTATTATATGTAGAGTAACCAAATGTTTGTAGCCCTGGTATAACACGATGACACTCAATGGCGTCATCACAGCTGCTGCGCTACTAGTGACGAACTCGAAGTTACTTTCACATTATTGAAAATATCGATATTTAAAAAATCATAACAATAAATAAATATTTAATATTCATATTATTTCGATACTTATTTTGATATATCAAACATTAGTATTATTTTTGATTGTAAAACACCATTTTTAACAGAAATAGATTAACGATTTATCCTAATAATACAACATAGTTAATTTACCTGAAGAAGTTCCAAATTATAATATTGATTAATAATATTTAATATTTATAAATGTTATTTTAAATGAAATTATTTTAATTTGAAAAGCAGAACTATTTATAGCAATATTGAAAATATCGATAGAATATTTATCGATATACCAAATTTTTTAACTTATAAATCTCTATTCGAAAAACTAACAAAATAGTAATAATAACGCCGGCGGCCCGGCGCCTGCGGTGAATGGCCACGCATGCGCCGTCGCGACTATACGGTGCGTTGACCTTGTATGGGTCAGATGTTTGGAGCATTTTTTTAAATAATGTCGATTTAAAACTTATTTAGCCTATGCACTGTAACTGACCTCTGCTTGATTTTTTTAAGTTATACTATTTTTTATAATAAGCTTATACTTATATGTATACATGCCTTCAAGGGTTGACACAGTTTTTAGAACACCCTGTATAGAAACTAATATTTTCTGATTACCTGGGGTTATTTTATTATTTTAAATACTACATACTCCCGACGTTTCGGTCACTTTTGCAGCAACTGTGTTCACAGGCAGACGAGATCTCGTCTAATCATAATAGAGTAGTAATCCGAAAATATTAGTTTCATTTAAATCAGTGGTCCCCAACCAGTGGTCCAGGAACGAATTCAAATCTCCCTTAAGATTTATTTGTTCAAATAACATATTTTTGTTGATAGAAAATACATTTGAGTTTTTTTATTAAAGTTTATTTTCTTAGTCATTTACTTATATATCGTCTTCTACATTGTGGTCCCATGCAAACAACAAAGAATACAAAGTGGTCCCTGGCCAAGAAAAGGTTGGGAACCACTGATTTAAATGAATATTCTATAAGTTTTCATTAGAAATATATAATGAGTTTAATATAAATAATAAATCTCACAGCGTCAGCCTTGCAGACAGTGTTGGCCATCTGTCGACACAGCTGCCTCAGGAAGTGCGTCTTGTCGACCGTCTCGTCCGTGATCATGAACGAGTACAGCTTCTCCTTCAGCTCCTGGTTGCTGCGGCACATGAGCGCGAACACGTTGTGACAATCTGGAATAGCACACGTCCAAATAAGATATTTTTTTGTAAGATATCATATATAGAAAGTATACTTCTTGTCAAAACCATTACAATTAAACTATTATTGAATGTAACTTTTAGTGTATATAGCAATAGCTATATCATATAGAAGAACATCAGTCTTAAAGCTTATTTTCAACAAAAATTCTGAATTTTAGTAAAGATAATTTTATTATTAATGATAACCCAGATGCCAACCTTCCGCCTCCCTTATATCGACGACTCTCTTCACAGTGCTCAGCGGCATGAGTGAGATGTGTCTGTATGGCTTACTGGAACCGATCCTCATCGTACCCGTACCGTTTGTAGGACTTTTAGTGTTAAAAGCCTGTGAAATATTCAGTTATATCATGTTAGTTTAAATTAATTGGCATATATAATAAAGACAATCATCAATTTATTAACTTAAAGTTATATATAGATTTTAAGTAACAAGCATTTAGAAAAATATTTTTATCCAATTTAATTAAATCTTTGAATTACATATGACTTAAGATAACGTTGATATTATATTAAATCTTTGGACAGTTACTAAATTAAATTGTATACACAGACATTCTACCAAAGAATAAGACGTTCCAGTGTTATTTTTTGTTAATTTGTCACAGTTCTTACCTTAGATCGTTTTTTGCACACTTCCATCGTGTCTGTGAAGAGGAAGAGCACAAGATGGTCCCCTCGACCTGAGAGTTCCTTTGACAGTTCAACGACCTCACAGCGAGACACGAACGAACGATGAGACGACACGAGGTGAGCCTGGAGAAAGATTATAGATCAATATAGACACTAGCAATGAGCACATTCATACAAATGTATTAGGTGTTACTGTCTCAAGTAAATTTAATACTGAAACCCTGAAAATTATTTGACTATCTATATACTTTTAAAAGTCATGTTGTCATAACGGTACTTATTTATATATATTACGCTTATTTATACAGGGTGACTGGTGAATTACTATCAATATTTAAGGAGAATACTCGGTACATGATTCTCATTCGAATTATGTAAAAAAAAATAGGTACTTAATTTTTGACCAAATTTCCGTATAAATAAATAAAGTGTGGACACGTTCCAAAAGCTCCTAGTGTGGACGCGTGCGGCGGCGTGCTGATACAATACGATCCCGCGCCGCGCGTGTGTGTGTGTGTGTGTGTGTATACCTAATCTGTAGGGTGCTCACACGATGCGTAATTAATTACATAACTTTTGGTTAACTTTACTTAGAAGTTTATTAATATTTATGTTATATTAATTTTTATTTTGTCATATATGATCGTTAAATATCACGTCCTCAAGTATCGATAGTAATTCACCAGTCACCCTGTATATATTACGTTTGTTTAGAACACGACTGTTTACGGCGCTCTCGTCGTTGATAAAGACAGTAAATGTAAAATTTCTTTAGATATATTCCTTACATGAAATAAACAATTTTACTTTATTTGCATGTGATACCAAAATACTTTTACATATAGATAACTCAGAAACGGTTTTAAGGTATATGACGTATATATAAATCAGGGCTGCCCAAATCGTGGCCCGCGAGCCGCGTGCGGCCCGAGTTTGGGACTAATGTGGCCCGTAGAATATATTTTATCTTATTTGTTTAAATGCATTAATGAGCAAATACTGGTAATAATAACGGTATTATTATTACCGGAATCTTTGTAAATATTTTGCGTCCCACTGTATTGCGTCCCAATGTATTTAGTTATTTTTATTAGCCCTGGGTCCAATCAAGTTTGGACACCCCTGATATAAAGTAATAACACTCGTCGTACCGGGCACTGGTCGATATCGTTATAAATGTCGAACATCTGTAACTGTCCCTCCGTCTTCCGCTTGTCCTCGTTAATGTGCGACATCACCTCTCTCAGCCCCGCTAGCGCCGACACTAGCGCCGCGTGGTCCGGATTACTCTTGTGAGTGTGCTTCAGAATATCTACAACAATAATATATGCCTATAGTTATATGTATTTTGTTCTCATATATACAGGGTGTTGTTTTCTTACCGTCCAACAGTAGACTTATGCTCGGTAACCGCTGCACTGGCCGTATTAATAGTTCCTGCAAACTCTGTCGACCGCATTCAGGTTTCGTCTGACAGATTTTCAGGAATGCATGAAATCTAGAACGGTAAAAGCATGAAAATAATATTAAATTTCATATAAGGATGTGTCTTATATGTAGTAACGGTAAGTAAATATACCTTGGGTTCTCACGATCGCATTGTTGCAGCATCTCTTTAGTGTTCTCGAAGAAGTTGACGAACGGAGGGTAAGCCTTTACCATGTCGGGTGTGTACCTCCTCACGAGGCGACCGATGCTCACCTCCTCACTCCAGTTGGCCTGCGCTGAACGAAGGTCTTCCAACATCCGTCTGATTTTAAATGCATCATTTATTAGTTATCAACCAATTATAATTACTTTACATTATGGATAATCTGATAAAGAAAGATTTCTTATTATGAACGTATTTTACTTACTGGTGTAATTCATAAATAGGGGGTAAATTTCCAAAGATAATTTTAAGTTCTGTATTATTGAGCAGTGACTGATTTTTCCCATTACTACAGTCCTCTTCGGCCATTTCTTCTAAAGGTTGTTTAAACATCTGAGAAAAAAGAAACGGTATTTAGTTTTCAGTCTTAAAAAAATAATAAATGTAAATGTTAGTTCATGGTACCAACTCACGTTAACTATAGTGTGTAAAATTCCCACGTAATTTGATTCCGTTTGAAGCAATTCCATGAAGACTTGTTGCCGGGGTGACATTAATTTTCGCACCACATTATCGGGTACTTCTGATTCTGTAAGAAAGTTTATCGTCATCATAAAACAATATAAAATGTTAGAGTATAGAGTATAGACGGTTGCATACCTTCGAGCAGCTGTTTCCCGTCAGGAGAGGTCGTACAGTCCAGTAGGTTCCCGGACAGGCTGAGCAGCACCGCGTCCCCGACCGAGGAACGTCGTTTATGTAGCGCAGCGTCGCCTCCTCGCAGTTTCCGTTTACGGAGACGTTGCAGCGCTGCCGGCGTGCCGCTGGCCACTGGACCCGCCTCCTCCCCTGAAGACGCCGTGGTCGTACACGTGCCACACGTACCACTACTCCCACTACCCGCGACACCCATCGTCGACCATCGTGCAGACGCCTCTTCTAAGTACTAAGGATATTGTGCAATTGTAGATTCTATTATATGATATCATTTCTCGTATCAAAAGTCAAAAATACTTACGTCTTTGAAAAGATATTCCCTCTCATCTTGAGCTTCTTCGTTTTGTACCGACGCCCAGAACCACTCTGCCTTGACGACGTGAACTCGCGGGGAACATTCTGGTGCTAATACTGTATTATGCTCGTCCACCACCTATACAAAAATATTATGAGTAACGACTCCGCACGATTCAGAACGAGCTAATGGCTAAATGTCCTATATATATGACAGCCTACACTCAATACATGATATCTTAGGACCTTCCTGTGCACGGTTTGTAAGCACCTACACATTCGATGTAACATGCAAGCATAACAGCGAAGAACCATCGAAGAGAACAGACACCTCCGAGGCTATAAAAATATCTTTTGCATAACGACGAACCTTTGTAATGTCTATGGCACGACAAGCTTAATCTAATAATTTAGTAGTGTAATTAAATGGGGTTAGTACCGGCAGCGATAGTCCATGGCATTGAGACAAGGCGCGAGCGTCTCGAGTGGGGGTCGTCTCGGGGCGAGGCTCGGCGCGGCGCGGAGACGGCGCGGGGGAGGGGCGGGGGACGGGGCCGCCGCGCGAGCTGGGCTCCGGGCCCCCGAGAGGGGAGTGCCGGTGAGCCCGGAGCCAGACGCTATGCGGCGTTTTAAACACACTAGAATCGTCCAGCTCGTCTACGTCCTGGTTGTTTGTCACCGGCGTTCTCATGTCTGTGCTGTCCACTGTGTCTACTTGCACAGGAGATATATCGAAGTGTATGTCGTCGAGATCTCTCTTTGGTGTTGAAACGTTTTTGAGCTCGGGCGGCAGGTGACTGGGATCTACTTCCACTGTGTTCCTTTCAGCTCTTTTTTCATATTTCTTTTTTCTTTCGCTTCTGAAGGAAGCTGTAAACGATTTCACGCTTCTTCGTAATTTCGATGCGGACTTTACGGTTTTGGAGCTTCTTATAGAGGCGAAGGATATATCGAAAAATCCAGATTGTTTGCTTATGTTTAGTGAAGATACGGAAGCATTATCGTATTCTCGAATAGGAGATGATGTAGAGGCAACGAATTCCCCAGCCGGATCTGTTGGCTTCATGCTCTCCGGACTCACGGGCTCTACAGTGATATCACCAGATGCTTTCGACACTGATTCTTTTTTAGTCTTTTTGAATATTGTGGGTCTCGTTTTAAATTTGAATGAATCTTTAATCTTCAACCTTTTTATAGACTTCCAATTTACGTCTTCACATTTGTCTGGAGACAGGTTATTGCCGTCAATAATGCTTATTTGGAAATTGGAATCAGTAGAGTTTCTACTCCTTTTTTTACCAGAGGATATTGTAGTATTGGACTGCTGTAGTTCCTTATTGCCTGAGGCTGGTAAGGCAAAGCCGGGATCGTCTTTAGGATCCAGATCACAGAGACTCTTCGTCAGAGATGATCTCAGAGAGCCCGTCTCTGTTAGACAATCTACCATGTTAAAAACGTTGATAGACTTATTTCTGAACACTTCTCTTTTATCTTTACTATTATTTTTTCCACTGCTTTGTATTATTTGGGATACATATTTATTTTCTTTATCGCTACTCTTGTGCTTACGCAGTTCGACGTGGCAACTACTCTTATCATGGATGTTGGGACACATATCATCTAAATATGATTTCTCTACGTTATGAATACTGATATCTTCAGAGTGAGATCTATCCTTCCTATCACTAATACTGTTTCTAATACTGTCTCTCATATCTTGTAAGCTCTTTTCTCTATAGTCTCGAGTATTTTCTTCGTTGGGTTCGTTCGTACTAGCGCGGCGGCCCGAGAGTCGTGCCGATAGCCTACGGTAGAGTGAGCTCTTTGGAGTGGTTTGGGAACGGTTCGGTGGAGAGCGGGAAGGCTTTGTGGAATTATTGGGAGTGTTGAGGTGAGGTGATAGGACAAGCGAACGACCGAAAGTCTCCCCATTGGCCATTACCTGAAACATGTGTGAAACACACCACGCAATGATGTCATGAAGCCATTCCATATACAGACATGCACAACGGTTTTTTTAACTATTGTGATAGAAATTTGTTAGACACAGAGAAGCGGGTATTCTAACATTTGTTATTTGAACGACGAACATTTATTGTAATTTGCTTTTTTATTCTGTAAAAGATTTTTCTATAATGTCTTAATAATAGATAATAAAAAGAATATAAAGTGTGAAGGGAATGATACTATACACCTACAACCATTCATCAAAGCGGGTTACAACGTGAATATAAAAGCAAATGAAAAATACGTTACAGAACAAAATGTGGCTGTGAAATGACAAATGTAAACAAACAGTACAATACCGTATACTAATGTTATGACTCAGTGGAATGTTTATCAATATAAATAAGCTCTGACATGAAATAGTCATTAAACAGATCTGAAGCAATGATGGAAGCCGTGTATAGCTGGTGAAAAAAAATATTTCAAAGGCAAATGGGTTGACTTCGCGTTGTGCGGAAGGGATGTGGCTACACGCGGTGTTTTGCAGTTTTGTACTAGACATATTATACAATTACGTTCTGTATGAAAATAACACTTACGTAATGAAGGAAAAGGAAATATTTCATAAACATACGGTATTGGTTTGTTCGATATTTGCATGTGAATTGATTAACAAATAACGTTTGTATCAATGTTCTTCTACACCTCTACTTAAGAAGCTGTAAATAAATAATACTAAGGACAACTACCCAACATGTAAGGTCTACAGAACTAAGTATATCTAAACTACACGTGGTTTGGGTTCTAAAGTATAACTAGGTGCATGCTGTTTTCATATCGTACCGAATAGTGAGTAATGTGCCATGTAGTGTATAAATAAAATGGAATGTAAATAATTTTGAGGTAAACGCTCTCCGGATAAACGTTTACAAATAAAAATATGGTATGATGTTTATCTTCATTATACTCATTGACTATTTGTTAGCCTGGAAGTTATATGTAGTTTGTCAAACTAATAGAAGTCCCCCTATAACCCTAATGAAATAAAATTATATGGACCGTAAGATAGTCTCTTGGAGAGGCATAATAATTATGTTCGTTATATTTATAACGATGATAGTTACTCACAACGTGTGTACAGTCTGGGTGGTCGAGGGCGCAGGTTGTACCACCGTTACTGGCGAGCACCTCCGCCATATGCTGTGTCTCGTCCTCAGGGAAACCGACGAAACATACACGAGCACCCGCGAATACCCTCAGCTTGTGTTCTTTCTACAAGACGAAATTGTTATTCTTTAACATCATTTCCGCTCAACGAAAGTATTAACTATATCCAAAACATTAGACGAGTGCCAAATTAATTTAATTCTTACAATGAAGGCCTCATCGGTGGCGATGCAGGCGGGGTTGTCTCGCCTCTCCCAGCAGGCGTCCACCCACGACCTCGCCAACACCGGCAGCCCGAAGGCGGACGCATAACGATACTTGTCACCAGTGGCCGAAGCTGCTATGAGGTGCGTCACTTTACCAGACATGTCTTTACGTATAGAACCGCCCATATAATGTATCAACGTTATCAGGTACGTCTGGAAAATTAATGGAATGGACATTTAATATGCTACTTATACATCTATAAATACATGATAATGTTTGTTTTACTAACGAGTTCATCTTTTTGTCGAAATCCCGAGAAGCATATAACAGCCCCTCGCATCGCAAGCGAGTATAGCGGCCGCGTGTTGGCCGGCGAGGGCTCATCTCGCTCAGCAAGCTGTAGCACCGCCGTTGGACCCAGTACCCTGCACATACAAACAAACACAATATTATCAATATATAACTATTAAGTCTAAGCTGTTTAAGTTTAGGAAAAAATCTTTATCGATAGAGACAATTGTACTTTATACAGAAAAAATATATATTTAGGTAAGTATATTTAAAAAAAACTATGCACAATGATCTGTTCTGCACCAGAACATTATAGTAAAGGTTAATAAAAACTGCCAAGAAATATTTCTTAACAGATAAATGAAGTGCCAAATTCTATTTACAAATTACAAGCTTCATAATTACCGACGGCATAAATGTAAAGGAAAAGTTTTTTATTTCTGATAAGAAATACGTATCTCACTTTACTCTATTTCCTGACATCTCAACACCCAACTCATTTCTTAGACACAACCGAGAGTTTTCTGCGATTACGCGTCCATTTTTGAAAGTTCGTTGAAAAGGTATTGACTCCAAAAAAAAAATTGTTTACAAAAATTAAATAGATGTAATTACTTTTTTTCATTACATTTTAAGGTTTGTGATTTTAATTAATGTATTTTTGCTGTCGAATTTATTTATTTTTTAAATAAATTTAGTCTTTTCTATGAAATAACTTTACTCGTTAAAGACTATTTACATAATTTGTAGAACAACATTGGATTCGTCATACTTTAGCAAAATATACTTCATAGAATAATTACCCATAATATTATTAAAATATTACAATCACTTTTAACTGAAGAATGCTACACTAGAGAGTTAACGAAACATATGTTTATTTAAATCAGTGAAAGCCAGCAGTAAGACACATGGAATGTGAACACTAAAACGTTTACATATAAATTCTACCTCATTAATCATTCTCGACCAATTACATAGAACCACTTGTGACTCGGATAAAGGAAACAAGAATAGAATACGACTCCAACGCTGTACTCGGCGGATTCATATATTTGTTTGTCTTTAACAAACGATTTCCGGCCAGAACCGGAAGGATGGAACTCTAAATCAAAAGAACTAAAAATACACCAAACGCATTATATTTAGAATAAAGACATCATGTTGGATATTTTCATTGATGTATATTTTAATTATTATCAGAGACATAGCCGGAAAACATTCAGCATAATATTGTATAGTATAGTAAAATGTATTAAATATATATGAAAAAGGTTTTATATTTATCATTACACTGCCAGCTTCATTAATATATATATGTTTTATCGATCAGTTTTAGCATCCGTAATGTCCGCTAAGCTGTCGCCAGTGCTGTCTTTTTAGCGTGTTCGTGTGACGTAGACAGCGTCACAACTGGACAGGATACCAACACAGCGAGCATATACGATAGAAATAGTTCTGACGATTCAAATTCCGTGGAACGTGTAATGTAAGCAAACTGACAGATTAAATTAGGTTTATAAGTCTGTTACTATTAAACATGTCACATGATTGTATCAGTTCGGTACGTGATCAAATGAGACTTGAACATTTCATTGAAAACTTATCAGCGTTTCTCCGAACCGTTGTTCATATTGTATCCCGAAAACTAATAAAACTCAATGTCTAGACCTGAGATATGTTTATGCTACAATAATTTCAATATAAACGAAAAGTATCTTTTATAAATTTGAGGAGATGTCTGGTATGAGAATGCAGTTGACTGAATTCAATCGCTCAATATGCATGTGCACTTCTATGGTTCAAACTCACATTTCATATTTAGCTGGATCTTTGTCTGTCGTTTTTGCGTCCGTGGCAACATGTTGAGGAGGTTCTTCCTCTTCAGGGGTCGGTGGTAACCTAGTCGGACCCATTTCTATCAGTTCAAATTGTGAGCACTAGTTACATTAAAGTTTTCAATCAGATACTAGTCCGACGTGGGTTCCGTTCGCTGGTGACACATCGGTTACATTCATTGGCACTGTGATACATTGTTTGGCCTTCCTTTAACACTCACACTGTATTACTAGCTCCGAACACAATCATTGATATAAATTCTCATCTATAAATTAATCACCAACAGTAGGTAAGCTATCGACGATAATGAAACAAAAGCTCTAAACAGCGCGCGAGTAATTCGTTTCACGTTAGATCGAAAAACAGCCGCGAGGAATGTAAGGCCGAAAATAGCAAGTCGCACGGTCGCAAGGGCGACCCTCGCGCTACGACGAACGCTCCGAGTCGAACACGCATCACAGCCGCTCACCGCCCACACCTACACCCGGCCTTTATTTACATCTTTCCGTGAAACACACTCACCGAGATAACTTTTTTTATTATTATTATTATTCGAAGGTGTAAACAACCCCAGCCGTTTCAGGGTGAGGCCGTTTTAAACAGTTCGCGTGTCTTGGCGCCAGAAGTCACGGTGATTGTTTAATTTTGTTAATCGTTTAATAACTCGCATAAAATTAATATCCGTGCGAGGTCATTACGATTATATCGTACCAAAATTGAAGTAATAAACATTTAATTTATTTACCGTATTACGCTCAACCACAAAATAATGAAATCTTTGTCGATTTCTTAGGTGACTTATGTATTCGTTCTTATGGAAGAATAACTCACGTTGTCATTTGAGGTATTAAAAATATCAATATGGATTTTCGGAAAACCTATTTCTATAGTATTATATACAATTATGTATTAATTTCTATGAATTTGATAAGACATTAATCTTCAAGATTCTCGTTAATAAAACATTATTAATGAATAAAGTTCCCGCAATTCATAGTAAATATGACGAATGGTTTACAATATTATTACACATTTATAACAGTCTAATAGAAATGTATTATCATTCTCTGTACGTACTTCATAAAAGGTTATTTGAACCATTAAACTAGTATTGTTCAATTCATATTATTATTTTTTATTAAAAATTAAACTACGTATATGTATATATTTTGTATCACTTGATAAACCAAACTTATGTACTAAATAGTTTTTAAGTTACTTTCTATAGATAGAACCCTCATGGTAAATGATATATTACACAGAGTATACATTGTGAGTCAGGAGTGTTAAGGAATAAGTAGATATCCAAAATTAATTTTCGACAAGCAAACAAGCGTCGCGGCGGCGGCGTCGGCGGCCGCTCGAAACAATATACAAATACATTAAATTTGTATTTATGATAATACGGAACAATGAAGGTATCCGATGTACTTACAAAGATAAAGTTTGTACGAACTCAAAAGCTCAGACTTTAACAGTAATAATGACTACATGATATCATAATTCAAAGAAGCATTTCATATAAAAACATTTTATCATATGCATTTGCATATCATTGGTAGCGTTTTAAGGATTAATTATTTATATTACATTACACTAACTTGAGCCCCAACCAACTCTTTAATGATTTGTAGTTCAATACCAGTTTAGTCCCTACTAATATTATAAATGCGAAAGTAACTCTGTCTGTCTGTTACGCTTTCACGCCTAAACCACTGAACTGATTTCAATGAAATTTGGTACAGAGATAGAGTTGACCTTGAGAAAGAACATAGGATAGTTTTTATCCCAGACTTTTGAAAGGTTCTTTTGGAAACGCGATATAACCGAACTCCACGCCGGCGACGCTGCGGTCGGAAAGCTTGTATGAAATAATTAGAAAAAATCTTCTAAACATTTCAGGAGGATATTTTTCTATAAAATTATTGAAGAAGAATGTCAAATATCTCGTACGTAAATCTGCACATAATGTTTCATACAAAGTTCAACGTTCAGCTTGTTCCATGTAATAAATATAAAAACTATTGAACATTACGTGCGGCGATAGTCGGCCGTGGTGCGGTGTGCCAATATTTTTTAATTGCATATTACGATCAGTTTTATCACAGTCGTCAAAGTTAATGGACTCATGTATATAGAATAAAAATACGCAAATATCTTTTCACTTGTTAAATATATTGTATATGAATAAAAATGTTGTGTTCTCTTAGTTTTCTGTCCTTACTTTGGGTCATAAAGGTTAGGTGGCATATTGTAGACAAAATACACTTGTGACCAAGTTTTTTGAGTACAATTCTTGTGAAAACGGATCTGAACTTTGTTCATATAATATCACATTATATGAATAAGATTACTTGATATACCTAAAAGTATAAGTCAGTTTCAAACATTACAGATTCAACAAGAGAAATAAAAACACCACAATTCTATAACAAAACCAAGAATAATATAAAAAAAATGCGTAATTTTCTTATGAATACATAATTAAAAGAATCGATCTATAAAAATAACTGAAAATCACAATAACTATATAATAATACAAAAAATAGGTCAATAAATAGAATATCTTTATATCATATATACATATAATTTTCTGTGAGTGTGTATGTCACTGAACTTCTCTCAAACGACTGGATCTGGAAATGGCTTAGATTCACAATTTTGTCCGCTGGACAATGTTTTCTTAATTGATTTTTAATTTATTAGTAGTTGTTGATACAAACGTTTTTGACATTAGATTTAAAACTAACTAATATGTCAATCATTCTGTCGCACTTCAAAACACGGAGGTTTATGGCTTTAATAGGTAAACTCCAAAAATATAAATAAAAAAACGTAACAGATATTTCTTGATTATAGGGCGATACGAAGTTCGCCGGGTCTTGTAGTATATTATATAATTCAATTGAAATGGATTAATTTATTTTATGCGTAGTTTTTCTTTTGAAAGGTCATTCTAAAATCGCATGTCAACCTCAATGATAATAAATGTTACATTCCCAGTTATAGGAAAAACCTAATTTCAATTTAATATGTACAAACAGCATATTACGACGAGCATCGAATGTTAGTAACAAAAAGGATATATGAATTTTTATTTGTAATCATAATAAAAAATAATATTATGTAATATATAATATAAGTTGTAAATGAAAAACTATTGAGTAATTATTAAAACGGCATTCGTAATAGAAAGCGCTCCACGTATGATTATTGAATTCATAACTTGGCTTTGAATCATGTATTATGTAAAGTCAAATTTATTTAATATGAAATATACTAAATTATTACCTAACTATGGCTTCTTCCGTTTTAATTTAGTTATACGGTGAAGTCTCGAACTATATTATGCTTATATGTATATTTTATATGATCATTATAAAATGATCTGTTATCAATATATACGATAGTTCTAGGATCCACTTCTGTGTCAATTAATTCAATTAATTTTCACTACAACGTAGCCATAGATTAAAATGTTAAATTATTCAACGCAGGACGACCTAGTTACTTAATTACTTTGCTACCTTACATCGTATTATAAACAGCTCAACGACACCGATATTTTTTTTCTTTTCCAAACAACATGCCTTTGGTCTTTTTAATAAGAAAATAATGTAGCCCTAGATTTCAAAATGTTTACCAATAAATTTTATGTACATATACAATAACATATGTATGACAGTAGATTACCATTAGTTTCTATACTTTTATCTGAAGAGCACTTCAATACGACGATATATTCGTTATCGTAACCGTTCATAGAGACGCTACTTGAATTAAGGTTTAATGATTAAATCCATATATAATTAATGCAAACAGTAAAGGGATATTTAAATGAATCTGTTTTAGGTTAGTAGCGGCAGGAGAGTATTGGCAGTGATTCGTATTAATTAGTATATACTGACCTGTATCTGGCTTTGTGTGCAGCGTCGAAGAGGTCGCCGTCAAAGGGCGCCGTCACAAGATAAGCTGCGGGGGATGGAGGCTGCTGGAGCGAGGGCAGAGCGTCTGGACTTCGGACTACAGCCACGGTGCCGAGTCGCTCGCATGCCTCTCGTATCCTTTCGCAGTCCAAGCACGATTCGTTCACGTACACCATCGGCGTCGGCGAGCCTGACAACCATCAATAAGGCATCATCGATTGCAATGTCAATCACCTACAGCACAGCCGGAAGTTTGCTGTTAGACGGAAGATATTATAATTACGATAGGCATTGGACCTAATTTAAAAGTAATATTCATGAATACATTATAAGGCGCGACCCGACCCTCAATCTGTTAAGTATGTCTTACTTCTATACAGATATTAAAGTGTTAAAATGTTTGCAAAATAAGTAGTCAAAGCGTTACGAGTAGAACGAGGTCTCCAAATGACGCACACGTTAATGCTGTGGAATCATAAAATGTACTCTAAAAAAAGAAGTTTATGTACAAAATACTAAAGAAGGTTACATTTTCGCATAAGGAAGTCGTAGGTCATAAAAATGATTTATCTGATTAAGTCAGAGCAGATTGGGAGAGAAACAGAATGTTTTCAAATTAACTTTTCATACAAAAACAAGAAGATGCAAACTTCGTTTGGTGCAATATTGCAAGTTAAAACTATATATATCTCTCAAACTTTTTTTAATATATATAACTTAACTTATATGGAAAACGTCGTTTTTATTGTCTAAGTCACTTCATTAATAAACAGTATTTTTGTACATACAATTTAAATTTATAAATAAAAACTAATAATAAAAATGTATAGTACTCAAAAAATATTGGAAAATACTTTAGCTATAAGAATTTTTGTCCAATAGTGTAATTGTCTCTGAAAGACCATTAATACCTAAATAATTAATAAGCAAACGGTTTTGTATCGCAAAGTATTGATGATTCCTTGAAACAAACTCTGTACATCAACACATACATACATGTTATATGAATAAACAGTGAACTGATTTAAATAATCACGAGTGCCTAACATTCTGGAACCACCGCAGACATTTCAAGATCAAACAATCATATATTTACATAACGTTAGACAATTACATTATAAAATAATAATAATAATAATGTGGCATGTGTGTGACGACCTTTCCGAACGTTTTCCCGCGGCACATTTACAGTTCAGGGCCGCTGAATCATGAGTGAGTCGGGCGGCGTGCCGCAGAGGGAACACCCGCCACTTTTGGCACTCACCAAACTCACTTCTAGATAAATTTCTTTTGTGATACCTCTCCGAATAAATGACACATGACATATATTTATATTAATATATACATCATACAACTTCAATAATACATTAAACATGTTGTAAGTTTCAGAAAAGAAATCTTTATTAATTTAAAACGCTCAGTACCCAGTCTCTTTGGTATTTGCATTTTTTAGCATTGTAAGTAAGAAATTAAACAAAACGAAATCTATTTTAGTATAATACGAAAAAAAGAACGTTGTTTGAAAATATTATTAGAGTTAATACCTTAGTTAAGACACGTCTGTGACAATGTTCTCAAGGTAAGACAATATTTCTGTGATATTGTAATGAAACTAACATTCAAATAAAAGCCTTCAACATGTGTGCGGAAAATTTTGTATATTATGATTTATGAACATAATTTTTAGTTGCGTGGAGCTCAAACGAGAAGTATTATTGTAAAAATATTGGTTATTATATCAATATGAATGGTGGTAGAATGCATCATGGGACATGCGGCTCATGCATGCACTCACATCCTCCACCGAGGTATGACCGCAGTTGTTCTACCAACGCTAGCATGGTTGGCATGCGTGCCGAAAACCACGCTTTACGCCATCTGCAAAAGCTGTGCGTGTCAATCAAGGCCAGGCCATTAATTAATCTAGAGATTGAAGAAAGTATGTTACAAAAGTGTTGTATTCAAAAATAGTAACTACGTAAGTTAGGTATATAAATTTTTTACTAAAAACTGTCAACTTCTTAGAACTCATGTTATGGCTTGAGTCATTTAAAAAACAAATAATAAAAATTTCTTAATCAAAAATAACGAAAACAAACACACAGATACACTAATAAACATTTTGTGTATAGTGACACACTACAATGTTATTAATAGTTTCGATGACTATTTTAATGGTATTTCAAACATGGCATCTACAAAACTCACCACCCATGCAATTCCGAAACAAATTTGATTCAATACCCTTGACTGTAAAATTAGGTGTATATACACTTGTATGTACTACACATTGTCTTAGTAATAATTTTATCAAACCTAGATTTTGGATGCATACATAGACTAAAGTTTTATTTTTATTGTGTATAAAATTAGAAGGCGAATCAAGCATAAATAATTTATTGATTGTATGCAATGAAACAAAAAATTATGTTATATCAACACATTATGCAATAAACTATATATATTTCCATATAATTAAAATTAATTATGATTTCAATATAATATTTATAATATATAATAAGTGACTCAAGCCATTTTGTATGTTTCTATGCTATGCATGTGTCAGTTACTTTTCTTGATATCCATATCAAATTGAGACTGACATTTTTTTACTGCTGAATTTAAAAATATACATTATAAAAGAAGATAAAATCTTATTGCGAAGATAAGTCAAAACTCTGTATGTTGTGATAGGGCAATAAAAGTCGATATAGAGGTATGGAATAATGTTGAACGATAATATGTTTAACAAAAAAAAACCTTATCAAATAAGTGTATATAGAATATTTAACTAAAATGTGTTACAAATATTTTGAATCCATATAATATCTATAGAAATACACTGTTTGAATTTTTGCAGTCATTTTCATTTGTAATGTTAAATCTTTAATAAATCTATAATTAACAAAAGGATGATTTGTATAAAAATCAGTAACAGGGGATCAGAAGATATATGAAAGATTTAATTATACATAAAACCTTGAAAAAATATTCAGAATCAAATACCCAAATACACATTAGTTGTTTTTTTTTTTTAATTCTTTGATAACATTATTACATAATGTTACTTCTAGAATATTTAAAACAAACCATAACATAGATACCTATTATAAAAGCAACCAGTGATAAGAGATCTTCTCAATTTATAGAAATTATGAACAATCTTTAATAATTTATACTTGATAACTTAATTAAATTCAAACTTTGGCTAATTCAATTTAAAACCTACATGTTATTTTCCAAAGTAGTATGAATCATAGTAGATATTATATTGGAGTTTTTATTGAATAGCTTCTCTACATACAGGACAGAATAAAAGAATTCCTTTGATTAAAAAAGTAATGAAAAAAAAAAACATAAAAGACACTCTAAAAACTTGAAGCAGATTCCTTGATTAATTTATTTAAGCAAAATAACATCTCTTTTTGAAATAAAAATTCTATTGTTTAAAAGAAATTGGTCCATCAAATAAATATTTATATTTTTATTTTATTAATGTTAATAATTAACTTACAGAGATGCAATAAACAATAAAAAAATATTCCTTATGTATGGGGCTGTAAATGTATTATTAAAACATATTTTTGTATATATAAGCAAAAATTTGTAAGAAATATTGTATCTACTACATCTCATTATTGAAAACAATCATAAAATAATATTCTCATTAATTTGTATTAATTTATTAACCTTGTAATATCGTCAAAAATCAACAGTATAATTTAAGTAATGTATAGTTAGTGAATCAAATGCCAGGTTTATCAATAATTTAAAAATTCATAAGTTACTCTTAAATATACAAAAATCGATAAATTAAACAAAATTACATAACGCAAAACGATATTTAAAAATTAACGTACAACCAATGGTCGTTAGGACTTGGGAGTTGATATCAATTGTTTCAAGTTTATATTTTATTTAGTGCGATACTTCATGGAAACAAATATTTATTACAGCTTTTAATATTATTTACAAATTTAAAAATTTCTTCTTGCTTTTTTTAAGAGTTTACTTGAGTACATGAATATTGTGATGTAAAAAATTTATATTGCCGCATAAAATATATAAATAGATCCCTAGTAATAATGATACTCAAAAAATTACCGTCAATCTCTTCATTTTCGTCAGTTGCAGGGGTGCTTCCTGTTTGTGACATGCCCTTAGACATTTCGTCCATCTTGGCGTACCACTGATTCGTTATATCAATCACAACACATAAATAACAATACTATTTACAACACTAAACTATACACAGCAATTCACATCACATTTTCTATAGTAATGTCTTTTTTGAAAAAATGTTGATCTGTCCAATCCAAAAACATCTCTAAAATTTTCAATAACACGACGTAAACGAAGCGAGTAGGTACAAGTGAAGCTGAATGAAAATTTAAACAGATAAAATACGAAATGTGAATAACGGTCTGTCTATGGTTAATATCATAGAACTCATAACATGACAAGATATTGTTACTATTGTTTCAGATCAAGTTTGTATGTAATTTCTAAAACAGGCAAGCAAAGTATTCTAATTACTTCTATGGTTATTACGTTGTTTGCGATTTACGTGAACATTATTATTATATTAAAATCTTAAATGGTTTAATAATTAAGCGGCCATTGTTACAATTTATGTTTGTATTTAGATATGATATAAATCAATATTTTAAAAAATTATTCATTGTGTACTTGTCTTTATTTTATTATACGGTTAATACTGCAAAACTTTTAGATCATCGGTCAATTATAAATTTAGGAATCTTCGAAATTTCAATGTTATTGTTAGTTGCCACAGAATACATAAGACAGGATTACAAATAATTTGCATCTACGATATTTTGCGATTGTAGACTTAAGAGTTTTCCTAGACTTAGTGTTAATGTAGTATAATATGTTTTTAGATAAGATAGGAAATGTTAGATTGGTGTAGTATATCGATAAAACATTATAATGGGATAAGTCAATAGTAAATATTAATATATGTGTTGTAGTGACGTTTGTCCTGGCTCAAAAAGACAATGGAACATTTTGGTCTATCACATATTTTATTCGAGCCAGATAAATATAGTCCAGATACGTTGGACTTATTAGCTGATGAAGAAGCCAGAGAATATTGGCTAAATACGTGTGAAAAACTTGTTGAGAAATATGTAAATTTTGCTCTTTCTAATAATGAAGATCCGACTGTTGAAATAAGAGCTTTAAAATTTAAAACTTGTTACGTTGAGGCTTTGAAAGAGCTTCGAGTTAATCCACTGTTAGTAAAGAGTGTAGTGATTTTTTAAAATTATGAATTTATATAAAAGGTACAATATACATTATTTAATTTTAGAGCTCATGGACAGTTGACGATACGATTACTTCTCGACGTCAACGAGACTTGCCTTCGTTCTCAGGGATTTTTTGACCTATGGAAACAACAGAAAAAGTATGAAAATGAAACTGCTCTTGCCAGTCTGTCAGCTAGGTTATCAGAGTTGGATGCATTACCTGATAATAGACAAAGATGGACCGAATTATGCAGAGGTGTTTTAGCTGGCAAGTTATTAATTTATTTCATTTCTTAGGAAACCTTCATTTATAGATATATGTGGCTGTATGTTATTTTTGTACTAATTAATATTTCACAGGTAACATGTTTGATTGGGGTGCCCAGGCTGTTACTTCCATTTTAAATTGTGGGCTCTATGAAGCCCTACAGAAGATACAAAAAAGACCTTGGTTATATGATGGTTTAGATAAATGGATTGAGAAATTAGAGGTAATTTGTTCAGTAACTTCATGAGCCAGTGGAATGCCACATCAGTTATATCATACTCATATATTTACTGTTGATACAATGAAAAAAATAAAAAGCATTCATTTTCAGACAACAGTTCATCACTGTGCTGCTGTTTTTGTAGATAACAGTGGTGTTGATATTGTTTTGGGAATACTACCATTTGTAAGGGCTTTGTTACTAAGAGGCACATCTGTAATATTATGTGCTAATGAGTGGCCAGCTCTAAATGATGTTACCAATGTTGAGTTGCAAGAAGTACTTCAACATGCATCTCAGATTTGTCCAGTTTTAGCTGCCGCAATGGCTACTGGTGATTTAGTTGTTAGGTCTAATGGACAAAGAGGCCCTTGCCTTGACTTTAGAACAGTCAGTGTAGGTAAGAAAAGTAAAAATGTTAACATTTTATGTAATTGTAAATAATTCCACAATTAATTAAAAAAAACTTCCTTCTTTGTTTGTAGATCTTTGCACTGAAATGAAGATGCGTGGAGTAGACTTAATTATATTAGAGGGTATGGGGAGAGCTCTACATACAAATTTAAATGCCCGTCTTGCTGTAGATTCACTCAAACTGGCTGTAGTAAAGAATGCATGGCTCGCTCAGAGACTAGGTGGTCCACTGTTTTCAGTGATTTTTATATATGAAGAAAAACCTTTAGTAACATAAACAAATCCATTTTGTATTTATTTATGAATACAGTATTTCTTAAAACTTAATGTCTTGCTATACATTTATCTATTTGTGACCTGTCTGGAAACATTGAAATTTTTTAATTGTTTAATCATTGATGTTACTAAAGTAATGCAGTTTTGCAATATATTCAGTGTTACCCTGCAATGACTTTTATTTCACAGCTCATCTTAATTTTAAATTATGATGTGGATGGTACATTGTAATGTATATATACATGAAGTTTTAACATTAAAAAATTAAAAGTTTGTGGTATTGTTTATTGAAATAAAAAACACCTGCTGCTATTATGTTAAGTTTAGAGAAAAAGAATTAACATTCCATTTAAATATCTTCCTACCGGGATAGTAGATCAACAACATATCAAAGTTCACTGTACAACAAATAGCATTATAATATAAAAAGAATGTACCTAAGTTCTAAAGTGATTTCATAAATTAGGAATATTTAACACTTCACTTTTCAACATTTTCTACAGGGAATGACAATAACATCATATATTTCATTCACACAATGGTCAGCTTCCACTGAATTAAGTCAACAGTAAATCTAAACATTCACCTTACTATTAGTGAACTGTTTAATGTAAAAATTAAGACCTATTCAACCATGCCATAACTTTGAACAATAAGTAAGCAATACTTATTGCATAAGCAATTTTTTCTTTTTGTTGTCTTTGAAGTTGTTCAGCCTCTATGGCCATGACTCGTCTGTTAAGTTTAATTATTTGCCTTCTCAGATGCACCAGTTCTTCGGATGTAGAAAGTCCTTCTCCATTAGCCATGGGTGGAGTTGGGTCTCTAAATCAGTGACAAAGAAAAACTGTCAGTTAATGAAATTATAAAAGATGTATCTTTTTCTACATAAATTGTATATTAGATAAATATATGCTCATTTTAAAAAACAACAATCTCCACAGTGTATATTATTAAGAGCCAATTATATATAGAGGAAATAAATTAACAAACAGGAAATATATCAAAACTGTACCTCACAATACTGTATAAAGCTAAACATATTATGTCTAATTATTACTTACAGAAAACAAATTCTACTAATATTATAATTGCGAAAGTTTGTGAGTGTGTATGTATGTTTGTTACTTCTTCACACTCAAACGGCTGAACCGATTTTGATAAAATTTTGTATACAGGAAGCTGATGTTCAGCAATAGCACATAGGCTACTTTGTATCCCGAAAATCCGCGGGTAACACCGCAGGGCGCATCTAGTATTTAATAAAATAAAATATTCAAAACATAATTCACTCACCTTAAAACAATTTGGGATTCTGTCATGGTGGATTCATTGAAATGATCATTGTGTGAAGCAATCGGTTGTACTCCATCCAAAGCACGAATGGTGTGCACGCTTCTTGGTGGAGAATTGGGTACTCCCGATGGATAATCATCAGCAGATGGAAAATAATGCTGATCCAAGGTTATAACACGAGGTGGTGTACTGACACGCACCATTCCAGGATCAGTCGGGAGAACTGCATTGTCTAATTGAATTTCTCTAGGAGGAGCTTTAGTTCCTGATAAACATTTGTTTCAATATAAAATATATTTAAAATAATAGTGTAAAAAGAATAATATAAATTATATACCAAGAATAAGATTTTTCAAATAAATATAAGTTAATCAACTTAATGACCACACATTGATTGCAAAGCTTCTCAGTTCTCAACCATTTTTTATTAAGTAAAGAACAGTAGACAATATGCAATACTTCAACAAAATACAATATCATTACTTGGTATTGTTGAAACCTATTTCTTGATATAGGTCATAAATAGTATAAATAGTCAAAGGTACTGGAAGTATTATTTAAATTACCCATGTGTTGATCTTGACCCATAACAAGTATTCTCTCAGGCACTTTCATGTCAAATTTTTCATTATCATAATCCCATCCTGTAACATGTCCATTAGGAGTATTATCATCATCCACAAATTCTCCCGTAGCCTGCGAAAGATCGTATAACATAAATATTTTACATTGTGTATAGGGATCGAACATTAAAATGTCCAATTTACCTTGATTCTCTGAGGTACAGTCATATTATGGCTTATAAGCCGTGTATAGGATTCATCGTTGCTATATTGCATTCTGTAATTTCAATCTCCAACTAAACATTCAAGTCGAATCTGAATAAGATGAAAATGCTTCGTAAAAAGGAATAATATTACGGTTGTTAAATATATAAATTATAGAAGGTAGATATATATTCCAAGATTTTTTTTTCTATCTTATTATATGAAATGCTTCAAGTATTATTATTTTATCAGATTATGTAATTTATAAGACTTACCTAATTAGTAAGATTTGAAAAAAACAGATTATTAGGAATAATAGAAATTCACTGATTAAAGAGTGAAAATTGACAATTCAATACTTCACTTCTGTAATCGGTTCATCTGAATTCTGAAATGTTGAGTGTTGACATTGTTATAATACAGATTATATAATAAGCATAACATAATGAATTGACATATTTACGAAATATATAAACGTAAATAGATTCTTTGAATAGGCGTAATTGGACAAAACAGGACAAAGTATTTTTTCTTAAATTATTTTATTATTCTCTATGTAATGACTATATTTCATAACATATTTATTTTATTTTATTCTAGTTGTTATATTTATGTACTTATGAGAAGACGTAATTTAAATTAGATTTAATAAAACAAAATATCCTTAATTTTACTACTTGTGGTCTATGTTTAAAAAGTTTAATGTTGTTGAATTACTGCTTTTTATGAATTATGTAGTCGTGTGCAATTATAATAAATTAATCATTATTAAATTATAAATTGTTTACCATTTCGTTTATTGCTGCTTAATTTCATGCAAAACTGTTAATGTTTTCTTCGATCTAGAAATAGCTTTAAACAAAGCTAAATTTATATTTTTAAATATAGTGAACCTTGATCAATTTATAATAAAATTCTAATTAATATAGGGTATTAAATAATGTACAAAAATTTAAAAAGGTTTTTGGTGTCTCTATTACAAAAACACTTTATAAACAACATCCCTCTTTATAAATAGGTAACTTGAACGTTACTTTTAGATGCGCCGTGTTCGTCTGTCATTGGCTTTAATTTTGCTTCAAATATAACTTAATCAAATTGATTCCAAACTCTCTTTAAGTAGATATTAGTATTTTCCAGATTATATTAATATTTAATTAATAAATGCTTCCATATGAAGCATGACAATATTTGATAAAAAGCGCGCTTTTCCAACAAACTATTAAATATTTAATAAGTAACTAATAACAATGAAAGCTACAATTTTAGGTATTATTTTAACCGTAGTAATTTCAATCTTTGGTAATGTTGTTGCTAATGGTGACTTACCGAAACGAGAGGAAAGAAAGTCTAAAGGAGTTACTACATTTATAAGCGCTAAATGGGAAGCAACGCCAATTGTACTAGAACTGGCGGAATATTTGTCTGCTGAAAGTTCTGATTTATTTTGGTCTTATTTTGATGGCATTATTTCACTTAAATCAAGCTTAGAGTCCTTGGGTACGTAAGATATAAAATGTGAAAAATATTTACATCAATAGGTATGTTTATTTTAATTAAAAATATGTTTCTTACTTTCAGAGACCGATAAACAAGTTTATGATGCTTGTATTGGAGTAGCTAGTACATTATTAGCTCCGGCACAGCTCCGTATGGCTAAGCTAGCCCTGTCCATGCATTTGACTTCACCTACAGTCCGCATGTTTGATCAGATTGCCACACAAAATGGTGCAAAAGAATCGCCCTGTGAAACATTTGTGGCAATAGCATCAAGAAAAGTTTGTGATAATGATATCCTTAGGGACATTCTTAAATCTACAGACAAATTTGATCCTGTAAGTATTTTTTAAGCTTTATAATTAACAAAAAAGATTTAGTATAATTACTTATTGTTAGACTGTTAAATGTGATGTGATATATTAAAAACATTTATTTAAGGAGGAGCATAGAATTGAAACATATCTATTAGATCACTCATATCCCAGCAGTGACAACAGGAGCCTCACAGCTATTTTATACGGAGAGCTGGGAAATTCTGACTTTTCGGCCAAACATAAAATATTATCTGGCTATGCTGATAAAGGTGTTATTAACTATGTGGTCAGATGGAATGTAAAAGTAAGTTTTTGAAGGTAGATTCTCTATACAACATAGTATAAAATACAATTAATATAATATTGTCTTATTTTTAAAGTCTAGAGGCAAGCCAAAGCTTCGTTTGTCTGGATATGGAATTGAATTGCAATTGAAGAGTACAGAATACAAAAGTCAAGATGATACCACTCCTAAGGAGTCTGTAGATGATTCAGGAGTACCCTCGGAAGAAGAAGATGAAAACGATCCCCAAAACCAAATAGATGGATTCAATTTCGGAAGACTAAAGTAAGTAGTAGTATTATTACATAAGTCATAACAAATAAATGTTGTTGATAAAAAAGATAACAAATATAATGGGAGGTGTCTTACAATTTTAATCAAGATATATTTTCATTAATAACAAATAGCTATATGAGGAATATAATAGCTGAATGAGGAGAAAAGAAAGGAAGAAAGCTATGCATTGTAAAGCTTTTATGTAATGAAATTGTATCTTTTAGCACTGCGACCTACTATTGATGGTGAAAATTGAAAATTTAAATATTAGGAAATACTTGCAATACATGATTCTTAAATTACATTTAATAAAATTCTTTACTTTGAATAAATTTATTATTACATGAAATTTATAGATATGCAAATAGTATAGGGTTTTAAAACCTAACATTAAGTTTAAATTCTGTAAGTTGACATAGAATGTAAGTTTTGTATAACTAATTATTAAAGTGTCTTATAATAGGCTAAGTGCTGTTATGTACATGATTTTAGTAATGGTACTATTTGATCTTAGTTCCTGGGAAAATCCAGGCAGTAAGAACCATTCAATCTCACAGAAGTAAAAAAAAAATTAATACTAAAAAATGCAATTAAAATAAACAAATAATACTCCTAAAATAATCAAATTTGCAAGAACAAAATACTTAATGAAAAAGTCGTTATCATCCAGTTCCCACGCAACCTACCTATGAATTTATTTTTAATCATCAGTATATTTAATTTAATCATGTACAATAAAATTATTTGAAAACAGGAATTTATTCCCGGCACTTCGCACACCTCTCGAGCGTTTCCGAAGACATCTATCTGAAATGAGTGAAGAAATAGAGCCCCTTAAAGTATGGCAGATGCAGGCTCTGAGTATGCAGGCCGCTGCTGCTGTGATGGATGCACACGACGCCGGCGGAGATGAGGCTCTTAAAGTGTTGATATCTCTAGCACAGAACTTCCCCATGCAGGTAGATATGAATTATTTACAAGTCATATTTGCTTATGAAGTAATTTCAATAGTTTTGTTTTTGAATATTTTATGTTAAAATTTTGCTTATTTTAAATTGTAATCATGTCTATTCTATATTCCATAGACTAAATCGTTGATCCACGTGAATGTGCCCCGATCTTTCCGCGATGAAGTCCTGTACAATCAAGACGTTTGGTCGTCATCTCTAGGGCTGCGGCCTGCGGAACCCTTGTTGCTGGTATCCGGGGCACAGTATGATGCTGACGAGGTCGACCTTATGGCCCTCTTAGCAGCGCTCAGAGAAGATATAGGACCTATGAACACTCTGCATGCTTTGGGTATATAAATAACTATTACTCAATTATAGATAAAAAACAAAGATATGATTTTAAATATATCTTATTTATATCTTATTTATATCTTGTTCTTTAAAAAACACATAGGTAGTAACAATGGGTTTTGTTACTTTGTATGGCATTAAATTTTATGGTGTCAAAGTTTTATGTCTTAGTCTACAATATATTTCATATTTATCAAGAGAAATATTGTTAATTATGAAAAAATATTTTATATTTTTAGGTCTGAACAAGAAGCTTATCAACAAGCTTCTATCACTTGAGCTCGGTGAGTCTTTCACTTGGGAAGAGTATGGTTTGGACATCCGTGACACGGCCATCACATGGCTCAATGATCTAGAAACAGACGATAGATACAGAAGATGGCCATCTTCATACATGGAACTCCTACGACCCACATATCCTGGTATGCTGAGGAACTTCAGAAGAAATATATATAATTACGTATGTATTCAAATATCCATATTATTACTAACACTACATTATTTATTTATATTCTGTCGCTTATACAGGGTGACTGGTGAATTACTATCAATATTTAAGGAGATTACTCGGTACATGATTCTCATTCGAATTATGTAAAAAAAATAGGCACTTAATTTTTGACAAAATTTCCGTATAAATAAATAAAGTATTGACACGTTTCAAGTGTTCCAAGTGTGGACGCGTGCGGCGTGCGTGCGTATGTGTGAGCGTGTGTATACCTAATCTGTAGGGTGTTCACACGATGCGTAATTAATTACATAACTTTTGGTTAACTTTACTTAGAAGTTTATTAATACATATTTATGTTATATTAATTTTTATTTTGTCATATATGATTGTCAAATATCACGTCCTCAAGTAACGATAGTAATTCACCAGTCACCCTGTAGATAATTCATTACATTGTACATAAATTGCTCTTGCAAAATTTTTGCACTATACTTTTAGGAAGTCTAATGTTGATGTTTTATTCATAAAATGTTTTAATACAGGTGATAGTGATAGACCCCACATCACCGTCGTCCGCGCCCCCTTTAAAGCTTGGTGAGACATTACTGAAACATGCGACGCCCATACGAGTGGGTTTGGTACTGGCACCGGGACAAGACTCCGCTCTTGGCACTGCACTAAGAAGCGCCTTCAACTATGTGGCACAGGAGAGGAATTCTAACAAGGAAGCCTTCTATTTCCTTACACAGGTTTGCTTTTGTAGTTACTTTTTTTGTACATACAAAGCTTATGATATGAATAATTTCATTTTATTTATTATTTAATAGGTTCTCAATTCTCTTCAAGAAGATGCTCTGAGTGTTGATCATATTAAAAAGTATCTGAAAAAGTATGCCAGCTCGAGCGCAAATCTCGATGAAATTATTTCAGAGGAATCTGAATTCAACTTTGGACACCAACTGGCTGAGGAGTTCGTGTCGAAGCTTGGAAATAATAAATTCCCTCAAGTAAGTAAAACATAATTTATAATACATACGTCTAAAAGTGATTAATTAATTAATTAATTTTAATATTTTAGCTCTTTTACATTTAAATAAATAAATATGCATAGTTTATGGCCATATATTAATAATGTGGGGTGTTCATTAGAATAAAAATAAATGACAAACCCTTAATGCTAAGAATCTTGTATATGTATCATTTAGAGCAATAGAACTCATCAACCTTAAATAAAATATATATGTATATACTTAATTCTAGGTGATAGTGAATGGCGTCCCTCTGTACGATGAGGGTTCTGGTGCTTTGTCATCGGTTGAACTGTTGGAGGAAGCGCTAGTAACGGCCCTGTCACGACACACGGCGCGACTACAGCGAGCTGTGTTCAGAGGGAACCTCGCGGACTCCGACGACGCCGTAGAGTATCTCATGAAGCAGCCGCATATTGTGTCTAGGTATGTGGATTAGATGTACATACATCGATTGCCTACATCAGGGGTGTCCAAACTAGATGGGACTGAAGGCCAATAAAATTGATTAAATACATTGGTGGGCCGCAAAATATTTACCTATAAAAATAAAATGCTCGTAATAATAATATCGTAATTATATGAACTGCTTTTCCATTAATTTGTCTTTTATAATATTGTCAATATAAACCTCAATATTAGTAGTAGCTAGGCGCAGTGCATGTTTAAGTAAAGTATCTGTCATTAAAGACCTGTATTTCGATTTAATTTGCTTCATTGTTGAATATGCTCTCTCACAAAGGTAGGTACTGACCATCATCGAGCCCATTTTTTGCGCAATATTCGCCAGTTTCGGAAAACGTTCAGCGAGGAGCTTAAAAAAATCTATCCCTGTTTCTGTTCTGCCCTTGTAAAAGGGGTCTGATTGAAGATCACACAGTTCTAGTTGATAATCAATCTTCACACTTTCAACTGCAATCGTTAATGGATTAGTGAAGAGTGCTATATCACTCTCAATTTTTTGAAAATCTGCAAAACGCTGCTCGAATTCGACGATTATTTCGTCTACGTATTTGAGGTGGTCCAACAAATGATGTGTGCGACGTGATCGAACATACCCTTTAAAAAAATTGATTTTCATCGCGATAAAAATAATTTGCTCATTGATGTTTTTAAACAAAAAATATAAAAAAAGATTGGGTTTGGCAGCCCTGGCCTACATCAATGTACTTATATTATCTGTATATTTGCGACTTATTTTGTTCTATTATTTTCTCAGGTTAAATCGTCGAGTGCTCGCATCTGAACCGTCTCAATACTTAGACTTATCTGGTGTATCATCATCAAGAGACTTATTTTCCGAAGACAAAATTCATCGCCTCTTACATTTAACTGGTACAGTATTTAAACCTTAAAATGCCTTCATTATATAATTATCTGTTTTCTACAATGTCACTATTATGTTTTAGGACGCGACGCACTAGCAACGGCTTTACCTATCTTTAAATATTTCATAAAACCCGGGAAGTCTGAGAAGATAACACAAACTCTTTGGATAGCGGGAGATCTCAATCAGAAGGAATCTAGAGAATTGTTAAGAAATGCTCTCACATTTATGGTTGGTTCCAAGAAAAAATACTGAATAATTCCATACATAATTTAATATAATTTTTCACTACAATAATAATCTTTAAGTTGTTCTATTGTCTATTATGTATTTTTCAATAATTTCAGAGGGAATCGGGTGGAATTCGCGTTGCATTTATACCTAATGTTGATGGTTCATCCGGCGAGGATCAATCGTTTAATAAAGTAGTTCTGGCCGCTCTCACTAGTTTGGAACCCGCAGAGGCTACCAAATATGTAGTTCAACTGTTAGAGGACGAAGGATGTCATGAGAGAAAAGATTGTGAAATTCTGGTAAGATTTAGTTGTTTTCATTCATAATATTAAAATAATTGCTAAGTCCTTTCTAATATTTAATAACTTGTATGATAAATACCTTAAAACACGCTATAAATTCAAAAGTCATAATTCGAAATCATGTTGTACATTCAAAAGAAATAATATCATTTCCATACCACATAACATTCATCAACATAAACTTTCATATCTTCGACTTTACTATAGTAATTTTTTTGGGTGTCTTTAAGGCTGGAGTGAATATCCTATTCCTGAGTGTTTTCGTTACCTAAGACTTTAATTCCACTTACCAATGGACGGAATGACAGTCAAGCACTATCCTGACATATTAATAAAGTTATTATATCCTTTACAGCCTGAGTTAGTACCGGCGTTGAATAAGTACGAGTGGGTGTTGAAAGCGTCCCGCGTGTTGTGTGCTCGGAGTTTGAAACTGCGTAGCTCAGAGCGAGCCGTCATACACAACGCCAGAGTTATAGGACCTTTCAATAAAGGAGAGAGCTTCTCATTAGAAGACTTCGCACTGCTTGAGAGGTGGGTTGAGGATATACTCTACAGAATTTTGTTTAATAATGAGATATAATATTTTCGCGAGTATTTATTTCAATGAAACTAACATTTACGGATTACTACGCGTTGATTTGCCCATCACGGGCAGCGTGATTACGATTGCTGCAAAGTAACCGAAACCTCGGGATATATAATTTATATTTTGTTTCATTCTTATGCACTGTAATGATTTTTTTTTGTATTTCAGGTACAGTAATCAAGTATATGGAGACAAACTATCCGAAATGTTACATCAGAACAAGAAGCTGTCGAATAATGTTTTGGATGATGACGGTGAGTGAAATCTGTTCTATCTCAGGGCTTGCTACTTGGTTTATGCAAAAATGTATTAAATGTATATTATATGTTCAAATTATATTATTTTTTTAGATGATGTCACGGAGATAAGCACAGATAACTATTTGAAGGTTATATCAGTGCTAGCTTCGCGTAGTCCCCGTGTGCGCACGCCCTTACCCACTGGCTTACGAACGGATCATTCAGTTATAGAACTACCTCCTTTGTATGAAGATGAGGCGGCCGTTGAAGTTAGTATATAATAAAATTGTTTGTTATTAATTTTTATAACTCTATCTTTTAGTTATCAAAACACTATACAATATTGTGATGTAATGTTATAAAAGGCTACACGATATTGTCATATAGTCAATCTAAAGCAAATAAATGTAAAATATGTATTGGCTTGTATCTAAAAAGTCGAACTATATTAATTGGTGACCTTTCCTTCTTTATATCTGATATACGTTTTCCGCTTCTACTCTATCCAACCCGCAAAACATTATGTTTATTTGGATTTAAAGGACAGATGGTGCTTATCAATTTAAATATACTTTTAACAACCAAAATTATGATATATTATTTACTTTTTGTAATCCTGGTCAATTAAATTTTTATGTATTCCTGGTAATTGTTTGTTATAATTATAATACTAATAATGTATAACAGATAGTAGCGGTGGTGGACCCCGCGTCGACGGCGGCTCAGCGTCTCGCTCCCCTGCTGTTAGTGTTGCGTCGCGTTGTCAACTGTCGCTTACAATTGTTCCTCAACCCACAGGACAAGAATTCTGACATGCCGCTTAAGAGGTACATTCAAAATTATTTTTAACTAATTCTTATCCACTTATTTTATTCCTTATTAGTTTTTTTAAATTATTAATATAAACACTTTAACATTTTTTAAATTGTGATTTTGATTCTACGAATAAGTTCCCAAATAATCTATATATATAAAAATGAATTGCTGTTCCTTAGTCTCACTTAAACTCGAGAACGGCTGAACGAATTTATCTTATCTTAGTCTTGAAATGTTCGTGGAGGTTCAGGGAAGGTTTAAAAGATGAAAAAAAATTATTCATTTCCGGGAAAACCCTAAAAACAGCCCTTTTCTATTTCCCGTACAAATGTTTTTTTTGAAATAAGATTTGACAACTAACTAATAGTTTTGTTCGATTGAAACAGGAAAATTTTAATAAATACCAATACCTGGTTTTTTAACACGGAATAGAGTTCGCCCGGTCAGCTCTACATATACAGTATAATATTACTAATGACGAAATTAACGCGGACGAAGTCGCGGGCAAAAACTAGTCCCTTATATTATTTCGTTTTTTTTTAATTGAATCGGAAATACAAAGTGGAACAAAACTGAGGACATGTATAAAAAATTATAATCTAATACCATTTCGTAAACCTGCTTTCACTATACAGCATGTCGCTAATCCATCTTCTATTCCAGTTTTTATCGCTACGTGTTGGAGCCGGAGCTACAATTCAATAGTGCGGGTGCGCAGACGGGCGGTGCGATCGCGCGTTTCTCCCGCTTACCGCACGCTCCTCTTCTATCGCTGGAGCTGCGCACGCCGCCCAATTGGCTGGTCGAATGCGTGAAATCTGTATACGACTTGGATAATATTCGACTTGCCGATGTCGAATCGCTGGTTCACAGGTTAGCACATAATAAATAATACTTTTAATTTAAATATTATAACAATAATAAAGGAAGTTTTAGTTTTCTCTCTCAATGTACTTAACTCTTCTTAAATAATATTATAATTAACTGAGCGTTGATTAAGCATTAATTTAATAGTTATTACTAGCATAATAAAAAACAAATTTTATATTATAGTGAGTTCGAGTTAGAGTACCTGCTTGTGGAAGGTCACGCGTGGGACACGTCTTTGGGCACGCCTCCTCGCGGGTTACAACTAGTGTTGGGCACGAGACACCGACCAGACACAGTGGACACCATCGTTATGGCCAACCTCGGGTACTTCCAGCTGAAGGCCAACCCTGGCGCTTGGACGCTGCGGCTCAGACCTGGACGCTCTGACGATATATACGAGATTGTCGGGTGAGATCATCATTTGCAATAATACGGATAATAATAGATTAACCTATCAGTATTCCATGGATTTATCGTGCGGGTGTCGGGTCCATATCGTTGCAGGGAGAGGAGCTTCAACAGTAATTCAACAACTAATTTTTTAATGAGATCTAAGATAAAATAACCAGACCAACTGACAGAAACTCACATCTCCTGTTTTGTTACCATAAAATATTACCTACGAGGACATTGTACAATTGTACTAAAAATTAATGAATAGTATAACATTATAATGAGACAAGGCAATTAAAGAATTCATTATTAGTACCTAATATATGTGTATTAGAAATGAACATGTATTTTCAGGCACGAAAACACTGACACTCCAGCCGGCAGTAAAGACATCCAGGTCCTGATGAGTTCATTCCGGAGTCAAGTTATTAAACTGAGAGTCACTAAAAAGGCGGATAAACAACACCTTGATCTTTTAGCTGAAAATGATGAAAAGAATGCTGGCGGGATATGGAATTCTATTGCAAGGTGAGTAAGGTGTTAAATGGTTTGTCAGTATACAAAATAATGCTCTTCTGTTATATGTAATTAAAGATTTATCGTCTCTGGTTTTAGTTCCTTCGGAGGTGGCGAAGAACAAGAAGCACAAGATGAGACTATCAACGTGTTCTCAGTGGCTTCCGGACATTTGTATGAACGTTTTCTACGTATTATGATGCTGTCTGTACTAAAGAACACTAAGTCACCAGTGAAGTTTTGGTTCTTAAAGAACTATCTTAGTCCTTCACTTAAGGTAATCTCCAAGTATATGTAACAATACAATCATTGTTAAAATACTTAGTCTTTCAAATATAACGTATTTATAACAATACAATTTATAAATTAAGATGTGTGTTATAACATAAAAAAATCACGTAGCCTATAATTATGTGTATTATTTAGGCTACAAATTAAACCTTTTGTTACTTCACTTCAATAGAATTCTTATAAAGTTCAGTTTGAATGCAAGACACAGTCACTTTTCGGTAATAATAAATACATGTTTCCGCTGATTTAGAATTAATATATTTGTACTAATTAACCTATTATTGTATGTGTCTTCTAGGACATCCTTCCATACATGGCTCAAGAGTACGGGTTCCAGTATGAGTTAGTACAGTACCAGTGGCCTCGTTGGCTGCAGAGGCAGCGTGACAGACAGCGGACCATCTGGGGGTACAAGATACTGTTCCTCGACGTGCTATTCCCGTTGGACGTCAAGAAGATAATCTTCGTTGATGCTGATCAGGTGAATAGATATTTTTGGCTGTATTCATTCATTTATAGTACATTATTTTAAAGTTATAATAGTAATATCATTTATGTATAGTTCTTATTAAATTATTTCAAATGCTTAAAAGTTTAGTAAATATACTGCAACTTTAAATTAAACCCAATATATGTATTTAACAATTTATTGAACCTTATTTTTGATGATTATCATTTAAAAATATGTTAAAAAAAAAAATATGATCTACAATGTTTAAAAAAAATATGATCTACAATCTACATAATATATTTCATGAGGAATGAAAAATATACTATAAAATTATTCAATAATTTTCTCATGTGATGATATGAGATGATTATTATGAGATTAAAACTTTGATATATTTAATGTGTAACAGATTGTTCGAGCTGATCTAAAAGAACTAGTAGACTTGGATCTAGGCGGAGCTCCTTATGGATATACACCGTTCTGTGACAGTAGAAAAGAAATGGAAGGATTTAGGTTTGTACATAAAACCATTAAACTAGTATTATAATATTATCAAAGAAATCTTTAAAAGAAGCCCGCGAATACCACATATATTAAGCTTTAAGAGGACTATATAAAATTAATCCACGATTCAACAAACCTATTGTGTTAAATGACGTAAGCAACTACCAATTGTGAGTTATATGTGCTAGCTGTGTGTGATATTCAATTAAATACCTGTATATCGTAGGTTCTGGAAGCAAGGCTACTGGCGGAATCATCTCCAAGGTCGTAGTTATCACATCAGTGCCCTGTATGTGGTGGACCTCAAGCGGTTCAGACGTATCGCGGCCGGTGACCGACTGAGGGGACAGTACCAAGCGCTCAGCCAGGACCCTAACAGCTTGTCTAATCTAGGTATAGCTTAGTACTTTATATATACAAGTAAATAAAACTGCGCAAAATTTTCTAGAGTAATATACAGGGTACGTATAATATACCTACACTTAAAATTATTTGTCTGTTTGTCTATGTGGTTTGGATCCTTGAAACAGCTTGACCGATTTTTTCGAGATCTTTAGGCGAGCAGATAGCAAATGTAATAAGGAGTAACATGGACTTTCATTTTCTTTACTTTAGGACTTTTTCTATTATTAATTAGTATAATAAAAAAAATATACATTATAGTATGAGTAATTCTAGTGTTTTTTAAACAGATCAAGATCTTCCCAACAATATGATCCACCAGGTAGCTATAAAGTCTCTGCCTCAGGAGTGGTTGTGGTGTGAGACCTGGTGCGATAATGAATCCAAGAAATACGCTAAGACCATTGATTTGGTAAGATTAACGTTTAAAAATATTAATAAGTGATATGTGAAAAAAGTTTTAATGTACATGATATATCTTTGTTTATATCACTGATAAACCTAACATATAAAAGTTTCCACATAAACATGAATTGTTAATTGAATTTATTACATATGATATTATATAAATTGATCTACGGCTCTTTTTAGTGAAGGCTATATATTTCACTTAAGGCCTTTTTGCACCTTGTTATACATATATCGATAATAAAATTTTAAAACAATGTAGCCTTAAGTTAAATAGTTTAAAATAATGGATTGTCTATAAATACATAGTTGTAAAAATATTTAGATGATACGCAGTAATTGGAAGAGGGCTAGAAGGAAGTAGATAATATGTTGAAAATACTATTTATTAAATCTTAAATATTACCACTAATAATCTTACGTTTCCGTTTCAAAATTTTAAATTTTAAAATGGTAGCTATATAATAATATTATCGTTTTAGTGCAACAATCCCATGACGAAGGAGGCCAAGTTGTCAGCAGCGATGCGCATCGTGCCTGAGTGGACCGACTACGACAACGAACTGAGAGCGTTACACGCCCGCGTGAGGCAGGGACACTACCAGGACGACTCAGAACAGGTACAGTATCAAGGAGTAACTATTATTGCTCACCAATTGGTAGTTACCCAAATACTAAGAGACTACTCTTGTATTCATTATGACACACCAAGTTCAGTTTAAGATTAGTTTTGACAAATGAAATCCGTTTTGAAAATTTATAGACATAAAAATATTGATATATCATTAATTTCCTAAACCTTACTTTATGGAAAAAAATTAAAAGTTTGCATTACCTTGGTTTAGAATATCATTCTCCTTTATCATTATCATTTCTTAATAATACAAATATGTGTACATCAAAGCCATAAAGATTTTGACAACAGTAAATTACAACATCATTTATTTATTTATGATAACAATCAGGATTAATTTTACATTAGATTAAATAAAGTTTCTAATTTTGTAATTTAAATTTTCTTGAAGCATAATTATAATTTTTATTTTTGTTCCAGGAAATCGAGACTCATGAACATGAACAAGTCAGCAAAGAAGATAAAACTGGCAAGTTATAAATTAAAATTATATAAATTAATAACCAACTAGTCAAATTTAATTAACAAAGCTGTATGAAGTTACAAGTTTTATTTATAAATGGCCATTTTTAAACCCTCAGTAACGAAATTGAAAGGAAATATTACAAAAATAGAATTTCTTATAAAAAATATTATTGGAGTTAACCTTCAATTTATAATGTGTTATATTTTTTGTTTCAGATAAAGCAAATGAACACACTGAGTTATGATGAGGGGTGATATTATTATATAATGTTTGATATTCCAAAATTTTGTTTGAATGATTGTAACAAAGTGTATGTAAGCTATATCTATTTGAGTGCTCACAAAAAGGACTATGTATTTTTTCTAGAATTTTCCGCACTTAGCTCAGATGTACATAATAGATGCAATTGAATTTAAAATCTCTAGATCTAAGATAGTTTTTCATTATATAAATATAAGCTGATTCTTAATATCATTTATAAATTATTGGAAGTCATAAGTGGAAGTGTGATTTAACATTAAGTGATATATGATTTACATAACAGCTTTGTCTACATTTTCGTATTATTACGTTTATATATATTGTATGTATATTAAATTTTAGAGCTGGTCATTATATAATGATTAAAATATACAACTTGTGGAAGTATATATATTAGTATTGAAATAGAACAATGTTTTCTTCCCATACATTTGATTTATTTCAAGTAATTGTGATTTAAGCTAAATTCAATCTGAAAGTGTTGATTCTTATGAAATATATTTTATATGTATGAAAATTATAAATTGTTGTGTGAGTCATTCTCATACATTTATTATATGAAACATGTTTCAAGATCCTAATATGTATCAAGTTTCATAACAAAAACTTTTTTTTTCATTCAATTCTAATTGACGCTTGTTACAGTGAAAATAAAAACAGCTCAATAAAAAAATACAAACAAATTAATGGATGGTTTTCTTTTCATATATAAATATATGTATAACATAATGATTAATGATTACTGAATGACATCCTAATTAATATTTAAAATCTAGGACAGTTCATAAATTTTATTGTTAAAGGATTTCAAATAATACATTTATATCTGTTTTAAGTACAGATTTATTTACATTTATCATTTTAAATACATCATAATATTTATATTAAAATTTCTAAGTTATTGAGATGAAATAATTTATTGATTTCTAATTGAACAATCAATAGTTACATTAAGACTACATTGCTAATACATTTAGTAACTTTATTGGAATATTTTTAACCTTATATTACATATAAATTAACATTTAAATGCAAAGCAATGTTCGTTATATTATAAATACTACACAGATTTATTGTCATAATAAAATATTTTAACTTAAGTAACAGAACACAATAGCATTAGTAGTTCGTATTGAAATATAATAAGGAAATCATCACTGCCTCTATTTCTATTTGTTGATCGTAAAATATTAGTGGATCAATATATGACTTTATTATTAATGACTCAAAGGTTAAGGTTAAGAAAATGGCATCGAAATGTCAAAAGGTCGTCCGTTCAATATTTCGCTATTAATAGGCTTTATCACTAAAGTTCACGAAGTACCAAAAGGCTGTTGTCATAAGAAAATAAATGTTCAGCGTGTCGAACTGGGTCTATAGTTGAGTAAGCATTGATAGACTAAATTCAGGTTTCAGTTATTAATTCTTAAACCTACTTTGTAACTACTATGTAGGAAGATTTCTGAACGTAAAATTTCAAATTGCCCGCGTTAATTTTGACGATGCAAACACATGTTTAAGGTACTGTTTAACTTTATGATAAACGTTCACAAAATATATATTTAATATCAAAAGCACGAAGTAATTAGGTAATGTGACGTAGTTAAACACTTATCAATAACCATACTACTCTAATAATATAAATAATTTACTTACATTAAAATAATAATATGACTAGCCTCTAATCGTGTACTATCTGAATGTACAAGGTAAATGGTGGAACGCTTTAGTCATTTGTATGGGAGTTTGGTTTAACTAAAAATGTCATACGAATGAAATATTAGGAAAAAAATAAGTTAAAAAGGAACTTAAAATTAAAACTATCGGCTGTAAGTTAATTAATAAATATTTCTTTGGTGTAACGTAATAAATGAATTGAGTTAAGTAGAATTTCTTGTGATAAAATTATAACAATCATAAACTCTTCAATGAATAGATTACATTTTTATTATAATTTCAGAAGCTACGAAAGACATTTCTAGATTGGTTTGGTTTGTAAGATGTTTCAGTTGCAGTAGTGATCTTCGGTGGTGACGCGGCACAGCTGACAGTCGACGCGGCAGCACCAGTGGTAACGGCAGCGGCAGCGCTCCAGGCGAGACGAGCGGAGCGCGCGTCTACCGCGACCACAACACAGACGACCACACCCGCCCGCGCTCGCGCCCAGGGTAGCGTTACACCGTCTGGTTATATTAAAACATACATACATGTATTGGGTTTGATGCATTTCGGTCTGACAGGAGACTGACGTAATAAAAGGACATATACCGTCCATGTGTTCCGAGCGAGCCGGCGGCCGGGTCAGGCTCGCAATAATCCGGACTGGGAGTGACGTATCTAAGACGAGCGGCGCGGCGAGGACGGTGAGCTCGGCGGGGTGATGAATGAGCGGGGAGCACGGCGGCCCGCGCGGACTGCTGGGACAACACGCTCGCCGCCCGGGATAGAGATGACAAGGAGCGCCAACAGGTACGAACTGAACACGAACCTGACACACCGTGACACGTGCACTTTGTACGCATACCTTGAGACACCACCTGTAGAAAACATCACTGAAGATGAGATGATCCAGGAATAGTAATAATAGTAAAAGGTGCTGGCATCACCTTTCTGCCGAAGCGGTTGTTGATGAGATTGGCCGAGGCGATGAGAGGTCGTAAGTACTGGAGACGAGTGTTCAGGTCCACTTGCGGGTCGAACCGCGGGTCGTCCGCCGCCATGCGATATTCGATGTTTCGGTATTGTATTTCCTTGTCCTCCTCGTAGTCGTATCTATGTGAGTCGATATTAAAAACAAAGTTTAATTGTTTGTTTTGAAATTAATTAGTTGTAAATCCAGAAGGTAACGCTCCACATGCTAACGTTTGTACCTAGATCTGAACCTTTTTCTGGTGGGTCGTCCTCGTCTCGGTGAGCGTGGTAGTCGTTTCCTTCCTCGCCGTCCCTTCCTCCTGGGCGCGACGCTCGTGTTCCCGGCCGCCGGCTGGTCATCCACGAGTATCACCACCGGAGGTACGGTCGTAGGTTCAGTGCTGGTCGTAGTCGTTCGTTCCGTGGTCGGTTCCAACTCCGTCTCCTCCTCAACTCTTCCGTCTCGGACGTCTATTTCGTGAGCGTCCAAAAATTGTTTCGCGAATCTGTAACAATTTTTCAGTTGCAATTTTGATGTTTCATAAATCTCGTCAATTGTCTTGTCCTATTTACCTTTCGGCCCACTGAAAGTTATCCCCGCATCCTCCCCACTTGAATCTGGCATGTGGTTCGGTGGGAGCGGCTTGTCTGGGAGGTCTTGGTGGTGCTCGAGGTGGCGCGGCACATGAACAGGCGGCCAGGGCTCCCGCGGCACACGCCCTCGCTACCGACCATGACAGAGCCGCGGCAGACATCGCGTATACATATGCTTGCTCCCTAGTCCCTAAAAAAAAATTTATTTAAAATATACAAATAAAAAAAATGTTTTTCTTCAAAATTAAACAAAAAGTGTGATTCCTGAATACAGAATGTTTTGTATTTAGAAGTAAAACGATGTGGTTTACAAATAATACCTAGTACTTTTTTAATAAGCTACATACATATATCACACTGGAATTGTGAAATGTTTTACTAATGTTAACGTTTTTATTTTTCGAAGGAATTATAATTTGGAATACTGAGTTAACAAAACACTAAGTATTTATGCCATTGAATAAGCACGATTTTTTTAAATAATATACTCAACTTATATTTTACCAGCACCTAGACTCTGGAGAAATACCTACTTAAAAAAGAGTTCTACAAATAAAATATTTAAATGATATCAAGACATTTAAATGAAACTAATGAAATGAAAGATCTCATGATATCAAGACATATTTTTTCCACACTTCCTAACTTATATACGTAGGTATAAGATGTTCTTTAAAATATTTATAAATAAAATTACCTACGTAAGTATAAATTATGTTAATAAATTAAAATGCTTTATACGACGACGACGAACTTATAAATGTTTCTCTTAAGTATTTTTACCAGCTTACCTTCAATATTAGTAAGAGTCATATTACTTTGTCCTTAATATCACCTAACAAAAAGAGCTAGAACATTTTATTGTGAGAAAAATCCGTTTGGTAAACCGAAGTAATTCATTTCTTTCCCAGACAGATGTCTGTGTAATTCCCTCAAGCGACGACTTATAGAACAAGTCAACAGTCTAGAGTAGAAATGTTCACGTAGTTTTAAAGATTTTTTTAACCTTTTCCATAATGAAATTGTATGTACCTAATACAATAATAATAAACAAAAACTTCGAATTTATACTTATACCATTTTGCGATGAAATTTTACGTTAATACTGGGTCTAATCGGCTTTCGCCTTTGATGTTTAAGATTAAGATCCTGCTTTTAATAAATTTATATATCAAAATAAAATGTGTTACTGTAGCAGCTATCTAAGAATAAAACGTAATCTAAATCGGTTTTGTAATTTTGATAACAAATACACATACACGAGCTTTCATGTCTGCAACATAAAGGAATTCATCATTTTAATATGAACTTTAGTAGAATATCTGAAAAAAAAGTTCTTTAATGGCTGATTCATAATCGGGTCATATTATTGACTTCTCCGAATTTACTAATCGATGATACGAAAGATTCAACGTTCATTATTTAATATAAACTGGGTCATAAGACTCTGCGATTAAATATGTTTTTAAATGTTATGAACTTCTGTATTAAAAAATGAAACATCAAACAACGTAAAGTTTATATTATAGCATGAATATATAATATAAAATATGTAAAAAAAAAACAAATCTTATTAATTAGAAATCACTAAGGTTTTATTTCGAAAATGGACTAAAACTCAGTCAAAGCTTTTATGCCAAATCAATAACATTATTTACTTACGCATAAATGTCTTTACGTGGTTAAAAAAGATATATATATTTTAAAAAGACAGAAGATTATGAGCACATTGAAGTTTTGTAATGTTCTTTGAAATAAAATGTCACTGGTATGTGATGATTGATTTTCGATCAAGAATCCACTATCTACACTCTTTTCAAGCTGGATTAACCTGCACTTATATGTAAGGTCACTTATATGTACTTACTTAGTTTCGAAGGGTTCCATGTGAAGTTTTTTTTTTCCTTACATACCATGCAAGAAATTAAAATAGAGCCGCTTACACGTTAAGCATACAAGAGGAGGCCATTTGGTAAGTGATATTCACTGATGTTCAATACCTTTAACAAGGGATTAAGCTGCGGTACCGGTAACAGTTTAGATATGTTAGTCCAATAATCTATATTTTTAGAACTGATCTATTTGAATAACATTAAATCTTGAGCTTTTATCGCCATAAGTCAATCGTACGTGTCGCCATTGTAAGTACTAATTGGAGGCAAAATTGATTGACACGTATGTACAATATAATTAATGCACGTTCTATAATATGGCGACAGCTTAATGGCTAATTACGAAATCAATATCAGACTTCTCATTATATATGAGTTTTGATTTATATTAGTTTTAGATATTACGTTTATATAAAGTCGGAACGAAAAGAGCATGCAATTGGAACCAGAATGTTTAGTTTGAATTGTGAAAAAATAAAACTGGATTATTTAGTAATGATTAAGTAACAGACTTTTTAAACGATACGACTATGTAAATGTGGTGTTTGATAAAGGTATGGGCAGGCAATGAGCAATGAAATCCTCGGGGATAGTAGACCCTATATCTATTTTTTGAGCCTTAAAAAAGATACATATATTTTATAAAGTATGAAATGCATAAAAGGTTTAAAAATATTAAATTTCATCATACATAGATAATGAATGAGAGAAAGGAATTGCGGCGCTTCTACTTATTAGAGTTGAATAAAGTCAAAACGACGATGATAGATTTGCCCGAGGCGGAAAGATAGGGCCTTAGTTTATCCTGATTTCTTGTTACACGATAAATTATTAAGAACAATAATAAAAAAATATGAAAAAGATTTATATTATTTAAGGATTATATTGAAGATAATTTATTATAAATTACATTATTAATTAATATAATTCGAAATAAATTTCATATAAACATATCATAAGAGTTTCGTAAATAATAAAATTAGCCAGGTCTTTTTCTATCTGTAACTAAAAAAGTAGACTGTGTGCACTAAATACACTAGAATTCTACTACTGCTGATATTATTAGTTAGGCCTGTACTTTATATAATAAAGTTAAAAAAATCTTAGATATTTCTCCCCAAACTCAAGTATGTAGGTGACATATTGCTAAGAGGTTAAACGGTTACTACTACGAAAACACTGAAATGCTAAAAAGCAAACTAAAGTAACTTACTTGAACCCAAAATAAAAAGCGACGCGTGAATTCCACATTCGTTTCAAAGAATAATTAATATATTACTTACTTACTAATGGTAAATAAGTTTAACTAGGGGCAGAATGGAAGTGGTACGGTTACAAACTAATAAAGAGCTTTATAATTTAATTACCTACGATAAAGGTAAATCGGTATGCCCACGTAGTTCTTAAAAAAGCAAAAGAAACTGGTATTGATATAAGAATTAAGAAAAAGAAAGGCCCACCCACATAATATGAAAATAAAATAAAATGTTGACTAAAAGTCACTAGAGTAAGATTTACAACAAAATGTAAAAGTTATGTACTTATGTATATGTAAATATAGAAGCTCGTTTATATTAATAAGTGTAATTAAAAAAAATGCTGATAGTACCCGCAGGCTGATAGCCGTCAGACGAAGACAAAGGCAGCGGATGCTTATCGTCACGCATCGCTAGTTACCACGTCAGTGAACAGCACCATTATCGCTGAAACCCCCAGAGTCTGGCCCAGGACGTTTGATTCATGCGTATAATTAAATCTTTTGTCCGTTCCACAGTTCCCGACCCTCGCCCGCTAGCCATTGTAAGCTGTCCATCCAACCTTTTAATAACACTCCAAGATAACTTACAAAATCCTGACATGCCTAATGGAAGATGGAAAATGATACATTTCGTTATTAAGAATGTGGGGATGACTGACTTTGTAACAATCCCTACTTTTATACTAATCTCTTTATACTTATAATCCACATAAATTTTAATTTTTAGTAAAGTATATTAAAATATAGTTTAAGTCATAAAATTGATGTTGCATCTATCCGGTGGGATTCAAATCAGTTCAGCTTTTTAAGAAACTCGAACGCTCGATCGTTAACTGAAAGTTGGGAAAAGTATCCTAACTACAAATGAAAACCTGGTTATTTACAATTTGCTACTTGAAAAATCAAAGTTTACAATTTTAAAGTCCTCATAGCGACCATTATTCGGACGCAGAAGTTTTAATTAAAATGTTACAAATACTGTATGTTGCTCTATTCTTGAACGTATTTGATTCTATACAAAGACAGTATAAATGTATATAGCCAGTATGTTTTCTTTATAAAACAATGGTCAGTATTTCGTACTTTCAAGTAACACGTAGACAACATCCGGCGTGACAAACGCTGCCAGCGCTAAGTTCTAAAATATGCTGAAACTACAAAATATATCATCCGTTGTTCGTCGTCTTTCTTTAGCTATTCTTTAGTTTTAGAAATTAGAATGTTCCTTTTTGTTACATATGGACTTTTGAAAACATTTTTATTGTCACATACATACGAACTCGGTCACTTAAATTTCTGTAACAATTTTTCTTTTTTTCGTAACGATATTCGCCAATATTTAATTTTTAATATCGACTAAATGGAAATCCCAGTCCCGTTGCAATCAAACTTTTCAGAGTCAATTCCCCCGTGTTGTATGAGTTACTGTTGCCACGCAATGTTAAAAACCGTCATTTTAAAAAAAAAGATCAATAGAGACACGGAAACGATACTAACGCAATTATTTATAGCTATTATTCGTCAAGGTACTTATTGTACTACGCATTGCATTTTTGCCCTTAGTGCTATATAGATAAAGATCTCATAAATATTTAATATTTTTCGCGTGTTCCTTGCTGAAGTTACTTTATTGGCGAGTGTACGCAGTCGGTGATGTCACGATACTCGCGACATATTATTTTACAAACATCGTCTGAACAGAAGTTCCGTCTTCGTGCCAGGATAATACTAGGTAATGATCACGTAATATTATCGTCTTCATACTTTCTTTACTTTGTTACAACTATCTTTTATAAACACGTTGTATTTGTTGCCGTACTCTTTTAACTTTGTGTAAAAATAAGTCTGAAGTTTATGTAACAGATAATTAGTAATGAATTTTCATGTTAAAAAGTAGAATATGAGTTCTTTTAAGAACTTAAAACACATTTAAGAGTTACAACAATAAATAAGGGTATCGAAACAATGAAATTTATAATAATAAATATTATGTGTCAAATAATATAATACTCGCATATTTTAAATTACGTAAAATACATACATTGAACATTACCACGGTTGTAAATATAGAATGGGCCACTCTAAACAACTAATTAATATGTAAAACAAAGGATACATTTAAAAATTAATTGCCCGAAAAGCGATAAATAAATGTTGACGTTGCATATAAAGAGTGCCGAGCGCGGAACGAGCCAACGGGTAAAAAGAAAAGGGATCCGCGCGTCGTTACGCTAGCCGCTCCCACACAATGGTTCGCCTCTGATTTAAAAGACTCGCCAAACATGCCTTCCCTTATCTCTCATTATTGTCGGAAATTCTTTAGTCCACCTAGACGGAACGGACTCCGTTGGACGTTCTTATAAAGAAACTTAAATGAAATGGAATTGATAGAGACTAGGGGCGGACAGCGGACTTTCTAACTTCTCGGTAATTTGATTAAATTTAATGGAACATTATCTTATTAGGTGTTTCTTTGAGTAAAAAAGCTAAGAAAAAAGTACCTTTGAGGACGGTCCTGTCTTTATATACTTTCTACTTTTCTTATTCGTTTCTACGTAAACAATGTTTATTCTTAATATGATCAAATGTTAGATTAAGAACCTTTTAGGTTTTCTGTAGGCATAGATATAACAGCATAGTCTGAAATTACCTAGCAAATTAAACCGAATCGTATTTTCATATAAACCAAATATAAAAAGTTCAGAAATGTGCTTAAAAATAATAAAAAATTATGAAATGACAGTTCGCAGTTCTAACTTTAACATTTTAAAAAAATTCTTTTAAATATATTTTCGCATTTAGATGGTGAAAGAATGAATGAATTCGGAAGTGGATGTGTCATGTCATGTCATTTTAAATTTTGTGAGAGTTTTCCAACAAAAAATATATTATTTTAATTTAAAATAAGTTCTCATGATAGTGAGGATATCATTTGGTATATACCCATACAGGAGTGGAGACAGTAATATTACTGTCTCCACTCCGTGAAGTGAAATTGGTGACAAGGGATCAATTATTATATGTACATAATACATATACATAAGTATTTATATAATAGGTATAATAGAATCTATCTATCTAATAGTATAATAGAATCTGTCATATATCAACAAAACATTCAAACTAAAGTAATATTTTTAGATTACGACTCCTATTTTATTATTTTTAAAACTTCATACTTCCGACATTTTGGTTACTTTGCAGCGACCGTGATCACGGGCAGAGGAGATGATTGTCTGCCCGTGATCACGGTTGCGTAATAAAATACGCGTAGTATTTCGAAAAATATAAGTTTCATAAATGAATACTCTCGAAAGTCTTATATCTCATGAAACAAAACATTCTTTAAAACTCACCTGTAAGTAAATCAGGGGTGTACTTGGGAGCCAGTTCAATGGAGGAGCAGTTCCATCTCTCGCCGGCGTGTGCTGCGAGGCATGCTGCTCGAGCGAGTCGTGCAGCAGCGGCAACATGCGGCATAGCGGCCGGCTGTCTGCGGCACACACGGGCCTGCACCCCGTACAACCAGCCGCTACGACGCGCCTCGCTACAGTCGCTCTCCGACCAGTTGCCGACGCTTTCGTGTAGCGCACTGTACATCATTTATGATTATCGATCTTTATGACGTTAAATGAATTAATTATAAGCTTTGTCCATCTTAAAGCATTTCTATTTTATGACATATTGATTTAATAACATATCACGATATTCTAAACGAGTAATGGCAATTATCATACGTGTTATACCTGTTAGTAAAATGTGTACGTTATGTCGTAATAAAAACTATTTTTATGTTTGAATGTCTTCTTTTATTATTTATATGTGCATAAACTATACAACTCATTAACATTTTTATAAAAATCAAACAAGAAAAATATATGTGGAAACAAATTAGGAATGTATTAATTAATGTGCGTAAACTTTATTCTCAAAGTTTTATAGTAACAGATTTATTTTCTAAGATTTCTTGTCTTCTTCGCTACGTGAGCCTTGCTGTTCTTTGTAGCGATGCATTGACTCTGGTCGAAGCCCTCTTTGGAAAGCGTCGCACATTTCATACAAGTAATTAGGCAGAAAGTCATTTGCCTCGCCTTCCCTACGTCGTAGTAAGCTATATGCCTCCCGCAATGTAGGTTTTGGTGTCAGACGTAATTCTAGTTCAACCGCAGAAGGAAAATGTGCAGCCAAAGAGTAAACGATTTCTAAGTCGGAAGGTGGCGGGTTTAGACGTTTGTAATTTGAAACCTTGTACAAGAAATATTCGGACATAGTCATTCTCGATTTGTTTTCATCAAACTTCCCCAATTTCATATCATATAGAATAGCTTTTTGACGTTCCATTCCCCAGAATTCTTCCTCGAAAGCTTCATAAAAAGAGTCTGCATCTTTAAATTCACTCCTAAAGCATCGTGCCCACAATAGCGGCAGTCCCTCCAAACAGGATATAATAAATGATAATTGTTTTTCAGGTGATATATTCAATTCGGAAATATAGTATTTTATGTTATCAATGAAATCCATCGGATGTGTGTGGCCGGTGTCATCAAAGTGTGGTCGCTTGTTCAGGGAAGCAACGATCCAATCATTTATATTTTCAGTTGATATTCGGACGGAATTTTTATTTTCCTGCGGAGTATTCTCATCGTCGATTTCAACAATTTTTGGTCTCGCTGACGGTATCCTATCATCATCTTTGCCTAAATTTGGTAGCGACATGTGGCTACGTAATCTAGATGAGGGCATATCGTGTAATATATCCTCTTGACTTTGAGAGAACCGCACGCCGAAACCCAGAGTAGTCGGTTTATATATTGAGCCGCCGTAAAGAGCGGAATCTACACTTTTTTTTCGCTCCTTTTGAAAATTTTCTTTGCCGACCGACGTTGATATTTTATCTACCATCTCGGACAAATTTGACACAGAGGACTTGATTTGTCTCAAATCAACAAACAAACTCATTGTTATATTAACATATACATATACATATGTTTTATTTTACATATTTATCTGCAACAAAATGTTATAATTATTGTAATGCGCATTATTTAAACCTGTGATGGTTTTAAACAAAAGATTATACGTACAATCATTGTAGAGGTACGGTTTCAATTATGAGCAGTAAGACAATGCGTGCGTAGCTGGCTCGTAGAGTTCCGTAAGGTAACGTGCGCTAGTAGCGAGCGGGTAAATGGTACTAGTTCGCCCTTCGTTTGCTGATGGATGCCGTGCCGTACTTGCAACTTTTTGTGAACGCTCCTGCCTACAATAACTGGGTTACAGTCGTACGAAAATTGAATTCATTGTCGTGTCTGCCAAGGACGTCGCTTCCGATGACATAGGATCCTATTTCACGAGGGTTGTAGGGCACGCCTAGATTTATGTTGCAGATTTTTGTTTACAATGCATACTTTTATATTTGCATACCAAGTTTGGTATACAACCAAAATTTGGTACAAAATACAAATGCTAGAATAATGTATAGAAAATGTAAGTTTATTTCTTTTTATATAGTTCAATAAAATGTGTTAACATTAAAGATATTGTTAAGCGGTTGTGTATTTATAAATTATCATTAGAAACAGTACATGTGAATATGTTGTACACAATGTGAACGGTTAATTGCTAACACCATTACCATTTTACCGTGATTAAAGATATTAGTAGTAGTTTTAATTTTAATAATTACCCTATTCGCTTAGGAAGCCGATATCCGTATCGAATGCCGGGGGGATCGTAGGGGGAAGGCACGCGACGTGACGGGTGATGGGAGGTTGAGCGGGAATCGTGTTACATCACACACTGGCATTTAACATCAAGCATCGACGTCGAAAGTCAGAAAGAACGCACAACTCTCATAACAATGCAACAGCGATTAACTTTAGACATCAATCCGAATCGGTGCGGGTCCAAAATTACCATAGCATCCGTAGCATCCATTATGGTTAATTCATGTGGAATGCGATTGTTCGCTGTTGGATCCAGTGCGGAACATTATCGCATTCGTCACGCCGCGCACGTGCAGGCACAATCTAATAAAATAATTCCCGTATCAAATTTTACGCGTCTATCTCGATCTAGTAGACAAAAAGCAACGCAGACCAGCAAAAAGGGTCCGCTTTGTCATAACTGGTTGTCGAACATAAAAGAACACTGAGCTTTTGCCAAAGGTGCTTTCAATTCAGATGTAGATAAATTTAAAATGGGTTACACTTTTTTTTTATTTCACGCTATTCACCTAAAATCTAGGAGTACACAATAATAAATGCGGCTTGTTACTTTGTATTGCGCAACTTATATTATTATTAGGTATATTACTTTGTATAAAGCGGCGGGCGTAATGGACATTTAAATCTTTGACTCCGCAGATGTGACAAATGTACAAAAAGCCGCTAAAATGCCGTCGATAGAAAAAAATCCTTTGCCAAAATACAGCTGACGCGTCTGTTTTGTCGCTGATTTGGCTTTAATGATGATTAAATACTGTATGATTGTCACGACAGCGCGGGCGTGCGTGTACCGTGACGGTAGGAAGGCTGGAAGTACGAGGGAATTCAATTTGAAAATCTACCACACAAATTGACTTACAATATCCTTATAATACGAATAGTATTCGAAGATATATAATATCATTGTTTTAGCTTACTAGTATAATTAACTGTATGATTATTTTGGAATCAAAATAAATTTCATACCTAGTCGTATAGGTATCTATAAACAAAATTTAAATATATTGAATTATAAATTTATAGGTAATTGAAAAATATTAAATTTAGAGTATCTTGTTCGATAGATAATTATTGCTATATTTTTCAATCCATTCAAAATTTTCTGTCGTATTAAGTAAATTTTAATTTAATAAAAAACTTTTTGACAATCTCAAAAATTATACAATCCACATAATAATGATGATTCATTTCCGAACCCCTATTCTTGAGTAGTGTACTTTCGTTGTAAATTGAGAAAGCAATTAGGGATATTATCCAAAGAAATCTCAATTTGTTACAATCAAACGCAAGAGACTGTCTGGTTCCCGGCGTGTCGCTACGTTACTCCATACTTCATTGAACACGGGAACAATGATACTTTAATTATGAACCATTCGACACACTCACTTACATTATATAGTAATGACTGCTATTAATCAAGATCAACGACAATTTCAATTAAGATGATAGATTTATGCCACACGTTGCCAGGCAACCTCAGCATAATTTCGATGCCAATTGTAACATTAATTATGCATGGAATTCACGTTTTGCGGATATAGAATAAATATCTTTTGGAAATGGATTAATTTTAATAGATGGTATAAATAAACCTTCCTTTAATATCTTCAATTCAAATTAGTTATTTGGTTGTATTCGGTTATATAACAACACAATATTCAGAGCACGTGTATGATAATCCCTTAAACAATTTAAATGTGGGAAATGCCCATTAAGAAGGAACCTGGAATAATTGAAATAAATGTTTGTATTACTCAATAAATTGTTCAATACAAGAGCGATTTGTCTAAGTCGTTGCTCTGCGATGTACAACTGTTGTATTTTATTATAACAAATAAGCTTCTACGTTATTTTAAATCACTTCAACCTTCCCTAGTTTTTCCTTAAATCCATGTCATTGTTATGATTCTACAATTCCTTCTTTTTATATCTTAAAAGATAAAGTTATCGAAAGTAACATTGATATTATACAAGCTTAGCTATTGAGTTTGACTAACTTAATATGTGTAGGTGTATGATGTGGGTATCTCTACATTTTCATAATTGCTATTGTTCTATGAATATTAAAATTGGTCGAACCTTTCTTTAATAATTTAAACAATATTTATAAGGTAATATTTTAACCTTTTAAACCAGCCTCTGTACGTTTTACAGGATTTTGCGGTTGTTTCAAAAGGTTTGGAGGGTCAGGGTTGCGTGCCTTATCTTGAAATTTCGCGTTTTATTGTTGTTGTCAGCGCTTTTGACCAAGTCGTACCTTTTCAAATAACTCTCATCTAAAATTAATTGAATATCACAGCAAGATAGGACATTTAAGGAATTAAAAAAATATTTATGTTTAGTTAATATTTTATGTGGACGTAAACAACAAAGCAAAAATTAAATTGTACGTTATTAAGATTACAGCGGGAATACATAAAATTTGTAGATACTCTTGATATATATGTGGGTATATTTATATCCTCATTAGTTATGTGAATTCATCCAAAAACACATACTTACATACATAATCCTTATAGGTAAACAAAAAAACTTGAAAAGAGACATTAAAGAATATTCCAGTGATATTACTTTATATTTTTGACATCTTAACAATGATTTTATTTTATAGTAGAAGCGCATTATAATTCTAATGATCTTGTAGATGTAACTCAATGACACCTTCAACACAGTTAACCGAAACGACAAATGTTCAACAATGCAAACAACATCCCAGTCAATTAATTACAAAACGTATGTAACATCAAAGTGGACTGTCGTTACGACCGAACTAGAAATCGGTGAGTAAGATAAAAGCCAAACAAATACGCTTTGCATCAAGGATGTCGGTAATTTATGAATTTGTCAGGACAAAGTGAACATCGTCGGCGGCGAAAATAAAGAGCACCGCGCCGTGGATAAATTTGTGTCAGATCAAATGAAGCGAGCGTTGGACGATTTGTTGCATTTACTCCCCGTTACATACAACCATGGAGAAATAAAAATAACGAATGTATTAAACGAGAATGAAACTGTTGCCGGTTCAGACCACGTTTTGGTATGCAGAATGAAACAATGAAACCTTTTTATAGAAAGTGATCGCACTCCGATCGATTTATGTTCACATAAACTCGCTGATTTTGATACATACTCGTATGTAGCTACCTAATTGTAAGTCGCCGCGCGCTCGGCACTCCACGAAATTAACCCTTACGAAGCCCTTCCAGTTCACCGCAAAATGTTAGTGTAGCTTATGCGCTACATATTAACATAATCCACAAATGCACTTGCCTTTAATTGAATGAAAGAAAAAATATATTTGAATATTTTATTGCATCTACATATTATGTAAGGAGAGTATATATTATAAATAATAGTCTTATTTCGTGAAAACAAAAGCTTAAGACTAAACGTCGGATCCAGTGCTATAAAATAAATTTGTTGAAGTAGCTCGTATTTCACCTTCACCAGCAGGCGCTCGCGGACCGCTGAGAAACGACTACAAGGGAATTCAATAAAAATCGTGGTCATAAAAACTAACACGGCAATCGTATAAAAATAGGTAAGAAAGCATTTAGAAATGTCCCCTAATAATAATAGGAACGCCAGATGCAGAAGACGACCGGTTAGAAAAATCAGTGGGAACTCGAGCGAGGGAAATTATTTTTTTCGGTCTACCACACACGGCCCTTGCCGTATCAGCAGAAACTAAGATTGCCATTCTTCCTCGTTCTATTATTAATATTGGGGTTGAGACTTTGCAACAATAAATATGTATCTAGGGTAATAGGTCAGACAACGAAAACGCTATTCATAAAAAACTGTACAGCGTCATTTTAGAGTATAAAATTGCGCTTCTAGAAAATCTTAGTTTCATAGCTACGCCATTCAATTACATGAATGTGCCTACACAGTATATTGAGTGGACGAGGAGCGCTGCTGTGGGCGGTAGAATTTTTAATCTTTTAAGTTAACGTTAGCTACGTCCACTATAAAGTAGAAACATATTAGTTGTCTCGCAACAAACAAGCTTTTAATTTAACAAAGTGAACAGTCTACTTCAGTCTCTCGAGACTAACCAGGCACGTTAAAATAATAACCAAAAATGATAATGAAAATCCGCCATAAAAATATACTTTTAAAATAAGTAGCATATCATTTTATATGCTCTGTTTATTATAAGAATAATTAATTTTAACTTATGTACAATATTAATAATAAAATGTAATTTTTTTCAGCCATATTCAACGTTATTAAACAATTATTAATTCGTTAAAAATTCGTTCTATATGTACCTAAATTAAGTATGATTATATTTCTAATATCATTTATTATAATTTTTTGATCCAACTTCATCTGTACAGTATAAAAGAATGAATGGTTCACATGAATGAATGATGATAGTGGCGATGTCATTTTTAAATTATCAATATAAATAGTATTACAATTGATTCCATCACACTACGAAGTTTTATATTTGACACCCACTTAATCTTTTTTTATTACGTGTCAACGTCAAGCACATGCCTTTTATAGTATAATAATATTTTTTATTTTCTACTAAACTTATGGTACAATGTTCTTTTGTTTTATTATGTAAACAGAATTAAGAAAATGTTACTAAACGGTGATGTTTCTTATTTACGCATTTGGCCAAGTCGACTCTACGTGACGGAATGCATCTGTGGCAATTCTTTCTCAGCTGTATAGTAAAGCTTTTCATTTTATTACGATTCCTCTATCATTACAACATTTAATAACATACTTAATACCCTTATTATCAATGCATCTTATTAATCGTTCATACATAGTCTATAATTATGATATTAACTTTAAATTAAGCCAACAATAGTTCACAATATTGAAATAATTGGATGCGATTGCTGGAAATCGGGGACAGAGCTCGTATTACCGGGGATATTTCCGGGTGTAATCTCAGGGGCGAATAATTGCGGGTTGCAGCGGAACAACGCCGCTCATTAGTGCAACGTTCAATTAGAGCACGATGGACAGGGGCGTCGGGTTACCTAGCACCTAGCTATGCGTGCAGAGAACATTTAGCTTTGAATTCACCAAATAACAATGGTATTAACGCCTCTCCTCTCATCTCTGTGTAAATGTAAACCTACGTATTAAAACACTAGTTTTTGTTTGTGGTGTTTCGGTGACTCATTATACATTTGTTACATCCCTGTTATATATTTTATTCAAACTCTTTTTGCTATAGAAAGATCAAAAAATTTAATATATCTTTTTAAAAATATGTTTCAGAAATATTTTTTTATATAAAAACAAATTCCTTTCATATCTTTATTATTTAATAACATTTGTACTTTATGCTTAAACATAATATTAAAACTAACAATGATTTTGTTTCCTCTTATTTAGAATTAATGACTTTAGCTTAATATGGCCAGTGTCACCGTAATGTAATTTTTTTTTTTAATATATCAGTTATTTTAATTATCTTAGTACAATTTTCGCGTAGGAACAAAGTAAGTCACAGATAAAATTAATATATGTATATTTTTTATGAAGGAAACGTGAAATGTTTAGTGTTAAAATCAATGTTTTTATACTACTTTTAATTTGACAACTAATTACATTTTTAATTTTTATCAACTTTCGGTATACTAAAATAATAATCTAACCTCGATTAAAACATATAAAACTTAAAAAGGTAATATGTTGGAATAATCTAGTTAAATTTAAAACTAATATTATATGTGTGTATTTCTGTAATAAAGGTTTATTATGAAGTAAACCTTTCAAAAATATTGGCAAATGTAGAGAATGTGCATATATACTATTTAAATACATATTATACCAAATGTTTTAACTGTAATTCATAAAATAAAAATAAACCTTCTACTAAATATTATCAAAATTTTACATTTATTGCTTTTAATTTTATCTCAATCCGGTTCATTAAAAAAATACCAAATGATACTTACAGCCATCGAATCCCTTTTGTAGATTTCGGTAAAAACACAAATATAAAAATAAGAATCACGACAGAAAAACGCATCACAGAGACAGGATAAACTTTTATTTTTCTGATGCAGATTTAATTTGAGAACGAAAAATAAACCGCGTAATATTTGGCGGGAAAATCGTGCAGCGATTGACAAACACGGTGCTGCGGTGGTTAGTGGCGGAGTTGTGACGCGACGTAAACTCCGTGTGACGAGTTCACATTCCCTCTCCAGAGAGAGATCGCGGTCGTGGAGCGCCGAGCACGCGTGCGAGCGGCCAGTGGTCAGCCAGACGCCCGCCCGCCTCGCTGCCGGCACCGACCACTCAAAGACTAAGCCGCAGACATCCTCGCTCTATTACACCATTCTTACATATTCATTTAACTTACTAATATATATTTTTATCTCGATTTTATTTCATTCTCATTTATGGATTCTTACATAAGTATTAATATAAAACTAAGTTTTTTTTTATTTTCGTTAGTCTTCAACTAGCTTCAACTCTAATAATGTAAAATAATTTTCTTATAATAAATATAAATTTGCCTCTATGAAGCTAGTGAGATGTAGGTTCTAATTGGTTGTACGGAGCGCCCGGAGCGGGCGGGCGGTTCGCTCCCCACGGCACAACCCACTTATCAATTCAGTCGAGTGGGCATTCGTTCATTGTGAAGCATTGTGCCCTATTATGCACGGATTCGATGCTTATTTACCCGTTCACATGCCGACTGTGCTACGTAATCGGATACTTTTAATTTAATCATGAAAGCGCGAGAAATAAATGAGCTATCAATTAGTTTCGCATACGTATTGGAGTTTTGTTAAGCAAATATGTACGTATTTTAATGGTATCGAAGTCGTTATTACGATTGGTAATCACTTCTGATTTTAAAAAGTATACTTCATACGAATAGCAGATATTTGCTCGCTGTACTCCAAATTATTTTTAAAGTATCGATGTTGTAACTTCAATCTTTAATTAATTAAAAGCTGAAAATCTCGGGAATATTGTTTTTAATGGATGCAATTTTTTATTACAGTAACTGGTAATTGTATTCCGAGTAATATGCTTTTATTATGAACTTCATGTTAATTTTGCATTTTGAAAACAATTCTTTAAAAGGACCGCCTCTCATGCATGACGGCGAGGATTCGATCCTGGCAAGTACCAATGTGATTTTTCCGAAGCATATGTACCTTGTAAGAGTATTTAGACATTAATGCATTCCCTAAGAGTGTTGATGTCAGGCAGGCGGCCGGTCGTAAAAACAATTACCAAAAACTATTCACAACATGTAAGGCAGACCCTGGCTAAACCTGGGAAATTGCCAGGTAGAAGAAGATTATGATAGATAAGAATGTTTTATTTTTAACATCTGTGTTTTGAACATTTAAATCGATGAGTTGACATAACTTTCCAAAAAGTACAAATACGTACAAGCCAAAGGATATAAAAATAAAACATTGCCAGTGAAATACGTTACGTCTCTTTTATTATATATTATATTTAATCTTAGACAAATCGGAAAGCCAGTCACGTGCGCGGCGTTATAAATCATACAAAATTATCTAAATTCTTAAAAAATACAATATAAAACTTAATTAAATACAACATTTAGACACATAACTATGATACTCTACATAAAATATATTCAACCGATTCCCATCAAACGATCGTCATCACACAAACAACCCAACTAGTCACAAACCAACGTGCGATTCACATTTAACAAAATACAACAAAGGTTTCGACGTTTCATATTTACACTAAACAACAAAAACGAATATAAACGACATTAAGTGTGGTCCAGAAATACAAAGTCAATGAAACGGTGCACGGGCGGCGTGACACTTTACTGTGAAGCATCATCCGAAGCGGACGAGCGCGGGGGACTGCTGGGGGGCCTCGCGGGGCCTGGGGGTGGGGGGGCCCGGGGGCCCGAGAAGCGCAGTACACCCGGCGGGAGACGCGAGGCCCCCGCGGGGTACAGCAGCATAAGCCGGGGTCAAGTCTGCTTGCGGCCGTCCTTTATGATGAAGCTAACGGTGCGCGGACGTCAAGCGAGGTGCGACAGGTCGTCCAGCTCCGGCGGGGGCTGCGGGGCCGAGCCGCCGCGCGCGAACACCGGCTTGGCGACCACTGACACCGGCGCCTGGGGAACAAACAAACACGTTAACAACTGAGATGTTATATATACTCTCATTAAGATAACATTATGCAATCATCAAACAATTCACATCCCAATACCACACGTACTAGCTACTCTATAATCTCACCTGACTGACGCTCGAGCCCGTGGTGGTGGCCTGCAGCGGTGAGTGTTGTGAGTGTGCCGCGTGCAGAGGGTTGACCCCCACCACCACCAGCTTCTGCGGCGGCTGAGCTCCGGCCGGCCCGCTCGTCACCACCACCGACTACGAACCACACCCACAACCATGTTACTACGCTACCATGCTTCGATAATACTACTACACGACACTTACTACATAACATTGCTATATAAAAAATAATAATTTTAAATTTTCCCCATCTTTCGCTTAAAAGACAAGTAAATTTTCGAACACTATCATTTGATTTAAATACTTCAATCATTCATTGGATATACATATGTATTTTCAAAATTATGAATTTAATTCCATTGGTAATGTATATACATATAACACATGAGATCATTACAGGTTTTTTTATGAAGTAGGAAATTAATGAATATAATTTATATTCAGACTTTACAAATCAAACAAAATACAGGAATATTGTAAAATAATGTTACAAATATACCTATAAAATACAACAAATAAAACTTTATATATGGCTACAGTTATATTTCTCCTTATGGACAGTAAATATAGTATAAAAAAATACACATTGTAAAACATACATACATACACATAATACATGCTTGCAGGCATAAATATATAACCTTTGAATAAATGCTATACTTTAATATCACTCAAAACATGTCTGGCATGCATTGCATGTGGACTAAAACATAAAGCACCCAAAAAATATTAAACACATTTAATTCCGTTTTTGACCAATTAATGTGACGTTATCTGGCTATAACTTCAAGTACGTATAGTGTATACTAATAATTCTGTACGCTTATAACGAGTAATCGTCACACTAAATACAGACAGTTGGTAGTATTTCATTCATATACTTACGTCGCCACTATGTGCGAATTATATTATATAATAACTGTCAGTGCTATATTTGTTAATGTTACTGTTCTAAAATTATAATGAAACCTGTACATTTTGACTGCGGACGATTGTAGGCTGCGAGCTGTGAACTACTATGTGACCCGACCCACTGGCTGGCTGGTTCTGAAAAAGGATTACAATTATATTAATCCATATTTATTAATTGCTACATCTGTCAATTAGGCAAATTACCTAATGTTAGATTATTATCCAATAGTGTTATCTTTAATTATACATCGTGTTAACAAAAATTTGGTGAAAGAAGAACGTTTATTATTCTTTTAAATAGATGTATCAATAATCTTGAAGTTTAATTTCTTGACTTAAAAATTATAATTAACATCGTTTACTTGAAAACGAGAATCGGTGAATAACTACTGCATATAAATCGGACATTTTTTTATATATATCAGAAATAACTGTGTAAACTACCAAACTAATTCTATATACCTGTTGCGTCTTCTGTTGCGAGGCTACAATGACGAATTTCTGCGGCGGAGGTGTTGAGGGCGCGGGGGAGGGGGCGCCCGATGTTATCACTACGTTACGGGTCGATATTGACTCTAAACAGTTCATATTATTGAGTTAAATATATATAAATTACAAGTTTTAGAATAAACATGGAACTATACGAAAATCATATACGTACGTAGTATTGAACGAACAAAAATTACTAACAAGAATCCATTTTAACACCAGAGAATATTCAAATTCAAAATTTAAATGAAGTGTTTTACCAACCAATGAACTTATAGCTATTGATGATCTACAGATATTTTATAGGGAAACTAATATAAATATAAATTATAATTTATAATACTATAGTATCAAAACGGACATTCGAAATTCTAATATGTAGTAGTACTTCTCACCAATGGACTTTGCGTGTGGCGCGGGTGATGGCGGGTGTGGTAGTAGCGGCGGGGTGCACGGCAACACGGCCACCGCGCCACCACCGCCGCCACCTGTCGGAGACGTGCGTAACTTGCTCACAGCCTGCTGCAGACTAGGACCCAGGTAGCCGTACTCGCGTCTGTGGTAGGAATGATAGTAATTAATAAAAATAAATGCATAAAAGAGCCAAACATAAATATCTCGAGATGTGAGTGTCTGTCAGTTGGTCTGCCCATGATGACGGTTGCTGAAAAGTAGCAGAAACGTCGGGAGTAAAATCCGAAAATATTAGTTTCATTTAAATGAGTACTCGCGAAAATCTTAGATCTCATTATTATGTATATATATTGATTACATAAAATGAATAAAAACTTGTTATAACTATGAGCAAAGCTGTAAGAAACCTAGTAGAGATAACATAAAATTTTACACGATTAAGTAAGCTCCAGTTTGAAAAGTTCATTGTTATAGATTTTAATATTAAATGTAGTTCAAAGATTGCAACACATCACTTTTTCTAATTCAATACTAATATTGAAATTCATTCCAGGTATAAACAGAGTTAACTTCCACATAGTACGATAAATAAGCTTTTAGGAAGCATCTAAAACATGAAATAGAGTAATACATATACAGGGTGACTGGTGAATTACTATCGATACTTGAGAACGTGATATTTGACGATCATATATGACAAAATAAAAATTAATATAACATAAATATTAATAAACTTCTAAGTAAAGTTAACCAAAAGTTATGTAATTAATTACGCATCGTGTGAACACCCTACAGATTAGGTATACATACACACACACTCACGCGTCCGGTGGCGTGGTGTTGTATCAGCACGCCGCCGCACGCGTACACACTTGGAACGTGTCCACACTTTATTTATTTACACGGAAATTTGGTCAAAAATTAAGTACCTATTTTTTTTTTACATAATTCGAATGTGAATCATGTACCGAGTTTTCTCCTTAAATATTGATAGTAATTCACCAGTCACCCTGTATATATATTAATAAGAAAGAGTCCTACTTGTAGTCATCAGGAAGGTCGGGCGGTTGACGAAGCTGTCGCACTACTGGAGCCAACACCTTGAGTAACTGGTGTTTAAGGTTACTGGCCGCTACACGATCAGCGCCCGCAGCGCCACCTAGTGCACCCTCAACACGCTCGCCCAACCATCTTACACGAGGCAGGATAAACACCTATGTAAAACCAATAAGAACCATTAATATACATACAGTAATACCCCCCTTTATGCGAGGGATACGTTCCGAAGAAAATCGCGTTAACTGAAATTCGCGTATATCGAGGTTTATGATTAAACACAGTCAAAATTTAATACACAAATATAAAAATCATTTTAATCAATCACTTTAATTCTAAGAACACTATACAATACATAGGTACTTTTTGACGAAAAAATAGATGTATTGTCTTTTGGTTAGCGTTTTGTTTACGTTCTTGTAAAATACGTTCATAACACCAAAAACTGTTTTTAATCGTTTGACACACGTTCAAGACACGGTCATCATTATTGTCTATACTCTGCAATGTCCCAACCTGAATAAATTTCTGAAAATGGCGTTATAGTGAAACCGCGCACAACGGGGTCGCAATAAACGGGGTATTACTGTACAATAATAGGAATATAAATAAATATAAACAGTATGAAAAGCGTATACCTTCACCACCTCAGGACCCAACTCGGCTAAACCTTGAACTGCTCCATACAGGGAGGCTAATGGAGTCTTCTCAGATTCCTTCATAGAAGCGACCATTGACGGTCCGCTTTCGTTGTTTGTTTGTGATGGACATTGCAGGGCTTTTGCAAACAACCTACAATAAAATCATTTGTGATAGTAATGCTATTCTCACGCAAAAACGATAAAATTAAGTTTGTAAAACAGAGCCATCTATGGACTGTAGATACGAAACTGTAAAATCAGTTTTCTATGAAGGTATACCTTGTAACTCTTGTTTGTAAATTATTAGTAGAGGTATTAAATGTTTTGCACAACTGTGCCATCAGTCGAGCGGCGAAGTCCCGGAGCGCCCAGTGGTTGTCAACTTCTGGCCGCGTGCACAGCTGTCGGGACACTATACACGTTGAGACTGATGGAATCAATTCATGAAGCTGAAAATAAATACAAAAATTTCAGTTACCACTTTTATTTCTCAAAAGAACTTAAAAGTATTAAGTATCCTGTCTTATTCTTACAAATGTGGTGATTTAAGAGAATTTATAGTTTGTTACTCTTTCAAAAAAAACACATGATGGATTTTGATTAAATTTTACAGTAATGTAGCTTACACAGCAGAATGAGATCTAGGCCCAGATATATTGTATAAGACGTTCCATGACAAAGTTTAAACCTACTTTATAATTTTTCTATGACCCAAACTCAAGCTCACACAGATGAAATCATGTGCAAAAACCTGCAGTTCTATATGTAATAATAGCACAAGTTATACTTACATATTTTTCTAAATAAAGTGATTGATTGTCCAACATTGCTTTCACCATTCTCATCAAATAAATAAGTAGAGCCAGGTTATTCTGGACAACATTGACTTTTACTCCCTCTGATATAAATGTACACATCCTTGGCAACATCTCATGTAAGCCAGGATCACATGCCAGTGACTGCAGGGCTTCCTATAATATCATAAAAAAGTAGATATATGACAAATTCAGTAAAATATAAGTAAAATCATCAACAATCTTTGTAATAGTAAATTTTTTGAAAGGTACAATATAATTTCCATAAAAATATAATTGAAAAGTATTATACTCATTTAAGTGTTCTTCTATAAATATGTAATCCCTCTGAGTAAAGACTCCTTAAAATAATTTATAAATACAGTCGAAACTCTATTAACCGGACTAATTGTTTTCGATAGTCATTCGGATAATCAAAAATCCGGATAATCAAATGTATGAAGAAAAGCCGATTTTGTGGTTATGTAGTTCATAATATTATATGTTTATTAAAAAAAAATTACAATATGTTTTTGGTAATTTGAAATTGGTAATCATGAATTAAAATAATAAGTTTAATTTGGTTTAGAATATTTGGTAATTGTCATTTGACGTATGCCACTCTCAACAACACCTCTCTTTTACGCTTTGTCATTTTTTCTTATCTGGGCTTGTCCGTAGTCTGGATATTCGAGAATCCGTATAACTGAGGGCAGGATAATCGAGTTTCTACTGTACTAAAATTCCGAGAATTGTAGTAGTATTTTGAATTCGTTTAAACTTACAGCTCTCCGTCCCTCATCACTGCCAACACCCGCTTCTGTGATTTCCTTATAATATAACTGTTGTTCCACACTAAGCTCATGTGTTGCAAGTTGTTTAACATGGACAGATTCTGAGGCTTTAAGCCTAGCTGCTTTACCACTAACTGGTTTTCCTGAAAAAAGTAAAAGAAGGTTATATAAATTTTAAGTAAGAAACCTACCAACCCAGTTATCCAGTTAATAATAACCAACATATATCTATTATGCATTATGCCATACATACCTGCTGAATCTTTATTGGCAGGTTTGCTTAATTTAGAAACAGGATCAACCGACTCCAATTTTTGTGCCTCTTTGGACAATGGTGGAGGATTCTCGGGAACAGTTGGCTGAACTCCATCAACGCTAAGCCAATGTGCTCTCAAAGAGACATCAAGAGGCACTTTTGGTGGTGGGGCTGACAGTATTTCTGATAAATCAATTTCTTTCTCCTCTATAAAATGCAGCTCTCTACCACCACCCGAGGCAAACCTGAACGGCAATGAGTCAGGCTGCACAAAACCATACTGGGCCTGAAATGGTTGAAATCATTAAAGAACAACAAATAGTATTGATTTAAAGAACATTTCTCAAACTAAGGTTATACATACTTCAGTGTTTTTTATTTTTAAAGCATTATCTATATCTGTAATAGAAAGTTTTTGTCTTTTTGAGTGATGCATAAATTTCATAGCATCTTGAACAATTACTTTTAATCTAAAGGAGACATCATCTGCTAGTTCCTTAGCAGCATCATCCCCAAGATTTGCTATGCCAACGCTTTCAGATATCACCTTTATAGAATCTACATTGAGGGATGATCCATAAGTTAAGTCAGAATCACCCATTATAATTTTGTTTAATTACAAGATAGATAAAATAGAATATATGCACAAAACACCCTAGTGATGAAACAATTCAAATATGGTTTTCCTAATATCTTTATTATTCAGTTTTCTGTAAACATTCTGTTACTCCTCCATTGAACTTGAGTCAATGGTAGTAATATCTTATAAGCAGCCCGCGAAATTAGCTTCAAACTCTTGAAGTGCAGATTGTCACATAAGTTTTAGCTTTAAACATCAAAAGAATTCTTTTAAAGTATAATACATATTAAATCATTTGTGTAAAATTATTTCTTCTGCAGCTAACATCAACATATTTACATGTGCCGTATCAGAACATACTACCGACAATATAAAAAACAAATCTTAGGATGTTATCAAACAAGTTCTACAGATATGTAAAGCTTCCAAAATATTAAAATCTCCACTCGTTCCGTGGTCGACGCTTTTTGACAAATTAAATTGGCTTGACGTTTAATATTTATGATTTGATGATATGACATTTCTAAACCCATAACCACAGATTCAATAAATGTTTATATCTGAATAAAAAAACTAATTAATATCTAAATAGCCTCCAAATAAACAACAATAGTCATAAATATCACGACAAATTTCATTTCGATTTTGTAGGTCATATTTACATAATTTTTTTTTAATCAAATACTTTTCATCCTACTCGTATTAATTGAGCTATCAAGCCAAACTTTTTTTCTTCAATTTAAAATTTTTATATCGGGTACTGACGAGCGTAAGAAGAGAAATAATTAATAAAAATTATATACCATACTCATATTAATATAATCTTCAAATAATTTGTTTTTGATAACTGTATTCAATTTATGAATATATAAAAAAAAATGTAAGATTTGAATTTAAGATGAATATATATTTTTCAATAATTACATGTTATAATTTATTGTAACGGTCAATATTTATAAAAATGATCATAGACAAAATGCTGTGTTAGAGAAATTATAAAATTGTCATATGAGAAAATTATTTCCAACTTTAGGGAAATTACTTTGTACTTCGACATAAATTATTGAAGAAAAAAACAAAAATGGAATGAATTTCTGGTGACTTCAGAAAAAAATCGGTGATTTTTAATTATATTTGCAAAAGCTGGTTTATTTAGGGAAAATCGAATTTATAAAATATTTTTTTTTGTTTTATTGTCTTACATTTTAATGTATAATCGTATAACGATAATTTTAATTTAATTTAATAATATTGTATTTTTCAAACATTTTATATTATATACAAAATGGTATTTTTTTCACATATGGTGATGCTAACCCCAAATGTAAGTCAAAGATTTTATAACTGTGGGCAAAAATAATGACGAGGTCCATTACCGTTTGCCGACGCCGATGCCGGATTGTAATACCACGAGTGTTAGTTATTCACGTTTAAGCAATTATTTATATTGTAATCAGTGATCAATATTCAAAATGTACAGAAACAAAAAAGACGTAGACAAACACGTGGAAAGCTTGATGCACAAATTGTCATCGAAAGACGTAAGTGCAAAAAATATTTTCACACAAGTTTTGATGTAAAAACAATTTAGTACGATTATGATATATGGACATTGATTTTCAGTTCAAAACAAGAGCCTGTTCCATAGCACGCTTGTATTACGACGTTGGAGATTATAGAAGTTGCCAGAAATATGTCGAACAGTATCTTGGTGTCAAATCCAATAATGCAGCAGCACATAAACTTCTGGGACAGGCGTTTCATAAACTTGGAGAAAAAATGAAGGCATTTGAACAATATACAATTTCTTATGATTTAGATCCATCCCAAACTATAACTCTTCTTGATAGTAAGTAATATTTATTGTTCTTATACATTAATTTTAATATTTCATTAGTATTTTATTAGAATTCACATTTTGTTTGAACAGTTACTTTTATTTCAAACAAAGCTAATTATAGTCTTAATCTACCTTCACAGGAGACAAATTTATAATAATAAACATGTGTCTTATGTATAGTTTTAGTACATTTATAGAATTTTAAGTATTTTTTTTTTAATTTTCATAATATATAGTATCTAAATATAAAATTATATAAATTGCTAATTAATAGCATTATAATTTCAATATAAATATTTTTTGATAACCTATAAATTTTGCTTTTCTTTGTTATAGTTTGTGAACTTCTGGCTAATGAGGAGGGTATTATAAATCTAGCTCGTGCAAAATACTGGTGTGAAAAAGCTGAAGCTATATACCCCAAACATCCCATTACATTCCGACTACGTGAAAGACTTTTATCTGATGCTAATTCAGACCCCGAAGCATTGGTGAAATTATTAAAAACTGAATTAGATGCAAGACCAAAAGATGCAGTACTTCATGGTAGACTGTTAAAACACTACTTACAGTCTAACAAAATAACAGAGGCTTTTGACCATAGCTGTGATATTGAATTCAAAAAAAACTATTTCTCTGATAATTATGCTTGGTATGAATGTCTCTCTGAAGTATTGAAATATAACAATCTGAAACAAAACAACTGGTTATACCAGTTGCTTTTATTAACAGTCAGAGAAAGACTTTGTGTTTTGAGTTTAACTGAAGTTCCAAATGCATCTGGTAAGAATTTGCTAGAATGCAGTGATCTTCTAAATGCCTATGATCAAGCACTCGACAGTGTTGCCAAATCTGGACATGCTGAAGGCTTTGGTGAATTTCATACAAATATTTTACAACATCACAGAGGACAAATAGCATTTCATGCTGCAACATTGTTACTTAAAAAAGCAAAAAAAAACCAAACCAATTGGAGAGAGGCAAAGAAATTTGTAACACCCTTAATGTTAATCGCTTGGCAAACAGTCCCACTTGATTTAAAAGTGAACTGGCTAGTACATGCTCCACAAAAACAACAAAATGCGATAAAAAGGTGGTATGTGGAAGGATCATACAGATGCTCCCAATCTGGCCATTATTTACTATCAAATATCCAAGATAAAAGTCAAATTATCTTAGATCAAATATCTGAATTATGCTCAGGAACAAATTGGAAAGATAAACTTTATGAAAATCTATTTACAACGCCGGATCAACTGTCAAAAAAGAACTCTTCCTATTTATTATCCAAGCTAATGACTAGTCCTGCACTAAGGTTGCCTAGGAAGGTTGAAGTCCAGGCATATGATGATGATGCTCAGAGAGAGTATCCCAGTAGTCTTCATCACTTTGTCTGGATGCTTTTAAATTATAAAAATTATGCTGATTTCAAATGCACACTGTTTGACATGCTTACTCCCAATATGACTAGCTGTGGACCTGAGACCTTGAACAAAATAGATGTCTTAGCTTTCCTATACAGTACAACATTAACAACTCTTAGACAAAAGGACCATAGCAATAACTTCCATGCTACAGATAATGTAAAAACTCTTACCAGCAAATATAACAGATTTATTATGTTCCCTACCACAAATTAAGTGGTGGGACTGTGCTTACAAATTGAGTCAAAATGATTTAGGTTTTGATCATACAGATATCCGCTCAACATTGAGTCGTGGTATTGAAGTTATAAGATGTGTTGATAATCATGGTATAGATCCAGAATTACTTTGTATGTTAGGTAGAATTTTTAATGAAATTGCTGATAAATCAACAACTGTAGATGAAAAATCTAACTATGAACAAAGGGCATGTCTCTACTATTCATCTGCAATTAACTTGCTTCAAAAAATTAAAGGTAAGGTGACACTTAAGCTACCCGATAAGAAGATGTTTGACTACCCTCAGAGAGAATATGAGCCAAAGGAGTTAAATAAATTATTAGAGGAAAGCAAGCTTTATGTAGCCCAATATAATTTTAAAGAAGGAGAATTTGAGAAAGTGATCGCATTATTGTCTAATTCAAAATCCCCAGAAGCCTATTACCAACTAAGTCAGACATATATGAAAATCGCTAAGGAAGAAAAAAACTTGTCTAAGCATTCAGAAAGTGATAGCAAATATAGAAGTCTTTTAGAAAAGGCTAAGGCTTTTGCATATAAAGCACTTGAAAGAGTCAAGGAACAGGATATGTATAAAACCAAGGCTCTATATGTAGATATTCAAGAACATATTGAAGATCTAGAAAGTTGTCTCAATAAATGTTCAGATCTTTCAGGGACACTTATGAATGATGAGTCATCTGATGAAAATATTAGTGATATTGTCTCTTCGCGTGCTAAATCTAGTGTTTATCGAAACATAAGTTCTACACCAAAACAGATGTTAAGGCATCCTCACAATGTAAGTGCTACAAATTATCGTACTGCAACTGATACTCACATTTTGGAAAATACGCAACTTGATAATTTGGTTTTGGAACGAATAGAGAATCAGATTAAAAATTTACAAAAAAGAGACTTCAATATTAATAATTTTATGGAACAAACCAAGGATTGGTTTGATGAAAATAAGAAATTGAGCAATCAAATCATGAATACTATTAAAACAAATATAGATAACACTACTGAACAGTTCAAACTGCTTAAATTATCGGTAGATCAAGTTAAAGAACAAATAGATGAATGTAGAAGTGAATGCAAGGATGTAGTTGATATGAAGAAACAAATTGCAGAATTAAAAAAAGAAGTTAATAAATTAAAGAAATCTTCATCGGAACAAGGCATTGATGAAAATGATGTTTATAATATAGATGATGACTATAGAGCCAGTGAAAATACGTCTTCATTTGCTGCCCAACTTCCCTTTGCTGCACCACAGCCTTTTGGACCACCATTCGCTCAACGTATAGCCCCACCTTTCCCGATGTCGTCTAATCCATACCAGTTCTATGGACAAAATTTATATAATTTATACAATCAATATTCACAAATTGCCCAGTCTTCTACTGTACCTGGAGGTCCGCCTTTATTTGATCCTACAAGAGCTCATATGAATTATCCAGGAGTATTTCCAACACCAGACCAAATGTATCTTGATGTCGCACATCTCGTCCCTCCTACAATACCTGCAGCTCCTGGCGTACCTCCCGTACATAATGTGCCTGCTGTTACTACCGTGGTTTCCACTTCAACTTCACAACCATCCGCTGCGATTCCAACATCAAAAGCTAAACATGAAGTAAAAGATAGTAATAAGATTATTCCAGCAAATGTTGTGATTACTTCTTCAGATCCATTACCGACAACGATCTCCGCTCCTACACCAGTACTCAGTGTAACAATACCGCAGAAACATATTAAAGGAAGTCCTCATAATTATCAAATTTCTATGCCCACTTCCAATGTGACAAAGGCAGTATCACGCCCTGTTTTTACTTTTCCAACAACAAGTACATCAACAATTGCAGTAACACCAATGACAACAAATTGGAATATGAAATCTATATTCAAACAGGATAATCCTATAACCACGTCTACTGTGGCAAATTCATCAAAGGACACGTCGACGTGTGTCGTAGATGGAATTTTTTCTCAATCCTCCCCAAATACAAGTCTTAATAAATCCAGGACCTTATCAGAAAAAAGTAATACATCTGTTGAAAATTATGATCCCTGTCCAGATTTTAAACCAATTATACCATTACCAGCTGAAGTTAAAGTAACTACTGGCGAAGAAGATGAATCTGTGATTTTTAATGCTAGAGCAAAGCTTTTCCGTTTTGTAGATAAACAGTGGAAGGAAAGGGGTATAGGTGAAATGAAATTACTCAAACATAAAGTTACAGGCAAAGTCAGAGTTCTAATGAGAAGAGAACAAGTACATAAAATATGTGCTAATCATATCATACTACCTGAAATGGAAATAAAGCCCATGAAGAACGAAACCAAGGCGTACTTTTGGGTTGCAAATGATTTTGCCGAGGAAACTGTTATTTTAGAAAAATTCTGTATCAAATTTAAAACACCGGAACTAGCAAAAGAATTTTACGAAACTTTTGAGAAAGCTCGAAAAGATTCTGCAATTGACGTAGTGTCTACGGAAATAAAGACAGTACAACCAACCAAAAATCAAATTCCAAGCTCAACTATTGTTACTGGAGGAAACGACGGAAAAACCGTTGTTGGAGGTTTTACATTTAGCAGTAAACCATCTTTTAAGACCGTAACTGAAGATTCAAACACTCAGCCAAAAGTCACTGAGGCACCAACAAGTAAAGTCAATGTTTTTACCGGTGTCACGTTTAAGACAGCAACTTCGTCACCTTTTTCGAATTTAAGCACTACTACAAATTTAACGAACACGGTCAAAACTCCGGAGAGCACAGTAACTTCTAGTAAATTAAACAACTCCGACTTAGTCGAGGAATTTGAACCAACAGTTGATTTTAAGCCAGTGATACCGCTTCCTGCTTTAGTAGATCAAAAAACTGGTGAGGAAGATGAAATTGTTTTATTCGAGTATAGAGCGAAATTATTACGATTTGATGCGGCAATAAAGGAATGGAAGGAAAGAGGTCTTGGAAACATAAAGCTCCTGTGCCAAAAAGAAAATAACCAGAAACTACGGTTATTAATGCGAAGAGAACAGATAATGAAAGTGTGTTGTAATCTCTCGGTTACAAAAGAAATGGTATTCCAAAAGATGCCTAATATGGACAAAGCAGTAACGTTTTGTGGCAAAGATTTTTCGGAGGGGGAGCTGGTTCCGGAAACATTTTGCTTGCGTTTTAAAACAGTACAAGCTTGCGATGATTTTATAAATGCTGTTAAGACAGCTCAATCAAAAATAGGAGAGGACACAACAAAAGCCGTTAAGGAGGAGCAAAATGCTGCCAAACAAAACATTCAAGTTGGTTTCGGAGAATTGTTTAAACCAAAACCAGGTTCTTGGGAGTGTAAAGAATGCTTAATACGAAATGAATCTGGAAATGATTACTGTTGTGCGTGTAATAGTCCTAAAGATCCAACTGCAAAGAAAGCTGAAAACAAATTAGAGTCAGCAAATACACCAAAATTTAACTTTGGTATTCCATCTCAAGGTGCACAAACTGCAGTAAATACGAGTGCAGCTACGACTATTACCGGTTGGGGAGATAAATTTAAAGCGAGAGAAGGCACATGGGAATGTTCTCAGTGTTATGTTAGAAACGAGGGTGCCAGTGAGCATTGCACTGCCTGTAATAATCCTAAAAATCAAGATATTTCAACCACCAAACCTGAAGTCAAGTTTACATTTGGAATCACGCCAAAGTCCAATGAGGCAACAGGGCAAAACACAAATAATATCCCAAAGTTTAGTTTTGGAATTCCACAGGAGAAAACTGTTAGTTTCGGTATCCCTACAGCAAAAAGTTCTAATATATTCAAAGCTCCTGAGCAAACTAAAGAGAGTGATGGTGTTCTAGATCTAGGCATTAAAAAAAAGGATGAACAAAATATTACAGTCACTCCAACAAAACCTGCACTCTTACCAACTCCACAGACGAATGTGACTCCATTTGGCAAAGAAAGTGGTACTTTTGAATTTTCTTTTAACCAGAAAAATGTGACGAAGGGTAAAAGCCCGGTAAAATCACCGAAAGATAAGAAGGACAATGATAGTGACGACAATGAATATGCCTCTGAAGATGAGGGACATCATATACATTTTAGCCCAGTTATTCCAATGCCTGATAAGGTTAGTGTTTTAATATTATTTAATTTATGAATATTTTAAATAAGTAGTTCTGTATTCACATATGTGATAATTTTTTTTAGATAAAAGTTGTGACTGGAGAAGAAAATGAAATCGAATTATATGGACACAGAGCGAAATTATTCATCTTTTCTGGATCAGAATGGAAAGAACGCGGCATAGGAATTGTGAAAATATTAAAACATAAAGAAACTGGCAAATTAAGGTATGATATAAAACTTTTTTACAACATCATACAGCTTTTTAAGTCCCATAATATGACCATTGTGTTAATTTTCAGAGTGCTAATGCGTCGGGAGCAAGTTCATAAAATATGCCTGAATCATGCTCTTAATAAAAATATCACTTACCAACCGAAAGATGAAAAATCCTGGTTCTTCTGCGCGAATGACTTCAGTGAAGGAGAAATTCTTCTTCAAAACTTCTCCCTCAGATTCCAAAACAAAGAGATTGCATTACAATTCAAGGAAGCAGTTGATAATGCTTTAAGTGGGACATCTGAACCACCAAAAGTTGATGCTGATAGTAAGTTAAATAATTCTGAAGATGTCGTTTTCGTAAATGAAATACAAGCATCAAATGAAGACAAGCAGAAAGCTAGGGATCTTATGCTACCTGAAAATTTCTATAACTATGTAAATAAGGAACCATGTCAGGGATGCAGAGGTTGTGATGATTCTGATAAAATTCCAGTATCAAATATGGTGACATCAAAATCGATAAAGACTGATCCTGTAAGTTCAACTCCTCTGAAGACCTCATCTCCATCCAATTATCAGAGTCCAGTTAATTCTTTGTATGGTACTCCTACCAATCTCGACCGAACAATTGATACTACTGTGTTTAGAACACCTTTAGGAGCTATTGGGTCAAATACGTCTTCTGTTTTTGCTAACTCGGCTAACAACAGTGTTGTTGAAAAAGACTCGCCTGATAAAGAAAATACTTTGACTAACAGTTCAAGTTCAGAAAACTCACAAAATCCAGCGACAGTTATTAGCGGCAGTCAAGATTCCTCCTTGTCGGTCAACTTATCAACCACAAAGTCTTGGATTTTGGCTCCACCAAAATTAAGTGTACCAAATAAAGAAGAGTCTAAAAATGTGTTTGGTTTATCTCTGTTTGGTGATAAGAAATCTGCATCCTGTGAGAACAAATCTATATTTGGCAGCAGTGGGGTTTCAACAAACAAATCAATATTTGGATTTAATCTACAAAACAATAAGAGTGATACACAATCGTCTGAGAGTGGCTCCATATTTTCATCTGACAAGCCCGTTAATTTATTCAGCAGCTCTTCAAGTGGAAGTATATTTGGGCCCGCAGCCTTAAAATCTAACCAGTCGGGTCCTCCAACGGGATTTTTCTCTTCTGTTGGTACATTCACCTTTGGTTCACAGAACAAAGAACTAATCTTTGGTGCAAAGCCTGCAGATGCTACTGCTTCTGAAAAAAATACTACAAATATCAAGGATACTTCTCCCAGTGAAACACACGATTCAAAGAAGGATACACCTAAAGAAGAAAAAAGCGTGTCTGATAATGCTCTCTTCAAAGCGGACAATGCTTCATTTTCGGCATTATCGTCGAGTGGTCCTGGATTTAACCTCAAAAGTAATATGAAGCATATATTTGTTTTCTTTCATAACTTCATTGTAATGTATATAAATAACACATATTTCTTATTACAGAACAAGCTAATTTCCAGTGGGAAGGTGCTGGCCAACAACTTTTCTCAAGCATGACTAAAAAAAGTGGTAATTCTGGAAATACAAATGACGACTCCGGGGCGGCTGAGGAGGAGTATGACCCACATTACGAACCGATCGTGCCTCTACCCGACAAAATCGTAGTCACAACGGGTGAAGAAGATGAGGTATACAAACAAAATTAAGATCTACTTTAATCAAAACCTATGAATAGCGTATTGATTTCAAATATACAGTATTTATTAAAAAATGATACAGTAGTTATGTATTCAGCCTTTATTTCCATCATTATACTTAAAGGAAAAACTGTTCGGGGAACGCTGCAAACTTTACCGCTTCGATGAAAAAACGAGAGAGTGGAAGGAGCGCGGTGTTGGAGAAATGAAACTCTTATATCACCCTGAAAAGAAAAGCTACAGGTTACTGTTACGAAGAGAGCAGGTACATATTTTTTTTGGAAATTCGTTGAAACTTTATAAGTATGATACATATTTATAATTTCTAACACAATTATTTAATATAACAGGTTCTAACACAATTATTTAATATAACAGGTGTACAAAGCTGTGCTGAACATGCTGCTGTTCATGGACCTGCAGCTGTTGCCGACGAAGAACTCGGAGACCTCCTGGACGTGGGCTGGAAGGAACTACGCTGAGAGCAGTGGAGATCAAGAGACGTTGGCTGCTAAGTTTAAGAACGTGACCATCTCCACCGCCTTCTACAACAAGGTCACGGAGTGTGTGAGGGTAGGATTTAATTTATCATTATAGAAAATAACACAGAATCATTTATTTCTGTATTTTAAAAAATAAGGGATGGAGATAATAATATGTTGACAGTATATAGATTATAGACTACATTGTATATGAAAGACTATTTTAAATTTATTTACTAATAATAAAAGAGTTTATTTTATAATGTTCTCATTTAAAATAGAAATTATTTGTAAATTCATAAATTTACTTTCAATTTAGATAATTATAATTTATTCCATCCAATTGTTATTATAGCTATTAGCTTTCCAGACTAATAAACAAATTTGTATCTTAAAATAAGTTTAAATCACCTTTTAAACTATGTTATTTATTTAAATGTTATGCAGAAACTACAAGCTGCAGCAGCGGAAGCGATAAGACAAGAGAAAGACAAACAAGAAACAGATACTAGTGATGGAATCACACCGCTACGACTACCAAAACACTTGACGGAGTCCTCGCGCGCAGACAGTTCTTTGGTTGCCTCATCATCACAATCAGTACAAGAAGGAAATAGAAGAGAAAGTTCCCAAACAGATAACCAACAAAACGGCCAAGTCAGCAGCTCACAAGAAGCTAATGAATCGTTAAAACAAGTACACTTTGAAGAAGATCAAGTTGATTACGACGATTGTAATTATGATCAAGAGGACTACAACGAACATTCCGGTGGATATTATAATGAGGTTTGTATTTATTGTATTGATAGTTATTTAAATAATCTTGTGATATGAAATCGTTCTGATAGACGAGAAGCACAAGTCAGACATTTTGAGGCCAGACATGCAAATGTTTTAAATTTCTATCACTTTATAAACATACTAATTAATTGGAAAAGTATTTTCTATCAATATAAAATGTAATCGTGTATTCAAATCGATTTATCCAAATAAAAAGAATATTTTAATATAGTTGTTCGACATAAGCATATCATATTATAAAATATTATAACAGATGTTTTAGTTGACCGACAGTTGTGTTTGCTTTCGATTATAGAGAAACTATTTACAGAATTTTATAAAGCTTTAACATTTTAAAACCTACGTTATACATGTAATACAGATTTAAAAAGACGATTAGGCACATGATTACTAAAACGGTTTAAATATATAATTAATCTTAGTAAAACATTTACTATAAATGTAACTACATATATTATGTGACATGATTAAAAAATAGAGTATCTTTAATATTTTATTATATACTTTGATAATGTCGAAAACTAAATAAGTTCTTTAATAATTCGTTAGCCAGAAAATTCGTTATATTTTTTTATTTTAAAATCATACGAAATGTTGTTGATCTTTCAGGATGAAGAGACAGCTATGTATTTCCCTTGCAAGGCGGTGATTCGTCGTGGAGATGAGATCACTTCATGTGAGGACACACACGTGCAGGTCTCCTTCGACCAAGACGTCTGCTCGCCCAAGGTCATGGTCACGGACACCAACACAGGGGAAATACTCGCTGACATGCTCATACACGCAGACACTGAGTTCCAGGTATTTATAAATACTAGAAGACCCGGCGAACTCCGTATCGCCCTATCCGTGTTTTGGAGTGCGGCCGAATGATTGACATATTAGTTAGTTGTCAAATCTAATGTAAAAAAAACGTTTGTATCAACAACTACTAATAAATTAAAAAAACATTGTCCAGCGGACAAAATTGTGAATCTAAATCATTCCCAGATCCACTTGAACACACACAAAATTTTTTATCAAAATCGGTCCAGTCGTTTGAGAGAAGTTCAGTGACATACACACTCACAGAAGAATTATATATATATAGATGTACTTAGTTTTGAATGATAACTGGGCTATATATAAGCAATAATTCTATTTATTCTCTAATAATAATTCAACATTCATCCTCAAGCAGTATGCCCATGCGAGCTTATTTTACCTGTTTCTTCTTAGTAAAGGATATATTTTAATTAATACTAATACAGGGTGACTGGTGAATTACTATCAATACTTTAGGACGTGATATTTGACGATCATATATGACAAAATAAAAATTAATATAACATAAATATTAATAAACTTCTGAGTAAAGTTAACCAAAAGTTATGTAATTAATTACGCATCGTGTGAACACCCTACAGATTAGGTACACACTGACACTCACACATACGCGTGTCGCGACGTAGTGTTGTATCCGCACGCCGCCGCACGCCTCCACACTTGAACACTTGGAACGTATTCACACTTTATTTATTTATACGGAAATTTTGTCAAAAATTAAGTACCTATTTTTTTTACATAATTCGAATGAGAATCATGTACCGAGTATGCTCCTTAAATATTGATAGTAATTCACCAGTCACCCTGTATATTTGTTTAACTTCAGTTGAACGACGAGTCGTGTTCGTGGACCGGCATGGACTACACCAGTAATGTATCCGTAGAGAAGACAGTCACCATAACATTTGCTGACTCCAACCTCGCTTTGGAGTTCTACGACCTGTGTGAGGTATGAACATGTAATTAACTATTTACTAACATTAAAAGAATAAAATTGTTTGATAGCTTCTTAAAATAAAAATATATACCTTATTATATAAAATAGTTCTTTTTAATTATTTTCTAAATTCTTTTCTTAGTTTTGTACTTAAAATTTCCATTGGTTATGTGTTTTCTTTATAACTGTTTTTAAATCATTTGGCTTAAATGACTATCAATTTATATCATATATCATCTGTGTACGTTAAATAACGTACATATTTTTGGCAGATTTTGTATATATTATAATGAGCACTATCACCAATAATAATTTTATAGGACACATAAGTGTATAGTTGTTTGAGAAAATGAGTATAAGTTTATTGTCGAACTTAGCAATACAATGTAGTGGGCGACAAGGCGTTAACAATTTAAAATAAGGAATTTATCATATACATATGTATGCCCCTTATCATTTTAAAATATATATTTTTTGTTCTAGACTAGCAAAGCTTCGACAGACGCCTCAACAGATCCGGAGTCATAGACACTTACTTAAGATATTAATTGATTATGTTGTGTTTGAATTTTATATAAGAAAGTAGCATTGTTTTCTTTTCTTTAGTCTTGCGGACTTAAAATGTGTTTATTAGAATTTATTTTATGTTACCTCTAAATACGATTACACATGATTTGCCATTTTTAAGAAAAATAAAGATTTATCGCTTAGACCTTAGCATATTATCATTAGAGTGTAAATGTATCTTCAAATCTAAAAATGAATCATTGACATGTCTATCATGAAAACGGTATTCGAATTTCCTTAATTATGTTCCAGGTCTAAGCATGTTAATAGAGAAGTTTCTTTCATAAAATTAATATTTTTTTGCTTTGTATTGTGTAAATGATTATTCATTTGATATAGAGGCAGGCTGCATGTCTTTGTGGGCTGATTGATGGTTAGTGAATGAACAATTTGTAAAAGAATGATTGTAATTAACACACTGTCAGATGTTGATTTTTAAACTTGAATATATCTTATTATTTTCTATATAAATGTATCATAACACAGAGCAGCCTCGCCGAGTATTCATATAATAATGTAGAATTAAAATTTCATATTGTTTTATAAAGAGATCTGATCAATATCTTATTTTCCTTTAAAAGGAATTTTTGTAGCGCTTGTGTAATTTAATATGCTTAATTTGTTTATATTTTTCTATAATTAATAAATTGATCAGGTCTTTTTGAATCGACTGAAACATTATATTTTTCATCAATATTCTCATAAACCGAATTTTCATCAGAAACTTATGTGACTTCAGCTGAAAGCTTTTTAAAAACTAAAGTATATTACATAATTGGAACATTAAAATATAATAATTCTTTAAAATTTTAATTAAAATCATATTTCAGGAATTGGATGTCCTTTAATCCTTGTGTCATTTAAATAAATTGTTTACTATCTTATTTAATGATTAAATAAATAAATAAATACATATGCCTCATTTCATTTATTAAGAATCCTAACATATTCTTTGAGACAAAACCTTCATCCAGAATGTTACTGTCACGGATGTTAAACATAAAATATATTATTGTAACTGTCCGGGACAAACATGTTTAAAAGAATTAAATTAATTATTATTTAACCAAAATATTTAGTTACATAATAAAAAGATATGTAACATTTTCTACTAAGAATTTAATTCCGGTATTGATATCAATGCAAGGAGGTTTTAGTTTTTGTTTAATATTATTTTTTTTTTAAGTAAGTGCTAGGATATTCTTTGATAAATATCTCATTATATCCAAACGTCATTACGATTGTTTTTATTAAAATGTATTATACTTTTGGTCACAAATAATGTTCGATTTAAGTTCTATAAAGAGTAAGTTCTTTATATAAGATGTTAAATAATTACTAAAATATTATTTATTGTTCGTATTTCAGATGTATTTCTTATAGTATATGTGATAAGTACAACTTATGCAGGAACAGTTCAAAAAGATAACAGTTTAAAAGAAAATGAAAATTCTCATTTGGAAGTGAGAGCTGTTATGATCAAGTGTAAAATAAAAGTAATTAATTATTTTTGTTGTAAGAATAATTTCTCGTACGATTCATTTATTTATTTGTAGAAGAACTTGGGCATCTTATGACTTGTCATTTTCACTGTATGTGATATGATAGGATATTTCCCCGTTTTTTGTATCATTAAATCAACTTACATTGTTTTAAACGTATGTTTTGGTTATTCAAGGAAACCCCCAGTGATGGAGCTGAGACCGATATAATTAGATTTCAAAGGGAAGAATTGTTTAAACATAATGCATTGCGTGATTGCAAACAAAAACTTACTGTCACCGTTAAAGCGTGTAGTGAACCCGGTGTAAGTGTTTTATAATTTATTTACATATATCTATCGATAGGTACAGCATACTTTATATTTTACAAAAACTATTAAATATTGTCGGTATTTCAATAATAAAACCGTAAACCGTAACAGGAGAAGTTTTTATAAAACTTTTGATTAAAATTGATATTGTAGCAAGATTCAGGAGACGAATATATACCGATAGAACATGTTCTGGGAGCTAATAGAAAACGTATACGTCTGCTTCATCCTTACGTTTTAAGGTTACAGAGACAACTGCCCTTCCAAGTTTACAAACTACGAAGAATAGATGTGGGTATTTAAATATTTTCCTTTATTGAACTAATTTCGTTTCATAATTATTCAGAAAATGTCAGTAGTAGAATGTAAAATAAGTATTTTGTAAGAAACAAAATGAGGTTTGGAGCTAATTGAGCCACGTAATAATGTACTAGGAATAGTTTAAAAAGAAAACTTAAAATTATATCGAAAGTCAAAGCTAGACCAGTAAATAATATTTGTACCTGTTGTTTATTTTTTACAGTTTTCTATTAAAACACTAAATAAAGAGTTTAAACTTTAAGCATAAACTCAATATATTATAGTCCGTTAGACTTACGCTAAGCTTTGCATTTGTGTGAGTGAAAGTAAAAGTAGAGTTAGACAAAAACTTTTAGAATTAAATTTTATTATATTTTTAATAGATACATAACATGAGTGCGAGAGCTATTCTAGATTAGAAATAAAATAAGCAAAAACTTGTAAAAGGCTAGATGTAAATATTATGGAAAAAAAAATATAATAATTGATATAAATGTTGAAAAAAGTACATATAGGAATTTTTCGTTATTTGACATTGCGTTTTCAACATTTCACGCTGCTACCAGTACAAAAGGTGAAGTGCGGAAGGTGCGGGGCGTAGTAAAAGCAGTACAAACCGGTCCAAACCTAGAAAAAAAACGTGGCATTCCAAAATTTGACATCACATCAACACTATCCGTGTGCACTCACACAAATGCAAAGCTCAGCTTATGCCTCGCGCACTACTATACGAGATTGTGAACCCAAATGTATCATAAAAAATAGCACTTTTCATTTATATTGTGAACATAATAAATAAGTATTTCTTGCACAGTTAAGAAGTAAAATATGGGTTCTTGATTTTTAAAAACTATTCTGTTATATGAGAGTCTACGTTTCAGACTGTCATCGGCATTATTGGCGTGCCTTCAGATAAATTGGTGTTCACAAATAGCAGTGTAACTATTTACATATATAGCCTTTTCATATAATTGGAGTTAGCAACACTTTAAAAAATGTTCGAAATTTCTTTTACATTTTTAGAAACGTTTACAACGAGACGCAAAGTCGATTAATTTTGACGAAAACCCCATCTCTGGTCTTGAATTGTTTAATACTTTCGAGGATGCCAATAAAAAACCCAGTTTTTCTATTAGAGTACGAGAGCCTAAGCATTTTACTAAAACAAGAGCTAAATATAATTTCTCTACTACTACTTGTGGTAAGTAATTTATTGAAATGAATTTATTATTGATAGTGTAATATTTAAATTATGACAAGAGAAGGAACTTGAGTTTTGTTTGACATGGGCCTTGTTTATTGTTGTTATCAACTATAATAAAAACTATATCGCAATATTTTTTTGAATAAACAATGGGATTGTTGTGTTTCGTTTTGTATTGTATTTATTGATAACGCAAATGTGCATTTATATCTCCGATTGAAATTACAAAATTATCTTCAATATTTTCCAATTTACTTAACTTTTTAAAATAGATATTCTTTACTTTATAATACTACAAGAAGCAATGAGTTGCATACCGTTATATTAACTTCAGCAACAAAAAGTTTGCATTTGAAAGTAATATTTAATGGCAAGATAAATGTCGGTTGGTTCCCTCACTATTAAAGTTAATAGCAGATATTTTATTAAATAATATATAAGTGGTTTGATAAAAACAATACAAGATGCAACTTTGTACAATATTATTTATTATATAAATTAATTAAAGTTTTAATCGCGAATCTTGTCATTATTGTTATGAGTATTCATTATCATAGTTGTCATCCATGTATATTTCGGTTTTGATTTTCTTCTCCGGTGGTTCGTCGAAAGTATTCTGTTTGTCTTTTGTTTGTTCCGGATCTTGGCTTTGTCCTGAAAGCTGTTCTTCGGCGTTTATAATAACAGCAAATATCTTTTTTTTTACTTGTGTTTGCATCCAATGCGGCATCGTTTTAGTACTCTGTAACATGCAGTTGAAAAATGATTCAAGGGCATCTGAGTCTTGTTTGGATTCAGTTTTACATTCACAGCGATTTCTTAATGTATTCGTCATTACACTCTCAGCGTTTTCGGTTGTAGTGACATCTTGTTCTGAACTTTTTGTTTGACCAGTTGAAAGTGGATCAATTTCTATATTCTCTGTTATTCGGTACTTCATGTGTGGTTCAAGAAATTGCATTACTTTAGCATACTTCCAAGTCGTTATTTGCGCCGGTAATAATTTATTCTTGCCCAGCTTAGCTCTTTTAAGAGCGTCCCGGTGATTGTCACGCAACTTTTTCCATTCAATTTTCGCTACTTGTACTGAAACCAAATATTTAGTTCTGATAAATATATCTATTTACGAGTATTTACTTTGTTTGTTTAAAACATAGATATTTTTTAACGATTACTTATTTAACTAAATCATGTTTAAAAATTATTTATATTAGAAAAAGAATACAATAAATTATAAATCATTTAAATCATTTTCTCGTTAAGAAAATCTTAAAACAAACCAATATTAGGTACTTATTGTTAATAATACATTAATTTTTATTATTAATTATGAAAATATAATAAACATAGTAACAAATACAATCTATATTACTTAGCAACTTTACATTTAATGATTAAATTCCTCAACTACTTGTTGATTATAATTCAGTATTCACATAACAATAAGTAGGTATCCGTACTCGAGATAGAACGAGTTTCGACCTTAAATTAAATCACTTACTGTTAGGAATCGAGACATTGTTATAATGATCAACAACTCGTTGCCAGGCTTCGTCTTTTGTGTGCATCTCACGATAATCTGGATGTAGAGGGTTCCACAAGCAAGGTTGTAATCGTACGCCTTCAATAAACGCTTCCATTTGTTATAAAAAGTGTGCGGTAACTTGTTTAGTGACTTATTAGTATACGACTGGTGTAGCTTGGCCGGGCCTCGCGCTGACTCGCGCTGGCTCGACCGTGTACGTTTTCTCCCCTCTCTATCGATTTCAAAACTAGTTTTTGAGAACGTGATTGGAAAGTACTTACACACACATACAATATTGCCTAATGCACACGCGTCAAATAACACAGAATATAAGTACAATGACTTTTTCTTATTGGTTCTGATATTTTATAATGATTTATTATTGCAAATAATGTTTCTACTACATTAACAATTAAAACAATGTGACTTTTCTTTTTTATCAATATATTTCCGTAACTTTTTTATTATGATTTAAAATGTAAAATGAAAAACGAAGAAGGATATTTTTTTTATAATTACTTGTATTGGTTATACAGGTTACATTTACAAGGAGATATCACTTATTTAGTTAAATTTATCCTTTCTCGCATAAATGGATCCAGAGCATATTAAATCCTTATACATAATCCTTATTAATAAGTCTTTATTTCAGGTGAAACGATTATTTACCATCAGATAAATGAATCTTTAGTAAAACGGTTCAAACGTAAAGCAAAGAATCATAAGAAAGAATATATCGATAAATGGAAAGCTAGTGAAAGCAGTGATGTTAATATAGACAAGGATATAAGTTTTGATGAAGAACATTTTAATACAAATAGCTTAAATGATGAAGGGGTGAATCACAAAGAAATTCAAACATCAGACATAAAAAAATCCGATGTATTAAACAGCCGTCGATCATCTTATTTTGACTCCTCTAAAACAATTGAACAAGAAAAGGAACCTGTCGCTGAGGAGGAAGTGTTAAAAAATGATCAATCTGAAACTGTTAAAGGTGGAACAAAAATGTTTGCTCTTTACGAGATAGGTGATCCCGACTTGTATTACAACGCGCGCATTCAACTTTTTGAAAAGTTGAGTACAGCGGAGGGTAAGACAGTGTGGAACGACTTAACAATGGATGAAATAGCACGGTCAATAACATAATGATTATATACAGATTATATTATAATTATATATTATTATAGAGCCATAACGTGTATTACAGTGTGAGTTCCATCCATCCGGAGTGGTCGGATCGTGATATAAACGTTAGATACAAACCAATAAACTGGCTTCCGAGAGAAAAATTTACATTACCACATAAAAGATTATCTCTTGTTGTGCCACTGAGAATGGATAGTGATAATCCGATTTTCGGTAAATCATTAATTCTATAACACTTAATTTTACTTCAATGACGATCTTTAAATACATATATAAATCTTTAAATCACTGTTTCGAATAAAACCATTATAATTTTATGTGGCAGCTATATAACGCAAGTCGAATTAAAAATACAAAAATCCTTTAACACATTTCCTCATATTTGACTTTTAAAGTATTTTCAATTTTTTTTGTTTTATTCAAAGATAAACACGGAGACTTTGTTATTGTACCCAACAGCGATATAATAACTGTTAGCGATGCTAAATTATTAAATAAAAGAGATAAACCTAATAACTTAACTGAGACTTCGAAACAAGAAAGTACAGTAAAGGTAAACTATATTAATTGCTTTTAAAAAATAATAATAATAAATAAAAATTCTTTATTTTCTTTAACAAGTTTGTACTTAAATATAAAGTTATTGGAGTCTCCTTTTAAGCCTAAATGCTTTTAATAAGTGATTGTTTATAATTGATTTCAATGGTAACTTAAATGCTGTTGAAGCTAAAGCGTCAGGTCGTCGTAAGAGTTTCGAGGGCACTGATGGCAGGAAGTGCAGCGCGTCTTAAAATTATTGCTCGCGGTACTGAACATTTCTTAAAATTGCCTCATACAAAACGTTATCACGCGCAGATTGATATAGAAGGAAGGGCTGATAATAACGAACTCGTCTTTGTAGGGTTAGTGATTTTGAGATTTCGATTGCATTAAATGAGTAATATGCTTATTAAAGTATTAAAGACTTTAGAATAATGACTCAGTTATTTACATTTGTATTCTCATATTGTAGTGCTTTCGGACGTCTCACAACCATTGTTTCGGACACAACTAGAAAGTCCCGTTCAATATTAACAATTCAAGCCACAAACACAGGATTAGCTGCAGCACGTTTTCGGTAAAAAATCCTTATTATCGTTGTTAAATTGTGTAAAAATCTGTAGGTATAATTAAATAAAAATAGAGTCAAATTAATTCATTTCCAGTTTTAGTAAGTAGGTCTTCATAAATCAATAATTGCACAAATCATCATCAATTCCCAAATCAATCAATTAATAGAAGGTGTACTAATTAGAAGTACGAGAAAATATTTTACTCACTATAGTTCTGGTTTTACATAATATTCCATGATTTTTTTCCATTCCTTAAAAACAAAACGAATTTTTAAATAACCGTTTCAGAGTCGTAACAAGAGAATGCCATCCTGAGTTATCAAACCAAGATTTGGGGAAAAACGAAAATACAATCGAAGGTCCTATTTTATTAGCTCCGAGACATTCTGGAACGTTTCGTCTTAATATCCCTATAGAAAATGCTATTGAAAGTGCACACTGTGTGGGTAAGGCTTAAAACAATTTAACTGCTCTTTTAAAGTGAAAATAGTAGTCTAAAAAGCCTAACCTAATAATAATACGAAACTACAATGTGGTGTGAGGTGTCTGCTAACTCCAAGTTTCCATAAACACATTAAATAAGAAGTATTATTGGCTTTTCATTCAAAATTCTTCACCCAACAAATTATTAACATGGTTACCTAATGAGCAAAAACTTGTGTTAAGTATAGAGTACGTATCTCTCTCAAGTACGTCTTCATTATCTACACGACATATGTACATTATCCTGTCTAATAGTATCATTGTAATCAGTTAGTATGTTGTCAAGGCTTTCGAATGAAACTGTTGAGGAAAATGGAACAACACCTCTAGAGTATAATAAAATTAGTCCTATATATATATTTTTCTTTATGAATTTTTTTTTATAATTCTTTGAAAAAAAAACTTATAATAGGAATTCTTATAATCTAATAAATCGCTTAGAATTTTGTTACAGTACATTCTACTGAGTAGAATAAAGTTTGTATAAAATAATTATAATAAAGCTTTTTGTACATTTTAGGAATGAAAATTTAATCTTATTTTTATTTCTTACTAGCTTTCCGCCCGCAGCTTCGCCCGCGTGAAGTCCGTTTATATCGCGTTTCCAAGAGAACCTTTCAAAAGTCTGGGATAAAAACTATCCTATTTTCTTTCTCAAGGTCAACTCTGTCTCTGTACCAAATTTCATTAAAATCAGTTCTGTGGTTTAGGCGTGAGAGCGTAACAGACAGACAGAGTTACTTTCGCATTTATAATATTAATAGGGAGTAGGGATATTGATATTGTGATGTCTTTTACATTATTATTATTTGTGAACACTAATTAATGAAATTTAAATACGTGTTTATTATTTCAAATTAATATAATCTTACTTAACCTATTTAGAAATATAATATGTATACGATATCTCCAGCAAATTTGTATCTGTCTCTTCGTCTGTCTGTTTATTTGTGTGAAAGGGTTAGTTAGTTCCACTGTCACCTAGTTATTATCTGACGAAAAGTCCTCGCAAAATCAAATGAAACCTAACAAGTATATCTCAAAGGGGATTTAACATATAGACGAAGTCGCTGGCAACAGCTAGTTACGAATAAATTACAAACTTATCACGATAAGAGTTAGCAAATACTTTGATGGTTTAATAAATTTTAAATACTATTAATACTATATATTTGCCTTTATAAAAAAAAATACTTAAAATACCTATATACTTTCAAGTATATATAGGTATGTATTTATACATAAATATCATGTTATTTTTCAGTGTCTTTGGTCAATCAAGACGATGAATCAGTAGCAATTCGAAATGTTAGGATCATAAGAGACGACCGTTGCTATTGCGTTTGGCATTGTGATTGTGTTTGTTTAAGTAGGTCCTAAACGTATTTCCAACGACTATCTTATACTCGTGAGCATGGCTATATACTCGTATAGCCAATAAAACATATAAATGTATGAATGTTGATCGAAGATTTCAATTAGTGAGATCTAAGTTTTTAGTTTTATTCATTTAAATGAAATTTATAAGTTTTTGTAAATACCAAACGCGTCTTTATTTTTGATAAAAACTACATACTCCCGACGTTTCGGCTACTTTTCAGCAACCGTGATCATGGGAGCCGAAACGTCGAGAGTATATATGTAGTTTTTATCAAAAATAAAGTCACGTAGTATGTCCGAAAAATATTAGTTTCATTTAGAAGATTTCAAAGTTAATAATATTATAATTATTTAGGTGAGGATCCAAAATTGTTATGTCGCGAGTTACCTGAAGCTCAAACAGCGGCCGCTGGTCTGTCTGTCAAGGATCGTTCGCGTCGCGCTCGCTCTGTGTGCTATCCTGATATCATTACAATAAATTTATTTGTGACTTTTGTTGGCGTTCTGTTAGCCTTATTGCTTTTGGGTAAGTATATGACATTCTTGTCATAAAAAACTCAATCTAGAACTAGTGAGATAAATTTGTATCATTAGATAGGAGATTTCGCTTTGATTGTACTCGTAAGCGAATTTAAGGAATGTCGCAAACCAATTTCTGATCAGATAATCCGATGGCTTAATTTTACAAACATTACACCTAGCTATTAAAGGCATGATATCGCAATTACGTCACTTGAGTATTCACATGTAACTTTTAAGGGAATTACTATAATGCTCTTTATAACACCATAATAAAAACTTAATTCAATATAGTCTTGCTGGACAAAAAATTCTTAGACAAAACATAATTTGTATTTTAGGACTTGTTAAAGCTGTCCTTGGTTTAATATTACCGTGTGTCGCTTCGAATGGTCTTTACCGCTTATTCCAAAAGCCCCGGAAGATAGACCATTATTATGAGAGCTGTCTTCGAGCTCGAGAAGTTATTTACGACGCGGACGGATGGCCGATCCATCCTGACTCTAAACAACGGAACGTAAGGCTCGTCAGCCTGTGAGTTACTTATTAATTATTATATTTTATTATTTGAATAAAAATTATTCCATACAGAGGTACAGAATAAAAAGAGAGTTATAAAATCCGTATTATTATTTTCAGTCCCATGGAATTCATCTTAAATCTTATGTTCTTTATCATCCTACCTTGTATTATGATTTGGGAACTTCTCAGTAAGTTGACATCACGGTTCAGAGAGAAACACGACTCAATGAACGACCGCGGACAGAGGGATGACATTAAGAAATGTTTTAGCACTCAAGATGTTCAGGTACCTCCCTTAACTAGCGTAGTGTAAATGAAATTCCCATACAGCAAGGAATTGCACTTTTTTCTACACAATCCTTGTGTATTTTGATCTTTATCATGTAATTTATTTTAGTTTAGTATGTAAAGTGCAATTCCTGGCTGTTTTAGAGCGGGAGGCATCGTCTACGCCGCCGTCGTGATATGCTGCAGCGATGGATGACGCCACACGCGGAACAACTCTCCACTGACATTTGGAAGGACGAGTTGACGCCGAGATCCACTCCGAGTGACTCCGTAAGAAAATAATAATAAAAAAAAATTATTAATTTTTTTTGTCCATTTACAGGTACAATTTATTTGATCTTTGAAACGAATGTATTATGTAATTGAGTTATAAGATATTGTATCTATAATTTAACGAGTAGGTGACCTTTAAATGAAACTACTATATCTTCGGAATAAGGTCGTGTAATGTTAATTAATATGGGAGACTTTCGTCTTGTCCTCCAATAAACATGTTTATTGAAGAGTAATCGAATTATCTGTTATCAGACTCAAAGATCACACAGTATCGATTGTGCGAGATGTAGTCTAAGAATGTTGTTTTTATTTAAATAGCTATTAATTGCAGCCTCTCCTTATTGGAAAAAACTGCTGTTCAACAAACAAAGAACCAACGATTTCTTCGGATTCTGACCAAGAAGATACCGAATATGTTTTGATGCAAATGCAAAAGAGTAGGGAGTCCCTTGCGGTAAGAGAACAGACAAAAATTCTTGGATAATAAAGAATTATTAATAATGTATCAAGTTATTAATAAGCATTTTTTATGTTAATAATCAGAGATGTCAACAAAGTCATGCAGAGGGACAAACTGCATTTAAATGGAATAAAAATATTGGGTACGGTAACAAAAAGTGACCAAAATAGAGATATTAAAAAATAAACTGTATTTATTTCTAGATTTATATTAGAAAATATTCAATAAAGCGTTTTTGACATATTAAAATGTTTTTTATTTTTATTTTTAAATAACTTTAAAAAAATATTATACGAAGCAATTTATAAGATTATTTAAAATGTTCAAATATAATTTAGTTTACTAAAACTAACTATTAAGTCGTGTAGTCTTATTATCGCGATGATATTAGCTCACTACCATGTTTATTATTATCAGCAAAAAACGACGAAGACAGAGAGTGTTCTTATTTTTATCAGATTTATTTTTAAATGAGCAATAGCCGTTCAGAAATACAAATAATATTTGTAATTTGTACAAGTCCTGCTCAACTCATGCGTTTTCGATAACGTCATATGAATCTATACCAATATTATAAAGCTGAAGAGTTTGTTTGTTTTTTTGAAAGCGCTAATCTTCGAAACTACTGGTTCGAATTGAATAATTCTTTTTGTGTTGGATAGTCCAGTTATCGAGGAAGGCTGTAGGCTATATAACATTACGCTACGACCAATAGGAGCAAAGATATAGTGGTAAATGTGTAAGAAACGGGAGAAATTACTTCATCTTTGAAGCCTTCCGTTGCGTGCGCCGTGAAAACGGTTCAAGATACACAAAAAATATGTGTTAAAGAATAATAGCTCTTTTAATGATCTAAAAAACAGTCCGCGACAGTACATGTCTATCTTTTAAGATTAACTCACAAAAACCGTTTTTATGGTACCTAATTTGGTCGAAATAATTTGTTTAAGTTGTATCAACATAATGATATTAATCTTTATTCAAATAAACAAATAAATATGTTGTTGAATAAGAGTACTTCATCTTCTATATATATAAAAATGGATTGCTGTTCCTTAGTCTCGCTAAAACTCGAGAATAGCTGATTTATTTTATTTATCTTATCTTAGTCTTGAAATGTTCGTGGAGGTTCAGGGAAGGTATAAAAGCTGAAAAAAATTGATTCATTACTGGGAAAACCATAAAAACAGCCCTTTTCTATTTCCCATACAAACGTTGTCTTTGACATTAGATTTGACAACTTACTAATATGTCAATCATTCTGTTCGATTGAAACAGGAAAACCTAACTATTTGTGGTCTCTAAGACGGTATAGAGTTCGCCCGGTTCAATACATATGTTACTATACATGACGAAACTAACGCGGACGAAGTCGCGGGCAAAAACTAGTTGTGAATAAAATTGTCTTTGACATAACTTAATTTCAACAAAAAACTTTAAAGATTAAAATTAATTACTTTTTAAACACAGTTTCATTTTGTAGTGTTTTCTATATAGTAGGTACCTTATTTGTTTTACGATAGTATTTAGTTACACAATAATAACACCTTTTTGTTTTCATGTAGATTACTTATTTATAAGTATTTGTTTTCCATAAGTATAGTATTGTTTGTTTTAAAAATAGTATGTATTTAGTTTCTAATATTTTTTTTGTGGTACATAATACCTGTAGGTGCCTAAATAGGTGTCGCCTACTTAATTATTCTTATTAGATTAGGGTTTAGTTTAAGCATAAAGTTAGTTTACCTTATTTTCATTTTACGTTTGTTCTTTTGACATAATTGTTAAAAATAAAAGTAATTAGGTTCCTAATTATTAATCTTCTTAATCTTACGTTTCTTTTTTTTATTCCGGGATACGCTTTAGTTAAGTTTTCATATTCTACGTTTTTTCTTCATCACTATAATTCCGAGAAAAAGAACTCAGCTTTCTCGGCAGACTGCTACTGCAAAACGGCTGCGAGTTTTGCGCAGCAATAAAACTGAGGATGAAAATATGCATAGGTTGGCTAGACAACGAGCAATTACTGAACAAAACCGTGCAAGGGAATCGAGCGTTGAACGTTCGCAGCGTTTAGCCTGTCAAAATTTCCGAACTTTGGCGAACCGGCAACGGGAATCGAGTGCTGATCGTTCTCAAGATCGGGTTGTGGCGAAAATCAATATGTTCTTCTGCCACAAGATAATAAAACAAAAAATGTAGTATATGCAGAAGTTCTTAAAAATAAATAAATTTACTTTAAAATTGTACAGATATAGTTTGGAACTCGAAAAAAAACAGGTTTTATCCTGAAAATTCTGCGGGAACTCGATCATTCCGAAAATCATGCAAGAACGGGAACTATGTGGGAAGAACCAAAAATCTGCCGGAAGTCACTATTCCACGCGGACGAAGTCGCGGGCAAAAGCTAGTATCTTATAAGGCATAACATATAGTCCGTAATATTATTACGCATGTTAGTTGTTGATAATAAGGATGCACAATCTGTTATAAATAGTTATCAGAATAATTTGAACAAATACACATAAGCTGCAAATGGTTTAAAGATGTTGGCCTTTAACATTATTTTGTTGACTTATTTCTTATTAAGGATTTTTAATTTTTGTGAAGTAATATTAGCTAAATTATTTGTAAATCCTAAGGCTTAACTAAAATGAGATTCACGTAATATTAAAAATATCTCAACTTGCAATACAAACGTTAACTATTTCTTAAATGAAATAATATTTTAATATTTACCATGATTTCATTTTGATAGAATGTAGTCGGTGAAAATAAACTCGCTTTTAGCTCTATGACCACAGCTGACAAACGTCATGTTTATTGACAATTAATGAAAGTTGACATCTTTCATCATCGCCGCAATATTTGTGTAATATAATTACCTACTGAGTTTTGCGATAAACTATAACTTATTTTTATATTTCGTAATAACAAAATCTTCATTTACTATCTTATCTTTGTGTTATTCTAGCATCTTGAAACATTGAGTTATATTACGGCAACACAACTCGGCTATGTGAGTTATGCGTGTTTTAATCAGACCGTTCGCTATATTTAGGCAAGCTGTGCGGACGAATAGTGCTGTCCAATTGAAAAATACATTTACGACAGGTAAATAGTTGTAGTATCGAAGTGAATATTTGTCCTTGCGTCTTAGTTAATATTTATAGTAATCTGATATAATATGAATATTTTGGGATGGTTCCAAAATTAGAAGTTACGATATAAACATTTATCATTTTAGCTTTAGTCTGGAGAGCCATGGAAGATAAGGAAGCGCTAAAAAAACGTTTGACGCCACTTCAATACCATGTTACCCAAGAGGCTGGGACAGAAAGACCATTTACTGGTAGATATAGTTTTTTTAATTATTAAAATGTGTAAGTTTATAAATATAAAAGTTTTTAATCTGTGTTTCTTCTTCTAGGTTGTTTTAATAAATTTTATGAAGAAGGTTTATATGTGTGTGTAGTGTGTAAGCAAGATTTATTTAGTTCTAAAACCAAATTTGACTCTGGCTGTGGCTGGCCAGCATTTAATGATGTGTTGGCCAAAGAAAAAGTAACTTTACACCAGGATACTAGTGCAGGTATATTCTTCAACTTTTTTATGAAAAATAATAGAATTATTTAAAAAAAAAACAATTTTAATAGCATGTTGTATTATAAGCCTGGTTGAAACACAATTAATTTATAGGCATGATGACTTTAGTTAAAATATGTTTAACATCTATTTAAAACACATTGCTTTGATCTAGACCATTGTACTAAGTCATGCATAACAATTTGCAATGTCATTGTAGAATAGTCTAGATTACATTGGATACAATGATTTAACAAACAGACTTCATAAGATTTAATCTATTTTCTTTATTGTGGTGGCGGTTTTATCATTTCATGTTGCAAGTAAAACATATTTATCATTATTTTATCAAAACATTATTATCTATCAATAGGCACAGAACATGTATTACAACAATAGCTAACACAAGGTCAATTTGCCCTTGTTACACATTTATGGCTGCACAATGCCATTGCCATTTTTAGTCTTATAACCATATGTTGCATAATTTAACCTTCAACTTGAGAAATGTATTAATGACTAAAAAAGGCAATGTTCACAATTCATTTAATATACTAATAAAATGGTCATATTATACAGGGTGACTGGTGAATTACTATCGATATTTGAGGACGTGATATTTGACGATCATATATGACAAAATAATAATAATTAATATAACATAAATATTAATAAACTTCTAAGTAAAGTTAACCAAAAGTTATGTAATTAATTATGCATCGTGTGAACACCCTACAGATTAGGTATACACTGACACTCACACATACGCATGTCGTGACGTGGTGTTGTATCAACACGTCGCCGCACGCGTCCACACTTGAACACTTGGAACGTGTCAACACTTTACTTATTTATACGGAAATTTTGTCAAAAATTAAGTGCCTATTTTTTTTACATAATTCGAATGAGAATCATGTACCGAGTATGCTCCTTAAATATTGATAGTAATTCACCAGTCACCCTGTATTTTATGTAACACTTATATCATGGTGTTTTTGTTGATTTAATTCTAAGTATTGAATACTAACACATTTCTGTTTACATTTTTAAACTCATGAATACTTTTACTATATCTGTCAAAGGAATTACTTGACATTAGTTTTTGGTAAAAATCTTGTCTTTAATATTATGACTCTTGGTAATATATTTTTTTATTTTATATTTAATATTATTTTTACATATTTTTTAACTATTTTGTATAACCCTATACAGAAAAGAACTTTTTAAATGTTATGGTAAAAGATTTTATTATTTTTATATTTATTTTTTGTATTCTCTTAATTTAATTGGTGTCGGAAAACTGATTTGGTGCTAATATATTTTAATATTTTTTCTGTCTCTCCATTCCCTTGACCACCCTTTGTATTATCCTTTCCTACATTTTAAATGTGAGCTGGGTTTTTTTTTTGTAATCTGTGTTACTTCATTTTTATTTACCATAATGCTCTATTTATTTTTTTCCATTTCCATTTAACTCTTCTCATTATATTTGTTTATATCTTTTAATTGGCTTAATTTTCACTTCAAACACGACATACTAAAATCATGTGACCTGAAATGTGCTGTTATACAATGATTGAATCATCAATAATTCCTCAATCACAATTACATAACTGGTATGTGCATGACAATAATATGCATTGTTCCTCGTATCCCACATGCCCAATCACCTGTAATCCTTCCTTCCTTTCCATTTACAACCGGCTGCCGACTGGATGGCGTCTCCTGGCTCCGCCGCTGCGACGTTATACCCACTACATCTCACGACACGAACACGGGTGAAATTCATATTGGATGTTGATGTTCATGGCGGTTATATTTATCATGTGATGTGTAAATAATTGGCTTAACGGTGGACGGACTCGGGGTTGAAATAAAAAGTTGGGGCAAATATATTACTGGTTTTAACACGACCAGGTATGGTGCGAACTGAGGTGCGATGTTCCAAGTGCTCGGCACATCTGGGCCACGTGTTCAATGACGGGCCGGCACCCACCAAGAAAAGATTTTGTATTAATTCAGCCTCCTTGGACTTCATACCGGCTGAAGAACGGACCGATTGAGTTGTACGAATATATATTAGATGTACTATACATAGCAGAATTAATATATATTATTTATTATTGTTATATATTGTACGTAATGCAAGTCAAATTATATCGGGTCATCAATATAGCTTCAGATACTTATATTAATCTACAGCTTAAGTAGAGGTTTATTTTTATAATCCATTAACAAAACTGTAGTGTTTTACAGCCTTATTTTGTATGAAATAATCTAATCGTGTATTTCTGATCACAATACCTAAACATTACTGTCGTTAATTAGACTTGGACTGCTTTGTCAAACACTTTTTAAAAGATTTATTTTTAATCGGAAGATTATGTGCAGGTTTTTAAGATTTACCTACATGTCTTTTGTGGCATAGTTATCTAAAGAATACGTACTTTCAATTGTAGTAAATGATAAATTCCTAATGAATCTTATAGAACAGTCCGAGACAATTTTCTTGTTATTTATGTCTTACCTTAAGTTACCACAGAATCGAGTCAGTAATTTTACGTGTGCAGCTTTTAAGTTTTTATTATTCACTTAATTTGCAACTGAGTACAAACTATGTTTAATAATGATATTTATACTTATGATATTCTCAATAAATATTTTATGATATAACGTTTTATTTATTTCGCAATCACCATAAATTTGACACTCTCTAAAATCCAATGCCATCGTCGTATATTTCAAAAATAACACTACTCATTTCTAGTTATTCCAATAAAATATCTATAAGATTGAAATGTTTATTGAGCAATGTTTTTGCATAGGGTTTTTAGTCCTGGTGTCCTGGATAGTTCAACCAATATGGTAGGACATCATAAAACAATATACAGGGTGACTGGTGAATTACTATCAATATTTAAGGAGCATACTCGGTACATGATTCTCATTCGAATTATGTAAAAAAAATAGGTACTTAATTTTTGACCAAATTTCCGTATAAATAAATAAAGTGTGTACACGTTCCAAGTGTTCCTAGTGTGGACGCGTGCGGCGGCGTGCTGATACAACAACACGCCGCCGCGCGCGTATGTGTGAGTGTGTAGTGTAGAGTAATCTGTAGGGTGTTCATACGATGCGTAATTAATTACACAACTTTTGGTTAACTTTACTTAGAAGTTTATTAATATTTATGTTATATTAATTTTTATTTCGTCATATATGATCGTCAAATATCACGTCCTCAAATATCGATAGTAATTCACCAGTCACCCTGTATATGTGTGTGTTTCCAGGTCTATGGTGTAAAATATAGACCAGGAAAGAAAATATATAGTACTCAATTTTTGTACAATATGTATAAATTAATAACCTTATAGGTGTTCTTAATCTATGTTAACTTTATTACAATTAAATTTGTAGATTGCAAGTAATTAAATGACGTACCTACACTACTTAAAAAAATTTATTAGACAATCTTTTCGAACATAACACACAAACATGAAATTTGGTAACTTAATTGTAGTACAATTTAGAAGAACTTTCAAACGAGACATCGTGTCCGGAATTCCTCTTATATAACACATTTCGAGGGGTGATGACAGCCACTTTCCAACAAATGGGCCATCTGCTTGCCCTCTATTAAGGGGGCGTTCATAAAATACGTGAGATGTTTAGGGTGGGGGGAGGGGGTCGAGTCAAATCTCATCTAATCAGCAAATACATATCACAATTTTTTTTTTAATGGAATAAAAAAAATATAGTATTTTGGTCCATTTAATCCAGATTGTATGATACATGCTTAAGATTTAATCTTAAGTGTCATCGTAATACGATTAAGATCATTTTCTTTGCATCTAGCATAAGAACTGCAGGGCACAGGCGAGCAGCCCACATCGCACCAGCTAAGCAAGCACGTATGTTCCGCAAAGTGCAACCCTCACGGATTGTCACAAGATGAGCGAATGAGTCACTGTGCGCAAGCGCAAACGGCTTAGAGGGGCTAGAACAGAACGAAGTTGAAGGAGCAGATGATTTTACTGAAAATCATATGGACATGTTGGTTCCAATAGTCTCTCTTGAGACCACACATGATTCTCCATGGACTGAATCAGAGTAGATATTCTTTTTTAAACCACAGTACTTACGATTTAAGTATTCTATTTTTGAATTTTTATTATGCTTATAATAAAACTCTCAGCAATATTGATTACTAGTCTTAACTAGTCGTAAATGAAAAACGAAGCAATTTTTTTTTTCTTTTTATAATAACAATCTAAAGCGTTTACGTAAGGAACTCACATTTTGAAAAATCTCACGTGAGATTTTGGGATGGGGGAGGGGGTTGAGTAAAATCTCAACAGAGGGGGGGTTGGAAATTTCGAAAAAACACCTCACGTAATTTATGAACGCCCCCTGACACAAATAACCCTCCAAGTGCAGCTTGGACTGGCGTCCGATTTGTTCCGGGCCATTACCCATAATATTGAAAAAAGGCATGATTGTTGTATTGTAACCTAAGTACAGTTAAATTTTTTCGTAGTGTTATTAACTGGTAACAGAAATAAATAATTTAAATATTGAAAATTTCAACTAACTGACAGCGACAGAAAGACGGAGTACCATGAATAGATCCCTTTAACCATTTGGGTACGGAAAAATAAAAAAGGAAAAGTATGATTTGAGAACTGTTTCTAAGAGTTAATAAACATTACCTCAAATAGTTGTAATTCTATTGAATCTGGTTATCATTTTATTATATTATCAAGTTATTTAATGATTAACTTAACTATCACGATAATAATTATTACCCCTAATCGTTTAACTCGATACACTGTCACTGTGTTTAATAAAACAAGTTTGTTTGTAGTTCGAGTCTTTTATTTATAGTATGGTTGTAATTTATACGCACAAGTTGCTCATACATGGCACTGGTGTTTACAACTGTCAAAAATCATGAAAACCCTCTTTATAGTCTCAATATCATATTACATATTTTATTAATACATTTTCAACTTAAATTACATACATAATTACAGTTAGTTCTCGACTTATATTAACGCGTACTCAAATTCATTTCCATCATCACATATTTAATACACTGACGTTTCTCAGTTACATTCGATACTGATATCTTTGATGAAGCTCTCTTGAACATTTGGCTATTTATATTCGATTCAACACTTAATATATTGCACGCTACCGGGGGTTGGTGCGGTTAAAAACATCCATTACGGAAACATATAAATGATAACTAATTGTGTAATTTTTAAAGATCAACGGTCAATGATACATGTCGGAGTCGAGATATAAAATGAGGCAATAGGATTTATATTATTCTTGTGCAATTTATAGGCCGCTACAGAAGATCATATAGGCCTTATCTATAAAAGAATGAGATTTAACATTTTATAAAAAATACATAAGAAAGGTAGCATAAAATGTATGAAGAATGAAACTATGATACAGATAATGTAATTTTTTTGCACCAACCAGATATAATTCAACCTACATAGCGTAATTGGTCATTGATATTGTCACAGAGTATAATACTCGTCCCTTACTTTCCCCGTCTAATAAGTCACAGATGACAAGACCTACTGAGCTTGCTTCGTTAGTACACTATTTGATGAGATCACAATCATTCATCCGATGTAGTCAATATCACACAAGCTATCAGTAAGTGAAATAAAAAATACATATAAAAAGAATATTCAACAGCATCTTTCGGCACAACCTAAAAATAATAAAAGCAGAGAGACATAACTAGTTCTGTTAAAATGTTTTAATAAGAAATATTAGCGTTAAATATTAATGAATTTATGGCTGGCTGGTTATTATTGTCGTATTGAATAGTACAGATAAAATTTATGTATGAAATGAAATGTATGTGCCATACAAGATTGGTACCAATGTTACCATACAAATATAATCAGTTTGATAAACTATATAAACTTAATACTAGGTAAATGCTTCGCTTCCATGACTAACAATCAAAAAATAAATTTATATTTTAATAATACATTCATATTTAAATTAAATTACGCGATTCATAACATCATTTTGTAGATTGCTATTCTGCAGTGTAATGACAACATAAAAACGAATAAAATATTGCAATTATATAATTTGATAATTAATTGTTCATAAAAAAATTATAAAATATTACAGTATAATCTCAGAATTGTAATAATAATAATACACAAACTAGCTAGCTAGTAAAAACTATCAAAAGCATACAGCCGAGGCAACACTTGTTAAGCTATGGGATAAAATAGTATCAGTCAAAATAATATGAAATAATTATCAGATATTCCACTTTCACTCGTACACAATCTTAATAAAATGCGTGCCTTTAAGCTCTAATATGAAATCAGTATCCCTTTACTAATTTCAACTTTATATGAAAATACATTTCGTATTTCAAGTAGTACAGTAATACCTCTGAAGCACTCAGAGACGCGCCGCCTGCTCCGCCCCCCGAGTACCAACTACCATCACAGAGAATAAGCTGTTTGTAACCGTATCATTACTACCATAATCTACTATTTTATAACTTTACGCCTAAGAGTTAACTGCCAGTCTTCGATCGCAGATTTTATCGTTACATTTCAAAATATGTATCTAAAGCTATATCTACATAACACTATCCGAAATCGTTTCCGACGAGGCGGAGTGTCCAGGCGTGTCCGGACATGTCTAGACGTGTCCGGCGCGACGACGGCGTCCTTTATAATAAATAACGTCTCTAACGGACGCTCTACTCACTACGGCTACTGGACTGCTATACTTTATATTTAGTCAATCTTTAGTTTGTAAAAATATGATCACCTTTCAGCCGTTGCAGCCGTTTTTTTTTTGTAAACATAATATATTGCTCTATAAGTAGTTTAAACATTTCGTCCGTGACATCGTCATAGTCAACAGTAATCGTGGATTACTCTGATTCGATGATGAATTGAAGGTGATCGCGGGATAGGCACTGTGGCGCTAGCGCGGGGCGCGGTCCGCCGCCGCGGGCCTGCGCTAATGACCCTTGGCTGCCTCCTTGGCCGCCATGATGAGGGGAGTCAGCGATGCTAGCGGTCGCGCCATTTTTAGGAACGGATGCTGAAAATTAATATACGTGTATATCAAATCTGTCTAATGAAGCTTAAAACTTCAAATGTAGTTAACAATAAGTTTGTGTTTACTTTTAATAAGTCAAGTGCGGTCGCTCGACTCTCCACATCGACTTCTAAACATTGATCGAGGAAGTCTTGGAAAACGGTACTGAGTTTCTCCTTGTCTTTGATGTCGGGCTTTCCATTCGTCGCGATCAAATATAAAGCACGCAGAGGATTCTCGTTCAAGTATGGGGGTTCGCCTTCAATCATTTCTATAGCCATTATACCTAGTGACCACACATCTACCTGGAATGTGATAAAAAAATAAGTTTAAATCGAGTATACTCTATGATCAAATGCAGACAAGAACTAATATTTGCTTATGTAATATGGGAATTAATTAAAATACAAACCTTGGGCCCATACTGCTTTCTCGTAACAACTTCTGGCGCCATCCAATACGGCGTACCAACCATTGTCGTTCTTTTATTTTGCTCGGGGGATATTTGAGCACAGAAACCAAAATCGGCTGAAAATTAACACCACGTTAATGAAGACTAGACATACCAGGTTACATATATTACTTATGGAACAAAAGCTGACTATATCTGTGAACATGTATGCAGTATGACAGAAATCTGTCTTACGTGCTCACACACATAATAATGTATAGAAATGTTCTCAAAACAATTAGTAAAGGTAATTCATCTTAACTCTTAACTACGTCATCACTAACTGTAATTATTAACAATACCATATACAAAACCACTTTTTTTTTCAAATCAGTTAAACACTTACTTAATTTAACCTGTCCATCGAGTCCCAGCAGTATGTTATCTGACTTAATATCCCTGTGTATCACGTGGTTGGTGTGTAGGAAGTGCAGCGCCTGTAGCACCTCGCGACACACGGCCGCTATTTGTCCTTCATCCATACAAGTTTCAGTCACTACATCGGTTAGAGAACCTCCAGCAAGGTATTCCATAACCACCCACAGCTCCTGTAAACATATGTGTCTTTATTGAATGTGGCTAGTGTACAAGTATTCTATCAGACTATTATGTTCAATCTATGTTTGAGTACATTGTAAGGTTTCATTATTCTGGATTTAAAAATATGGTATGTAATAGTATCCTGTTAGCTTTACAAAATAAGTCGTTTGTGAATTTAAAAAATAGGGTAAATTTTACTATGTATCTGTAAAACTCTACTTTTTATACATTACTTAACTAATTTGTTTTTTTTATTTGTACAAATTTTTCTTAAAACTGGTTCTTTCTTATTAATTATTATTTAAATAATTTAATTAAACAAGTATATAATAAAAAGATTCTAAATATAATTTTTGGTACAATAAAAATGTATTTTTATTCTGTAATACTAAATTAAAAGCAGCAGTAGTAGTTATTTTGGTGAATAACAGTAACCTTAGAGATACATATTATTACATATAAATTCATTCGATAATTTAAAATAAGCTTTGAACATGCATTGATATAATTTGCTTCGATTTAATCCAAAAACGTACCTCATTAACGAGATAGCTGTCAAGATAATTCACAACATTATTGTGTTTGTTCTCCCGCATCACTAGAATCTCGTTGATAATGAGCTCCTTCTTTGGTTGCTGACCAAGATTCATTTGTTTAATAGCTACTTCCATGCCCGTTGATGTTTCTATCGCTGTATAAACTGTGCCAGATGCACTGCAAAAGTACATATTTTTATAATGTATTATAAATATTTTGAAAAATATGGAATTAGGCAATTATCAGAAGTTTGAAATCTTAATAGACTTATATAAAGTTATCTCACCCTTGACCAATTTTTTCCATTTTAGTGTATTTTCTATTAGGATCTCCAACACTGACTATTGTCCTTAACTTTTCTAATATTTCCTCATCGGTCATCTTCTTTTTCCTTTGTTGCTGTCCCGTTGCTCTTCTGTTAATAAATAAGTAAGCAATAAACATAATGTTTCAAATGTATCTTACTTTATTATATACAGGGTGACTGGTGAATTACTATCGATATTTGAGGACGTGATATTTGACGATCATATATGACAAAATAAAAATTAATATAACATAAATATTAATAAACTTCTAAGTAAAGTTAACCAAAAGTTGTGTAATTAATTACGCCTCGTATGAACACCCTACAGATTAGGTATACACACACACTCACACAGACGCGGCGGCGGCATAGTGTTGTATCAGCACGCCGCCGCACGCGTTCACACTTGGAACACTTGGAACGTGTACACACTTTATTTATTTATACGGAATTTTGGTCAAAAATTAAGTACCTATTTTTTTTACATAATTCGAATGAGAATCATGTACCGAGTATTCTCCTTAAATATTGATAGTAATTCACCAGTCACCCTGTATAAGAAGATTTTTAGGATGCATAGACATGTGCTCTTTAACAAAATAAGTCTCAATGAAACTTTCCCAAAATTTTGCATAGAGATCTGAATAATATATAATACATTCTGAAATTCTTATTGGATCAGTGCATAACAGTTATATTTTTTGTGCAGCTTTTTGAATATATATGTATAGACATAAATATGTTTTGCACACTGTTCATTTATCTCTGAATTCAACCACAAAATCTCCGCCGCCGAAGTCAAGGTCAAAGACCACCAACTAGTAAATATCATTTGACATAATATGAAATACCCAGTATCGGTTTGAGTAGCTCCATTTGGAGGTGGTGTGGTCTGTGCATGTGTCGTCATCGTAGGTAGGGCGGGCGGGGCGACGGTGGGAGCGGGCGCGGGCGCAGGGTGGGGCGCCAGTGCGGGCGGCGTGTGAGCGCCACTCGATGGGTTCTTGTTGCGATCTAAATTCGTGCCAGTTTCCGATCGACTGCATATCTGAAACAGCAAGTTAAGAGGAATTATAATAGTTTAACAGAAGATATACAAATAAGATTCGTATATAGTAAAAATTTAAGCATCATAAAGAGTTTAAAAACATAATTTAATTCCTGGCGAGGTTTTATCGACCGCAGATTTTATTACTCAATAACTAAATCGTGAACGCAACACACTAATTATTGAATGATAACCTAAGTTCCTAGTTGTTTCTAAAATGTGTGATATCTATAATATAATACTTACCGAATGCGTGGTGAGCGCGGGGTGAGGCACGTGCGGCGGGGACACGGGGGCGGGGGTCGGTCGAGGAGGCGGGGCTTCTTCTTCTTCTATGGGCTTCGTGTACTGAAAACACATCAACAATTTAACTGTATAAATATTTAAATTAAAACAAAAGAACAACATTTATATCTAATTTTTAACACATCAATTACTACAGAGGTATCAGTATAGTTGAATTTTGTATTAGAAAAGGGAAAATTACTAACAATACTCTTAGTGCGGTCAGGTCTCGAGGGCGGAGGCGGCGGGGGCTCCGGGTGCTCCGTGTCGGTGGGAGTAGAAGACGAAGGACTACTCGAAGAGACACGTGACACAGACGAACCTAAATGAGACGAAACTTCTCAGCATTCCATGGATTCACCGTGCGGGTGCCGGGTTCATCGCGTTACAGGGAGAGGAGCTTCAACAGTGCCTGGGACTTGCGACCCAAGTGTAGGTTAAAGGGTTAGGCCAAGTGTAGATTAAAGGCCCCTTAACTAACGCGCGTTATACGCTCACCTCCACTGTCCGAGCTCCTCTCCCTACCTAACCAAATTTGAAAAGAACCTACTAGGGCTGCCTTCGATGTACGTTCCAAGAATGCATTAATAAGAGTTCTGGACAAGCCCAAGTCTTTTAGTAGGATAATATGTAAATAGAGGATACGAAGTATTATGTTAATGTTTAATGAATTAATACAAAGGTACTCATAATTAATCAGGTGACGTACAAGACTTGTATTCAACAATGAATGCCACTGTATTTTAGCGCATTCTTATAGGAATGAATGAATCACTTTAACATAGTTTTAAATATGAATGCATAAAAAATAGTAAGAAAAAGCTGAAAAAGCTTCTGGGGAAACTGTACACAGAAGAAAATAAGAAAGATTCTGTATATACAATATTTTGGAGAAGAGACAAAATTAATTAATCCTACTAAAATTATAATTGCGAAAGTTTTTTGAGTGTGTGTATATGTGTTACTTCTTCACGCTCAAGAGGCTGAACCGATTTTGATAAAATTTTATATACAGGAAGCTGACGTCCAGGAATAACACATAGGCTACTTCACATCCCGGAAATCTCGGAATCTCCTAGAAATCCGCGGGGTGCAGCTAGGTATATATATATCATTGTTTGTAAAATTACCCGAGTGTGTTGTGTGCATCTGTGCTGACGTCATATACTTGGAGGCGGGAGGCTGCGTGGCGGAGGCGTCGTACCATTTGAGAACGTCGAGTACAGCCTGAGGGTTGCTCTTCTGTTCCTGTTTACTGATGTTAGACGCCATCAACAGACGCGCCCACGCCTCCGGCATACCCTTCATAATAAATATCAAAACATTATCTCACATATTCTATATAATATAATTATGATCGTTAGCTGTCATGCATTTATGCGTCGAGTTTATTTACGGATACTACGCGATTTAGGATTGCTGACAAAATATATTTTTTCATCAAAGGAAATAACTATTATGGCATGTATAATTAGTACTTGCTCTAACATCGAGAAAATAAACATTTGTCATGCTCAAATAACTACGGATGCTTGAATATTTGCATGTCTTAATGAGGCTACAGATAAAAAAAAATAGTAATAATTAAATATTTAATTCTTGTTAATTTTTAGAGTATGTAATATAAACTAATTAACATATTTAAGATATTTTTAGTGATATGAAACTTTATTATAATAAGAATTACAAAATGGAATATTTTGATAAATTTAGTAAAAATTTTTTAAATATATTAAAAGGCTTTGATAAATTAAGGAATTATTTGTAAGCTGCAATAAACAATAAAAAGTAAAGATTGAATGGAATGATTTTGATGTAACAGAATTATATATATATAAAACAAATATATTTTAATATAGCACAATGCATTTATATATAACCTAAGCTATTACTTACTGTCATAGGCAGCTTGAAACAAAAGCGGCAATACAGGGAACTCAATGACATGTTTGGGACACAATACAATTTACTCAATCAAAAATCAAACCTCCAACATTAATTATCCTTTCCAATACATTTCTAAATCTATATATATTTATTGTTTATTTTATTCATATACTTTAATATGATCATGCTTCTAAATCGGAACTATCAAAGATTTTGTTCAGTTACTTTAATTAATTAGAATTATTTCTAAGTACAAATACATATATCAAATACAACATATCTAATAAGGAGTGGGTTTGTTGCCTATCAATTAACTATCTATAAAACTACCTACATACTCATTACTCTAAATATACTGACTATGTTATTTAAAATAATACATATATATCTTGTCATTTTTACATGGGATAAAATCCTAATAGAGTTCAAATTGGAAAATGTTGCTACTAATTATACTGAAATTTAATTTATGTTTTTGCAATTCTAACTACTTTTTTATTATTTTGCTATGTTTTGAAGTTTAATAAAACTATAAAATCTATAAGTGTTCTTTGTAATACAAGAAAATTTAATCATTGATCTATTGGATTTTAAAACAACATTTCTATTCAATTGTTTATCAATTTCAAAAAAATATATTTTTCTACATTACTCAGTACAATTCCTAAAGAGGTCATACTAGTGAGATACCAGGCTGGTTGGGGCTTAAAATTTACATATGTTCTGACAATTCACTTATCCGAGTGGTCTGTGCAATCATAAACAAAAAAGCAAAGCTTATGCAGAGTATTAAGCCAATAAGCTTGCCTTCACATTGAACAAAAAGCATAAGGTGGATTTAAAATGACATTTTAAACATCATTTGGTTATAAAAAGTGAAAAACAAGTTTAGGGTGTTCAGTGATAATCACATAGTATGTTGTTTCATACAAATATAATGTTAGTCATAGGTTTCCCTATTTAGTGGAGCTCAAAATGTATTTTAAATGACATGCATAATAAACTTACTGTAAATTCTCCAGTTACAGCATCAAATCCAACATGTACTGTGTGTTCAAAGTTAGTTGGGTAGCTAATATTTGGCTTATTGTCATTATGTGCAGTGCTCTTAGACCCCTTTATTTTAGCTTTCAAAGTTTTCTTTTTTCTATCACCGCTGTCATCTGGTTCTGAAAGAATTTAATTTTATAAGAATAACAAATTAACTAAATATGTATGACATCTAAAATAATAAATATGTACTTGAAATCATGCTATTATAATACTATATTTGTATTGTTATGAATGAGGCTCTATCAATCACATTGATTCATCTATTTTTTTTTTCAATGTTTTGATTATGAAACAATTCATGTTTACATTCATAATTTGACTGTGAAAATCCACACAAGAAGATAAAATTTTAATATAAATGTATGCACTGAGTCATCATGTTTGCAGTTATGGTAACAGATTGAAATACCTTTGGGTAGAGGCCTCATGTCAACAGACGCGACTGAATCACCTCTGTCGGTCGCCCGGTTGCTCGTCAAGCGTACCGGCGGCGCAGGTGGTTTATCTTCATCACTCGACATTCTGTTTCCTTACGTATGTCCTATAAGTTAATCCAAATGACAAATGCTATACCAATTGGCATCGGTTGAACGAGAAAACAAACTTTAATAAACCGAACGAGTTATAATTACATCCTCCACTTATAGTTTATAGTATGGCATATATATCAAGTGTTTTTATTATAATAACATTAAATATTACTCATGGACGCGCCCCGCAAGATTTGCAACTACGACAAAATCATACTCCATGACGACACTACCTTACCTTTACAATACAGGAAAGTAAATTAAGCACGAATGTCACTCTATTAATTTATTCACATCTCAATTTCCTTTTGTAATCAGTTTAAAATTTTACTGAAATTTAAGACAGTTAAAGTTCACAATTCACACATAAAACGACAGCAGCAATGACTAGAGCCGCCATTTATATTAATCATATACATTTTAACACTCTGTGACGCATATTGTAGTCTGTGGAGAGCAATAACACTTTCAGACGTATGCAATGTTAAAAAAACAATAGTAAATCTTATTCTTGAATCATTTTATTTTTTAAATTAAGGAGAAGAGAAATTGGTTTATTTGGAAATCTGAAAAAGACGACTCTTCTGTGTAATTTTAATGTCAATAATTTTTATTTGAACTTTTTCCGCGTTGAGTAATTAATATAGAAATATATATTAATTAAATATACTATAAATAATCCTAATATATTATGGATACTAGGAAGGAATTAGTCTTTCAATAACTTTGAATTTGTTTTCTGTGAATCATTCATTCATAGGTACATTTCATGAAAAGGGTTTTGTCATAGTTTGACATATTTTACGATACGATTACAAATTTTTATTTTTCTTTGGAAATATAAGGAACAACGATGTAATTTTCCTATAATACCTACATCTTTACAACTTTATAGTAATTTTCTTATTGTATGTCTAAAATTATTTTTTTAAACATTGTAAAAAATCTGTAGAATATAATAAAATGTTTTGACAATTTAGTTTGAAATAGCAAAATGGACAAGAGTGTTGAGTCAAAGGTATTTAAAACACCTCTTTCATGTATTTTCAGTATTAGGAGGTATAATAATGATATGATTTTATTTCATTAGGACCAGGATCGTAATCCTAAAAAGAGTCCATTTGAGGAACTTAGTCGAGAAGATCTCATTACAAAATGTAAAGGCCTTCTTGTGATAGCACAGAAAGCTAAACAATCAAAATCAGGTATATCAGGATTCTATGTTGATATAATTTTATTAAGAACACAAATAATTTCCATATTTTTTTATAGAACTGCAAAATGAAGTGGAACAATACAAAAATCAACTTCTGTCATGTGAAAAAGAAATAAAATCAAAGGAGGACAGTATAAAAACACTGCAAGAATTGGTTGATTCTTTAACTGAACAAAAATTAACATTCATTACCGAAATAGACACGGCACAGAGTAAAATCAGAACTTTGAATAATAAATGTAACATATATGAAGATGAATTGAATAAACTTAAAACTGAAATTAATGTGAAGGATCAAAATCTTACATCAGCATCTCAACAGTTGTCAGACTTTGATAGTAAAATAATATCATTAAAGCGGCAAAACACCAGACTTCTTGAAGAAAATGAACAACTCATCAACCAACTTACAGAACTGGAAGCAAGAACTGAAGAGTTCAACAAAATTGGCCTTCAACAACAAGAACAATTAAAAATGTTAGAAGAAAGGGTTAAAAATGGTAAAACAAATGTTAATAACTTATATACCAAACTGTTTCTGATGTCTTAGAGTATCTGTTAACTGAAAATATTAAACCTTGTTTTTAGATATTATAATATTTTTTTTTGTATATTTAGATTAAGTTATCTCTTTATCACAAGATGAAGTAATGACTGTTAGTGCAAAGTTAATTCTGTCGCTAAAGACTGTATAGTGTATAGTCAAAATATGATAAAGAATTTAAAAATATCAAATGTGTATAGAATATTTATGATTATGATGTAAATGTAATTAATTTTATTTTACATACTAAAAATATATTTTCAGATGAAATACGTCAAAACGAAATTATTGAATCCAGTTTTAGTAAGAAAGAAGTTATATCTGAAGAAACAACTGCAGGTAATGAAACCATAAAGGAATATGAGGTTAAAATTGAGGAACTTAAGACATTATATGAACAAGAGAAGTCTAAAAAGGAGAAGTGCAATATAAAATTGAGAAGTTACAAAGATAAGATACTTAAATGTGCAACTTGCATACACCAACTTAAGAATTCAAGGTTCATATTGGCAAAAACTGTTAAGGAATATTCAGAGAGTATACCGAAATGGCAGAATGAGATCATTAAAGCATCAAACGCTCTTGATGCACAAATTAAAGTGTTACATGACGAGAACATATCACTTAAAGAAAAACTTAATGAAAAAGAAAATACTGTATCATCAATGTCTCACCAAACAAACAGTCTTAATGATGAAATATTAAAACTAAATGGTGAAGTTAATGAATTGAAATCTCAGCTTACTGAATTACAGACATCACTTACTGAGTCTGAGATGACAAATAATAACTTGGTAGAAGAAAACAATGATTTAAAACTCAAAGAAGTTGAATTTAATAATCAATTGGAAGAAAATAGACTGTGCAAAGAAAAAATTAATGATTTGTCTAATCAACTATACGAGGTTACAGCTAAATGTACCGAACTTGATAAAATAAATAAAGAGTTGAAAGAAAATCGATCTAGACAACAAGATAACCATGATGACAAAGAAGTTCTTGAACAGTTTAAATTACAAATAAGAGCCTTGGAATCAGAGAAAGCCACTTTAGTTAAAGAAAAATTAAATGTTAAGGATAATTTAGCAGAGCTTGAAAATGCAAATAAGAATTTGAGTGATACCGTTAATCAAATGAATTCACAACTACTGGAGCTTAGAAGCCAATTAGAAAATGTGACATCAGAATACGAGAGAACCAAGAAAGAATTCTCTATTAACAAAGAACAGTTAGAGAAACAAATAATGACGGAAAAGAGTTCAATTAAAGAACAATACGATAAATTAAAGAGAGAATACGATAATTTACAAGATCTTAATGGCTTACTTCAAGAGGAAGTTGAGACCCTCAAACTGTCTTTGGAACAACCAAAGGATGATACCGACAATTTGTCAGATCTAAACGTATCACTTCAAGCTGATATCGTAAAATTGGAGACAAAACTCTCTGCATACAAACAGGAGAATTCATCGCTGTTATCAGAAGTAAAAGAATCGAGAAATAAAATTAAAGAATATGATAGAATTGTAGCCGAATGTGAGGAGATGAAAACGAAACTGGTCGGATACAAGTCGGAGAACGCCGAGCTGTTGAACGAAATGAAAGAAATAAATCAAGTACTTAAAGAGCGAGGCGAAGCTATATCTAAACTACAGAAGGCTGTGACAGAGATGGAGAAATTAATTGAGACATTAGAAAAAGACAGAGATAGTGTTAAACAAGAAAATGAAGACTTACTCAAGAAGATTGATTTACTGGAAAAGGATCTTAAGAGTGCACAATGTGTACAGATTGATAGCACTGGAAATGATAATGAAAAAGAAAATTTATTGAAAACCGTGGAAGAAAGAGATGCAATGATTACAAGTTTGAAGGAAGAAATAGAGAAATTAAAACTTCAAAGTTGTAAGTGTATGCGGTTAATACAACTTTTTAATTCTATTAAAACGTGAGAATTTTTTCATAAAAGGTTTTGTTTTCAGCTTCAGTTGATTTGCCCAATGAAGATATGTCCACGTCAACTATATCGAGAGCGGAAGAACACACAAGGATGAGAGATTTGGATGAATCATTCGAAGATAGGTGAGCAAATAAAAATAAATAAATGCTATAATAATGATAAAAAATGTATATTTATTAACATTTTATGATATCAGATACACAAAACTGAGAATGTTCGCACTGAAACTCAAAATGAAACTGAATGAGACGACGAGTCAGTTGCAAAGTTCAGAGCAAGAAAAGGCCAACTTGAAAAAAATGTTAGCTGACAATAATATAAACAAACAGGCCGAAGATGCTGTGGACGGGAAAGAAAACGGTGTGGCGGACTTAGAATTACAAGTGAAGAAATTATCAAGAGATTTAGAAAATTCAGAAAAAGTTAACAAGAAAATTACAGCTCTTGAAGGTACTGCGAATATTTTTATATAAATCCGTTTATGTTATAGTCTGTAAGTGTTATTATAAACAAATATATTTTTTGACTTATTAGCTATCTAAAATGACAAACTTTCTTCAAATAATCGATTATTTTGTTTAGCTGAGTTGGCCGCTAAGAGTCAACAGTTAGAGTCCGAAATAGAACATCATAAGGCCACAAAGGAGCAGTTAGAAAAAGCTCTTAAAGATGTCAAGAAGAAGAAAGTATTAAGTCTTGAAATGGAAGACTATGAGAGGTCTTTGAAAGAACTCACAACTAAAATGGAAGAAAAGAAAAAAAAGATTGTACAGGTATATTCACCCATTAAATTGTATATCTTTTATACCTTTTAAGAGTGATTAAGTTCTGTGGACTACTATGGATGGTTCTAAGCTATGTAAATATGACCTATTTTATATACAAATATATTTATAAAAATAATTTATATACATAAACAGATGGAGTCGACGATCGATAATCAAGAGGGTACAATAACGTCCATGCAAACACAAATAAAACTTTTACAAGAGCAAATAAAAACTGAAGAAAATCAATGCAGGCTGTTGAAGGAAGAGTTACAACAATCTGTAGCTGAGAGCAAAGATAAAGATCAGCTATTGAGTACTAATAAGGATATAATAAGTAAATTAATGCAGGATATAGAGGATGAAAAACGAAAGAACGAGGAGGCTGACATGGAAATGACGTCAGCACTGAGTGAGAAAGAGAAAGTTATAATACATCTATCAGAAGAAAAGATAGAACTAGGTAGCAAGATGAAGAAGTTGGAATTCAAGTGTTCCGATATAGAAGAGAAATTAAGAATTACTAACATAGAACTGGCTGATCTCAAGACTGAATATGCGAGTTATAAGGTCGGTAAAATATTATATATGAGTTAACTGTTAAGATAAATATGATTGTGTTTTATTGGGATATTGTTTCCCAGGTGAGAGCTCAAGCTGTTCTAAGACAAAACCAGACCGTGGACCACAGTCAAGAGGAACAGTTCAAGGAAGAGGCCGCCGCTCTCAGAGCTCAGATAGAAACGTTAAACCAAAAAATGGCGACACTGCAGTAAGTTTGAAACGTCACGATCACAAATATTGTGACGCCATGTTCACGAATGTAACGTAAATTTACCTATTGTTATATATATGCCTAAAAAACTTAAGGAGTGGGTGCTTTTAAATTTATATACTTACTTATTGCTTTTCAAACACGTGTGCGAAAATGTTTAAGTGCACATTGAAAAAAAACGTTGTCTAGGTGTCATGACAATTCTATGTGGAGACGGAATAACAATTGAAATTTGTAATTATTAGTAAACTCAGTTTTACAATACATAAAGGTATAAATAGGGACCATTAATACAATATTGTTTATAAAAACCTCAATTGTCAGAGATCAGTTAAGTGTGGCGAGTGCAGAAGCAGAGGCTGGTCGCAAACGAGCGGCGGACAGCACCGCGGAACTGTCGCGCTCACAGCAGAGGAACGCTCGTCTGCACTCAGACCTTACACGACTCTCACAACAATTAGACACGGAGCGAGCACAGCATAAACTACAGGTTAGTGTAAACATATGTATTACTAGCTTTCCGTACGCAGCTTCGCCCGCGTGTAGTTCGGTTATATCTCGTTTCCAAGAGAACCTTTCAAAAGACTGTGATAGAAACTATCCTATGTTCTTTCTCAAGGTCAACTCTATATCTGTACCAAATTTCATTAAAATCAGTGGTTTAGGCATGAAAGCGTAACAGACAGACAGAGTTACTTTCGCATTAATAATATTAGTAGGTATTAGTAGGGATTACAATTTTTAAACCATCAAATCTATGACTACTAGTTTTGTAAGCATCTTAATCAATTCAACACTTATTTTATTCACTAATTCTATATACTTTTTAGATTTCTACATTAACACAATGCTATAAAACGCAAATAAGTGATATCGAATCAAAGCATCAGAAAGAAACGGATAACCTGAAGAAACAGCTGTCTGTTTTACAAGAGAATGTTAAATCAGGAAACTCTAACGAGCCGTCGCAATCAGATAAATATCTGTTACCCGTTATATCGAAAGAAGAGGGGAGTGATAACGAAATGGACATCAACGTATCACTCATACCGAGAGAGGAGGGAGAGGTGAAATGGATATATATATATATACTAGGAATACCTATTATATTTACTATAAATATAAATTCGTAGCAAAAGTTAATATGGAAAGTTTGTATATTGCAGTTGGATCGAATTTTGTTTTGTTTCGATAATATTTTTAATTTTAATGCAAAAATACTATTGTTAAATATTATATTTAATTTGTACTATTCCTGCATTATATATTATATAATCTATTTACATATTATATTGTATAATATACTTGTATATTCAGGGTTCGGAGTCAGCTCCGTCGCCCCCACTATCCAAGTCTATGTTATCAAGCGGCAGACGTTCGCCGGTTCCTCTTGAAAGACTTCTAGAAGAAGGAGTTCCCGATAATGATTCTCTGGATACTTCTTCTCTTGCTCTCACTATTGAGCAGGAAGTAGTTGATTTAAGGAGGAAAGTCCAAGCTCAACAAGAAAGGTGATTCTGATTGTTCTCGATAGATTTTTTACATATTTCATATTCCAAAAAACATTATATACAGTTTTAGTTTATTTTTTCACATTTTATTTCAAACATTGAAATATAACCAAATAATTGTCATAATAGCGACGCTAAAGATTCTAAGGACATTGAATATTCTTTGTTAGAGTCTAGAGATATATATCGTATTGTCTTATATAGTTACTTTGTTAGTAACTATATCGGATATAAATGAGAATTTCCGCAATGTACATATATTAAAGGCATAATAACTATTTCTGTAAGTTGAGAAAAATTATTTTAATGAAAAATGTATCTGAAATCGCTTTAAAAATTTTGTATCTTTTTTTAAGTTCAACATAATAAAAAAACTAGCAATATTTATAGAATACTAATTGATAAGTTAATATACCACTGATGAAAATTAAAGTGATCATAGCTCTAGTGGTCTCTTCTACCAAAATTAAATATTTGACCCTTTATTATATTCTAGGGTGAAACACGTGACGGTGTTGCTGTCCGAATCTGAGCGTGAGAGAGCTCGTCTGTCTCAGCTGAGTGAGCTTTTGAAGGGGGAACTGCGCCGAGCTAGACCCCCGGCCTCCGCCGCCCATAACACGCAGTATATGAAGAATGTTACACTGAAGGTATGAGGGGTCATGTTATAAAAGTCACAAAAAATTTGTGATTATATTTGAAACTTGTTTGTCTTATACCTTATTAATTATTGCCAGTCTATCTTAAGTGGAAACAGTGGTTAAAAATCAACTGGGATTAAAACAAAAATACTACTTAATACAAGTTCGATTAAAACCTTTAAATAAAACGATTTATTGTAGAAAATATATGTAATAAAAAATATATAATCTATGTTCAGTTCCTGACTTTGCCTCCGGGAGACGAACGATGTCGCCTAGTTCCTGTGCTGCAGAAAATACTAACTCTCTCTTCAGATGAAACACAGAAAATACAAGCAGTCGCTAAGGGTTTGATATATTCATTTATTTTTTATAAAACATTTTATTATTTTGAGCAATTACGGGAATTGAAATGTTTAATGACGATTAATCATTCTATGTAAATGTATTTAGCCGTTATAATTTTTAATTACTTGTACAATTTAAAGTATTATCTTGATAATTAATTTCCAAGTAAATTAATTAGTTATAAAAAATATTTTTCAATCTAAACATTATATATGTTCTTAGATAAATAAGTTTGAATTGTTGATTAGAAACTTCATTTTTATTTTATTTTTGTCTTTTCAGGACAAGATCCGAATCCCGGCAAAGGTTGGGGAAGCTACTTGCCATGGCCTGGAGGAAAATGAAAACAAATAAAAAAAACTATTGTTACGGATTTTCTGCATACATTGATTATATCAAAAGTAACATTTCCAAAACAATCTCTTCAACAACATATTTACAATGTTGAATCTGTAAAATTAGTTTTTATATGAATTTGATAATTTAATAATATTTTCATTATCGTGTAAAATATCTGTGATTATTATTGATAACCGATTCGATGAACAGTGAATGTTAATACAAATATTAAATGATATGTTTATATAACAATTATGTATGTATTCCTGTTGTACTAGCCCTTCATGTATTTAATGTGTTCTGCTGGAGAAAATATCTATCGTACTTCAGTAAAATATTCTCAAATACTATTTATTGGGAAAAAGGTATTACATACGTCATAATATGTAAAAATATTATATGTTGCTGGCTTTTATATTACATTAGGGAATAACTTCACCAATATTGAGACATCCAACAGATGTATTTATGAGTATTATTATATGATTATATAAATTCAATTAATTTTAATCTTAATCATTCCACGAGAAAATGTTTTGTCAATAATAACGACCCCATTACATATTATTGCTTGAATTTAAATTTATTTTATAATTAATTGAATATTTCATGACATTTCATTCAGGGCTTATTCATTTAGCGTTAAGTATGATTTATTTATAGTATTATATAAAAAAATATATAGTATTTAAAAGTATGGATTGCATTTTCATTTATACAAAATAATGTCATTAAAATCCGCTTATTTAGTGTGTTTGAATTTGGAAGTAAGTCTTAATTTTTATCATAAGAAAATAAGTCTGAAAGCATAGTAATATAGAATAAAAAGAAAAGTTACATTGAGAAATTGCGAAGTAGCAGCAAAAAAAAAATTGTAAATGAAATATTATTACTTTTTTATTTAATCAAATGTACAGAAACAAAATAAAATAATAATTTTGGTCAGACAAACAATTCTATTTCTTTACTTACAAACGTTAAATATAGATAGTCATTTGATTCTATTACTATTTTTTTATCATGAGATACCTCCATACTTAAATATATCACGTAACATTAATGTCAATATGTAAATCTAATATTAACATATTATTAATATTAAATTAAAACGAGTTTCTTTTCGGGCAAGTTGTTTTTTTGTTCTATCATATTACGCTCAAACAAATTTTATATAACAAACCATTTTACATGTAAAGAAATTAAGTGGCTGCATACTTCTGTTTCATTAACTTTTAACTAAGTACATATGTATAAAAAAATCATTAAATATCTTTTGGATATAAATAGCACATTATGGATTAAAATAAAAAAAAACACTCTTCATTTTCTATTTCAACTCTATTGATATTTAAATGAAAAGGATGATTTCTTTGTACGACGTAGGTATGTCGTGTAAATATTTGTTGAAAAGACATTCAACTTTAAATAGTTGTTGAAAAGACTTTCATTCGATACAACCGACCTTACATAGACTTAAATATATATCGTACTAAGAGCCACGGAAGTGGTGTTAGAAAAATTAATTTTTGAGGGTGATCAATTTGATAACATCGCATTTGAGCGCAAAATTATTGAAAAATATGTATAAATAGCGGATAGCATTTAATTCTGAATATATTAATTCAGAATAGATTTTTTTACTTAACATTAAATTATGTATTAATTATTTTTAATATAAGCAATTCTGACTAGCAGGTGGACTACATCATAACGAATGAAATTAACAAGAGGTTACCAAAAGAAGGGGTTCGCCGTACGGTAATATTATTGTTGAATGAAATGAATTAAAACAATAAAAATATTAGTTTCATTTAAATGAGCTTTTTTAAAAACATTTTATAACTTATTTTACTTATAAAAAAATATTATTTCTTTATTCATACGGCTTTTCTAAATGTTATAGAAGTACCTTGTAAGTGTCTTTCATATTTACATACTATGTAATTAGTCAAGCATTAGGTAATATATACCTTTGATTGTGATGTAAATAATTTATTTGAATTATTAAAACAGAGATACATTCTTAGTTTCCCTTCGATAATTTTATATATTAAGACCTTTTTACTGGTGTACGTGTATCTAACTGCGTAAAGGGCTATTCAGAACTTTTTATTGACAATTATTTGTTAAAAGAATATTAAATAAAAAACGTAGAATATTCTTAGTATATAAATATTTTAAAGCGTACAAATTACTATTGTGAAGTTTTACTTATATTATCTATGCTGAAACGAGCACTGGTTTGTCTAATAAGAAAAAAAAGATAATTCGAACATCCGCCTCTTCGAACATACTTTTAAATATTAATAAAAAATAATTAATTTTTTATTAATGTGTTTCATCTTAAAATATCACGTCTAATTTTAAAGAACCATATATGATTATTTTTTAAAAAGCTATGAGCATACGGAGAAAACAACATTTGCTTTGATTTTATTGATTTCATTTCCCGGGTGAAGTTTCACAGCGCATGCTTGAAAATCGCAAGGAAAATTCGTCACCGCTGCGACGAAGGGTAAGTCTCCCCAACTTTTTATTAATTATATGGTTTTAAATTGAAATAAATGTATGAACCCTTCACGTTGATCACTTAAAGGTAGCTTGTAATCAAAAATAAGTATATTTTTAACTTTTTCGTTTTCTGTTCATATTGCATCCCTACCGGTATACTCCTTGTTTAAATTACGCAATTTGTTTTATTTGTTAAATGAAAAACAAGTTAGTACTAAAAGTATATTTAAAGAAAGAAGATCTAATTGCGTGTAAAATTAAACTAATAATCGAATCAAAATTCTTCACAAAAGATATATAATCGATGTAAAATAAAATATCACTATTACTATTACCCATTTCCAAGCACTCTTCTTTTTGCACAAAATTTCGGCTCTGCGTGAATAACTTTGATATAGATTAGATGTGTTATTAACATTCTAAACGTGTCAATGCATCCATTTTAATATAATTGTCATTGCGATCATTAGTCTTTTATATAAAAATTCTTTACCTAAACGGGTTAAAAGGAGTTAAAGCACGAAATATGGAGTCAGTTCGGACCATGTGCGTCCATACGGATGTAAGTGCACAGTATTGTGCCACGTAGTTGCAACAGGGCACGACAATTTCTAATTCTGCTAGCATGTCATTTGCAATCTATTCCAATATATTTATATATATTCGTAAGCTAAAATTAGCTGAAATGCATTTGCATCGTGCTGATGAATAAGATCACAGACGGTATATCTGTTTAATGTTTTATATGTAACATATTATTGTACACGCATCTATCTTATGTGACGTGATTGATCCTGTTAAACGTCTTCAGTTTCTGTACATAACGTGATAGTATGATGGTGCAACAAAATCAATAGTGACTTGTACATATACCGCGAGAGCTAGCCGTCCGTGTGATCTATATTTGGCTGGAAGGCTGGCTGTATCGACGTCCCGGACGTCCTGCGCAGGCCCGGAGAACTCCCGGAGATTTGCAGCCATTACAGTCGAAGCCTCTCCCAGTGCATTCTAGACTTGTACGGTGCATTCGTTTTAATATCGAGCCTGTTTAGTTATTACTGTCGAGTGTCGCTTTAACTGACTAAGGTAAGACGGTTATGGAAATTGTTTGGATTTGTATATCAAAATCTTTGTTTGAACTTTCAGTTAGGCTTTTAAATGGAAATCGCTATTTTAGATATGCATATAGTTCTCAAAATTTCTTTGTGAAATAAAATATACTTAACAACTCATTATATTTTTTAACGGAAATGTTTCATTAATATTATCTTATTGAAATCAAGGTTGATATACTATGAAAAGAAAATAGCGAAAAGGTCGTATTGGTTTCCAACATCCTGTTCCGGTTTGATCGGATTCATTAAAATTTATTTAATTCAATTCCTTTGAGCTTATTTTAATTTGGTTCCATAATGATTTCCTGTCTAGCGTTCCAATAAGCAGTTGTAGGTAACGAAGAATAAATCTAAGGAATGCATTATGCACATAGCATTTAAAATTCGCATGTACCGTTTAGAGTAAATCGTTCCATCCCCACGTCGCTTACACAATAGCATGCGCACAAGAAGATATTGGAAAGGTCAGCACGCAAGCAAATCAATCGTATTATATAATTATTATTAATATGTCGGAGATGATACATTGGCTGCAACTAATTAAGTTATACCCGCTTTAAAATCAATTTACTTATGAAGTCACATGAAGGAAACTTATTTTTAAAACGCAACGGACATTGAACGTGGACTTATTTCACTGAGTTTTGAATATTAATATATATCAAAAAGGAATATGTTTTAAAAGGTTCCGTTTCTTTCTTCTTAGTTCAATACTTATCTGCTGAAATCAATCTAACTGAGTAAAGATGGGTAAGGAAAAGACGCACATCAACATCGTAGTGATCGGTCACGTGGACTCGGGCAAGTCCACTACCACCGGCCATCTGATTTATAAGTGTGGTGGTATCGACAAGCGTACCATCGAGAAGTTTGAGAAGGAGGCGCAGGAGATGGGCAAGGGCTCGTTCAAGTACGCCTGGGTAAGACACTTTTAACCAACCCATGAATCGTTTTGGGATAGCTAGTAACAATGGAATCGATGGTATAAGTCAATGAATTGAACGATCAATCCTTGGTCCTACCACCTAACACAATTATTTTCTCGAATACCAATTGGCAAAACTAAACATATAGTAAGAATGTGGACAAGTTGTTTAATATACCTATATAATAGGTGTTGGACAAGCTGAAGGCGGAGCGCGAACGTGGTATTACCATCGATATCGCCCTGTGGAAGTTCGAGACTGCCAAGTACTATGTTACTATCATCGACGCTCCTGGCCATAGGGACTTCATCAAGAACATGATTACCGGGACCTCGCAGGTTAGTTTTAGACGCTATATGTTTTGAAGCTATATGTACTGTGTACAGGGTAACAGGCGAAGAGAAGCATCGCTCGTGGCGAAGTTTTAGTGGACTATCATATTTTTTTGGAAAAATATCTTCTATAGAGTTAAGCCAACAAAAAACAAGCCGTGTTTCAATATAAATTCATGGGTCGAAAGGGAGAATTGACTTAGATAGGAAGGTTGGAGCTATTTGGCTTATTTTAGCAAAACTGGACTTATACTTGACTTGAGGCGAGCAATTGTTTTTGCGAGCTGTAACTATGGTTAGTTATAAATGGTTATATAATAATGTTCAGGCGGACTGCGCCGTGCTGATAGTGGCGGCTGGTACGGGTGAGTTCGAGGCCGGCATCAGTAAGAACGGTCAGACCCGCGAGCACGCGCTGCTCGCCTTCACTCTGGGGGTCAAGCAACTGATCGTGGGCGTCAACAAGATGGACTCCACCGAGCCGCCCTACCACGAGGCGAGGTACGAGGAGATCAAGAAGGAAGTGTCCTCTTACATCAAGAAGATCGGTAAGGATGGGTTTGATTCTAAATAACAAGAATGTCTTAAGAATTTTGTGATTGTAGAGTAACAAAACCTATGAGTGGAAACAAATATGTATATATCCGCATACAAAGTACCTCATTAAATATTTCAAAGCTTGAATTTCAAACATTTAATACTAGTAGTTTTAAATATAAAATTATAATAAATCAGGGTACAACCCGGCGACCGTGGCGTTCGTGCCCATCTCGGGCTGGCACGGAGACAACATGTTGGAGCCATCGGACAAGATGCCCTGGTTCAAGGGGTGGACCATCGACCGCAAGGACGGGAAGGTGGAGGGCAAGTGCCTCATCGAGGTCAGCACTTGACACACAGATTAAAAGAAAAATAAAATTTGATCGTTTTATATTCATTAAATTAACTCCCCTTCCCCTCCCCCCGGTCACAGGCCCTGGACGCTATCCAGCCTCCATCTCGCCCCACCGAGAAGCCCCTGCGTCTTCCTCTGCAGGACGTGTACAAGATCGGAGGCATCGGGACAGTGCCCGTAGGACGAGTCGAGACCGGCATACTGAAACCCGGTTAGTTTACTCCAACGAGACGAGATAATGTTCAATAACACAATAACATTGGTCCGAGCCGAAATGACTTACTGAATCTATAAAGGATGAAGATATAATATCATTTTGGTTTACCTCTCATTTGATTGGTTGTGTGTAATAAAAATTAATATTTGAGTGTCATTCATTACACCCCCAACCCCCATCCCTACTATTACCCCTAAGTGTATATGTATACTATATAAGAGGGTACCGTCCCGGTGTATCAGGCATGGTGGTTGTGTTCGCGCCTGCGGCCATCACCACCGAGGTGAAGTCTGTGGAGATGCACCACGAGGCGCTGCAGGAGGCCATGCCCGGAGACAACGTGGGCTTTAACGTGAAGGTAAGCAGTGAGGACCGACGAAAGAGGTCGCTATACGAAGAGTATTTATATCAAGTTTGGAATTCCTTGCGACATAGTAGATATTCTCTTGGCACAAGTAAAATTAATTATTGTATGAATATTATGGAAATTGGGTAACAGATTTTGTTTAATTTATGCAATCCAAAGATTCTTCTTAGTTAACCTTACTTGCTACTTAGGACATTATTTAGATATTTAGTGATTATTTTAATTCTAATGATTATATTGGTGCTATCAGAACGTGTCGGTGAAGGAGTTGCGTCGCGGCTACGTGGCCGGTGACTCCAAGAACTGCCCTCCCAAGGGAGCTTCGGACTTCACCGCCCAGGTAAAAATAAAACCCAAACTTTTGTTAGGTATATATAATACCTACAATGTCCCCCAGCCTCGTGTCCACCAAAAGGTTAACAAACTTGTATTGCAACATCCCCTGCGAACATGTCTTGGGAACGGTTTTGCTCGTGTCACAATAATGATTGCGAAACGGTCACAAACGCGACCCGGGCCTAATATTTATAACGAGTTAATTTATGTAAAGTATGCCAACACATTTCAAACTCGTTTTATATATTAAATATTGACAAAATGTTACGCAACACTCGCCCTCGACGAGATATTGTAGGATTGATAATTAATGATTTAATGAACACTGTAGCTGTGATCTTACAAAATTAGTAGGATATTTAAAATACTAATCTTCAGTAATAATGTCATTTTCTTTAGTCTCATTATTCGTCACAAGAAATTATCATAATGAAAATGATTTCTTCGAAATCAATTACTAAAATATGATCCAAAAAAGATTTAAACAGAGATGTAACTTAACTTTTAACTTCTATTTATAAGAACTTTAATTGATAGCAATGCATTATTTGTTCTGTCACAGGTGATCGTGTTGAACCACCCGGGGCAGATCAGCAACGGTTATACACCGGTCCTGGACTGTCACACCGCTCACATCGCATGCAAGTTCGCTGAGATCAAGGAGAAGTGCGACCGTCGTACTGGTACGTGTATTATACGAGAAACTAGGGACCTCGAGATGAAAAATTGTCCTATGTGATTAATATTTTGTTTGAACGTGATGTACAGGTAAGACGACCGAGGTGGAGCCGAAGTCCATCAAGTCGGGTGACGCGGCCATCGTGACCCTGGTGCCGACCAAGGCGCTGTGTGTGGAGTCGTTCCAGGAGTTCCCGCCGCTGGGACGCTTCGCCGTCCGGGACATGCGTCAGACGGTGGCCGTTGGAGTCATCAAGGTACCCCCACGTGTATAGCCCCTACCATGATCGTGTACTAACCTATTAACACTACATCCAGTGACCGTCGACTCTATGCCCTCACATATGAGCATTCTGTTTCAGAGCGTGACCTTCAAGGAGGTGACTACGGGCAAAATCACCAAGGCCGCCGAGAAGGCCCAGAAGAAAAAATAACTATGGGGCTCTTCAAGTACTAGCCCGCAGCGCCCGACCCGCCCCCGCAGCGCTGCGGCCTCCCCTCCCCCGTCCCCCGGCGGCCGCGCCGTCCCCCCCCGGTCCCCCCCGCGGCCCCCCAGCCCGCCCGCGTACGGCGTCCCCATCCCCCACGTAGCGTCAGTGTCCCCCCCCAATCGGAGCTTCTTCGCTGGTGACATCGACCCCGGACCCACCTCGTGCATTTATCTCAACAAGATACTCAAGTTTTTTCGTCTTAGTTACGTTTACTTTATAGGTTTATGTCTTTGTGATTATTTTAGAGGTAAGTTACTGGAGAAGTTTGAGTTGCCGTACTTGTTGTCGCGGTTCGTTTTATTTTTCCATCGCAAGGAGTTCAGGAGGAAAGACGACGGCGGCGAATTTAAAATTGAACTTTTAAGCCTTTTAGAAGTTTTGTTGTATGAGACTCTGCTCCTGTACGCTATCATAACTAAATTGCTTAAGATCGTACTGAACATCTCGTCCTTGTTTCTGTTAGATTGGTCGGTGAGTTTTTTATGTAATTTAGTTATGTCTAATTTCTAAGTATAACGTATCATTATTTTTATGAATTGTAACGTCTTGTGTAACTTCTGATAGCTCTTTTGTGTACATTGTGAACTGATTTTAGATTATACGATTCATAACATTGTAGATGAAAAAAATAAGTTATTTTCATAAGATTGATGAAGTGTAAGTACTTAAGTAGGTGATAAACATCAGAGTGTAGGAAATTGGAGCGGCCGTTTGTGAAGCGGCTGCCGGTAGTTGAATTTAGCAGTACGTACGTTTAACAATAAAAAGCGTTAAGAACGTTTTGGTAGAAATTTGTGGACTTTGTAAAAGGTAACAATTTCTGTTTCTGTAGTTCCTGTTGAAACTTGACTCTGATATTTTATGACTAAGTTGCCTGCCAAAGGTTTAAAAATTCAATTTAAATTTCCACTATTTTAGAAATTACTAGGTACGGAGAAAACTCAATGTTATAAAGCTAATTGTATCTTTGTAATTTTTTCAATAATTTTTGTAAAGACCTTGATCCTGATAAACCAATAAAGAAGCTACTGGTAATGTGTAGTTTAATTGTAATACTTTCCTCGATACGCCCAAAAATAATAATAAGCGAACTTTAGTTACATGTGACTCCTTTGTCGTTTTAATCAATACAAACTTTTTTGCTTTGCGTTTTTTTTTAATATAAAAGCCAAGAAAAAGAAAAAAATGTACTACTTTTCGAATATGATGAAAAGAACCACTCCTGAGGCCTGATTAGGACAATGAAAATAAATTAATAGATTTTGTTCAACTATTACTATTATTATGATGGTATTAAAGTTTTTAAATAGTCCAGGATACAAGGCTGTTTTTTGCACTTGATTACTAACAAGATAATTTTCTGTGAGTAGCTTCGTTTCATTGAGACGCCCAACTCTTTATATTTCTCGATTGTGGTAGCTAACTTAGCTGGCAGAGATAAAATATGTTGAATTGATAATTTTCCAAAATTTATTACTAACTGGATTTATTTATGTTAAATCTTATGATAATTATCTAAAATTATCCGAAAAAAATTTTGTATTACAAAATGTATGGTTTGATCGATGAATCCCCCTCCTTTCAACATGTATCGATAACGAGGTCATCACGAATAATGACTTACTAGCTAGATAAATTAATAAATTACCAAAATTTTATGTATTTAAAAGATGAAATTCAAATTATTATCAATTTAAGCACGAGTAAAAAAAAATGTACTTAAACATCAACGACATTTATGCCAAACTTGCAGATCAATTGTCTTGTTCACTCGCCAAATGCCATATTTTTACAGGGAATGATTATAATCCTGCATTCTTTCGTAAGGGAAAAAAAAGACTTTTAAGACTAAAAATATATACATTTTTAAGAGGCCTTTATTCAACTCTTACCAGTGGAAAATACGGCACTAACAACATCGAATAAGTTAGTTCAAATTATTGAAGAGTATGTTTGTAGAATGTATTCATTAAAAAAAAAAATATATCAACAAAGGGCGGTGTGAGTTATTTGAAAAAGGGTATAAATCAAAAAAATAAAATGAAGATATTTTAAAACAAAAATCGTAGGATATGATTCTTCTAGTTTACAACCACCAAAACAAGAATTGTTGCAAAAAATTAAAAGAACTGCATTCATCTGCAATATATGGTGTAATGCACACATGCGGTGCCCCACAGAAAAATTGTGAGAAAATTTTGTATGAACTATTATTGATGGCAATTATGAATTTTATTGGTTTGATGGTCCCCCAAAGTCCATCTTTTGAGAAATTATCTTCTGACATACTAGGTACCCTATTAATACTATTGTTAATTATTGATTTATTACGTGTTATTATATAATTTTCTAACTTTTGTCATGTTATTACAGACTCAGATATCACAAATGAGGACAATGAAATAAATAAAGATAACAGCGAGGTAAGCAGAAAAGATTCATCAGATGAATCTGATAAAGATTAATTTATGTTTTTCTTTTTTTAAAAATTTATACTCATCTCACTAAAAAATCTAGTTATTTTTATTAAAAAAAGAATATTTTCTTTATATCCTATGTTACAGGTAAAAAAAACGAAAAAATCACAATTCCTGTCGGATAAGTGATACGTACCTGTTTTTTTGTAGGACATTGCTTCATTTGGGCAGAGGTCACACTAATCTAGCATGTGGCATTTCGTCCTACAGTTAGTAATGAGAAAAATAGTCTTGTGGCATCAACTACTTTTAAGCGTAGGACCGGGATAACGTACCATGCAACTTGTAGGACAATGTTACTGTTAAATTATATAAATATTAACTAAGTAAATAAAAAAAAATCAGCTGGTTAGTAATCACTTGCGATGACCGCGTTATCGATACATGTTGAAAGGAGGGGGATTCATCGATCAAACCATACATTTTGTAGGACAAAATTTTTTTCGAATAATTTTAGATAATTATCATAAGATTTAACATAAATAAATCCAGTTAGTAATAAATTTTGGAAAATTATCAGTTCAACATATTTTATCTCTGCTAGCTAAGTTAGCTACCACTATCAAGAAATATCGCAAGGGAAAAAGTTGGGCGTCTCAATGAAACGAAGCTACTCACAGAAAATTATCTTGTTAGTAATCAAGTGCAAAAAAACAACCATGTATCCTGGACTAAAACTTTATTAAATTACAAACTCATAAAGACGCATGTAGCTATTTACATTTTAATATCAGAGAATACTTTTTCTTCTGGAACATTTCTTTTAGGCGTTATGTTAACTTAAAACGTTTTAATCCTTTATAAGTATAGTTTTCGTATTTATCAAAGGGCATAGCCGGATAAGTATGGGAAATCTGCCCCCATGGCTTTTTGGCCAACACTTAGAGGATCGATTTGGCATGAATATACGTAGTATCTAGTATTAAATAGTCTAGTATTTTTTCCAAGCAAAAAAATAAAAGTAAAGGTGCGTTAAAACGACGAATTACAGAAAAAAATGAGTTTTATTTTTTTGATATTGTTCCACTACTTCAAAAAATCTTAAAAAATCCCATAGTGTCGAGGGGTGCAAAATACATGTTCTGACAAATTTTGGTGATTGACATATTTCAAAAACCCAAAAAAAAACAAGATTTTAATTTTCTTTCCTTTGTTAAAAAACGAAAACTTTTCGTTGAAAAATCATGATCATATGATTTTTTTTTTGTTTTAGATTCCTAAAAATAAGAAAAAAATCATCATCGATTAACTCCGATTTCCAGTGTAAAAATTAATTTAAAATAATAAAACAGATTTATTTTAGACCCGTACTTTCGGAGATTAGCGCTTTCAAACAAACAAACAAACAAACAAACTCTTCAGCTTTATAATATTAGTATAGATCTAAAACGCCATTCGAGTTAAAGGGCTAAAAATTTGTGTGAATTATTTTTATTTGATGCCAAAACGATCCCCTAAGCCATGGGGGTAGATTTCCCATACACACACTTATCCGGCTATGCCCTTTTCTAAAAATTGTTCCCTCTTTTTTGTAACATTATAGATCACAAAATTAATACAACTGATATATTTAATGAAAAGTCGTTTTCAACATAGAATAAAATTATTAATTAAGTTTTTTATAAATATAATTAAATATATATAAACTGTATTGTTCTAAATATAGTCATAAAATACTATAATTAAGCAATTGAAAATCCAATAACTCGAATGTATATAACATTCACAAACTTGAATGCAGCAAAAGTATTCTTAGACTGTTTTGATGTCAAATGTCAATGACATATTGACAGTGACAAAAACTGTTGATGATACTATGTACCGCCGTCTGCCGACAGTCAACAGTAGGACTGGTTTTTTTCACCGCTTGCTGATATTTACGATACAGGCAGGTTGTATCTACGATAACGAAACATGATGACGTGTTCATTGCCGTAAGTGAAAGTATCTCATTAGTGGTAGGAGTTATAGACGGAGGCCTTCAATATCAGTTGTATTTCGTATCGCGCACAGTCTCTCGTCGGTTGTGGTTTAGTGCACTTGTATCAGAGGTATCGTTCTGCTTCGTTTACGATGTGCGGAATTTTTGCATACATTAATCATCTGACGCCGAAGAGCCGAAGAGAAATATTGGAATTACTTGTTAATGGATTGAAACGTTTAGAGTACCGTGGCTATGACTCTGCTGGCGTTGCTATCGACGCCGCCGACCAAAAGGATATTGCGGTTCTTAAAAGAAGTGGCAAGGTAGCCGCCCTTGAAGAATTGCTTCAAGAACAAAGTGGCCAACTAGCTGTTGAAGAATGCATGGATTCCCATTGTGGCATTGCTCACACCCGTTGGGCGACTCACGGTGAGCCAAGTGCAGTTAATTCACATCCCCAACGTTCTGGTGATGACAATTCTTTTGTTGTTATTCATAATGGAATCATTACCAACTACAAAGAAGTGAAAACATTCCTGGAAAATAAAGGATATACCTTTGAATCCCAGACCGATACTGAAGCTATTGCTAAGCTGGTGCATCACATTTACAGCCAGCACAAGGATTACAATTTCCAAGAATTAGTTGAGCAGGTAATTCAGCAACTTGAAGGTGCATTTGCCCTCTGTTTCAAATCTCGGTACTTCCCAAATGAGTGTGTGGCAACAAGACGAGGAAGTCCTTTGCTTGTGGGAATTAAAACCAAGCGTCGTCTGTCTAGTGATCATGTACCTATTATGTACACTAACAACAAAGCGACAAGAGGAGTAGTGCCAACTGTGCCTCGTGTAAACAGTCATGCTCAATTTGAACCTGAAGAAGAGAGAGATGTTGAGTATTTCTTTGCCTCTGACGCATCAGCAGTCATTGAACACACAAACAGAGTGCTTTATTTTGAAGATGACGATGTTGCTCACATCAAGGACGGAGTTCTCAGCATCCACCGCATGTCCGGTAGCAGCACTGATCCTCACCAGAGAGAAATTCTGACACTCAAGCTTGAGTTGCAGCAAATTATGAAAGGTAACTATGACTATTTCATGCAGAAAGAAATTTTTGAACAGTCTGAATCTATTGTAAACACAATGAGAGGTCGTCTCAACTTTGCCAATGGTACTGTAACTCTTGGAGGCATTAAAGATTACATTCCTGAAATAAAGCGCTGCAGAAGATTGATGTTGATTGGATGTGGTACCAGTTACCACAGTGCTGTAGCGACTCGTCAGTTGTTAGAAGAGCTCACTGAGCTTCCTGTCATGGTAGAGCTTGCATCCGATTTCCTTGATAGAAATACTCCTGTTTTCCGTGATGACGTCTGCTTCTTCATCTCACAATCCGGAGAAACTGCTGACACATTGATGGCGCTGCGTTACTGCAAACGTCACGGAGCTCTTATAGTTGGTATAACCAACACCGTAGGAAGTTCCATTTGTCGTGAATCACACTGCGGTGTTCACATCAACGCCGGTCCAGAAATCGGAGTTGCTTCCACTAAAGCTTACACGTCACAATTTGTGTCTCTTGTTATGTTCGCGCTAGTAATTAGTGAAGATCGCATTTCTCTGCTTAAACGCCGAGCAGACATAATTCAAGGACTTCACGAATTGGATTCGAAAATTCGTCAAGTACTGGCCTTGGACGATAAAGTAAAAGCTTTAGCACAAGATTTATACCGCCAGCGTTCACTGTTGATTATGGGTCGTGGTTATAATTTCGCCACCTGTTTAGAAGGAGCCTTAAAAGTAAAGGAGTTGACGTACATGCACAGCGAAGGTATTATGGCTGGTGAATTGAAACATGGCCCTCTAGCTCTTATCGATGATTCTATGCCTGTTATGATGATCGTAATGCGGGATCCAGTTTACACCAAGTGTATGAACGCCTTACAACAGGTTACCGCTCGTCAAGGACGGCCCATAGTCGTCTGCGAAGAAGGTGACACCGAGACTATGGCTCTCGCCTCCCGTGTGCTGGAAGTTCCTAAGACAGTAGATTGCCTACAAGGAGTATTGACAGTAATTCCTATGCAGTTGTTAGCATATCATATAGCTGTACTTCGTGACTGTAATGTCGATTGTCCTAGGAATCTCGCGAAATCAGTTACTGTCGAATAAACCATGTATTACTTCTAAGTTCTTAACATTAAAAGATCTCTTCTAGCACAACTTCGTGGTTACATGAAGATATATTTTGTATGTGATAGTATGAAACTAATATTTTATACGAACCGATGTTAACTGTTTTTATGTAAAATGGTTTTCACTTTATATCAGACATAGCCGGTGTAAGATTTGTTCGGATTTATTGTATCAAACAGTAACAGTTTTTTTTTATTTTACATTCCGTAAAAGTCATTTATATTTTTAAATTAGGCGTAATATAACATTCCATTGCATAATGTGAAGTCGACTACTATCATCGTTGCGAAGGTCAAACTTCGCGCCATTTAACATGAAATCTGTAACTTTTTTGTTGGCAACAGCCCACTCTATACAGACGGAGTGCTTTAGAGATCAGATTATTTTCATTATATTTTATATCGTGTGCAATGATTTTATTAAAAATGTTTTACATCAAGTACGTTTAAATACTCCTATATTGTAAATTAGACTTAGATACGCGATTATGTATTTTAATGCATTGTAATAAGATATATTTAAACAATTTTCTGTTACAAATTTATATTATTGAAATTAAGGTATGACCAATTTTAACATGTGTAAAATTCTCAATCTTTGTAAAGTAACTTACTTAGATTTTATCCTTTTTATATTTTATCGAAGTACAAATGCGAATGAAAAAAAAAATCACTGTTCAAAATTTTTATCCACATTATTACATACGTCAAATTATTTCCTGTATAAATAACAGACTTTTCCGCTAAATATATTATCAATTAAATGTAATGTAAATGATAATAACCACTTAATTGATATTGATTGTTTAAGTTTATTTTGTTATTAAAATTGAACAGAATGTCAGAACATTGTCTATGTTGTGTTTCATAATAATTTCTTTGTTAGCATATAATTCACTATAACCATAATATTCTGTACTTATATCAAAATTTCTTCGATCGTTTTTTTGTTTTATATACAAATATTTCTAATATAATAATAGGTCTTAATGTTCCCTCACGAACCAATGTATATTAAAAAACATATTTGGTTTGTTGTTTACAAGCGAATCGCTAGTCAAAACGAAATTACGTAGTGTTAAGTCCACGAAACCTGATGTTCGGCTCTAACATGAAATTTTATCATGTGATGTAAAACTAGTTTTATGTAACCATAAAATTTATTTTCTGAAGATAACTTAAACATGAACTACGCACATGAAATTGATTTTTTTTTTGTCGTCAAATATATGTAATCTGTGCAACAGATTATCAAGTTATTTTATTTTTAAGTTTGATTATATTCTAATAGATATTATGATAAAAATAAATAAATATATATTACGGATAAGTTGTTTTTTTCTGAACCTTCTTTATTATATCAGTTGTGGTTTTTTTTTATGACTCATAATTATTATTGATAATTAATTAGCTAATAAGTATAATACTTACCTAGAAATTTTGTAATCGTTGGAAAGCTATTAACTAATAACATAATATTTATTAATTAAAATATACAATTTTTATTTTTTAATAATATAAATAAAATTAAATATATCATTATTACCAGTATATTCATTACTTTTATAACTTCAGCGATAGATAATATTTCCTTTCACCATTTAATTTTCTTAATCTGTCTATACAATTAAAACCTCATTTTTACTCACATCCTTAACCGAATAACTAAGCGTTATGGTAAAAACATTTTGAAGCAAATGTATTACATAATAAACAAAAACTAGTTAAAAATCGATATCAAATATTTAATTTTAAATAATTTATACCGTTGACAATGTGTTATCTAAAACAACAGTACATTAAAGGAAGTCAAACAATTTACCTTTGACATTTATGCCACATGAATATGGAATTTAAAATAAATTTATATATATTGAAATGTCAAGGCTAAAGTAGACTTGGCATTATATCTATTTAATTAGGAATATATTTAGTAGATATATCTATATTTGCGGAATCAAACTCGAAAGTGACAATAATAAAGCGATAACATTAAAATATCTACGAGTATGCAATATCAAACCTTACATAAATACATGTAAATACTTCTTTGTTTAATGGGCACCTATAATTCCACTATCTGATATAATTGTAAGATCAAAGCGGTTCCAAGTAATACTCGATCGAAATGAGATAACGTTATATATTAATTGATTTCCTTCGATTAATTTGTTATTTTAATACTATACCTATATGTTACAAAATTCCCCTAAAATATCTTGAAGTTAAAGGCTGTTTTTACTATTGTTTCTCATTAATGCATATATTGCACTGCTGTCATTCGGTTATAATCTTGTAACAATTTTTGTCCGCGACTCCGTCTGCGTTAATTTCGGAATTACTGATATAAGTATAGCTGACTGGGAGAACTCTATTCGAGAGGCCATAAATAACCAGATATTTAATTATTATTTTTTGGATTGAACAGAATTAAATATCCTATGTCCGTCTCCTTGTTCTAAGCTATCTTTCTACCAATTTTCAACCATATACATACGTCCTTGAGTTATAAATAGTGTAACTAACACAACTTTCTTTTATATATATAGACAGATGAAGGTACTATAACGCTGGAATAATATTTTTTTAGTCTAAGTACTACTTCTCTAAAGACACCCTTTTGGTCTGGCAGAAAGCCCCGGGTGATGACTAGTTATTGATATCGTTAGGTATCTCCGTCGTATTATTAATAATTATCAATTAAGTAGCTACTTCAATAGCTTCTCAACTCAAACTGCTTAGATATTAGGTATGTATCAATAAATGTTCAACAACTTATTATTAACTCCAGTCAAAACTCTACTATTTTTGAAATTCCAAAAGCCACGTATTTCTGTAAACAAACAATGATGGAATACCTTAGCAAGAATAACGAGTCAGTCGCTGAGGAATAATTCTTATAGAAGTAACTAGTTTTTGCCCGCGACTTCGTCTGCCTTAGTTTCAGAATTAGGAATATACCTATTGCTGATAGGGCGAACTCTATTTTTGAAGAGAGTAAATATATTTTTTTTTTAATTTGTTCAACTTATTTTTTTCATTTTTCAATCGGATGAAAAGTATCCTATGACTTTCCCTTGTTCTAATCTATCTCTCCACCAATTTTCAGCCAAATCCGTGCAGCCGTTCTTAAGTAATAAACATGTAGTGTAACCAACACGACTTTCTTTTATAACTATATAAAGATATGAATATATTTATGATGGAAGCCATTTAATGAATTGTGATGTCAAATAATGTACGTATTACATGCTTACAGAAGAACAATTAAAATGTAACACAAATCATATACTTATAGATAACGATTAGTTGGTGCTTGGTAGATATTAAACGTATATAACCTTCTTACATAAATATAAGCTGGCTTAGAAAAAGTGTAAAATAACACCAAGACAGAGGATGTGTTAATACATCCAATAACGTTAAATTACAAGTGGGCTGAATACGTATCATGTCTTAGTATTCAAAATCAGAGACTGACTTAAAGGATGTTAACTGACAAAGGGTTCATAGTTATTAGAAAGTAATTTTCCAAGTGAAAATAAAATAAAAAAGATGGCAGCCTTCAATCAGATACTTTTTTTAGATATAATCCATAATCTTGAAGAACCTTCACCTATTAATATGTTCCTGTAGACAATTTGAAACTAGCTTTTTAATCTCATAGTAGGTACTAGGTTATATTATTATGTTGTATTATTTGGACAATATATGAATTTTAGGACAAGTTTGTAACATATAAAATGAGTGTTAACATTTATTTTATTTAATTAAATTCTATAATTGTATAATAAAAGACAAAAATTACAAAAACTTTTTCTAAACAAATCAGAACCTATTATAATTTTCGAATCCATTTTAACTGAGGAACAGATAAAAAATATAATAATAAGGTAGTTGAAGTTACTTAGATAGTTTTTTTTTAACTTCTGTCTGTCTGAAATTGCAGTCAGACGATCTCGGACCATCCAGTAATTTGTGGTGACTTGCTTCGAGTCAATGAACTTGAAACTCGAGTGCGGTTAAACTTTTTGTTTTTGCTGCTTTGTATGTGTGTTTACGCCTTTATAACGGAACAATTTGGCAGGGCTACCATAATTCTGTCATTTGTTTCTTATAATCAGGCCTTGATTAGTTTATATTTGTTATAAATAAGATCGATTACGTAAACACACGTTGAGACAAGTTTCGCAACAAAACCACATTGATATTAATTTTGAAAGTTTGTTGTTTCGTCATACAGTGTTGTCTATCATACTGAAATTCGTTGGTGTAAGCATTGCCCAAGCGACCCGCAATAAACTGGTGCGTTTGAATAGTAGGTATAGGTATAACGTGAGGCGGCCTACAGATCATCGAGGAGGTTTGAAGCTGAGTTTATCGTTTACTTAAGAGGTTTGCACACTTTAAACCTTAGTCACAACTCACGCACATGTATGAAAAGTAATTGACAGTAAATTATAATTATAAATGTATAAACATAATTGGACGTGTAAACAGCTGACAAAAGTTCTTTTTATCAAATAATTAATTTATAATAAAATGATCATTTCTCTAAGGTTTCTATTCTGAAATAAATGAATAGGTAGTTTGTTGTTGTTTTATAGAAATAAAAGTAGGTATTACATGATATCTTTTCTTTATTATTCTATCCTTCCTTTAATCTATTTGCTATACAAGAAAAGACTCTGCCTATACTTAATTTTCTAATAGCAGAAAATAAGAATAGTAAAAATATATCAATTTGATATTCATTACTTTTGTGTATCGTATTAAGTGAAAAATTAAAGCGTTAACAGTGTGATCGTAATATTATGCTGTTTAAATAATAGTGAAATAAGAAAAAAAAAGGTAAACTCTAAGAAACCTTTTATTCATTCGTAAAAGAAGATAAAATACATTCAATGCCTATTGAAGCTTTTACACAGGATAAGGTTTATTTTCAGTTCGCCCACGCGACTAAATTCCACCCAAGAT